AGCCTGCGAAGGGGCGTGTATCTGACCAGATACTTGTGTCATTATGAAGAGCGTGGGCTGTAAGAAGCCGACGCAGCGTAGTCGACGTCAGACGGAAAGCTGGGCCAGGCGAAAGATATGGGACGGGTATCGGGAACCCAAGTCATGCGAATGGCACGGGTAATGCAGGGCTCTTCTAAGTCGAGGTCACCCTGACAGGGTATGCTGGCTTGGGAAAGTGAACAAAGACTCGGACCGAATGTCGAGATATGCAAAGCTGGGGAGCAGGATACTAGCGACGTCGCGTACGAGGAGCCAGTCTCAAGCGTGGTAAGATCAAAGCGTTTGGAAGGAACGTGGAGATTCAAGGTGTCAAATGGAAAGAGCGTGGCACGGGCAATAAAGAGGCAAAGTATATGAAAACAAAAAGCAAGCGAGCGAACAGGACACGGGTCCATGAAAAGGGACGAGCGGTGCAGATATGTTGACGTTGGGTGGGAGTAGATGCAGAGGTGAAACAGGCTGTCGAATCGACAGAGTGGTGGAGAGAAAAGTGGCAAGCGTTAGGTGCCGCAGATGAAGGCAGGCTGACCCCAGCTGGTCAGCAGCACTAGGAAGCAGTTCCCAGGTGCCGTCGAGTGTGATGCGACGACGCGACGACGCAGGGGCTGCATTGAGGCCCCTTTCTGGGCAGTTTTGAAGAAGGTTGAGATGGATGTCATGGCGCCGCACGCTAACCGTGGCCAGGCGGGTTTGGCGTGTTTGAAATTTCTAGCACAACGTCTTTTGACAGTGGCCGCGAGCTTGGATGCGCGACCCGATTCAGGGTCAGCAGGTCAGAGTTTGGGTGAGCAGCGGGCGTCATAGTGCTATGGTCGGAGATGCCTAGATTAACAGGGCGATGACACCAGGTGGGTGGAAATTGCATGCCCATGGGCGTGACTGGACTCGATGGACCCAGGACCATGGCGGAAGTGCGGCCATGGGTGATCGGCGAGGCGCTACCTGGGAGCACATGTTGGATATTGGGACATGTTTGGGATTCCTTTTGGCACCAGCTTTGGCGCGGCGTTCATCTCAAATGTGGTGGCAGCAGCAGCAGCAGCAAAGTGAAAAAGCATTCGCAGACGCAGATATGGACGGGGATTGAATTTGACAAGGACAGACACATGACTTGCACGTTGCGTTTTGCCGTCGTCTCATAGAGTGCTGAGTGTGACGCAGGCGGCGAGGTGCATACGACGGGCCTTCAGCCAGCAGCAGATGCACAAGGATAAGTATGCATTAGAGTGACCATGTGTATTGCGGCGCAACTCGGCCCAAGACGGTCATGGCCACAATTACACGGGCATTGCTTGGTAGCGAACGGAAATAGCTTCTACTAAGCAGCTGGTAGGGCGAAATGAGGCGGAATGTGGAGAAGACGCCGTTAGCCGGGAAAGATGGGCGCTGGGGGAAGGGGGGATGATGGGCAAAAATATTTCTGCATTAGCAAGCAGCGATTATGCCATCTCCTAGGCCGCGTATAGTGACAAGGACGTGTCGTAGCTTAAGGGAACTGCTGAAGCATACCTGCGTGTCATAAGATAGTTGATATACCAGTGTACAAATGCCCCTGTAGTCGCCAGGCACGCGTATTAGTAGGTGCATACTCCACATTATCAAGTATTTCATGGACGTCGTCGTAGGGCTCTTAGGAGAATTGATGAAGCAGCTGGGCGACGGGAGGCCGGCGTTCCTGCGTCGGCGTGCAGTAGTGCCGTTTTCCCCGCTCACCCCACCTCGACACCTGCACTGCTCATTGCTGCTTTGGGCCAGCGTAGACGTTAGACGTCCATCCTTACTAGACCGCTCCTCACACCACTCCTCACACCACTGACATCCTCCTGGGATCCTGATATGCCTGACCTAAACACTCTCCCGGCTTCGTCGCCTCATACCTCCTCACCCTCGCCCCGCACCCAATCACCTTCCAACACCCGGATGGCTACATCACCCCACTCACTTGCTGCTACAGCTGCCATGAATGCCGGTATGCACAACGAAGAGACACGCCGTCCTTCATCCGGTAGCATGCGGCGGGATGTTGAACGCGCCCGACGCCGCTCGAGTATTCGCATGAACCTCAACCTCAATGACCCCGCCATGCCGGCGCCGGGAGAGTTGCAGCAGAGCAGCCCGTCGACCCGTAGTAGGGGCCCATGGCCGCATAGTCCCCACCACGAGCGTGCCCCTAGTCTCGGAGAGCTGCATCAAGAGCTCGAGTATGAGCAGGAGGGCCAGGTGAACCGCCTACTCAACATGATACGCACCCAGCAGGCCCAAATCAACACCCTCCAGGCCAACCAGCACCAGGCATCAGCATCCGCCGTGGATGACAGTACACCTACCTCGGAGCGTTCCATGTCGATTCCCCCGCCACTGTCGCACTCCTCGCACGTTTCGCCGCCCATGGTCTCGCCCCTGCCATCTGCTGCGCAACCACGCTCCCGCTCACCCTTTGGCTTCGGCACCATCAGTCGCCAGTCATCTTTTGCAGACCGCTCACGACACAGCAGCCATGCCGGCTCCCCCGCCCTGCGACCCGTGTCAGGCCAGGTACCCTACGATCCCCACGACATGCTTCCCAGCCCCGCAACTAGCCGCGACGAGAGCGCCTTCTACCAGGCCGAAACCCAGAACCTGACACGCGAGAACCAAATGTTGAAGCTGAGAATAAGAGAACTTGGTATGTCTTTCCCCTTCCGTTTCCGCTGTCATCACCGTGCGTACATCCACTAACCCGCACCAGAGCGCCAACTAGCAGACCAAAACCCGACATCCCAGGTCACGCACTCGCCCGTCATCCACTCCAATCTTGCGCCGACTCCAAGTCGCGAGGGCACAGATCAAGGCGCTGAGAGTGGCAGTCAGCCGCCCGTGTCGACTGCCGAGTAGGACTTTTCTCTAGACTGTGTTTCGCGGGCGTTTTGTTCAGGTGCCTCCTCTCAGGACATTGACGAAGCATGTTGGCGCAGGAAGAAGTAATGCCAGGGCCATGGCTCAACACCGTTTAGCAAGCGGTGGACACAATGATGGTCAGAAGTATCAAGGGCGAACTATCCGCTACTGATGCTGGTGCTGCTGCTTAAGCTTTTCCCGTAAATAATAGCGTAATCCGGACATTGTTTAGCCCTCACATCCCCACAAACGATAAAGTCCGGTATATAAATGTAATAAACGTAAATTTACAATTCCCGTTCTCACTAGTCACCCCCCATGATCTGCGAGACGATAATAACTCCACACGCACTATCATGCAATAAACTCCCCCCCCCCCCCCGCTTAATTTTACCTACTACCTACACACACGACATTCCTGTCTCGTCCCACCTGCCTTGGCGGAGCGTAAAACAACAAAGCTCCAAGCTCCCTCATGCCAAACATGTCTCCCCGGCCGTATCTTGTCAGACGGCCTTATTTGCGTCAAAACAAGCGACACACCGACCGACACAGACACAGACGCAGAACAGGTACAACTACTCAAGTCACATGGTACATGGGCATAAAGACTAACTAGGGTCTTCCTTGAACTAAAACACCTGACTAAACTTTAACTACTTACCGGTACGTATCGCTGCTTACTACAATATTTCGGTGTCTTGGTTCTTTTTGTTTTTCTTGGGGAGGGGTCTTTTTTTTGGTTGTTGTTGGTGGCTTGAAAGGGGGGGAGTACGTCGGTAATTTTTGGGTAGGTGAGAATGTGTAGGATTGGGGTTGGAAGTGAAGGTTGAGATTTTAGTTGGGTGGATTGAGGCAAGGGCTTACATTGATAGTTTGATACGGGGTTTTTTATCGGACTGTACCGTATCGATTTGTGACTAGGTCAAGTAAGCTGGTGGTATAATTTGCCTTCGGACTAGAATTTGGAATGGTGAGTATTGACATCTGACTGTATCGGTTGTGAGTAAGCTGGTGTAATTTGCCCTTGACTAGAATCTGGAATGGTGGTTATTGATACGGGATTCATATGACTTGCATCGTTTGTAAGTAAGCCGGATACAGTCAGATGCACCCCGTATCGATGGTGTGAAGCCTTGGTAGTGTAATGTAACTTTCCACTACTGATGACCGACAGTATTGATGAGACTGGCTCGAGCAATGCACACAGAATACAGAATTAACGTAGAATAAGAACAAGTTATTCTGCTAATACTGGTTACTGGATACATATATCACAACTCCCGTTTACCACCCCATCCATCCACAAACAATAAACCAGAGTCGTAAACGCCAAGTGCTCCAGCTAACCCATGCAAAAAGTCTTGATCCTAATTTCATTCCATTCTTTCCACTAACTGCTACATACCAAGTGCAAACTCTCTACTCATCATCAACCTCCTCCACCGTGGCTCGTGGTGCTCGATACGTCATGTCACCTGCTTGGGCCGCCTCTGATCCTGTTGGCTCGGTGGCAGTGTCGACGGGTTCAGCAGCTTGTTCAGGGACAGCCACGGAAATGGGTACTGGGGCAGGTGCATGGTTGTGGTTGCACCCTGAGTGGTCATGATGTGCGTGCTCATTGGCACCCTTCTTGTTCTTGGCACTAGCGGCCTTTGCGGCTAATTTAGCAGCCTTCTTCTCCTTCTTTGCTGCCTTCTTTGCCTTGATGTCTTCGGGAGTCTAGAATGGATTAGATGTTGCTCCACAAATAGAGTTTAGACAATACATACCTCTTGCCATGCCCACACAGGCCGGAACGAGTCGAAGAAGCCAACATCCTCAAATAGGTTCGGATACAGCCAGAGACCTGGCGGTGCCGCAAAGATTGTAATGATGAAAAGAATGAGTCGAACGATAGCCATGGCGAAGAATAGACCGATGAGACCGAGCATGCCCATACTAAGGTACCACACACCCTGTCGCAAGAAAAGCGGCCAGAGAGGGAACAGTACTATCGCAATCACCAACAACAGCGCACCGACAGCGTAAAGCTTCTGCTTCATCTGCGAGCCCTCATACAGCCAAATATAATAGTTGTCGTCGTTTGCCTCTTGGTGTTGCTCAATCTTGACCGTCCATAGGCCCTTGACACGCTTGGGCTTTGCATGGCTGTGACCCTCGTGCGCATCTTCCTCCACCTTGGACACTCGCAGGGCAAGGAGAGAGAGGGGTAGGAGCTTGAAGCAGTTCTCGGCTGAGGCGCGATCATTAACTTCAGGAAGTAGAGGGTTCTTGGCGCGGGCTTTCTGGTAGGCGGGAGATTGGAGGGCGCGAATTGCTCGCTTTACTGCGGGGAAGTTAGTCATCCATCTGTGCATGTGGTCGGGCTTGCCTACCTCTGAACATGTCCTTCCTCTTCTCATCGTGTACGACGGTCCTGGGCTTGAGATCCTGCGACTTGAGCCAATTTGCGACAGCGAGGGCTTCTGGTTTTGGCGGGCCGGGCTGGATGGGCTGCTGCTGTTGCTGTTGTTGCGCACGTTGCTGTGCCTCCATTTGCGCCTGCTGTTGTGCCATTGCCTGTTGTCGCAATCGGCCTACGTATTCTTGGACTGTGATACCATGCTTCTGTGCCTCGGCAGCAAGTTGCATTTGAATTTGTTGGATTTGCTCGGGTGTGGGCTTTTCGCCGTTCGGTCCCAAGGGTATGGGAATGGAGAATGAGCCTGGTGGAGGCCCGCCTTGCGGGGGACCTTGAGGTGGGGAATCTTGTTCGGCCATGGTGAAGGCGACTGACCAACTGTGGGGAGTGGCTTTACCGGTGAGTGCGCAGGCAGCAGCTGGCGATGGAGAGCGTCCGGAGTGGGGTTGAGCCTGGTGGTTGACACGGTGGTAATAAATGTTCCCTAATGCCACATTACATCAAACACCTCGGCGCCCGGCTGCACCATTCGGCCGCTGCATGACTAAGCGGCCGCTGCTACTTCAAAATTTCTGCGAGCTCCCAGTTCCTTCTTCCACTCCATCTGTTCGTAACAACACCCACCCCACGCTTTGGTTCTTCAGGCATACATGCTGCCAGACACGCACCGGCTTGCGCCTCTACATTCTTGACAGCCAGCCTTTGTCGCCACCGCCCTGTTCGCGTCGAAACTTTTTCCAAGTTCAAGCGCACCGGGCGCGGCTGCCGAGGATACACAATATGCCTTCAATATTTTGGATGAGTATGGCAATGGCATGGCGTTTTGTTTGCTCACGCGGCGCTGGTCTGGATGATTGCCCCTGCGGCATGGCGTTGGAGCTCGCCTAGTATGGCGTCGGCTTGCGTCGCCTGGGCGCCTGCAGTGCTCCAAGGTACAGACCCGACAAGCAAACATTGATATCAAATGCACGTCGACTGGGAATGATGGTGTTCGGCAAGATGAAATTACGTAGACATGGTACCGTGGTCGTTTGACCATGGTTGTGATGTTCACTTCACCAACACTCTGGCCCTTACTTCCCTTACTGTATAGGCCTATTTTGGTGTGAAGAAGAGGAAATGACCCATTACTCACCGCGTTGTCTTGTTTGGCTTCAGTGGTCCTTTTTCGAGGTCAACATATTTATCTGTATAGCATGTGCTGGCAGAGAAGCGTTCGGCAGCTCTCACCGCCCGGCACTGGTTGCATGCATGAGTCGGTAGCGTTGTCGCCTGGTGTTTGGTACGCTATTGCAGTTGCAGATGTAGGTGCAAACGTGAATGAAAGAGTGCATCAGTCATGACTTATTGCTTGTCGTCTGCAGGCGCTGATTGGCCAACCAAGTCCGAGACCAGGTCGCGTCGCTGTCAGAAGTTGGAAGCATCCGTCTGCGGCTGTACTCTAGCCTAAACACCTGGGGCACAAAGCGTGTTTCGGGGCGGCCAACTCTATCTATCAAAAGGCTCTCAGCTATGCCGGATGCGAGGCCCCCTCCCCCCCAGGAGGGAGGAGGGAGCGGCAGGCCGTGTTGGTGAAGCGGACGACAGACAAAGAAAAGGACACAGCGGGCTGTTGGGCGCACTGATGCATAGTGGTGGATATTGCGGCACCTGCATTCATGGGCGCTCTGGTCGACAAGTGGGCTGATTGGCGTGAGTGATGACCGTGAACGTTGGATGGGCGAGGGCCCCTACAAGCCGCCGTCTCTCGCGGCCGCATGTCGCTGGTGCTGGGCCTGCAGGCTGCAGTGGTGTCAACCTAGGGTGCTGCGGATGCGGAGAGCAGCTTGGGGATAGCCTGGAGTTTGAAGACGGCGTGACGAGGGGGAATTTCTTTTGCATGCCAGAAGGGGGGGTGTCTATGGAAAGGTCCCAGTGGCTTTTTGCATGCCCTCTGTCATGCTGTGCTGCTCACAGCAACTTGGTAGGCCGACATAGCGCCTTGGATCGCTCGATCACGACCCTAAACCCCAGACGGCCTGTCGTCCTGCGGCAGGGATCGCTCCAAGCCACCACTCGAACGATTGAGGACATACGAAAGTGGATAGGCCTGCCGCTGTTTGGATGTCTCCGCCGCACCACACCTCGTCATCGCTCGCGCCCGCCTATCCGCTGTGATTGTGAAAAAGCAGCCATCATCTGCCTGTGCTGCGTGCTGATTGCTGACATTGAATTTTCGCCTTCGGAGCCCGGCGCTGAACAGGTGTAGAGACGTCGGCCATCGAGAGAAGACGACGTGACGGTCCGCTGCGCCCTAGAGCAGCCTGTACTACGCTGGCCTTTCTCCCAAACCCGCTGTTGTGCGCCCTCTCTCGCGCAGACGAGTCCCGGTCTGCGACACCACGCCCAAAACCGCGTCGCCCGATTGCGCAAGCCCCAGCCCAGTGACTGCCTTGCCATCCAGGCGGCTCTCGTGCATGCGAGTGCCGAGTGTGTAGTTGGCTACATTCCCGATTCCTGATTCCTGATTCCTGACCCCCGACACGTCCGCCCGCCCTTACAGAAGACACGCATAACCTCGTTCATCGCGTGCTGACGACCGCCACAATCTACCACCACCGACGACCGACGCCTTGTAAAGCCTCGCCGCCTGCCGCCCTGGATCTGCATCTGCATCTGCACGAGCGGGCCACCATTGCGACTCCTCCTCTCCAAACCTCTGCCGGGGTCTCTGCTGGTACGGTGCCAGTACGGGGACACCCGGTGCCGAAGAATCCGATTCAGCCCCAAAAGACATGTCAATCGCAGCAGACGGGCGACGATTTCGCGAAGGCATAGGCACCAGTCGTTGCTGCTGGTTAAGCTGTGCTGAGAGGTCGGGGACGTCCACAGACAACCCTACCCTTACCTTGCTCTATCCGCCAGCTGTCTGAAAGACACGCTTGGGTGACAGCCTAATCCTCGTTCCAGAGTCCCTCTAGCGGCTCCCCCCACCATGACTATGGTTCGGCAGTATCCCCCGCAGCCTTCGTCGTCGCAGCTTCCCTCCGAGCTGGCCTACTCCGGCAACAACGCCAGCAGCACAAACAACATCGCCCCCGCACCTTCCCATGCAAACCCCCTTCACAATGCCGCCACATTCGAGGCGCGTACCATCGCCCAGTACCCCATCCCCCAGCAGTACGCCCATCCGCTCTCGAGACACAACTCGTATGGCGCACAGCCGTCCGATTCTGGCCACGCTTCCAAACCCGCAGAGCACATGCTTCGCCGAAAGACACCCAACGGAATCCTCGCCGCTGCCTATGACGGCACTTCCGTTGAGAAGAATGGAGAGCCACATGCCACCAAGCACATTCTGCTACCCGTGACCGCCGAATCAAACATACCGTATGGCATGAAGCAGGACCTTCCCCTCCGGTCGCCAGGTGTCCACAATGGCCAAGGACGGAATCCGCACGACGTGTCGGAATGGAGTGTTAGCCGCTATTTCGAGACTGGATCGGGACTCACTGGCCAACATTTACCTCAAATCGACTCCATGCTCAACCAGATACCGCCATTGCAACCTCTCTTACCTTACCAGATGTACGGCTCTCAGTTCTGTGGTCCCATGGGACCGCCATTCCAGACCCCCTTGAATCCGACCGTCTCCAATGACCAAGGCCCGTTTGGTCCCTATTGGCACGATGGGACGTACATCCCGTACCGGCCTGCTGCTATGCGGGATCCTCGCTTTATGCATCATCATCCTCATCACCACAGCCAAAACTGGAGTCACCCGCATAGCAATGCCTTCATCCCCCACCCGTACAACAATGTTATGCCCAACTTTTCCCATCACCAACAAAACTCTCTCCATTTGGACTACGCGCAGGGCGCATATGGCCATCAACTAAGGCCACCATTAGAATTCTCACCATATGGACAGCCACAGGCGCATGTCGCTTTGGACTACCAGAACCAGTCATTACCGCCACCTCTCACACAGCGTCCCCAGGACTACCTACACTCTGGCCAAACGACACCAGTCGCTGAGTACGCTCCCTCTGCCCCATTAGAGGAGTTTGCTCCACCGTCGCCGGATGGACAGAGCAGAGAAAGTGTCTTTGCATGGGCTCACGCAGTATACGTCGATCTCCTTCGATACCTGCAGTCCACCAGGAAAGCGAATTCACAAAACCCTCAAGGTCGCACACATCATAGACCTCACATCTACCCAAAGCCGCCACGGCAACCTGCATCTAGTCTTTCCAGCCCTGCCCTAGGTACCAATCCATCACTAGAACGACGTGTCTCGTATCCCACCCCTAGTCACTATGCTTCATCCCAGTCTGGAACAGACTTCGCGTCCAGAAGGCCTCAAATGCCACATACACGCTCAATGTCCGCATGGTCAATGAGTGGTCCAGATGTGAATGCTCAACCATGGCAAAGTATGCCACCGCCACACATGGTACCCAATGGCCTGGGCATGGAGCCTCCACGACCTCTACGACGAATGTCGGGGTCTGTTGCCAGCGCCCACCAGACTCTTCGCCAGGGTATACCCCCAAGCTTGACAGCTGCAACTGCACTAGAGTCGATTACCAAACACTGTGAAGAAAGCAAATGGAGTTGGATAGACGGTATTCTGTTGGGCGGTTGCCTCGCATATGCGCTGGGTGATTACCAAAAAGCCCAGGACTGGTACAAACACATCCTTACATTGGACAAAGAGTGAGTCCTCAATACCCCGAAAGATAGCACAACACTAACGCTGCAAAGTCATGTCGAGGCGATTTCAAATCTCGCAGCTACTATGTTAGCTCTCCAGCAAAAGCGTGAAGCTGAGAATTACTGGAGACGCGCAGTCAAGCTTCGCCCCAGCTATTTCGAGGCCGTCGAGCACCTGATCGGCTTACTTTGCAGTGACCAAAAGTCCCGCGAGGCTGTTCAAGTCATCGAAGAGGTCGAACGCCAGTTGAAATTCGTCAAGCGGGCAGATGCCATGCGCAGCCTCGAAATTGAAAGCGAACGTTCAAATTCTGATCTCAGCGAATCGAGCGTGTCGGAGGCATCTGATCGGCCTGTTTTTGAGTTCGAAGGAGACGACGAGGCTGTTTTCAAGGACCTGGACGAACTCCCCGGATCAGACCAACCGGGTTTCGGTTCAAGCGGCTATGCAATTGCCGGCTGTGACAACGGTCGCGTTCTTGCCTTGGTACACGCCAAAGGCAACATGCTCTACGCTCTTGGCGACAACGCTGGTGCTGCCAAAGCTTTCGAAAATGCCGTTCTTATCGGTGCTGGACCGCATCCGAATGGTATCGACGGCCTCATCAAGCGCATTCTCGCTGTTGTTGGGTATGATATTTCAGAGCGTTCGCCAGGTGGCCGTCGTATGCCGCCGTCCTCAGATCCCATCTTGTTACCACCGGAAGCGGCTACTAGGACAGCTCACCTTTGCTTCCCAGCACATGGTCAACTCCCTGGTCTCAAACACGTCCCCGGTGAGGGTCTCTCTAGAAAAGCAGCCATATCAACCACGAGCAACTCTTTACTATCTCTGGCGAAGATTTTCCAGGATGGTATGGCGACTAACTCTCCCAAAGCCACAGTCTATCAAAGCAACTATGGAGTACGGGAGATCTTGGCTCTTTACTACTTGTCTCTATCACTACAGCCTAGCCCGTCAACAGCCAACAACGTAGGCATTCTACTCGCCAGTGTACATCAGTCTGCACCTGCGAAAGCGATTCCTATGTCACATGCCTTTGCACAACATCTAGTGCCTGGCCTAGTGCCAGGCAGCGGGGTGCATCTGGCGCTTGCTTACTACCACTACGGACTTCGGTTGGACCACTCCCACGCACATCTCTACACTAATCTCGGCAGTCTGCTCAAAGACATTGGTCACCTAGACAATGCCATTGAAATGTACGAAAAAGCAGTAAAATGCGACCAAAGTTTCGACATTGCTCTTGCCAACCTTGCCAATGCCGTCAAAGACAAAGGTCGCATCGCCGATGCCATCTTCTACTACAGGAAAGCTGTCAAGTCCAGCCCAGACTTTGCAGAGGCAGTCTGTGGATTGGCTAATGCGCTTAACTCTGTTTGTAGCTGGGCTGGTAGAGGTGGTATTGCCGAGGACAGTGGCTCAAGAGATCGCTGGCACGTCAACGAGAGTGGTATGCTCCTGGATGCCAAAATTCCCGGTGCATCCAGCTCCGGATGGATTCACAAAGTCGTCAAGTTGGTCGAGAAACAGCTTGGGGATGGCGAGGAATGGGGTCGAGGTATTATGGACGACTATTTCATCCAAGACATCATCCGGCCTTTTGCACTTGTTGGGGGAAGTCTGCAAGATGTAAAAGCAAAGGAAAACAGCATGAAGTCGGTCCTGCTGACTTGGAAGGGCCAAAAATGGGAAGGTGCTCGCATCGTACGCCTTGTGGAGCGCGCCATCGGGTGGATGACCTGGCAATGGTATCAGGACCGCTATGTTCTTGGAAAGCAACGACCAGCGGCATCATACCGGAGACCACAACTACCGGCAGCCTTGACAGTACCCGCGGCACCTACAGTGCTCCCTTTCCACACCTTTACTTGTCCCATGTCAGCTAAACAGATCCGTCTCATCTCACAACGCAATGGCCTGCGCATCTCATGCTCGACGCTTAGGGTTCCTTGGCTACCGCAGACTGTCTATGAGCCTCCCGCACCACCAAGGCCGTACCTGAAGGTTGGCTACGTATCCTCGGATTTCAACAACCATCCTTTAGCACATCTAATGCAATCTGTCTTTGGACTTCACAACCCAGCCCGTGTCAAGGCTTACTGCTACGCGACAACACCGAGCGACCATTCGGAGCATCGAAAACAGATCGAACGAGAGTCGCCAGTCTTCTACGATGCCAGCAGTTGGTCAGCGGAACGGCTTGTCCACCAGATCGTTCGCGACGGTATTCACATCCTTGTGAACCTCAATGGCTACACAAGAGGAGCACGGAACGAGGTGTTTGCCGCCCGCGCTGCTCCCGTTCAGATGGCCTTTATGGGGTTCGCAGGTACCCTCGGCGCTGGATGGTGTGACTATCTTCTCGCCGACGATACCGCGGTACCTCCAGACACCCTCCGACAGTGGCGCCGTAACATTGATCTCGAAGACGCTCTTGTCGACGATAATAGTGGTGGTGAAGACGACAAATGGATCTACGGAGAGAATATCGTTTTCTGTCGGGATACCTTCTTCTGTTGTGACCACCGACAGAGTGCTCCAGATTCGCAGGGTCGGCAGCCCAACTGGGAAGAAGAGCAACATCGGAGGTGGGCCATGCGTAAAGAGATCTTCCCCAATCTTTCCGATAATGCGATCATTCTTGCCAACTTCAACCAGCTGTACAAGGTAAGTCGAGCTGCGTTTCAATCGTTCGCCTTTGCTAACCAAGATTACTAGATCGAACCCACCACCTTCCGTACTTGGTTGCGCATTCTAGAAAAGATCCCCAACGCAGTTCTTTGGCTGCTGCGATTCCCCGATCTTGGCGAGACCAACCTCAAGCAAACAGCCCACTTATGGGCCGGTCCTGAGGTAGCGAGTCGCATCATGTTCACTGATGTCGCGCAGAAGCATCAGCATATCTCCCGCGCACGTGTTTGTGATCTCTTCCTCGACACGCCGGAGTGCAATGCACACACAACAGCCGCTGATGTGCTCTGGTCTGGAACACCACTACTGACGTTACCACGTTACAAGTACAAGATGTGTTCTCGCATGGCAGCTTCCATACTCAAAGGTGCGCTGCCAAAAACACCAGCGGGCGCGCAAGCCGCAAAAGAACTCATTGCCAGCAACGATAACGAATACGAAGAAATGGCTGTTCGCTTGGCTCGCAACTGTATCTACAACGGTCACCGTGCGAGTGGCCGACTTAGCGAACTCCGACGAATGCTATACGAATCACGCTGGTCGAGTCCTCTCTTTGACACTAGACGATGGGTCAGAGACCTAGAGGACGCATACGAAATAGCATGGAAGAAGTGGGAGAAAGGAGAAGGGGGCGACATCTGGCTGAAGCACCAGGCACCTTTGCCGGCATAGCCATCCCCCAGCGTTTTGCTCGAGAAACGGCATTTCAAGACCAACATTCATTAACATTTCAGTTAGACGCGTGACTTCTGGAGGCTTTTGGATATTTGCGAGTCACGCTGTCGTTACATTCTGTTGTTTTGTTCCTATACCCCGTATCTGCTTTGTATTGGATATCTTGGTTGGATTTACTTTGTGGTCTTTATGTTTTTGTTTTACCCCCCTTTTATCTAGCAAACCACACACATCTATTGCATGCGGAATAGACACATTGGTCGCTTTCGTTGGATACGAAGGCAGCATACGGCGTTTTTTGGGGATAGCGTTCAGGGAATCAAGAATATTGTTTCTCGGCTTCCTGCTTATTTTTTAAAACATGTACACTAACTAATGCTACTAATGTCATTTCGGGGAAGAGGCGACGAATATACTCGTCGGATATCGGTACATGTATTTTTTCGAAGGTGCTCTGCATGAAATCACCGCTCGTCGGGCTAACGCGGTGGCGTGACTGCTGAGCCAACTTGAGTCCAAGATCTATCGATCATAATTCTGGATTTAGTGGGCTGGAGGCCTGAGCGCGTGAAAAACTAAAGCAGTTGTGAACTAGGTGGTGGCAAAGTCACACTTTCTTGATGAAGTGAATGTCATGAGATTTCTGTATCCGAGTTTAAACATCGAGTGTACCCAGGAATGTGTGCAATGGGCAGATAATCCAAATGAAGGTACACCCATTTGCAACCTGATCACCGTGAATAGGCTACATCAACACCCTCTCTACTTGATACATAAAAGCACCGTCTTGTCGAACACCCAGCATCATTTGTCCTCGGCTTCATCGCAAGCCTTGAGCTTCTTCTGCATAATCTTCTTCTTGCCCTTTTCGTCGAACATGGCTAGGAGGTGAGGAGGCAGCTCCCGAACAACCAATGTGGTTGTGTTCAGCAAAGTCTTGCCATTGAAGAGTTCGGCCAAGATGCTCATGTCGGGAATGTCTGCAGCATTAGCACCCCGTTGTAAGAACCTCTTTAGATGGCATAGAGGTCCAGGAACATGATTGGGATCCAAATCGTCTGTGCCCAAGAGAGCTGCTTGGACAAAGCTAGCTGCGAGAGTAACCCAGCGTTTAGTGTCCTTTGCGCTGAGAGATTGGGGCGGTTGAAGAAATTCCACTGTTCCAATATCGTCTTCCAAAAGAGGGGTGAAGTTCCAGCGGAAAGGGTAGTCAAAGGTGTACATGTCGTTGCCATCCTTGTCGCGTTTGCTCATCTTGTAGGCGCACATGTTCAAAGCTACCGATGGAATATTTGGCGCTGTATTTATCAATGCGAACATTCAGGCATGGTCATGTTCTGGAGCTTTTCGTTTCTTTTGTTGCTCCTGGCTCACGCACTCAGGCGGCGTTCTTCCGGCATGAGGGAGTCAACGGACTGCTCAAAATACAGAACTGCCTTTGCGACTTTCTTGACTTGGTCCAAAGTCCAGGGACCGTTGAAAGGGGAAACATGAATGTGGGTGCTGCATTCATCCGTGGGTTCGATCTTGAAATTGCGTTCCAGTACCGACAACACTGCGTCCATCTGTTCATGCCACGTGGAATGTTCCTGAAAGATCAGAATGGGAGAGACTAACTCAAGACCATCTGTTTGTTGATGAGTATAGTATGGGAGACAGGCTGAGAAGCTTTTGTAATCAAAACTTACATAAACTTTGGTCCTCTTGTGCGGGGACACTCGGCTCAGTGGTGATGGACCATTCTGCATAAGCCGCCTCTTCTTCTGGATCTTTGTTGAAGTGGCTACTCACACCAACTTCTTTAAGCTTATTACCCAGCTCCAGAGCTATGAGACTCAAGCCTGCCTGGTTGTTTTTATTGGTCTTGCTACCAAGTAACAGCTCGATCTCAGCTCTAAAGCGTAGCTTGATCAATCTGTGCAAGGCGGGGCCATAGTAGCTAGGCTTCGTGATCTGATATGGTATGACTTCAATTCATAACTGTTCTTGAGTCGTATCGCTGGATGGATTCAAGATTTATGATACAATGAATGAATGGCACGATAGTGTGATTGTGATATCTATAACCACACTGTACCTCTACTTCATACAGGTTTCCGATTACCAGTGATATCCAGAATACCAGTCATGATAAATAGTACTGTTACTTTGTTTAGTCGTGGTGTAGGTAGACTCCGCAACAATCAATTCAATCCGGTCACTCTCCTAGACCCACTTACCTATCTAGGTAGGGCTTAAACTCCTATAGGTAACTACTAGGCTTAAAGCGGTAATCAATCAATCCAATCTGAACCTTCTAGGACCCACTTAATTGATTGTTGCGGACTGTGGGTGTAGGGCTCAAGTTTCAGGTTGAGGAACAAAGTCAGCATAGTCAGAGGATAGTCAGTTCAGTATTTGAAATGCCAAACTTCAGTGCATATGTGACAGCTACACGCACTGATACCTATGTTGCGAGAGTCTAGATAAGTTGTACCTATGTAGATCGCGTGTAGATGCTCGAAAGAGATAGCTGGGTAACAAACGAGTCATGCCTGGCCACAATAGAGTCCCCACCCGGGCTGCGCACGTTTTCGGGCCGCGCACGCCGAACGCCAGAACACCAGACCACCCACAAACTTCAACACGTCGCAACTCCACCAATATGACCGCTATTGATAAAGCGGTTAAATATTTGGAGTCGCTAAAGCCAGGAGAACACTTTGTATACCAGAAAGTTGCCGACCAGTTTGGTTGTAGTCGCAGTGCGCTGTCCCGAAGATGGCGCGGCGTCTCACGCGACAAAACCACCAGTGATGGGATGAAGCAAGCTCTGCTACCACAACAAGAGCTAGAGCTTCTACAGTATATAGAGGAGCTCCATATACGAGGACTACCTCCTACGAGAGAGATGATCCAGAACTTTGGCTCAGAAATCTGTGGTAACCCAGTCTCAATGAGCTGGGTTGAGCGCTTCCTCCATCGAAACCAGGACCGTCTCATCTCTCGCTAGGCGCCGACCCTCGACCGCGTACGTCACCAGGCTGATTCTATTGATAAATACGACTCATATTTTAATATACTGCATCAGAAAATGGAGGAGCATAAGATAGAGAGGCGTCTTACCTTCAATATAGATGAAAAGGGCTTCTTGATTGGTGTACAGAACAAGTCAAAGAGAGTGTTTAGTAAGCCAGTTTAGGTGCAAGATGGGGCAAGAGCAGCTATCCAAGACGGCAACAGAGACTGGATTACGATCATCCCAACAATCTGTGCAGATGGGACGACGCTGCCAACGTCCATCATCATGGGCAGTGAGGCGCACGATCTATACGACAATTGGGTTGAAGACATACCCCCAGAGGACACCCAGATCAACGTCAGCTCAAGTCCCACTGGCTGGAGCAACGAGAAGCTTGGTCTGGCATGGCTGAAGCGGTTTGATCAATTCACCAAGGAGAAAGCTCGTCGGTCTTGGCGGCTACTCATCTGTGACGGCCATGGGAGCCATCTTACTAAGCAGTTTTTGGACTACGCGATCGAGAATCGGATCATAGTGATGGTGTTTCCATCTCATTCTACCCATACTCTTCAGCCTCTTGATGTGGGTGTGTTTGGGCCACTCTCACACTACTATTCGTCTCAACTCTCTCAGCAACAACAACGCTCCCAGGGGCTTCTCCCGGTGGTGAAAGCTGATTTCTATAGCTTGTTTAAGCCAGCGTACGCCTCTTCCTTCACCGAAGCCAATATCGTTGCTGCTTTTAAAGCCACTGGTATATGGCCGATAGATCGGACAGTAGTCACTAAGAGGTTTGATTACACCACACCACCACTGCAGACCGACAATATAAGCCCATCTCACCTCTCTCCCGCTGATTGGTGGCGTACAGAACGTCTAGTGGAGCGTGCTATTAAGGGAAACAACGATCAAGTGGTTACAAAGCTTGTAGGAGCAATTCACCGCGCCAGTACTCAACACAAGCTTCTACAGTATGAGAACAAGGGGCTACTTGCATCACTTGACACCAAAAATAAGCGTACAAAGCGTGGCCGACGCCTGCCACTCAAAGGGGACCAAAAGCGGCCTACTGATGCTGTCTTCTACTCTCCTCGAAAGCTCCAAGAAGCTCGGGACGAAAGAGCCAGAAAAGACGCCAAAATACTAGCAGATCAAGCTCGAAAAGCTGATGCTAAACAGCTCCGAGAGGCTAAGAAACTCTTAAGTGAAAAGAGTAAACAAGAGGCTCAAGAGAAGAGAGAGAGAGACAAGATGGTGAAGGAGAAGGAGAACGCTGACAAAGCAGCTCGAAGAGAGCAGCAGAAACAGCAGGAAAACAGCGACAAAGCTATCCAACCTTCCCAAAAAGGTAAGCGCAAAGCTTCAAGACCTCTACCTAAGCAGAAGAAGCGGCAGAAACGAGTAGATGGTAGTGTAGCTTCAGGTGTAGCCATAGAAGCTACACCAGCCCAACCAGCCCGGACGTCACGTGGTGGCCGGAACATCAAAATTCCGGCCAAATTTAGATAGTACAAAGTGTTCGCAAGGTCATTTTTAGTAAAGTACGGAGTTATTTTGTATATACAGCCATTCAGTGTGGCTTAATAACCTCATGTTTGCTGTGGTGTTGATGTTGTTCGGCGTGCGCGGCCCGGAAACGTGCGCAGCCCGGGTGGGGACTCTACTTATCTCATTCTTTATGGCCAATCCATTCTCCCAAAAGCCCCCCTACGCAGTTTTTACTTTACATATTTAGAAGCGAAAAAGAGCCAAGTAACATCATCTCAATATGCACATGCCTTGGCTCGTCTAGGGACGCCTGCGGAATGCAGATCACTGCAGGAGGCTGGAGTGCAAACTGTACGTGAGCAAACCACAACACATAAAGGAACGAATAGGATAGTGCCGTGCCAACGTGGATACCTTGTGGGCGATTCCCTCTTCTCTATGTTCGTGCATGGGGTTTGTCAGCCATGGCCCTCAGGTATTCTGCCCGAGGCGCGATTCATCTCACCTTTCCCTCACTCCCGCGCTAGTCCTATAGAGGTTTAGCGCGTGACTTCATGTCTATATAGATCTTTCCTCCGTAGCACCTAATACATCACGATTCTCCCCATTTCTAGTGCTACTGACAGGGTTGAACCTGTTTCCTGGCCATTGCAGAGTATTAGAGAATACGAGGGGCATCGCGGCGATGAAAGACATACTTGGACGTAGGAATGAGAACATGCTCTAGAAACATGGCGCAATAGATCCGTGAAATGCAAACCAGGAAGATTATTTTATGGAAACTATCTAGACCAGACGGCTGGAGACCGAAGAGTGCATATAGTACCTACGTATTCCACGCTTTGGTCTTCTATGCAACAATTGAATCTGCGACTTTCGTACATGGTAGCCTGTACAAGCAAACTTTGAACGATGTATAGAGCGTGAGTCAATTGTGCGTTTCGGGTTTCCAACACGCTCGTGCGTAGAAATGCCACATGGCGGCTAAAAACGAACTAGCGCGGGATCGGCGTTGGTCCCCGCCGTAAAGATTCATAATTCTTGGTGTGCGTCAGGCAACAGCCTTGAACTGACTCAAAACTTGACTCATTACACATCTCAAGTGTTTGAATATCACGTCGTTCAACAAACTTCCAAAGCCAGCTTTCGAATACAAACAAAACACCTCTTCACCGCAGCAGCAAAATGGATCACCCAGCCCCACAACCGTTTCCATACAGCAGCAGGGACTTGACTTATCGCTAAAGGAAAACGGCGGACAAGCTATTTAGGCTACGCACCATGAAAGAACAAGCCGTCAACAGATGGCAGCCCCAGCCCATGTTCTTCTACGGCACGCTGCAAGCCCCCGAGATCCTCGCCTTTGTTCTCAATCTCCAGGACCTCCCAGCCTTGAAACCCGCGACGATTAAAGGATATAAAATGAAGATGATCGGCGTCTATCCTACTTTGATACCTAACGGGAGCGAGGAAGATATTGTGCAAGGGTTTGTCTGGGATGTGCAGACTGAGGAGATGTTTGAGAGACTGGTGGAGTATGAGACGGATATGTACAAGTGGGAGGTGTGTAAGGCGGAGACACAGGGTAGGCAGGAAGAGACAGCTGTGGTAGAAGATTGCAGGGTCTTTATTTGGGGTGGGGAGAAGGATAGTGCATTGCTTCAGGAAGGGACGTTTGACTTGGGAGATTACAAGAGAAAGTTCTGGAAGGAGTAGGCTCGGGGGATATTGGGCGGCAACCACGTGGCGACGATGGAAATTAATCAAATCTCGGGCAGTATCATGGCGCCACTACTCAGCCCAGATTTGAGCCGGAAGATCATTGTACGATTAGCGAAGATGGTCTTAATTTCGGGGTGGGTTTAGATGTGCAGGCCAGATCTAGACATGTTTTCTGACCCATGCGCGATTGCTCCCACTAGTCAACGATTAGCGCCATCTGCGCGTGCCTGGTCCTCATTTCCCCTTACACCAAGAATTCCCGAGACTGTGCGCTTGTGTTTGGCAACTGTACTGATTTTCTTCGCCATATCTTTCTATATTGAAACTCTTGATCTATTTTGTCGCGAAATAATGCCACCACGCAAAAAGCCGTCAGCGAAGGCCTTGGTGTCTGCCAAATCTGCTGCCAGCAAACCTTCGTCTATTACAGCTCCGGCGGCATCTCTCCCGGTAACTCTGCCACCAACGCGCATCCATCTTACCTCATATCATTACCCACAGCTGCTTGGCGATCGATCGTCATGTGACGCGTTGTTAGGCTGGTTTGATGGCGTTGCAGAGACACGCAGCATGCCGTGGAGGAAGAAATGGATTAATCCAGCAGAGTATGAGGGCAGAGAAGAGGAACTTGGGAGGATACTTTCCAAAAGGGCGTATGAGGTTTGGGTGTCGGAAGTTAGTAAGTGCGATGTTGGCGTGTGACGCGTGAGGGACGCGAGATCGCGGGGTCACGTGGTCGGTCCTTCTGAGCGTCATGGTACTGTTACGTCTACACTGCACACGTACTGACAAATACACAGTGTTGCAACAGACTCGGGTGTCGACGGTGATACCGTACTTCAATAACTGGATCGCGAAGTGGCCAACGGTACAAGACCTTGCTGCCGCGAACCATGATGACGTACTCTCCGTCTGGAAAGGTCTTGGTTACTACTCTCGTGCAACACGTCTGCATGAAGGCGCTAAGAAGATGATGTCCGCATCCGAAGATGCGGGCACCATTCCCAGTGGTGCTGCAGAGCTGCAAGAATTTCCCGGCATTGGGAGATACACCGCAGGAGCAGTATCCAGCATCGCATTCGGTGAAGCTGAGCCTGTCCTTGACGGAAACGTGGCGCGAGTACTAAGCCGGCAGCTTGGCTTATACGTGGATGTCAAAGACAAGAAAGCCACGGATATTCTCTGGGATATGGCCGATCAGTTGATCAAATATGCTTCCGATTTCCCGAAAACAAAGACAAGTGCCACACCGGGGCTATGGAACCAAGCGCTGATGGAGCTGGGATCCACCGTCTGTACGCCGCGACCACGATGCAATGATTGTCCCATACAGGCTACGTGCAGGGCCTATAGTGAGGGCAAGGCGTTATCTGACAAGCGCCAGTCACCGACCGTCGTCCCAGACATCGAAGACGCATGCTCAATATGTGCGCCACTGGATCCCGAGGATTTGGCAACGGTTACCGAAGAGGTGGCAGAGGATGAAGCACCACGAGTGACTAAGAAGAGAAAGGCAGCGACGAAGCAAACCAACACACTCTCAAACTACTTTGCCATCAGCACACCAAAACCAGCTGCTAAGACAGAGGACGATGCAATGGACATTGATACCCCGCCAGCCGAAGAATCGAAAAAGCGGAAAACACCCCCGTCTACAGCCGGCTCCAAGTCAATACCAATGTATTGTTCGCTCTTTCCGAAGAAAGCGGAAAAGAAAAAGGTCGCGGAAGAAGAATGCGTCGTGTGCATGATCGAGTTACACCTATCGGACGGAACTAGCAAATGGCTGATAGAGCAACGCCCAGCAAAAGGTAAACCCCACATCCTAGTCATCTTTCTTTGCTAACGTCTTATCCAAAGGTCTCCTCGCATCCCTGTGGTACGTAACAAGCGGCATCCACAATCACATGCTGACAACAACCACCACCACCCCTGGCCAACCCCGTTATCTAGACCCGAACATTATGCTGACGACACGCACAGGCAATTCCCGCAAAATACGCTCACAGCATCACAGATGACGCCCCAGCAGCGCAAAACATCAGCCGCGCAATACGTCTCCAGCCTGGGCGCTAGTGCGGCTGCTGTTGATATGAGCAAAGCGCGTTATGTGGCCCATTTCCCGCCATTGGTTCACGTCTTCACCCATTTGAAGCTTACCATGCATGCCTATCAGTTCCGGGTCGAGGCCGATGCCGCCGAGGCCGTGGACCTTGAATGCGGCGATGAGCCGTGTACCCGCAAATGGGTCGATGCGGCGGCCATGGGCGATGAGACGTTATCAACGGGGATGCGCAAGTGCTGGGAACTTCTTTCTTAAGGCCTTTTGTGTTGTTATTGGAATTAGATTTGTAGAGGTACGAAGTAAACATATTGTGGTGCCGGTTAGTTAGAGGGCGGATACGGTTGTTGTTTGTCCCTTTTACGCATGAACCCCACGTTTGTTATCTCTTGCCAAGCGATACCATGACCTGTTCCCGCCTTCCGCTCCACTCAACCTTCTCCACTCCGCCTTGGGCCTTCTGGGGAAGTGGAACGATAAGCTGCTGTTTTGGTGTCTTGTACTATGCCGGTGACGGAGATAATTTCCTCCCCATGGTAGACGTCTGCGTTAGTGTGGTATTAATTGGCTGGGTACCCCTTACCTAGGTAAGACATTGCTGGATAAGAATGAACATGTGGATATAAAGAAGACTGCTCTCCCCGGGTATTTGGTAAGGTTGCACTGTATAGAAGGTTCCCTTTCGTATCGCCTAGTACCTTATATCGAAACAAGTAGAACGCATGGCGTCCCTACCAGCGCCAACGCCCATCACGGAATGGCCAGACTACGCTGTTGATCCCAATGGCGGTAACGTCATGACGACTGACCTCAACGCGCTCTACGACAAGGGCGACCTCTGTTGGATGTTGGTCAGTACAGTGTTATGCTGGCATGTAACCCCCCATTTTCAACTCAACAGCAGCTTGCACACTACTAACCCCCCAACCAGGCAAATCACCCCAGCAATCGGTTTCCTCTACGCCGGCATGCACCGCCGCAAAGCAGCACTCACCATGATTTTCCAATCCCTCTTCTGCGCCTGCGCCGTCGGCATCCAATTCTGGGTCTACGGCTACTCACTCTACCAATCCCACACCACTAACCCCTTCATCGGAGACCTGTCAAAAGCCGGTCTGCACAATACGCTGGGGTATCCGTCGCTCGCTAATGCTGATATACCGGATATTCTTTATGCGTGCTTTGGTTTCACCTTCGTGACGTGTACGGCCATGATTCTAGCCGGGGCGATGTTAGAGCGCGGCCGGCTTTTCCCATCTATGCTTTTCCTGCTCTGCTGGACGACGTTTGTGTACTATGTTTTGGCGTACGCGGAGTGGAACCCTAGTGGCTGGTTGTATAAACTCGGTGTTTACGACTTTGCGGGATCAGGTCCGGTGCATATTGCTTCGGGGTTTTCGGCTCTGGCGTGGGCTGTTATGTTGGGCCCACGGGTTGATTTGCACAAGGAGGCCAAGTTTCCGCATTTCAAGCCGCATAATCCGTTCTTGGTGGGGCTGGGCACGATTTTGATTTGGTTTGGGTGGTTTGCGTTTAATGGTGGGGTTTTGGAATGTTGACTTTTATGCGAATGAATGGATACTAATCTTTTTTGATAGGTGCTTCGACGGCAAATATCTCCATTCGATCCGTTTATATCGCTTGCAACACCAATCTCGCGGCGTGTGGTGGCGGTATGGCTTGGGTGTTGTTGGAGTACGCCTCCACTCGCAAGTTCTCCATTATTGGATTCTGCTCCGGGATCATTGCTGGTCTCGTTGGTATCACACCGGCTTGTGGATACGTGCGTATTCAGACTGCGGCACTAATCGGAGCTCTCACCTCCTGCGGATCTTTCTTCACCGTCAAGTATAAGTACCTTCTCCGTATTGACGAGGGTCTGGATATCTTCGCCATCCACGGCGTCGGTGGCTACATCGGCGATATTCTCACCGGTTTCTTCGCAGCTCCGTACATCCCGGCCATGGACGGTGTAAGCAACACCTATGAAGGCGGATGGTGGGCCAAAAACTGGAAGCAAATGGTCTATCAACTTGCTGCTGCAACATTCTGTGCTGCATGGTCTTTTGTCATCTCCATCATCTTGCTCTTCATCATTAACAGGATCCCTGGGTGTCATATTAGGGCCGCTGAGGATGACGAACTCAAGGGCTTGGATTACAAGTACTTTAGTGATGCGGATGGCGATATGATGGTCTTGACGGGCTTCGGTGCTGCAATCCCTGGCTTTACAACTTCGCAAGTTGTGAGTGGGGCTCGAAGTCACCAGGACGTTCCTGTCGAGCCTGAGAAACGGGATTGAGGAAGTTGTTGCATTCCAATCTTGACATTCCCTGCTTCTTATTGATAATTCCATCTTAGGGATCATGTAAGGCCGTCTTTTGATGTGTCGATGCCAAGCGCGATGTAATTACAATACCCTAGTTAGTCTTTCAGGCCTCCTGCGTTTATAGCCCTGTCGTTAGAGATACCAGTGTTTCAATTTGCCTTTCCGCCGCACTAACTTCCTATCGGATTTCAATAATTCCTTCATCCAAATCTGGTGAACTGTTCATCTCGCTTGCGGCCTTGATCCCTTTCCGCTTGGATACTCCGTAGTGTGGCTCAACACTCGCGCTTCCCTTGCGTCCCGTTCCTTCTTGGCTCAAGACGTGACTTGCGGTCTTCCCTTGGCTATGGACCAAGATTTCGCTTTTCACTAAAATCATAATGCATATAATGAAGATCAGCTATTACCAGCATTTTCGGTCTTGTCCCAGCGGTTGCTGCCGCCCCCGACTCAGCAATCACGCCTGTACCCCGGGCCGAGCTTGCGATCCGCCAATATGGACAGGCCGACCCGGCCCTGCTTGGCTAGGTTAGTGAAGAAGATGGAGAGTGTCAGTAAACACCATCACCAAGACCACGCCAACCCCCGGCAGTTCACTAGCAAAAAGTGCTGATCACGTATACTGTAGTCATTGGTTCGGGCACCTGCGACTATCTAGCAGCTTTTACGATGCTTATGGATATTGGAAGTGGTACGTTTATGACTATACTCTGATCTGAATCTTGTGCTTGTGGTCTTCCTGAAATTCATAGGCTGTTCTTGTTCCTACCGTTGAGATAAAGTTGAAACCCTCAGATTGTGTCTTCGTGATGGTAATTAGAGGGTACAAGTCATGCTAGTGGATAACTTTGCTCGTGAACTTGTAGCCAGCTTCATCTACCACATGTAGTTCTGCGCAATCGAGTGACCATGACAGTTTTTCGAGTGCTACTAATGCTTCAACTGCTCCCTCAGAGTCTACCTCCAGTATGGCTAGCAGGGCGGCTATTTCTTCCCCTACTTCCCAGGGAGCAGCTGCCGTCCATACCGTCAAGTGAATGACTCGCATCGTCGGACTGGCGGCTATACTTTTTGGCATGCTATGAATCGACAAGAGAGTGTAAGATTCTAGTTTCACACATTTGCTTCTATTCAATGTGGACGATATGCTGTATCAGGCAGAAACAGTCACTACAAAGGACCTATGTTATCATATCTGTACGTCATTTTCCTAGCTACAGCAACGTCATGATGTGCCGTAAACTTTTTCTTGAAGTGGTACAGCTCTCCTGTTTCTGGTCATGACTATACGATAGTATAGAAGTGACGTTGATGTTATCGCGGTAGTGTTTCACTACTCAGTGTGTAACCGCGATATCCAAAGCCATTAAGATGGCATCCTAGCACATGCAACAACCCGTTTCCGAGGCACTGGAAACCGCCGATATGCTTTGGCTTGTGAATTCTACCGTTGAATTTCTCAAACCCGGTTATGCGGTGATTTAGCGTCTGGCTTAAACCTTCTCTCGACGATCGTCACAGCAGAAGCTTTCTGCCACATGGCTCTCATTCTTGGCGTAGATTCTAGGCTCGGGCTGTCATCATCATTGTAGTCACTAGTCAATGGCGAATATGAGTTCGCCTTCGCTAACGGTTTTACCATCAAGGCGTCCCAGCATCATAGTGAACGCCACCGGAGCAATTCGAATACACCACCGATGCAACAGCAAATTACCGGGTATATACAGTTCGAGTATGTTCAAATGTTGAAACATGAGGATATCGATTTGGGCTGTTGTTGACGAAGTTGCGTGATTCAGTCTTGCGCTACAAGAAGCCATCACTGTAGCTTTGACGCAGGAACCCGATCATCGCGCTACACGGACCTGGCCGGCGCACCTACCTTAGAGTACCACCGAATCTTGCAGCCTACCTAGGACGAGATTCCGGAGGTCAACGTGTTATGGCCTTTTCGTGAGGCTGTCAATGGTGGCGTATGCAGACCCTAGCCTCCCGTCTCGTAGCATCGTGCGGCTCTTTTGCATTCTCGTACTCGGTACGGTGGGGTAGGGTACACATCGGGATACGAACACTCTCAAGTATTAGTGGTAGAGGATATGGACTCCCACCACGTATACAAACAGCCTAGAGGTTGTAATGGAACCGAAAACGCGATACAACCACCAGATTAGAATGCCGAATTATCTCCAAGGCTTGGTTCGACCGAGAAACACGGCCTGGGGCTTGAAATCGCGGCTTTGGACAATAATGCCTCGCTGTTTCGGATTCTGCTATCCGCCCAGGACCGGAAGAGCATTTCCGGCACGTCAGCATAGCCTTTGGTTAGTGTTTCAATCGGCCTCGCTACCGACTATGCTTTCGGTGAGGATGGACCTAAAAGTCGACCTGCATGATGCCGAGTAAGCGCTCACGTGAGGTGTGTAGCTGAGAATATCAGGTAACACATAACGATGACATCGAATTTACAATCGCTGGGTTTGCAACTGATGATCCTTTCAAAATTCAAGTGTCAATGTGTTTATTTTGCGTTGCGCCACGTCGAGTGCTACTGCACGAATGCCGTCATACGCTTGGTAGTCTGAAGGGTCTTGCGCTAGATATAACGCTTCTGTCCCAATGCGATCTTAAATTTTGTGGGCCACAGTGAGCGCCCAGAGTGTCCCAAAATACATCTTTTCTTCAACCACTAACGCTTCCTGACACAACAGGCCATGTCCTGGTCGCTCTCGTATCCAGGCCGAGGAAAGCCGAACAACGGGAATGGCGTCATTGAGTTGAGCCGCACAGCCTCGCGATGCAACGCTCTTCAACTCCCGACAACATCAGATTCTTTGCCGAACTTGCATCCTGCCAGGACATCGATATTGATGGTGGTCAGATGATCCGGGGTTTAGCACCCATTCTGGCGGATCAAGAACGAGAGGGGGAAGGCAGCGGAATTGGGTTCGGGAAAAGCATAGCGTGAGACGGGAGACAGGCAGGGTTTTTGATGATCAGCTGCTGCTGGACCCTTCCAGATCATGCATTGCTACGGACGAATGTCACCAGGAGCTAATACGTTAGGGCTCACCAACCGCGTGTTGCGCGATTATCCATGCGCACTTTGGCAAAAACTCTGTAGTCATTTAGTAAAGAAAAAGAACAGCAACATCACAAAGTACGGAGCCATCTCGTGTCGGACATGCCACATCACGGATGCGTCGTAGCCTGGCCTTATCGCACCTGATACGAAGTTATCCCGGCGGCTGAGTGCCGCTGTCATGCAAACAAGCGACGCGAGTCATAATCTGGACAAGTGAATTACTTGTCCCGTCCTAGTGCCGCACTGCTAACTACTCCAGGGCGCTCCTTCTGCAGACAAGCAATAGTTTAGGTGAGTGTGGCTTTCAACGCCTCCCGTACATTGCCAAAGTAATGCGCTTGCAGGCATCCGGTCCGCACCATTATGGCTTTTCCCATACATGTGTATTCATAGTCCGAAGAATGGGGTCCCTGAATACGGGGGGCTCCACTGGCAGTTTGACATATCTTGATCGTCTTCCTCCTTGTCTCAGTCCCGCACGCTCTTCATTCTTCCCTGCTCAGTTTGCAGTAATTGTCCGTTCACTCGGCCAGCAACACTCGCTCCACTCTCAATACAAAGGGATCTTGGTTAATGCTATAATATCGTCTTTAATTAATTAATCCTCCAACACTCGCTACCAGCTCGACAAGTTTTACGACTCGGGAAAAAGCACATAATCAACACCTTAATCACAGACATTTCGCCATGTCTCCCTCCTCTATAATGAAGCAAGGACTCGCCACCGCTGTCCTTGCCGCTCTTCCTCTCGCTCGTGCCCAGGGCACTACACCACCAAAGCTTACAGCAGACTGTAACGATGTAGCCATCTTTATGGCTCGCGGCAACGATGCCCCTTACAGCGATGGACGTACTTCACCTTTCCGTGACGCTATCTGTGCAAAGTTCCAAGCTCAGGGAAACTCTTGCGACTACATGGACATCGTCTTCGACGCAACCCTCGGAGCAGAATTCTGCCCTACCATCCAGGAGGGTGCCAGCAATGGAGTCAGGCAAATCACAGAGTACAACGCCAAATGCCCAAGCACACTGGTTGTCATCAACGGTTACTCACAGGGTGCCATGGTTGCCGGCTCTCTGCTCAGTGGAGGAGGAGACGATGCCTGCAATGTTGATGCCGTTACTACGGGCCTCAACCCTGCTTCTGCGGCTGGTCAGGCGGTCAAGGCTGCCCTTATCTGGGGTGACGTCAAGCACACTGCCAACCAGGCATACAATGTCCTCGATGGCGCAAGCAAGGACGTCTGGCCTCGTACTGGTTCCAACCTCGACCGTCTCAACGCCTACTCTTCGGTCCTGCGCTCGTACTGCGCTGCTGGTGACCCAGTATGTGCTGGTGGCAGCGTCGTTGCTGACCACTTGAACTACTTCGAACTCTACACCGAAGAAGCCTCATCATGGATTGTGGGCAAGCTGACACCTCTCTTGGTTAAGCCTGCTACCTCCAGCACACCTACCCCAACTCCTACTCCCACTCCCACTCCTACTCCTACCCCTACCCCTACCCCTACCCCTACCCCTGAGGTCCCTACCGAAGTCCCAGCCACAACCGAGACCCCAAGCTCCACTGATGATGCTACTACTGTCACTCTCAGTACCGTCAAGAAGCCCGTCTCTACCCCAGTCACCTTCTCGACCATGGTCTCCTCTTACGTCCCAGGCGTAACTGCCACTGTCAACGCAACCTCAGTCGTTCCCGCCGAGCCTTCCACCGCCTACCCGGTCACTATGATCCCCAAGCCCTCTGCACCATGGGGTAACTCTACCGCCCCTTACGGTAACTCGACCCTTCCAGTCACCGGCAGCATCATCATTCCTAGCAAGCCAGCCGAGACCCCTTACCTTCCTGGTGTGCCCGCTGAGACTCCCTCTTACCCGGGCGCCGGCGAGACTCCTTACCACCCCGGTGCGCCGCAGACCCCAGGTGCACCCGCTCCTGCGCCTGCTCCCACTGCGGCTCCCGGATACCCTGCGGTTCCCAACGCCTGCCCTCCTGCAGTTGTCTACGAGACCGTAACGTCGGTTGTGTACATGTACGTATAGGGGGTCGATAGAGACGATGTTAAGTTATGAATGAATGATGGATCACTGGGTACTTAGATAGTTGTCGCGTTTCTTATTGTAAATAATACCCTTGCGATAATACAAAACTACTTCAAAACATTAGTACATCACATGACAATACTCACATTCTCTTCTTGGATCTTCGTCATTACATTATTTTTTCATTGAGCTAACCCTATATGGTTGCTAGGCTAGATATTCTGTCTTAGATACCCAATGCCTTTGCGATAGCCTCGGCGACACCAGTAGCACTCGCGGGGTTCTGACCAGTTATCAATCTTCCAGAGACGACAACCTTCTCGCCCCAAGGCTCTGCCGCCTTGACAAACTTGCCTCCACTCGCCTTGTTCAGCGCATCCTCGGGCAAAAACGGCACAGCCTTGGTGAGGCCCGCCTGCTCCTCCTCGGCATTGGTGAAAGCCGTGACTTCCTTGCCGGCGATCAGCAAGCTTCCATCGCTCAGTTTCGCGTCGTAGAAGACGGAGGGTGCGTGGCACACTGCCGAAACAACTTTATCCGCTTCCCAGAACTCCCTGATCAACTGCTGGGATGTGGCATCGTCGACGAGATCGAACATGGGGCCGTGGCCGCCGACGTAGAAGATGGCGTCAAAGTCCTTGGCCTTGCCCTTGAAGTCGGCAAGCTTTTGTGTCGTCTTCCATACTTGCTCGTCATTCTTGAGGAAGTTGACGGAGACGTCGTCTTTTGAGGCTTCGACGGACGCGGGGTCGAGGGGGGCTTCGCCACCCTTAGGGGATGCGACGGTGATGTTGGCTTTGTTGCGCAGGACGTGGTAGGGATGCGCGAGCTCGGGGAGGTACCAGCCAGTGGGCTTGCCCGTGTCGCCGAGCTTGTTGTGGGAGGTAAGAACGAAGAGAATGCTTGGCTTAGACATGATGATAGTAGGTATGTATATTTTGGATGAGTATGAATTGAGTGAGGATAGTTCTTCTGATGAAATCTCAGTTTATCTCTTTAATAACTTTTGTTGCTGGTACTACATATGACGACATGTGGGGTAGCTTGAGCTTAGAAGGGCCGATTACACAAAGCTGGATCCTGGATCTGTAAGCTCGTGGCTCGAGATCTTCCCTCTGCTTCTAGATCGACTGGCAATCCACAGAATCTGCGCATTTTCACCTCGGTATAGTATTTTCTGTACTCGCGCTCAACTTCACATGTCAAAACGCTCTTTTTGTGTCTCCATAAGGCTGGCAGAGCCGCAAAACGTGTCAGAAGTGGATCAAACATTCTGCTACACACGCTGAAACCCATTTTAGTACCTGTCAATGGGTCTCGTAATATGAGCGTTACTATACTCTCCTGACATACAGCGGGTCAACGTCTAGGTAGATTTTTACTGCAAAGCCATGTACCCAGTTGGCCTCTAGTGCATGCTTTGTGAACCTTCCTGGTCTAGTTAACACGGACAGTGTTTGTATGCTAACCGCAACCTGCGTATGCCGGCCGTACATCCTATTGTGAACAGGGCTGTGACCGTAAGTGGAATAGCGGCGCCCATATTATGATCGACAACTTCCTTGATGAGATTTCTCGCCGTATTACTAAACATAAGGCCTTTTTTCCTTTCGATGATGTAACGACTCCTGCGGATTGACGCTTTACCTGAAGTCTTAGAGCATGACGTTGCCCCGACAGTCCAACCAGACTCCGCAACAATCAATCGATTGACATGATTGATTCCTATATAGGTTAAAGAATTACTTCATTAGGCAGCCTTTAACCTAGATAGGAATCAATCATGCCGATCCGATTGATTGTTGCGGAGTCTGAGTCCAACACGGTATACACCATATACCTTGATAGCATACAGGCGCATAGGCCATGGTCCTTCTTCGGACTACTCCGTAGCGCTGTATAGTATCATAGAGATGGAAGATATGTGAAAGCGAATTTTGCAGATAATATCCGGTTGTCGGTTGGCCCTTTATCCTGAAATTCTGTCTACGAGGCTTTCCAATGTATCATGCTGGTATTGCACAACGTCTTCCAACAACCATATGGTTTGTATACGTCCATAAAAATTCAACAGCTCTGTTTGTTTTTCACTGGGACTTGGCTGTCTCCAGCTTCTTATTCTCTATGCTTAACCATACGCTGCCTTCCATCACTTTTTAATGCAAGTCTGTTCAAGGAGAAGCAATCTCAACGGCTCCCTGCTACATGATAGAAATTCGAAAATCATACGTATCTTACTTGAGAATATGACTGTGCGACTATCGCAGATTATCGATACAGTTTCCGAGGATGTGTGTGCGGTGATACGGACTTATCTACGAGACACACATAATTTGTGCGCAGATCAATGAGAAAGAGCTAAATCCAGCCACGATGGGCGATTATGTACTTTTTGATTGAGAGGGGACATATTTTCTAATAAAGTAATCCAAGGCAAGAAATCCTTAACTGATGAAGATACGACGATAAAGACCCCTTTAGAAGGGATTTACAGCGAGTCGGAAGGAATCTCGTAGTTCCTAGCGTGAGCGTGCCTAGGTAGTATACTATCCATGACATCAAGCTACTCTCCTTGAACTCCACTAGCCTTGGTGGAAACCAAAGTATCATTGTTCTTTGAGTAATATTTTGTGGAGCACAGTCCGCAACAATCAATTAAGTGGGTCCTAGAAGGTTCAGATTGGATTGATTGATTACCGCTTTAAGCCTAGTAGTTACCTATAGGAGTTTAAGCCCTACCTAGATAGGTAAGTGGGTCTAGGAGAGTGACCGGATTGAATTGATTGTTGCGGAGTCTATTGTGGAGTACTCCAGTTTGATCAGTTATACACATCACCTCCGCATAGAATGATCTCTGTGGACTATGGAAGCACATGTTTGATTGTCTTGGTACTGCAACCTGAAATGGTAGTGCATCCTATTAGCCTTCCATGCTTAGGTGTTTGTAAAAAGCCACTTTATTGCGCATTGAGCCTGACCTGATGAGTAGGTGATTACTTCTGTCCGCCCAACACCCGTTGATGTGACGCTGTTCGTGAGTAGAAGCAAGCAAATACAGGAATAGGGAAGGTACCTCTATTCAGATATATAGGCTCGGTTTTTCTGACGCCCCATACCTAGGTATTGTTCAATGTGACGGAGCGCTAGAATCTCAATGGCATTAAATGTTGGAGACAATCATGAGCAATGCGGCACGTCTCACCAATTCCTGGAAAGTATAGCAAATCAGCGAGACTATCTGCATATGAGACTCCTTGGTGATCCTCACGGTAGTTTTTCAGCATCCAAAGCCTCAGGCAAATGGTACCTAGGGTACATAGCTCAGTTGCAACATAGGTGTGCTGAGAAGATAACTGTCGTACGTTACATAGCTTGAACACTCCACATCTATCATAATAATGGCCCAGATAGGGTTCGGAAGCAGGTAGTATTCGGCAGCAAAGAAGGAAGAACATGCCGCATCGGATGGTGCCGGAAGAGCCTATCCAAGCAATATCGATCCCGCACCGCTGCCCACTTACCAAGACAGATTTCCCGAGTTACATAGCCGTGAAATAATTTCCAGGTCAAGAAGCTCTGCGGTACCTACATACCGCTAGGTAGAGTTGCGATTGTTGCAGCCCTGCTTTTCTCCAATTGGGTGGCTTCTTGTTGCAGTTGAGCTCCTATCGTAGGACTTCCCCAGTCGTTCAATGTCAGGTATTAACACCTAGCAGTGAACGTCAGTGGATATTGAGATCTATGTACATAATCGTGGTAGTCGGTTGTGAAACATGCATCGTTGTGGGGAACGGCGGTACTTCTCGGCGAACGTAGCCCAATTGCAACACGATGTATACGCAATGTTTCCCGTAAACAGACTACCCGAAACATTCTCGGCGCGAATTAAAAAACTCTCTATACGGATAACCCGTGCAGCGCAGGAGCAGGGTACCTTGGGTATTCCATGCACCAAGCCAATCGTGCCTTCCTCTCTGCGAAGCAACCTCAACGCGCCGAAGCCGGTAAAAAGATCATGCATATACGAGGAAACATATATGATATAAAAACCCAGAAAGGTACATGATAACTCAGACGCTCAGACTATATAAGAGACGACGGGTTCCTACATTGATATCCACTCCACAACCATGACATCTTTCGAAAACAAGACCGTAATCGTAACCGGCTGCAGCAGCGGCATCGGCCTACAAACTACCCTCGTCTTTCTCTCGCACAAGGCGCGCGTCTTCGGCATCGACATCGCACCCTTCACGCAGACACTTGACGCCACACAGTCCACAAACTTCACCTTCCACCAAGCCAACCTCTGCGGGCCCAACGCAGCCGAGGATGCCATAGCCGCCTGCATCGCAAAGTACGGGCCGAAGATTGATGTTCTGGCCAATGTGGCGGGGGTACTTGACAATCTCGGAAGCGCGGATACTGTGGAAGATCAGGAGTGGGACCGGGTGCTCGCCATCAATCTGACGGTGCCGGTCCGGATGATGAGAGCCGTGCTTCCGAGTATGAAGCAGCATCGAGCCGGGTCTATTGTGAATGTGGGCAGTATGGCGAGCATGTCTGGTGCTACAGCTGGTGTTGCGTACACGGCTTCCAAACACGGTACAGTCGGTGCAACGAAGAATGTTGCATGGCGGTTCCAAAAGGAGGGTATCAGGTGCAATGCTGTGATTCCGGGTAAGTTGATCGTGCAGAAATTTGTGACAACGCCGGAGTGGTGGCTTATCATATCACAGGTGGTGTTCCTACCAACATTCATAATAGCATGCAGGCGGACAAGATAGACCAAGCTGCGTTCCAACGGTGGAAGTGAGTACCCATGACCATTTTATGCTATCTGCCACTAATTGATACGTCGCAGGATATTGTGGGACGCAGTTAAAGATCATACTAACGAAGATGAACATGTGATCACTACGGATGATATCGCGGAAGGCATTGTGTTTTTGGCATCAGATCAAGCGAGGAGTATTAGTGGCACGCTTCTGCCGATTGATAACGCTTGGTCGGCGGTATAACTTGGTAGAGCAAGGCCAGTCTAATTCGTAGTTGAATTATGTGTAGTAGTAGTAGTAGTAGTAGTATCCATTAACGTCCTTTTTCAGTCAGAGACTATGTAGGACGGTGGCCTAGGGCCGTTTGACTAGTTTTTTCCCTCTATACCCGTAGGATTTCGTTTCTTTGGTCGAGTTTGACTATGGGGGTTTGGGTTTTTTGCTTCTATACAGGAAAGAGAGAGAGACCTTGTAATAGACACCCGTTTATCTCCACCTTTGTGACCAATCCCTTTGCTATAATAACCCCGTGCTCCTAAGACTGAAAAAAACCTCGTAGGGGAAAAAGTCATGGGACCTTGAACGTTTGTTGTATATAGCGGCAGTTGCGGCATATTTTCGTCTCGGCGGTACTTTGTGGCTCGGTTGTACGGCGGCGGCTAGCGTTAAGCGTGCGGGGTATTGGTGAAAAACTTTCCAGGTTTCGAAAGGAGCCGTTCGATGTTTTTTGGTAAAGCTAGAATAATAGAATTATTATAGCGGTGAGGGGAGAAGGATTCGAACCTTCAACCTCTGCGAGCAAGCTAGCAGAAGCAACCAGGCGCACTACCACTGCGCCATCCCCCCTTGAATTATGTGTAGGGAATAAGTAAATAGAACGTAACGAAGACGAAAGTTGTTTGCCAATCTGGCTGACCACTCGTCCCTCACTTCCCACTAGCTCAAGCAAGCTCTTGAATTGTTCATATTCCAGCTGGAAACTAATCAATCAGCCCCCAATACCTAAGCGCTCCTTCACAGTCGCTGAAATCCTTTGAATTCAACATTTTCCTCAGTGCTCCACTCCTCCATTGTTTGACTACCTTCTTCTGTTCTTGCTCTTCAAGCTGGTCAATACGCTTGAATGAATATGGTGAAGAGTTGGGGAATTGGAAATCCTATGGGTCCAATGAAAAAGCGCTGCGATTCACAGCATCACGCTGTAAAGCTTTTGGACCGGTTGGCGCATTTGGTGGCGGTTGTTGGTGTTTAGAATTCTGCATGGCCTTCCACCGGCAACCCGGTAGCAATTCGGGGTCCCAATACTCAAATGCTTGGTATAGAGGTGCCCAATTTCCGTCCATCTTTCGACCTTGTGAAAGCTCGTATGAAAGCCATCGTTTGTGCCACCAGGGTACCGCTTTGAACCACCAACCTCCGAACACGGACGTGATCTCGTCTGTAGATTTGGGAAGTCGCCAATTTTTGATATGATTCAGCTCAGATTCAAAGTCGGGCACATCCTGACAGACAATCTTTTCTACCTCTTCCTTCATATCTTCCTTCATAGCATCATAGTCTTGCATGACCATTTGAATGCTATCACATGCCGCTACTTCCTTCTTGTACCCTGCCAGGATGACTTTCATGAATTCGTTGACTGTCATGCCGGCATATTTTCCTGATGAGAGCCGGTACACTTCAGGCCCTTCCGGTTGTTGCGCAGAGAACTCCTCAGCAGACTCTCTCGAAGGCTCCTCAGCAGATTCGAAAGTGTGCTCCTCGGTAGAATCCTCAACAGGCTTCTCAGTGGCCTCCTGAGCAGGTGACTGTGGAGAGAGAGGCGGTGACACAGGCTTCTCAGCCACTGGTACCGGTCGGGTCGTCTTCATGAGCATGGCACTCAGTCTTGATTTGCTTGGCCCCTTAGGGGTTAGCTTCCGTCGTGTTGCTCCAGCAGGCTCCGAAGGTGAAGCATCGCCTGAGTCTACTGGTGGTGTCGTCCGTCCATTATCAAGTCTAACCCCGCTCTCTGTATGGTCTCCGCCGTTCTCCGCTACACTTTTTGCAGCCGAGCTCCCAGAGGACGATCTACGTCGAGAAGTGCACGAAGATTTTCGCCGCGGGGTACTGCTCCTCAATGACTGTATATTCGCTTGGATTCTTCCCAATGTTTGGGAATCAAATCGCTTTCGTTTGGGCGCTTGTTCAACATCGTCATCCGGCGCTGGACGTGTTGCAGGAATTGTACGATTCACAGAAATTGCAGAAATAGCTGGCTGAGGGCTCGGGCTGCGAGAAACTACTCTGGTCGAGTGTCAACCAATTGCTCCGCTCATCTTTGGTGTGGGTGCATACTCGAAATCTTCAGCGTTCCCCAAGCGGCCATAATCAGGGTTATCGTGCTTGTACTTGGTGGGCTTCCAGTTGAAAACTTCAGCAACTCTGCTTCCGTCAGCGAATCCCTCGCTTGGACGCCGGCTTCTGTAAGAGGTTGGACTCTGTGCTACATCGCGGGCACGCAGTTAAGGTAGATGTACACTCTGGCCATTGCTGAGACAGTATCTGATGGGATGCAGTGATACAGCTCAGATGATTCGAGGTTCAAATGAGGAGTTGATAGGTGTCAGGAGTTAAAGTCCCCGACCGGCGGTTTTGAGGACGCGTCGATCCAGCTGCGAACGCGAACTTTCGCTTTCGCGGAACTCCCGCCCCCTCCCGAGTCTAGCGGGTTCCGGTGTGTCTGTGCGCCTGTGGGGGTATCATCTACGCCCAAACGCCTCCATGCAGCTGCCATCACATTTCATTTTTAGATGCAAGTATTTGTCGGTGGACTTACAAGGAATTGGTTTCATCCCATGTCTCAACAGTTTTGACAGCTGTATGATGGTGGAAAGATCCCCCCGTGTCATAAGCCACTAGCGTGCTCGGTTAACACGTGCATGCGCGGGGAAGACTAGACCGATTCAGGCTCGTTCTAGTCAAACGGTAGTATATCAGCTAAGACTTACCCAATCTGGGCAGTGAGCTCTTGCGCTTCAAGTTTTATTTGAATCGGGCGCGGCACGTGGAGAAAAATTGCCTAGAATTGAGCCAAGTGTCTGAATTATTCACTACTGCATCCCTCAGATAAAAGCATACCTAGGCCTGCATGCTCAATTTGAGATCGTTCCAAGCTGGAATAGACATCGTAGTAGTAGTCACTACTGCACTTTTTTCAGCCCAAGCCGATCTCAGATACCATCTCAGATTAGAGCATGTACGTAGTATATACTTGACTCTCTTCCAAAGCCATGTTTGTGAACACTCCATGCTTCCAATCTCGCAAGGTGCAAGACTTGACAGTCATTTTGAGGGAGAACATTGAACGTCAGAATCGTGACTTATAATTTGCTATCAAGTTGTACATTATTAAGAATCTGTGTAATTGTACATCAGAGGCATTAAGATTCGATGGATGCATAAGAGTGTACTGTAACGGGCTGAGCCCTAAGTCACATGACTAGGCTGCGAGCCTAGTCGCTTCCCCGGCAACGAGAGGGCCGTGCGCCAACCCAAACAAAGCGGGCTCGCCGCTCGCGTCTTACCTTCTTTCTTCATCTTGACTGTAAATAGCATCTGGACTAGGTAGCTGGAATACAGTTCCTACAGACCGTTCACATGTACGCTATCAGTTTTTAGTGCTTTCCTTTCGCCGGTCTTCTTCTTGTACATAGGTGTCAGATAATAGCACTGTTGAAGATGAGAGCGTACAGACGCTGGGTTAGACTAGCGCGACCCGGCATCTGAGAGAGCCAATCGGATCACAGGAAGGCTTGGCACCCCCCAGGTGTGCCCACAACCGTAGACAGAACCAAAAAACAATCAACAATCAATATCATCACCATTATTACCTATTTCATCAGTATTCCAGATGAGAGTGAATATCTGACAATTAAGAGTCTCACTATCTTTACCTACCTACCAAAATGACGACATTTACCACCCGCGACGCGACCGTGACTTTACGCGACCAGTCAGACTACACCGGTTGGATGCTACAACTGCAAGCGCGTTGCATAGCACACAATATTTGGGATAAGATTGACCCAAAGACTACTACTCAGCCCCTCCGGAGGCCTACCGACCTTAGAATCCCAATCCTTGCTGACTACCAAGCAGCTTCTGGCATCGAAGAGCCAGGAAGACTTAGCGAACTATCGAACAGCGGACAGAAAGCGTTTAAAGAAGACCTCGAGTACTATCGCATGTCGATGGAGCAGTACAAAAGCGACCGACACCAATACGAAAAGGAGCAGTCAAGCTTCCAGCACATCATGACCCTGATTCAATCAAGCGTGTCACCGCACCTACTACGCACATGCTGTCTCCCAGACAAGACACTTCGCGAGTGGATTATAAACTTGAAGCTTACAGTTGGAGTGAGCGATCGCACCGAGAAGGAGCGAGCTAGAGAAAGATACCTAGCATCCCTCAAACCAATGAGGACCCCAAATCAATGGGACACGTGGCTGGCGGAATATGACCAAGCCGCCACGGAAGCTGAAGTATACAGCGTACCAGAAGTGTCACAACTTGATGCGATGTCAAAGGACTTTCTGGTGGCCGTCCAGAAAACAGCACCTATCTGGGCCGTAAACTTCCAAGAGAACGGACGATGGGCAGCTGGGATGAGCCGAAAGGAGATGATGAATCGGTTCCGAGAGCACATGATGATGCACCATCCCCTTTTTAGATCAGGGAAGCACAAAGCAGCTATGGCAGCTTACGATGAAAGCACACATGATGATACAACTCTCGCTGGAGGTGCATCCTACCAGCCACTGCGCGGGACGCCGAGCAGTGGGGTCACCGCGCCATCTACCAACTTGAATCCGGGGAATACCTCGCAAACAAAGTATCGGGGACGTCCTCGTAAACAACCACAAACCTCACAAGCCATGAGAAAGCCAGCACAGAAGCGGTCCTCAGCGCAAAGTGAAGGGACTACCTCCGGGCAGAAATGCCCAGCGTGTTATCAATATCATGAACTCAGAGCATGCTACTATGTCAATCCAGACCTAGCGCCAGAGTGGTGGACACCAAATGAAGCTACAAATGAACTAGTACAGTTTAAATGTAAGAATGATACACAGCTGCAAGGGCTAATCCGCGGACAATGCAGATCCCGTACACGCACGCCAGCTCTGAAACAATCACATACACCAACGCCGGAGTACTCTCAGTCACCAATCGAATGACTAGAAGGCCGAAAGATTACGGACGTAGACGCCGCGTTCACTACCATCGCACGGAGTGGGACAGCCGAGCACACGTACCCTCTCGCACGATCATTCATTCTTGATTCAGGAGCGACGTGCCACATCACAAACAATCCAGATCGGATATACAACTACCGCCCGTCATCATTAGGAGACTACATATGGGCTGGTAGTATAAAGATTTGGATACGGGGATACGGGACCACAGACATCACGCTGCAACATCAGCATAGGACAACAAAGCTAGTGCTGCGAGATGTGGCAATCTGCCCAGAGATCGTATGCAATCTAGTGTCCTTCCGACTGCTACGGCAGAGAGGAATCTGGTGGGATACCAAATCAAACCCAACCAACCTACGAGGACCAGACGATCAAGTTATTGGCAACCTCTTAGAAAATTTTGGCCAGTGGGTATTAGAGTACAATCCTCTAGCCCAGGCATTTGTCCACACAAAAGCCATCACAGCACGCACGCAGCGAGGACCAAAGAAGGCCTCAGCGATGCTGTGGCACAAGAGACTCGGCCACCCGGGACCAGCAGCAATCGAGCATCTCGTGCAGCAGTCTGAGGGGGTGCGAGTTCAAGGGGTGACGACAGTACAATGCGACTCCTGCGGAAGAGCCAAGTCCAAGAGACAGATACGACGCCTACCGCGAACAAACGACGAAGGCCCAGGAGAGCGACTTGCTATCGACTTCCATACATACGAAGTCCAGGCGATCACAAAAGAGAAGAGCCAAATGCTCATTACCGATCGTTTCTCAGGCCTCCAATGGGACTTATACTTTACCGACAACCGGACAGCCAAGTCTATTATCCGGCTGCTCACAACTTTCTTCTCATTTATGAAGAACCATTACAATATATCCGTTAAGACCATAGAGTCTAACAACGAGATCACAACTGTTAAGCCAGATGTCGAGCGATGGCTGGCAACACAGGGCATCAGAGTCGAGCCCTCAGCCCCAGACACACAGGCACAAAACGGTGGAGCCGAGCGCTCAGGGGGTGTGAACAAGGAGAAGGCACGCGCAATGCGACTTGACGCCAATCTCTCTTGGGAACTGTGGCCAGAAATCACTCGAGCCGCAGTCTATCTCTACAACAGAACCCCAAACTACAACAATCACTGGAAGACACCATACGAAGTCTTCTTCACACGAGTAGCTTTCAGCAACGGAATAGTCACATCTCTCCGAAAACCAAACCTCACTCATCTCAAGGCATATGGCTGCAAAGCTTTCGCCATAACAGACGACACCCACAGAGGGAAGTCGCGCCTACAACGCCTCGACCCAAAGGCATGGATCGGATACCTAGTCGGATACCGGTCATCAAACATCTACCGAATCTGGATACCGTCACTCGCCAAAGTGATGAGCACTAGAGACGTTGTCTTCGACGAACAGTCAATCTTCGATGGCAAAACCGAAGACCTAATGGACAACCTCATGCACAATACGCTAGAAGAAATCGCGACACACGTGAGGACCATTGAGCTGCCAACACCAGCGCAGCAACCAGAGACGGAGTCTTTCTATGAGGACAGTCCACCGGAGGAGTCACTCGCTCAGGACAGCGAGGGCGACCAGCCAGGATACTATCAAGGGAGAAAAATCCGGGACAGCTACCCGACACCTCCGGCGACACCGCCACCCGCAGCGTTGCTCGCGCGGCTAATGGCAGGAGCATCGCTAGATGAGAAGGATCGACAAGGAACCCCTAAGACTGCCCCATGGGCAGCAGCGTTCATGGCGGGTACCCAGGCCGGAAAGGTTGGAGAATACAGAGGAGTAGCTATGGACAAGGCTGCGATTGTGAGAATGCTCGCTAAAGGCTTGAAGCCCCATCGCAGTTAGCTACCACCTCTGCCAACATGCCGAACTAAGCTTGAGGACCACCCAATGGGAGAACTATTCAAAGAAGCAGAACAGTCCCATCTGGCAAGCCACCATCAAATGAACTCATGGACAGAGATCCCTATAAAGAAAATCAAGCAAACAGGACAACAAATCCTGGACTGCATGTGGGTATACACCTACAAACTTAACAAGCATCACCGACTACTCAAGTGCAAGGCACGACTAGTCGTCCGCGGTGATCAGCAGCGAAACATCACATCGCAAGACACCTACGCGGCAACACTCGCAAGCCGGTCGTTCCGAATGCTAACCGCAATTGCGGCAAAGTACGACCTAGAGCTCAAACAGTACGACGTGGCAAACGCCTTCGTGCATGCGACAATAGACCGAGAAGTATTCATGAGAATGCCACGCGGCCATCAGAAGCCAGGTACTATACTCAAGCTTAACAAGGCATTGTATGGACTGCGCATATCCCCGCTCCTCTGGCAGAAAGAGTTCACAAGCACTCTCAAAGAACTCGGTTTCCAAGAAGTACCGCACGAGCCCTGCTGTCTCATCAAAGGCGGCATCATTATCTTCTTCTACGTGGACGACATCATACTAGCATACCACAAAGACATAGAGCAATCCGCCCAGCAGGCAATTGCCCGCCTACAGGAGAAGTACCTCTTCACAGGAGGAAATGACCTACAATGGTTCCTCGGCGTCGAGATCATCAGAGATCGCAAATCAAGGACGATCCAACTGTCGCAGGCGGCCTACGCAGACAAGATCAGTAGACTGGCCGACCGTACCGACATTAGACACGACACGCCGATGGCGACTGCCGAGCTACTCCCTAGAGATGGGCTCGCCTGCCCATCAGAGATCAACAAATACCAGCGCAAGATAGGCTCACTCCTCTTCGCAGCTGTAACTACCAGACCAGACATCGCCTTTGCGACGTCGCGGCTCGCCCGCTTTCTCTCCAATCCAGGACTAGAGCACCACAACGCTGCCGACCGTGTTCTTCTATATCTACTAGCGACAAAACACCTCGCGCTACAACTTGGAGGAGGCACTGGACTGCAGATAGCCAGCGACGCCTCCTTTGCCGACAATACCCTAGACAGGAAGAGCTCACAAGGCTACGCGATCAAGCTCTTCAATGGACTCATCGCATGGAAAGCTAACAAACAAGACACTGTCACAACATCAACGACAGAAGCCGAGCTCCTCGCTCTATCTCAAGTAGCCAAGGAAGCTCTATTCCTGTCCCGTCTCCTCAAGGAGCTGAACATCCAGCTTGACACCCCTAGTATCACTATTCAATGCGACAACAAACAGACTATTCGCCTAGTCACCGAGGAGGTCTCAAAGCTTCAAACCAAACTCAGACATGTCGACATACACAATCACTGGATCAGACAGGAGGTGTCGACAGGCCGGATCTCCGTAGAGTACATACCTACCGCGGATATGATCGCCGACGGTCTCACCAAATCATTGCCACCAAACAAATGGCCAGAATTCCTAGAACAACTAGGACTAGTCCCCGCTAAGGAAATCCTGGCGAGAAACTCGGCACCGCTCGAAGAAATTCAAGAGAAACTTGAAAATCTCGTGGTAAGCCTTGAGTAGGACTAAGTGCCCAGCTTGCAAGCGTGAAGAGCGTCCAAGCTGAAGGGGTGTGTCAGATAATAGCACTGTTGAAGATGAGAGCGTACAGACGCTGGGTTAGACTAGCGCGACCCGGCATCTGAGAGAGCCAATCGGATCACAGGAAGGCTTGGCACCCCCCAGGTGTGCCCACAACCGTAGACAGAACCAAAAAACAATCAACAATCAATATCATCACCATTATTACCTATTTCATCAGTATTCCAGATGAGAGTGAATATCTGACAATAGGTTTGACATATAGGAGTGTCCTTAACTACATTATTACGATCCAGCTTCTCGATAACGGCTATGAAATTTCATTCGAGAACTCGGCACATATTACAAACTAAGAACAAAAAACCGCCCTCGTACAAGCCCCCCATAATTGACTGAACGTACATTAAAACCAGAGATGCCAACAATCAAATCAAGCAAATATGAGGCTCGGATTTGATTTGGAATTGACCTTTTTGCTGTTGGGCTTGATTGAATGGCTTGATTCGCTTATAGACGTGTATTTGATTTGAGATTTGATTGTGGATTTGAGGATTTGGCTATCTAAATTACCTAATTAGGCAGGAGTAGTAGGCTATTACTCACTGTCACGGCAACTTACTTATTTACGTTAGTTGCTCCCACGTTGTGATATCGTATAGCCGCTCAAGGTCGTCGTCGTTAAGCGTTTCTGTTACGCTTGTAGGCACGCTCATGCCAGCGCTTATCCAAGCCCGTACGCATTGAAGCGCGGCGAGTAATTGCGACCCAATATTACGCCGTCGGGGAGCGAGTAGATCCCCAAGCTCGCTAAACATGCGCTCACATTCGCAACTGCTCGCTGGTATCGTTAGTATATCGATGGCAAAGCGCGATAAGTTGCGAAGCGCTGCCTTTGTAAGATTTCCGTGAGCGCTTTAGAGGACTAGCAGCGACGTTATGGGCGGTAGCACCCACAGTCCGCAACAATCAATTAAGTGGGTCCTAGAAGGTTCAGATTGGATTGATTGATTACCGCTTTAAGCCTAGTAGTTACCTATAGGAGTTTAAGCCCTACCTAGATAGGTAAGTGGGTCTAGGAGAGTGACCGGATTGAATTGATTGTTGCGGAGTCTAGTAGCACCGCGTTTACAAGGGTTTGGATGGGCTGGCATGATGCTGTCGACAATAGAAATAGGCGGGTGAACGATATATGGCGCTGTTAACAATGCTAATAGCTATTCTTATTATTAGATAGCACGCGTCAAACACCGGAAAGATAGAAAATCCGGGTACGGTACTGTCACGGTTTGGTGATGGGACGATGTCTATCTGAGACTAGCGCTGTTTATGGTCACTCACCTACATAAACTTTCCATAGCTTGTACAATACAAGCTTAGTCAATCCTCAACTTCTTCCCTATGCGTACGGTTCACCCACTCCAACAGTTATGAGCCCGGAAACCGCTGGAAGCGCACCAGCAACAAGTTTTCGGATGATAATTTGGGTGGGGTACCACAAGCGAGCAAAAAGAGCGGGGCTAGGGGAGGAGCTAGGGCCACGTTGAGCCTGTGTGCTGCGTTGATTATGCCAAGAGCTACCCGTCCGCCGATGCCTAGATTATAAACGCCGAGCTGCTATAGCATATTTTGTCATCATCCACAGACACCAATTATCATCTATCCTTCGACTACTACCCATCTTCGACGCTACATCATTCGTCACTGTTCAGTTCTATTCATCTTCAGAACTGAGGGGGTGTGTCAGACTATCAACTATATATGCCTTCATGCTATTGTAGCAAGAAGGTCGGCCTTTTTGTTATTCAACAGGTACCGGTCCCAACAACACCCACAATAACAAGCCTCGCCTACCAAAGCACAGAAATTAAGAAAACCCAAAAAACAGAATGTTGATACGGCAAAGGTGAGGTTGAATCAAGTAACGGTCGTTGCAACGAGTTGAAGTAGATGGTTATGATTGATTAGAGGAGGTGGGCTGCAGCTCGCGTACGAACTGAATCCCACCCCACGGCACGGGCCACGCACGTAGTCACGTGCTCGCCACGTACGTACGGTGGCTCGAAACTAAGAGCAACCAACACAGAACAACAACAAGAATACCAAAAATACCGGAATAATAGCAACAAAAATAGACTATCCTACGCAAGGACCTTCCCGCTAAACACAAAAACAAATATCAAAATCCCACACAAAACAAAAAGAGAAATCGCAAGCGCCTTCTACTACCTTAAGCTAGGACACGGATACTTCAACTCCTACTTAGAAAGATTTAAGAAAAGAGACTCAAATCTCTGTACTGGCAGCTGCTACAAAATCCAAACTCCAGCACACCTACTACTAGAATGCTGGCACTATAAAATAGAATGAAAAGAATTTAAATAAGCCATCTGTCGGATCGTGAGTATCGGTAGAGACGTCGGCTGCTTGACACTTCGGCCCGACTTCGGCCCACCTTGCGCAGAGCTTAGGTATACCTTCGTAGCAGCTATGTTCGTAGACAATCAATCAGAATCACCGAACAGAATGCATTCCTAGTTATCGTTATTTCCCTTTACGCACTTAGTGCAAAGCCAACCAACACCATCAAACATACCCCAGTAACCCTACCCCTACTATCCCAAACCAGCACCGGCATAGAAGCTACCCTAGCTTTTATTACGAGCACTAGAATTGGAACAAGAAAATGGCACCTAGGGCAACCACCAGAAATACAGACAGTCACTGTATAACACTACCTTAGAGAGAGCTACTCTATAAAACTAACAAAACTGTATTTCTTACTATAAGAGCCCGCTGCTACATCTCTTTCTATCTACCACACTGCTCTTTAGCACTAGCGCCTACTCCAGATCTACTCTAGAATAGGAGCACGCAAAACATCCTCCAAACTGTACTACCCCAAAGAAACTACTCATAGAAAACACCTATATAGAACGGCCTAGGCCAAAGTCTTGCATAGTCTCTGACTGAAAAGGACTCCAAATGGAATAATAATAATAATAATATAGAATCAAATCTATCAATCAAATCAATCAAATCTAGCACAGAGATTTGATTTGAACACTTCGTCTGGAGAAGAAGATTTGGATTGATGGATTTGATGCTTTTTCGAAAGTATCCGTCGGATTTGCAAGCTAGCTTGATTGTTGGCAAGTATGATTAAAACAAAACTTGATGTCATATCTCTTAAGTAGTCTTCACCTTTCCACGCTGTTCCCTATCCTCCAACTCCAGCTCCGGCCGACCTTCTTCCCCTTCTACCTTCCCCGGTTTCGCAAAGACCGCACCGATTAGTTGTATGGGATTGTTGATTCTCGTCGCCATAGTGTACAATATTGTCAGCCCAGTCACTACAACCTCGTCCCTCAGATTATCGGGAATTTCTCCCGCACTCTTCTCAAAGTAAAAGTTACCCAGGTTTTTCAGCGCCCAATAATTGACAGCAAACTTTGCGATGGGCTCTTGCGTAACAGAGTTGATGCAAACGAAATACCAGATCTTCATACTGCTGTTGGCTATCCAGGAAATGGGTACATCGTTCAGGGCGTGCGAGAGGTAGTTATATTGTGTCTTCCATCGCTTCAGTGGCTTCAGGACCAGGTTTCGGTCATGGATCACGCATTCTGCGCTGATGGAGAAACTGTGAATCGTGCCTTTGGCAATCGGTGTTTTGTCAACTGCACGCGCGAAGCATAACTGGGGCTTCAAGAGACGGAAGTCCATGTTGTAGAGAAGTGTGAGATGGCCATTGGCGTCCTCTGAAGAGATCTCGTTTCGAAATTTCCCCCATATATAGCTAACTCTGAGAGTGAGACCACGTGTTGTCAAGGGTCTTGGAGGTTGTTCTGTGACATGTTCTGATGGCGACATGTTCAGTGGTGATTTGGAAGGTTGAGTCATGTAAACATTGTGCAAACATCGTGCCATGCGGCCGAATCCTGCTTTTGTGCAGAAATTCCAATTGCCATCTACCAAACATAATCAGGTTTGTGACTTTTGCGTATTTATGGTTGCACCAATAAAACACAACGTTGGAAGTCATGATGTTGGACGCCTTGTGTGATGTGAAGTCCTTGGCCATCATCGCCTTATGGCATAGCGCTGATTGGCTGCGGAGGAGTTGTTGCCTGCTGCATCCTCAGCATAAAGTTTGCAGTTGGAGAGATACACCTCTTTTTAACTAGTATTTACTGGTATCGTGCGAGGCGTACAAGGCTGATTTGCGTGACGGCGCAGCCACTGGAGAGTTGGGGTGATGACATCGGGCCGGGACCAACAGCCACATGACCCCCCACTTAGGCGAGTGACGTCGTGTGCACAGCAACCCACAGCCAACTTCATGGTGGATACAATGCAATGAATGCATTGCATAGCCATATGTCTTTCTGATCTTTTTTCAGCTGAATCGCATCCACTAGTGACAAAATTGCATGACACCACGCCCATCTAAGCAACCTTATCGAAAACCGCGTCACCCACCCACTGTTCTAGCCACCATGAGAGCTTCGAAATAACACGCGTTCACACATGAAGAAGATGTGCAGTAACTCAGGCGTGGGCGCTCGCTGTTCAAGAACCGGCAACCATAGATGCTTCGACCGCTTATCATTACCTATCCAGGTACTCCTCGGTGTCCAGACCCGACAGCCAGAAACATGGCCTCTGCTCGACGGCGGACAGCCAACGACCCGAAGCTATCAGCTATCAGAGTTTATGGGATGATTCTGACACCGGTCTTGGTCGTATCCCTACGCCGCTGGAGACGGGCTGTTCATGGATGCCATTCGAAGATGACAAGTCCCCTGAGTCCCTGACTTCTCGTGTCAGCAATGCGACTCCCATGATCATCAATGTCCCTCCCAGTAAAACAGTCTCGGTACCCCTTAACAAGGAACTAGCCAAATCAACACGTAGCAAGCTGGGTGAGACATATTCCACGGGAATCTCGATGACATTTCGAGAGGCACCTTGGTATTGACGTAATATAGCATCACGTTAGCAAGTATTTCGCCCTGGGGGCTATCCGCGGAGAAGCATCATTAACACCAAACTGTTCTTGTGTCACAGATTGATGTCGATATTAGAAGAGTGGACTCAACTTCCGGCCGCGCTGAGTATGCCAATGCTCCGCCTTAGGGATGACGATAGTTGCCACGACGCAAAGAAGGAAAAAGAACGCAGTGCCAGCTGTCACACAACAAGGTTGAGCAGACTTATTGGATCGGCCACTTACCGCGCGTCTCTCGTAACCGGCTGGGCATGGTTCAGTTCCGTCCAGTCAGCCCCGGATGAGTAAGAAATGGTGCTTTTGCTGGGGCGGACGCGGCTCCAAGACATGCGCAGTTGTTCATTCGCAAGCACCAAGAAAAAGATCAGCAAAGAGGCTTTTGGTATTGCTTTGTTCTACAACAAGGCCAGGCACATTGTTGTCACTGGCTCTCGCTTTATCGCCAAGCGGTCATCGGGCTAGATTTGACACGGCGGACTTGGCAGGCTTGGCACCACCAAAATAGTGGACTACCAAGTCCCCACAGAGTCAACAAGCTGTCTACCTGGATGCTTGTAGAGTGCGGTTCGCGGGGGGCTGGTTCGGGGATCCTCCAGCGTTCGCGAAGCCCATTTCCCCCAGTTATGCCGTACAAGATCCACATGTGTACCACTCTGAGGACTATAGTTGTTTCCTGCACTTCCAATTGTAACATGACAGGGTTGCGAGCAGGCTCTAAGGCGGAAAATCCCACAGGACGCGTTCGAAGCTAGCACCGGGGCTTAGCTTGGCTCCATTTGCTGTGAAAGATTCCCCGCTTGGCTTCGGTTGCAAGCCTCCTGAGCCTCCTGATGGGCGGGAGTGGCTGTTAGGCCAAGAATGTCCTGGCGGGTGCTGTTTCAGGTAGGCGAAGCGCATGGTCGACGTGACGAAGGCAAAGATATCAAGTAGCGCCGACAAAGACTTGCAAATTGAGGCTGGACATTCCCGACCATCGACAATCACTCCGCTCGCCATCCCTTTCGGTCCGGTCCCGGTGATCCCTCGTTCTCCATATCTTTGTGCTTATTTTCCTTCTAATACACTCTTGTAAATACGGCTGGTCTGCTATTTACATTTTCCGCTCATTGATCCTCTTCATTCTTCACCCCTTCTCATGCATCCCTTACATTTCAATTTCCTTCTTCCGTGCATGCGTCCCCGTTGAAATACTTTCCTTCCGTCTTTTCCCTTTTTCGGGCTCGTCAACATGCCTACCCTCGACGTCAGCGAGCTCAACGTCGTCATCGCCGTTCTCGGTATGTCCAGCTCATCGGCCACTGAGCCGCAGTCACTGACGTTGTGATTACAGGCGCCTTCATTGTCCTCTATGGATTCGTCTCAGTGAAGATCAAGCAAGTGTGGTATCTCGGCGAAGCTTGTAAGTTGCCGGCTTCCTGCATCTCGTCGTAGTATCCGTGGAGCTCACATCCCCTAGTGCCCGCCGTCTTCATCGGTATCATCCTCGGCCCTATAGCCGCGAAATTCCTGGACGCTGAGAAATGGGGTTCTGCTGCATCAGGGCAGCAGGAAGCCATCACACTCGTAAGCACAGATCTGTGACCCACTTGTTGAGGAAGCTTGCTGAGAATTATGTAGGGCATGTGCCGTATTGTCATTGGTGTTCAGCTGGTCATCGCTGGATTTCAACTCCCCGCCAAGTACCAGCAGCTACGATGGAAGGAAATGGCAATCTGCCTCCTCCCTGTCATGACAATCATGTGGATCTGCACTAGTCTGTGCATTTTGGTCACTATCCCCAAGTTGTCACTCTTGGCTGCACTGGTCATTGGATCTTGTGTTACTTGCACTGATCCTATCCTATCGCAAGCTGTGGCCAAGGGTCCATTTGCCGACAAGTTCGTCCCCCGCGCGTTGCGAGAGATTATCTCGTCCGAAGCCGGTGCCAACGATGGATTCGGTTTCCCGTTCCTTCTGTAAGCTGTTCAGACTTCTAGTAATGAGTATTTCTAACTGTCAAACAGCTTGGCCACCTATCTTATCCGCCATGCCGATCTCGAGGGTGTCAAGTTCAAGCCTGGTATTGAGGGCGCCAAGGAGATTGCTCATCGCGCAGTCGACATACTCACCAAGCGCAGTGAGGAGGGGGGAATTGGCCGTCTAGGAGGTGGTGTATCCATGGCCATGGAGCAATGGATTGTCGAGGGCTGGCTTTACATCATCGTCATGGCTGTCGCAGTCGGTGTGGTCCTCGGCGCTGGCAGCATGTTTGCCATCAAGTATGGCCTCCGCAGGAAGTGGATCGATTCCGAGAGTCTTCTGCTCTGGCCCATGGCACTAGGTCTTTTCATCATCGGCGTCTGTGGTGCACTCGGTACAGATGATCTTCTTGCCTGCTTCGTTGCCGGAAACGTCATGAACTGGAACGGTCTTTACCTCGAAGAAACCGAGAAGCGTCATGACGAAGTCAACAGTTGCTTCGACGTCATTCTCAACTTTGGTGGCTTCATGTACATCGGAACCATCATCCCATGGAGCGAGTTCCAGATGCCAGATGTCACCGGCATTACAGTTGGACGCCTCATGATCCTCGGCTTTCTGATCCTCGCCTTCCGTCGCATTCCTGCCATCTTCCTCATGTACAAGATCATGCCTGACTGTGTCAAGGACTGGAAGGAGGCGCTGTTCATGGGATACTTCGGACCTATTGGTAAGTACCGGTTGCGGCTATGATCAAGATATCCACTAACATCCACAGGTATCGGAGCTGTCTTCTACGTCGAACACACTCGCCACCTGTTCCCCAAGCCTGGTGAGGCTACCACGGAAGAAGAGGAAAATCTCGTCGCCGCCATGGTACCTGTCGTCTACTTCCTTGTCATCTTCTCCATCGTGGTCCACGGTCTATCTATTCCCGCCCTCGATGCCTTCTACCGGTACAAGAATGTCCAACCGATTACTGAAGATGAGCCTGCGGTGATCCGCACTCGCTCCATTCACGAGGCGCTTCCCAACAACGCCTCTGTTGACAGGAAGCGCAACTCGGTCTATGTGCACAACCGATTCTCTCGACCTATGTCTACGCCTGGCCCAGAGCTGTACAGATGGAACAACCAGTCGGAGAGGGATCCGGAGAGGGACAGCGATGCTACATTTGGATCCGCTACTCACGCGGATTCTGATGGCTATGCGCAGAAGCTGTATGCTATCCAGCTTGCGGAGAAGCAATCTCGTGAGAACTCGCGTATGCGTTAGTAAGATGGAGGCCAGAGAAAAAGCCCAGAAGGGGTTTGTATGTCGGTGGTCTCCAGTGTTTGCGCAACACATCTGTCGAACAGTAGCCGGGTAACGATAGTCGCTCACTGCTCATTATTAGCCATTTACCATACGAAAGGCTTACTTCCTGTTATCGAAACTCTCCCATAGTCATTCGTTTAGTTATGTAGAACATAGACCGACGTTAGCAATGTGCGTAATTTCCAGCACGCCTGATCAATTCAACATGCCCCATTTCAACGCCTGTCAACACAAACTCTCTCTGGGATCAGACCTTACCATCCACGCGACGACTCACCTTCCATCTACTCTTCCATTCTCAAACACGTCTCTTTTCTCCAGGCGCCCCGCAATCATCTTCCAATTCACCCACGTGTCCATCATCGGTGCATCACGGACCCGAAACACGCCAAGAGCGCCGCAGTGGAACCGCCAAGCTTGTCGTTGCCGTCCTAGCCGTGCCGGTTTTCCGCTGTCCCTGCCACTTTCCCCCCTTCCCCGCCCCTATCCGGGCGGCTCTGGAATCCAGGCTGCGGAAGATTGCAATATTCATACACTTTGTATCAGAAACTTCTTCTCAAACGCTTGGAAGATTCAGATCAAGTAAAAGCGAAGTGGGCGGCGGATGCGGACTGCGTTGTTGAAGCGGTTGGGGAGAGGAGGGCCCGTGTGGTGTGGCCAGGGGGCGGATTTGGGAGTCATAGCGTTTAGGGCTGCGCTCCGCCCCGCGCGCGCAACGGTATGTCATGACGGCGGAAGGGTGTGGGGAAGGCAGGTTTATGATGCGGAATAAGAAGGGGGAGAAAGCTTGATGTATACGCACTTTCTGATGTGTTTTTGTCCTTTTTTGAGCATCCAAGACATCTGGATAATCTGCTCGGAACTTGCGTGCCGGCTGAGCGTTGCTGTGGCTTTCTCGACCAATGGGGTTCAGGGCCAAGCGCCACCGTATGTGGACTAGCGCCTTGTTTGTATGGCATCATTGGTTGCTCTTGTTGCTTCTGGATGTCTTTGCTGTGGTTGGGAGAATTACTTCCCGAGGTCTTTGTTAGTAGCTTGTTGCATTGGCTGTCTTTCGTCAATTTTGCTTCTTTGCTTATCGACTTGTTGAGTGGCATCTGGTGTCTGTGCTGGATATCGAAGGACTGATATCACGGGCACGTGGCTGCCACGATAATCGAGAGGGGAAACGTGAAGTAGCTTACATTTCGAATGGATTGTATTTGTAGAATATCAATGTCCTCTCCTCGTTCATTGCTGCCAATGATTTTGAGTTACATATCACTCTTGAAAATCTCATCAAGCAGACCTTGCACACACATCCTTCTCACTGTATTTCGCTTCTAGCGGCGGTCAAATGGAATACAGATAGTTTCCCTGTATATCCTGGCCTTCTCTAGAGACTACCAATGCCCGCAACACAATTATTCTCCCGGCTGCTCTGGCACAGCAGACTCCGCAACAATCAATCGATTGACATGATTGATTCCTATATAGGTTAAAGAATTACTTCATTAGGCAGCCTTTAACCTAGATAGGAATCAATCATGCCGATCCGATTGATTGTTGCGGAGTCTGTGGCACAGAGTACTCAAATACTGTGAGAAACGACACGATCAGAAGTAAATTGAAGAAACACAAGTAATTGAAATCATGTATCTGCTTCTAGAACACAATTGTTTAATAACCAGACAGTTGGTAATGAAAGTGGCAAGTAACCCCAGCCTAATTGTAATCATGAATGTAAGCTTAGTCCAAGGTGGAATAGGTAGCTCCTTAGCGCCGCACGACGCTGGACGTCAGACAAAGTTTATAATCGCAATTCGTCGTCGGGTACATTGGGCAAGTGGCCGGGTAGAGTGACAGAGGTTGTATGTGTATACATGTGGGCGCAATTCTGTAACAGGCTGAGCCTATTACATGCGCTACGCTGTGTGCGTAGCTGTCGTCATGCGATTCCTTCGAGATACATCTATAGGTTTCTGTCATCATCCATCTAATTCTACTTCGGCCCATCTTCGGTCCGCTCCTGTATTTATGTACAGCTAGCATCCTTTTGTAGCTCTTTGTCAAATCCACTCTGTTACAAGGCATCTCTTGATCAGTCATCTGTGTATCGTCATCGATACAGCCGCTGGGGTCTAGCCCCTTACAAATTCTTATTCGACAGAGCGTGTGTTTTGCGAGGAGAGTGCAGTGAGATTCGCAGAGAGTTGCAAGGTAAATGATCAAAAGCCTATTATTGCACTAACAAGAATTTGAGAAAGAGGTATAGTTCACTTATTCCGTCAACATCACGAGCTCCAATTCATCCCTTTCATACTAGTCGTTGTATTATTGTCTTGGACCTAATTCAGCTGGAGCCCGATCCGCAGGTACTTCAACCATGGGTCCAACTTCCTGTCCATATTTCTCCGTTGCCGGCGCGTTTAAGTAGGTCTGATTCGCGTCCATCTCCACCGCATGGTTTGCTGAGTATGGTGTTGGAGAGTGCGCATTAGCCGGCTCATATGGGTTGCTCTTGCTGTTTCGCTTTCTCCGCCATAGCAGAAGTCCAGCAATACCAACTAATGCCAGCCCGCCAATAACTCCACCAACGATGCCGCCTATTGCGCCACTTGAGAGACCTGAACCGCCATTGTTCTGGGCTGTAGATGTGGGCGAGGAAGGAGAGGAAGCGGTTGCTGCGGCTGACACGGGCGGCGCAACGGAAGAGGAGGGAGGGTTCCCGGAAGGACTTGGAGTTGCGGAGGAGGGAGTCGCCGTGGTCGAGGACAATGCTTGTAGATCCGATAAGCTAATGGGATATTTAGCGGCAGACGGGCGGGCGGATATGAGCGATTGCGCTGTTTCGTTCACTACCGTCGCATTGAGAAGGGCGACTGGATCCTTGAGAGTGCTCCAGCAAATATTGACCTGGTTTGCTCTCTCTGTACAGATCTCACTTGTCGAGGTTAGCCGTATTCATAACAATGTCAATTCAACATGGACCTAAGCTGCTCACCTCGACTTCAAACAACAGAAAGCATTCGATCCAGACGAGCAGACCTGTTGACTACCAGAGGGTGTACGTCTATCTCCCCCATCACAGGCGACATTGGGTCCCCAGCAGACTGCATCGGCAGCACCTGCGTCGCAGCAATACCATTTTGTTAAGCGGTCGTCGTAGGCACAAACATTGGGAGGTTCACAGGCAAAAGAGGAGCCGGGACACGTTCTCCTTTCGCTTGAACTTCCGTTGTTGCCTGCAAAATAGAAGTCCGAGAAAGCAGCGTGGACCGGTAACGCGCTGAGAAAGAGCAAGCATGCAATCGGAAGCATCGTCCCAAGCATATTGGACGGTACAGATGGTACTCCTTCAGTTGGAACTTGGAGAAGATGATCCAGTAGACGCGCGCACGGCAAGTCGCGACATTATGAGCGTTTGATCTGTCGGTGAATTGCTGCGGTCCAGTGTGGAGATTAAGGCCATCCATCATTTCAACGTTCTCAGCTACCAGGATGCATAGCCCGATATGCTAGGGCAAGAAGCCAGGGAGTGAGTCTCATCGTCAAATCGGAACGTTTGCTACTACGATGAGTCGGCGAGGTTAGAGGCTGTGCGATAGCGCGACCGGCGTGATGATCTTTGCTGTATGGGATGCGCAGCGCTGGCACACTGAGGTTGTGACATCGTGTTCCTGTATCGAGAAGTGTCGAGAAAAAAGCACAAAAAGTAGGCCTTGTGGTCTAGAACGCCCTCATTGGTAAGACAACATAGAAGTAGAGGCGCGAGTAGCAGATGGTGGCGGTTTCGAACAAAGTTTTGGCGGCACGGCGCGTTGGCGGGGGTTTGCCGGGGATAACATCTTTTGACGGCGGTAATATCCCTGGGAGCCCCCCACCACTTCGATCTCGAGCTTTTGGCATCTCCACTTCATTCGCGCCTTGAGTCTAGAAATAGAGCTTGATCGCCTCAAAGCTTGAGTCGCTCATGGCGCGCAGTGGCTCTCAGTGATGCTAATCGTTTCTTTACCTCCAACTTTGCTCTTCTCCCGTCGCTTGAGCTACCCTTCTCGACTCGCGGTCGCTCTCTACCGCAGGCGGCATACGAATAGATCGGGAAATATTGGCGATACTATCAGAGCAATGCGGCAAAAGACTGGTAAACTGTCTGATCGAAGTACACTGTCTGCGCAAATGTCCTGGGTAGCAATCAATGTTTTCAGACTTCTTGCAGAGCTCGGCATGTCGCTTGATGCCGGAGTAAAAACGGGGGAACGTATTTGCTTGGACGTTGTTGGAAGGTCTATAGCACTAGTGCTGAAAGGAAATAACGATAACTAGGAATGCATTCTGTTCGGTGATGGTGATTGATTACGAACATAGCTGCTACGAAGGTATACCTAAGCTCTGCGCAAGGTGGGCCGAAGTCGGGCCGAAGTGTCCAGCAGCCAATGTCTCTACCGATACTCACGATCCGACAGACGTAGTCTTTTTAGTTGCGAAGTTGGTGACTAAACTCATCGGGCCTTGATGGCGTCGGTATGATTGTACATAGGTAGCGCGCCGATCGAACGACGGTCAGCGCTAGTGATACTCCATGGCAACGTTCTGTCATTGACGCCAACCTTCGCTGTTCGTGTAGATTTGTTGATATAAAAGACAGTGGCGACGTATATACCTCAAAGAATGCTCGTGGGCTTGCATTTAGTCAACTCGGCTGCAAAAGTTCTTTTAGACACCTGTGACTCAAGTCCATACTAAATCGCTTTAGTATGCGCTGCTATGGATAACTATGTTATGTATTTAAATACAGCATATACAAATACTTAACAGTCATTTCTACGGCATAATTAACTTGAAAACTGTGCCCTAGGCACAGTAACATTCACGTAGTTAAGGAGCATAGTGCTGTTGCCACGAAGGTTGGCGCGCTATTACGTTTCTCGTATTTTGGGGGTCAACAGAATTGATCCCGTCGTCTGAACTAGAGGGCTAGCTAGAAGTTCCAGTCCGAGTCCTTTCGGACCACCCGAAATCAGTCTCCATGTTCGTGGCCAGTAGCCAGCTTGATCATAGCGATATCGAACCACCGGACGGGAATTAGGTATTCCCGGAAGGGCTCTGATTGGGGTGAACAGCCAGTGACAATTCTACCACGAAAACACAGAACCCAAGGACTTGATACACATGTGAGATGTAATATCGCGGAAACGAATTGGACAAGTTCCCTTGGTGATCATCACCGTCCTCAAGGATTGTTCGGTACCAAACGCATACGTTTGTGCCATGATGGTGCGGCGAGGTCTCACTCTTTTGGAAAACATGCTCGTGTACAAAAAACAGAGCGCTAGACTAAGCTGAGCAGGTGGCCTTCATTGAAAGCATAGAGCTTGTGGCGGACGCATCGAAAGTCTCTTCCGCAGAAAATCGGCTAGAATCAGGCTTGGTGTCATGTATTGTGTGGGGATGGTGACATGCCGCGGAGGAAACCTGGGACGATTGCGCTGTGCCCCCACGCTTTTCTGGCAGTATTTGGCAGTGTTGGCCAATACCCAAGCGCAACAGAACTATATATATCTGAGTCCCACTTCTTGTCAGCTTGTATTTTATACGTGAACCTTGAATTTGATACTACAATTTGTTCGGGCACTTTCCGGTCGTAAAAGTCCCCACTACACATCGGTTCTGGCCATCGGCATCAGCGGCATCTACAAAGAAATCGGCATGGCGTGGCGAGGGCCGCAAGGCGGATCGGGCGATTTCCTGCGCGGTCTAGGCACCATCTGAGATCTTGAACTGCGGCTGATGATCTAAACAGGCTACTATGAAAGCTGGGTGGTCGCTAATTGTATTGAACAAACACCATGAATAGTGGTGGAAAGACATGGAAGAACAGGGCTATTCAGTGAAATATGAAGGGAAATAATTTGTGAAGTGAGATGTCAGGATGTTGAATCTTTTGACCAAAGTACATCCCAGATTACGCTAGTACGTAGGCACGTGAAAACTGCTGGGGATCGAGATCTCGCGAATGTTACTGATTGGCTTACGGAATGGTATTCCCGAGCTGCCGCCACGATTCCTCGTTACGGAATTCCTGTTCGAGCCTGCTTCACAGCTGCCGCATACTACAGACCTACCCTCGTGGATTTGTTATATAAACGATCTGTACACCCTCATGAGGCGTCATACACTGACTAGAAATCAGCACTCCCCAAGGCTGAGATTATACGGCAGACGTCATTGCTTCGACGAGGCATGGAGCAAGAACACGGACGATCACCTCCCCCACCATTGCGCTCACTTTTGCCCGCTCCAGCTGGGGGAATACGTAGAGAGACGACAGAAAAACATAAGCCTGCCCGAGTAAATGCATGTGACGCTTGCCGAATTCGCAAGTCAAAAGCAAGTACCTCTTTCCCTAAACTGGTGTTGCTCTCCTTCTGATCTTGACCAGTGCGATAACGTTAAGCCAAAATGTACTGCATGCGTCGTACGAGATTCCGAATGCCGACATAGCGAGACCGAGTCACGTCAATTCAAGCGTAAATACCAACAACTCAAAGACAAACGAACGGCACAAGAAGAACTTTTTGACATGTTGCAAAACATGCCTGGGAAAGATGCCGCCGATATCTTCAATCGAATACGAACAGGGGCTAACGCAGAGGCCATTGTCCAGATTGTTCAAGAGGGCAGTCTGATTATGGAGCTGTCGAACGTACCTGAGGCTTCCTCGCGCTTCCACTTTCCATACATCGATAGCATACCACCAAGGCTCCGCGAAAGCATATACTTTCAATCACGGATATATGAAGCGATAGATGCATACAGTCAAGGAAATCGTAGTCCTGAACACCCCTCTGTTCTTCGGCAAAGCAATTATGCGAAGCCTATTCTCGCAGCCAAGACAATCGAATCTTCGCTAGATGTCGCGCGCATTTCAAGTTGGACCAATGTGTGTTCCAACGATCACCTTCTAGGACTCCTCTTAGATGGATATTTAGTTCATCAGTATCCCAAACATCTCTTCTTTCACAAAGTTTACTTTCTGGAGGACATGGTGTCGAAAGGTTCGGAGTTTTGCTCGCCTCTTTTGATGAACGCTATCCTGGCAAAAGCATGTGTGAGTGAGTATGACTTGAAGTATCGTACGAGAGTCTACTAATACAATATAGGCCAGTTCTCGAATATTTGCAAATCGTACCAGATTTTGGGACCCGGACAGTTTGGCGTATCGCTTCCTGGCTGAAGCGAAGAGGCTATGGGAACTGGAGGACAGGGAGCCAACGCTCACTACGATCCAAGCTGGCTGTCTCATCAACGCCACGATGAACGACTTCGGCCATGACAAACCCGGTTTCGCATACACTCTCAAAGCGCTGAGTATGGCACAGAAGATGGGTCTCTTTGTCGCTCCTTGGACAGCTGACAATAAGTTTGAGCACGCAAAGGCTTTCACCGCGTGGGCTCTTGCTTCATGGTTATCGTAAGTGTGGGCTCTACTACAATTGTTTCGCTACTGACGCTTATTTCTTCGCAGCTTGCAAGGCTACTACTACTTCAAACCACCATGTCTATTGGATATTCCAGCCTCTGCGCTTCCCGATGTCGACGAAAGTCCGGATTGGTATAGCGAGATAACGCTTAGCTACGATTCTGACCAACACGCCTTTCCGATGGGCTTCGGCTACGGCATGAAAGCACTGTGTGAACTGCGCGTCATCCAGAACGAGATTGGAATAATGTGTTTTGGCCGTTCAGCAACAAATAAGAAAATGCCATGGGGAGCGGCCCTACACATCCAAGCCAAAATGGAAGCCTGGTATGAGGCATTGCCCGTCGCACTCCAACCTCGGTCGATATTTCACCCATCTCATTTGATTTTACAGTAAGTCGCCACCTCAAGTGTTGTGTATTATCCCAACTGACTAGCGTGCAGTTGCGAATATCACAGCATGCTTATGACGCTGTTCAAAACGCAGGTATCCGCCACAGATGGCAGCTCGGACTCTCTGACGCCCTACCAACGCAACAACGCTCAGGCTATCATCGCGCAATCAATGATTGAACTTGAAAGTATCCTACGCATATACTATCTCCGCCACAGTTTCGAAGCCTACGACGCCATGCTCATCATATTCCTGGCCCATCTCGCCAACGCGATCCTCACTTCCATCGAACAGCTTGAGCAATACCCAAGTAGCGTTCCGACCGACACAAGCGAATTTCTGCTCTCTGCTCTGATCTTATGCTTCAAGGGTCTGCACGACCAGTCGAAGAATGCGTACATCGCTAGTCTCATGCTTGCTGTCATGAAGGACCGACTCAGCGTTGATGTCCGTAACGCAGTCGGACGACACGTTTCGCATGACGACCCAGATAGCGAATTTGAGTCGCTCGAAGAATTGAGCACGGAACAATCGAAGCCCATCATTTCAGAGCTGGTGCTTCCAGGTACAAATCTGAACGAAGAACCTAAGATGTGGAGATTGGCGAACCTAGCCGATGAAGCGAGAAGACACTAGAAAGAGTGCTATGTTGCAGCTGATTGGTGATTTAATTGGTGGACCGGTATCGCTGGTGTATGCAGAATCTAGAGTGCAGAGAATCGATCGGCGCGTTTAATTTCGAGCTGAATATGTTGTCCGACTTTGTATGTAGTATCTCTCATACTTTAACGGCGCTAGCCATCCAGAATTTGCCTGGAGGCCTACTGGCATCCCAAGTCGCATTCTTGAGCAAGCAGTTTCCCCCTGGCTTGCCATCAAGTACCATGTCCGTCAAATTGGCGCCGTACACCACCCCTTTACAGTGTATATATCCCGCACACTTATCCATACACTCTTTGAAGGTGTATATTGTGAAGACCTTGAAATTTTCTAATGGCGCATCTACCGGAGGGACTCGTCGACATGTTATGTTGAAGGTAGCACCTGTGGCAACGTAGGGGTCCGCGACGTTGCGTGGGGTGGCTTGGGGCCTTGATTGAGGTTGGACGTATGCAGGGCTGCAGTTCGTTAGTGACACTTGAAAAATGTGAGATCGTGGTGCCAGGAAAGAACTTACATGCATGGACGCTCGGCGATACCTGTTGTGCCAGATGTGACGGCTGTTGTTGTGGCTGCCGGATCTTCGGCGCTTTCTCCTTGGTCCTCGCTGAACGTACACTCAATATTTGATGTCATTGTATGGAGCTGCCACTACTGAACATACCTGGTCGGAGTTGGAGTTGAACTTGAAGTTGGAGTTGGAGTTGGAGTTGTAGTTGTAGTTGTACTTTTACTGGCCTGATATCCACCTACCCCTCCACCAACAGCAGCAACTATTACCACCAGCATAGCCACAATCATCACAATGAAGAAAGTGCGCCTTTTGAGCCCACATATCCTCTCTCGTTTGTTTTTTGTAGGCAGTGGCTCCGGATCAGCCCGCTCCATGGGCATCAAGCCTGCATCGTTGTGTTGCGAGACATATTTATCGTCGGGGTGATGTTTCTTCATGGGGTCTGGATACAAGCCATCGTAATCGACTTGCAAGCCCTCAGCGTCGCGATTCACCTGCAAGGTTGATGCGGGGGTCTTGTCTTCTCTATCGTAGTGCGTTGATAATGGGGTGGAGGACATTGCGTAGGTGGCATGCGATTTCGCAGCAGCTCTCTCCTCGAAGTACTGTTCGAGGGGATTTACGCGACGGGAATCCTAGGCTATGAGCGCGTATGATATGAAGAAGAACATTGAGATCCCATCCTGGCTATGACGACTGCCCGCCCCATGTATATATTGCGCCTCGAAGATAAGGCGTCCAAAATATATCATCGCTGTCAAGCCTCGGCGACCAACCCACCCAATGTGCGACGCTCCCGGGGCGGAGATGCACCGTCGCATGCAACGGTGCAGAGCCACACTCCTTCAGGAATTAGTCTGGCGGAGTTCCCGCAGTGCAACTGCACCTGTCGGTCTCCACATCAGCCGCAGAGAGGGCATTTGCCATTGGTGGAAGCAGAGTTTCATCTGAAAATTGTGCCGTAGGTCGCCGATCGAAAAGAATGTCTCGATGGAAGCCTCGCGCTGTATCACCACTAAAAGTGGCTGTGTGCGGGAGCGCCACAGTGGGTGTCGTGTGTTGAGGCTTGCGGGCGCGTGCACACAGAATCCCTTTGAGCGTTCTTTTCGTGTAGCACTGTAAGGAATGGGAAACGAGAGTGATGGTGATATTGCTTATTTCGCTTAAGTCATGCGCTCAGTATCTATTCGTCCTTTTGGCTAAGCGCGAGTCATCTGCAGACTCTTCAGCCCCCCTCTTTTTCCCTCGAAAGATCGTGCCCGTGGTAGCTCGAGTAGCTGCCCGCTCACGCATGAAGTCTTCCAAGTCTTCCAAAGTCTGTCCAGTCTCGGACGCGTCAAAATGAAAGGCTGAAACTGGGTCCCATAAGCAGACACACCGTAGTTCATCGACGAAGGCATTGAGATCCTTGATTGTCTGGATAGGCCTCCTTGGGTTCAATAGATCCCAGAATAGAGTGGCATCGCTAATCCAATATTCGAATGGCTCCCAGCTCCGCACTTTGAGTTGCGGACCGAAAGCATCCACTATCCGCTTGCACAGACGAGCATCCTGCATGTGTATGGCGCCTACTAAAAGAGCAGGGCAAAACCAGCTGGGTATACGGTCTCTGAGAGACATCTTTTTGTTATAGTCGATGATCTTCATACAGCTTGAGACGAAGCTAATGCGATATGTTGGATCGGGAGATTTTCGCATCTTGGTGATAAAATAGTGGATACTGGTGTAGAGGTTCGCCTGTTTTGAATCTGCTTCGATATCAGCCCAACCCGGGTCGACGTCCAGGAAATCCAGAAGATTGGCACGTGGTACTATGATCATGACCTTCATCGTCATTAGTGAAGGAATTACTAGTCTTGCCAGGTTGCTTACCGCAGCGTCATAGTAATGCGTCACCAGATCGCCATAATATTCATCGTACCCAGCTGGGTACACCAGTTTGTTGGGGTTGTAGAATCCTCCCCATGGTGTTTCTTCGACGATGTTGTCCTTGTTGATCTTGATCTGTCCAGTAACCACATGTCCGTCGGTATCATATACTCGGGTTAGCTGCCATGATTCTTCCAAGAGCTCCTCAATATAGTGTCGCGAACGCAGATCTTCTTCATTGTAATACCGGAGGCCGCTGGCTGTGGCCTTCGATCCAAGATCATCTATGTCGTAAACTGCGCCATGTCTTTTGAGTTCCAGGTGTCCTAATAACAGTACAAAGCCAGTCTTGCGACAAGCAGTCTGCACCGCTGTTGCGAGTGCGCGATCGTCTTCCTGGAGAATATCAATTGCGAGTGGCTCTTTCGCGTATTTCTCGTCCATAACGTGGATGAGAAACGGCTCCGCGTGTATGCTAGCTTTCTCCCAGAACGAAAGTGTAGCCTCAAGTTTTACAGGCCAAAAATCCTCTGATAGTTGTTTAATGTCTTCGCGGACCCGTGATCGGATGTCATAATCCATTGGGTAAGTCTCTGCCTCATTGAAATACCAGGCTTCCATTTGACGTTTTTGTTCTGCGATCCAGCCTTCCATTTCGCTGTCATCATCAGACTCTGAATCTTCTCGTGTCTCTTCCTCTTCATCTGTGGTAGTCTGACTCCGTGGTCTTTCAGCATCCAGGTTGTTGTTTGCGCCAACGCGTGCCCGGTCGCGCGTCGCCGGATATGTAAATTGTATGGGGGAAAGCAACACCGGTATGCTCATGATGATAGAAGCCGAGGATCAAATTTTGTAAGGATGAAAGAAAAAAATTTGTGGTCAACAAGAAGAAGCTGCCATTCGCGCTGGGAGGGTGCAATAGTGCGCCGTTCCGGCGTTGCTGAAGCAACCAGCTAGCCATTTCTCTATCGCAGTCCATCCCTACCTAAATGCATAACAGCGAGCTAAAACGTCGCAATTTATGGAATTTTCTCAAAGCCTTTGGAGATCCCAGGCTGGTACTTGATACGGACAGGAAAGCAGTCGTGGTTTCGCAGGGGCCCACTTCGCAACTGACGCTAACTAAGCCTGAATACCCCGCTGTCAGTCAGTATGAGGCAAAAGTTGCTATCGTCAAAATCATGTAATCCATGGTTCTTCAGTCAGTATGCTAAGTCCAGTACCGTGGTATTATGGAGGAGATGAAAACTTCGCGTGCACAAGAAAGAATTCGTTGTTCGTCTGTGGTCCCCGCGCCGTTCTCACACTCCCGCAAAGACAACATTTTCTCACTGTTCTGTGACGGCACTTATCCACACTCCGAAATCACCAGAGCTGAAACTAAAGGATTTGATCATCCTTCACGTAGGTGCGCACGCTAGCCGCGTGAAGATCCTATTGTCTTTCATCATGTCAGACACACCACAGATTATGCAGGAAGCCGTCAAATCGACCGTCTTTCAAGCTCTTGGCCTTTACATCTGGCAGGTGCCCATAAAACTTTACATCTACTTTGCTCCGAAAACACCAACGCTTGAAGACCTTCTAACGGACCCCCGAGTCCCATATTCTACACATAACTTGTTCTCCACCGGTAAGTATCATACTCTTTCTGCTGCTCTTTTTTCGCCTACCGATGAACTCATGTTAGAAATATCACGGGACGAGTTCTTTACACTACTCAAACACCATCCAGTTGCGAACGCCAAGGATTGTGCCTTTTACCTCAGCCGTAAGCTGAGTGATATTCTGTTGCCTTGGAATGAGTACCCAGATGAGCGGCAGTCCTTTCATCGCACAATGTTTTTCGCACGCATGATGGAAATCTTACAACATCTTGCTGCTGCTGAAAATGGAATGTTTCCTGCTATTGATCTTTGCATTGTTGTCAAGATTCCTTGGCTCCATGGCAGTGAATTCCTCCATGGTGAAGAACTTCAGAACGCCAATCAGCAGTTGGACTTCTTCTTGGAACAGAATTTGGAATCTTTCAGTCGTACCATGAGAAGCTATCAGTATAGTTTTGTATCCAGTGGCTGCCAGAATGAAGATCGTGTTCTATTCAATGACTGCTGGGTTGATGAATATTGGCGGGTTGATGTTCCAGTGTGGAGGCCTGTCACTTATCGCCTGTACAAATTTGTTCAGACATATGGAAATTGGCTCAACTATGATGGTTTGGGGAAATGGTGTAAGTGTCAGCATATTTCTGGATCACGTGCGCATTTAAGCCACGGATGTATACGCAAAAACACTGCTGTCGCCCTGGACCTTTTACAAAAGCACATATAACGTCTATCCCTGCGTAGCGGGACACCCCGTGTGCCGCGACGCTTTCTTATCCGGACCTTTGGTGTCGGGCCAGCGCCACTGTATTGAGTCAGGCTTAATGCGCATCCATCCTGCAGCTGCAGTTCTCCTAGCACGTCAGCCTCCGATAAAGGAGAGCGTAGTGTTAGACGCGCTGTAGGCCGATCTATTACTGCTATTAATTAACCTCCTCTAAATACCCCCCTGTCCACGCGTAACAACCTATCTCTACTAACTGCTTAGAAGCTTAGGAAGGAAGCTTAGATCTTTAAGATTAAGTTCCTAGGCTCTGAAGGTTAATTTAATATAGAAAATATATCTTCCGGCAGTTTCTCCGCGCGGACAGCAAGATCGCTAAAACTCATGTGCACAGGCACAGAGCTAGCGTCACTCTTGGCATGCAGTAGCTTGTAGTAGCGTGCTCATATATCTGTGTATGTTATTGTACTGAAAAGCATGCTTTGCCTATCTTAGACAGACGGCTAACGGATCCGTTGCAGGATCTCAGAACACGAGATACACGACATCATTATGAGGAAGGCTAGTGATTAGTAGCTCAAGTGCTTACTAGGTGTAGTAAGAATCAAAAAGCGATTAAGCTGCGCCGCTAAATTTATAGCAACGCTCAAGAACGACGAAGCAGACTGGATACCTAGTAGGGGTTATTTGGGTGTCCATATTGCTGGTAACTAGATATTAATGTTGTAAGAAAGCACATAGCCCCTACACACTCTTTATTGCTTTGTGCTCCTAATGCAAATCTTTGCTGGCCCGCGTGATAATTTTGATGCTTTCTTTGAAGATGTTGCTGCACCGCTATGTAGCGTGCTAGGAGAACAGGCAAGCTACTGCTGCTCTTGCGATGCGCATAGGTTAGCGTAATGTTGGTGACAGGCCAGGGTAATAGGATGGTCGTTTCCAAGGACGGTGTCGTATCCGGTGGATGCCCTCTGATACAGACGCAAAGACTCCTCTACACGATGCTGTTCGGCAAGAAGGTGTGCAAGGCAGTAGACACTAGTCAGCGTGTCTGGATGCTCACGCCCAAGCACCGTCTCTTTCAGCGCCAGCGTCTGCCTGTTCATCGCTTCCGCCTCCTTGTACTTGCCTTGGCGACCCAGCACGAGCGCTAAGTTACTCATGCTCGTCAGTGTCTCTGGATGCTCACGCCCAAGCACCGTCTCAGACAGCGCCAGCGTCTGCCTGTTCATCGCTTCCGCCTCCTCGTACTTGCCTTGGCGATCCAGCACTCCCGCCAAGTTACTCATGCTCGTCAGCGTGTCTGGATGCTCACGCCCAAGCACTGTCTCTTTTAGCGCCAGCGTCTGCCTGTTCATCGCTTCCGCCTCCTCGTACTTGCCTTGGCGACCCAGCACTCCCGCCAAGTTACTCATGCTCGTCAGCGTGTCTGGATGCTCACGCCCAAGCACCGTCTCAGACAGCGCCAGCATCTGCCTGTTCATCACTTCCGCCTCCTTGTACTTGCCTTGGCGACCCAGCACTCCCGCCAAGTTACTCATGCTCGTCAGCGTGTCTGGATGCTCACGCCCAAGCACCTCCTTCCCCAAGGACGATGCTTTTCGGTGCGACGTCTCTGCTGATGGATATTGCCCTAGACTCTCCTGACACCGGCCCAGGCGTTCTAGGAGTGAAGCACTCACTGCGCCATCTACAACGTCAACGAGTCCAGCCACGTACGTTACATGTGGGAGGTACGCGCCCCATACTTCTTTTCCTTCATGCCCGCCGTACGGCACTAGTTCTTCGGCTCGGGCTGCTGCTGTGCCTGCCCAGTCCGCCCGCTCACCATGGCCCTCTAGCCACCAGATCAACGCCATGTGCACTAGTCGGTGCATATCAAAAAGCCTCTCTTTGCTGGATCCTGGCACAGTCTGCTGGCGCTCTGCGATAAATGCGTATCCTGTCAGCGTTCCAAGTGCTTTCGTCTGCTGCACAACAGATCCTCCCGGCAGCAACAGCGACTGAGGAATGTTAATACGATCAATGCATGCAATGAACGAGAGGTACTCTACTGCAAGAGGGTCTTGTCTCCGAATTTGCTCAAAAGAGATGTGCCATGTCTTTGCAATCGTGCTATCCATACTGTGGTATCTGCTAGGATCTTCAAAGTGCTCGCTAAAGAGCTCGGCTTTCGTGCCAGCATGCTGGAGTAGCGATACGTACTCGGAGACTGATGTATCGTTTTGGTTCATAAAAGCGGCTGCCTGCACGATAGCAAGCGGCAGGCCTGCAAATGTCTCCAGCAATACGTCAACCGCCGCCTCATCGTTCAGCAATGCTTGTCTCGTCGTTCGCCGCGCAAGCAGCTGCCTAGCCTCAGCGTTGCCTATGTCGTTTAGCTCGAGGATATCACTCTGGGTCAAGTCCGTAGCCGCCTTCCTACTGCGAGTGGTAAAAAGAATTGCGCCTTTGTTGCTGTGCGGAATATAGTCGATTAATCGAGCTGACTCATGGCTTTCATTGTCCACTCCTACCAAGACCTGAGAGTCATCGGCGTTGTCGACGATCATTAGCCAATCGCCTACGTTTGCTAAGCTTAATGTCTCCTTAACAAGTCGCTTAACGTCCGCGTTGTCATCGCTGATCCCTGGTATACGAAGACGGACTCCAATCTCGCGATAGGCAAGCTTGAAACTCTCTTGACTCATAGCTGGCACCCAGAAAACTAAGCGTTTAGCGTGTCCCGCAAGTGCGCGATACGCAAACTCAAGAGAAAGCGCTGATTTTCCACATCCTCCTAGTCCATATATAGTTATCCGTCGGTGGGTATTAGGTGAAAGGAGGGCTCGTTCGATCGACTGGAGTTCGCTGTCTCGTCCGACGAAGAGCTCGTTTCGTGGGAAAGGTAGAGACACCGAGACTACAGGTTATTAGCTAAGTGCGGTCCGTGCAGTGCGATGCTATTCGAGCCAAGCTCAATACACACCGGACAGGTCTTGCACATCTACATTCTCCCGTCCTTGCTGCCGCTTCTGAATCTCGTCCTTGAGACGCAGCGCCGCATACTCTTCTCCCTCACCATATATGAGCGGCAGGAAGACCCCAAAGATGCCGAGCAAACAGTACACTCTATCCTCTTTTACCGTCGTTGTGCGTTTCGCCGCCCAGCTCATCCGCTCCTCAATGCTGAACTCGGTAAGCCTTTGGCCTCTTAGCGCATCGATAGATATGCCAGTAATGCTGTGTATCTCCTGCTCCAGTGAGATCCTGTTGCCTAGCCGCTTGCGGTCCTGGGAGAAGAACTCGACGCTAGCTGGCGCGAGTAGCTCTTGCAGCGTCCAGCCTCTTGTAAACCACCGACTGCACTGAAAAGCTTGCTGCCACGATATGCGGAAGGCTTCGGCGTTAGTGACCTCATCTGGCACTAGGACGTCTGTCAGGTATACATAGCACTTAACTGCGCGCTGGTACCAGCGAAACATAGAGTTAATCGCTGTGCTCAGCTCGTCGCTCTTAGACTTGTCGATGCAGCAGGTGTCCACCCAGAAGTACTCGAGGCCGTCTGCTGCAGCTCGCTCGCCGCAGAAGCGGATCTTAGCATAGCCGCGCTTGTCTGCGCCTGTTCCCGCCAACAGCTCATTGTATGTAACTTCTTGGCCGTCCGTCCAGGTGTGCGAGAGGATGGCGTACGGAGGAGCGAGGTCGTCGCCGAAAGACGTCAGCTCGAAGCCGCCGCCTGCTGGGAGACTCTTAAGAAGGCGCATTGTGTTCCGGCATGTTCTGTCTGGAATGCTAGCAGACTCGGTCGCGGTGCGTGGCACAGACGGGCAGAGGTAAGCGTTGCAGGGCAGCAGGGAACATCTCTGTTGCGCACAAATATGAAGTAGGCTGCGAGCAGGCAGTTGACGAGCATGTAAGACGGCATCGCTGTGAGAGTTCAGCTGTGCTTAGCCGCAACCTTCATGCGCGCATAAGGCGCAGCGAATCTAGGCGCATGGCAGTGACTTGCTCCAAGGCGGTTTTGGGGGGGCTGAGCCTAAGTAAGCATGCATTTCAGTAACTACAGTAAGTTACGATACAGAGACATCTAAGCACGCTACTGCAGGCTACTACACGCCAAGTACAGCGATAGTGCTATGTCCGTGCAGACACGTTTTCGCCATCTTGCTGTCCGCGCGGAACACTGCTAGAAGGCATATTCTATAGCTTAAATTAATCTTTCGAGACAGCGATTCTAATCTTTAAGACCTAAGCTTCCTTTCTAAGCTTCTAAGAAGTTACTAAAGACGGGTCGTCGCGCGTTAACAGGGGGGTATTTGGAGGAGGTCGATTAATTGCAGCGATAGATCGGCCTACAGCGCGTCTAAAACTACGCTCTCCTTCGTCGGAGGCTGACGTGCCAGGAGGGCTGCAGCTGCAGAATGGATGAGCGTTGAGCTTGACTCAATACAGTGGCGCTGGCCCAACGCCGAAGGTCCGGATGAAAAAGCGTCCCGGTACACAGGGTGTCCCGCCACGCAGGGATAGACGTTACACCAAGTACAAGCTTATTGTGTATTGGGCTGTGGGTAGGAATCTTCCGAAAGAGCTTGCTGATTTGGTTTTAAGACATAGGCTCCTTGCTATGAATCTTCCAGAGAATCGTAGTGTTTTTAAATCTAGGAAGGTGGGTTTCGAGTGCGGGAATAGAACGACCGAGGCAATACGGGACGAGCTTCTATGACAAAGAAAGTCAATTTGCATATCAATGGACACGCAACTTTATTTGCTACAATGTGCGAGCGGGAGTGCTATGTGGCGTAGGTAATAGTGCGAAAGGGATTGCTCGACTTGGACGAAACACTATTAGAAGGGGTCCCAGCTCAAGCATGGCGCAACGAAACCAAACCAAAAACAGTATCAACTCGGCCAATTCTCTTTGTTAATTCACTGCCCGGTCTTGTTAGCGGTCTCTGATAACCGCCCGCTGTAGATCTCATCGACACTCTCGACTTGGACAGCGACGTCGTAGTGGAGGACAAGTCTACCGTTTACAGGTAATTCAACCCTAGACCTTTGGCAAGGCCTGGGGCTGAACGTAAAGCTTGATGGACATCCACAAATATATAAAGCCACTCACGCATGTAGCTAATGCGTGCTCTCGGCTCACCCTCTCCCGTCATATGCTGACCTCTCTAGTGCCAAGAAAGCTTCCTTCCGTCGCTACTACATTTCAATTTCAGTTGTATTTCCTTTGTCAAGAGCATAGCACACGGGCGTCTGTTTGACTTTTGGAAAAGTGCTAAGAAGCAAAGAATCCCGACGCCGACACCCCAGCAGTGGCCACGATCCTCTCCACAACCAGGGTTTCGGCATCCAAATTTCTACCTTCGGCTACTGGAACTGATTCATCAAAGGCCTCAGAGACAAGCTCCGCAGACCGTACGTCTACCATCTTCTCTACTACCTCTCACACACTTGAACTGCTTTCAAAAACCACGCCATACCGTTCAAATGCGATCAGAAGCACCACTACGATAATGATTACCCAAACGGATGCATCTACACCATCCATCCCCTCAACGTCACCATTGAGCACTGTCTTACAATCCTCAGCATCGCGGAATAAACCCGTGCTAGGCGACAAAACCGTCATCGGTTTCTCCGTCGGCATCGGCCTATCCGTGCTCATCCTCGTATCTGGAATTGCAGCTTTCATACGCAAGAAGCGTTCGCAAATACACGACACGCAACAACACCATCCAGAGGTTGTTAGTAGTCCGCTATCATCGCCAACAGGACTAGTGGAGAAGTACGGATGCGACAGAATGGATATATGGGCAGCACCAACAATATCAGAAATGGAAGGGAGAATGAAGAGTTATGAGTTGCAGAGCGATATACGGCATGAGATGCAGAGGGCAGATTACGACATGCTAGGGGGCAGAGGGCATCAGTTGCAGGGGCCTGAAGCAGGGGGACAAAAGTAGGATACGAGGGCGCATGGCGACATGAGATAAATGTACATGGTGGTTATTCCAAGCTGGTAGATACGCATTTGGTTGAGGCGGAGGAAGGCAGTTGGGAGTGCAGGAAGATGTATGATGTCATACCCCGTGGTAACGCGTTCAGCCAACGCGACAACACACAACCTAAACGATCGTAACACCAACGACCCGTGAAGTAAATGCTAAACTACTTCTCTGTGACTCTTTATCGTAAATCTAATGGAAGATCTGAGAAAAGAAAGAAAACTAAATCGCGACCCCACATCTGCAGACGTGGTTCATCATGACATCAAGAACAAATCCCAAGTGGGGGTGGGTACCTTGCACTTCTACTTACTGTACTATGATGGCATAGTTATAATTTCGAGCGCACTACCATAAACAAGACTACTTTACCCCGCGCAAACAAACTTCATAACAATCTTCAGCTTCATACCAACGAGTTTGCAAACCTCACTGTTCAACCACACATACCTCTCTACAACGCAAGTTACCAACTTCACGCAAACACAACATGCCTCGCGCCGTAGCACCCCCACCATCTGGCGAGTTCCAAATCCTCCTCAGCAAGCCCTTCTCTGGTATGTTGTATTCCGTAATGATGGGAAAAAGGACACCCGTGCTAAAAAAGCACGTTTAGGCGCACCAACACACATGATCGAAGTCATCGGCGAGCCCAACCGCTCAGCTAGCATCCGCATGTCCAACTACAACGGCAGCGCCAAGTCCTCAGAGAAGAAGGGCGATGTACCTCAGTAAGCTTTGCCCTTCCATCCTCTCCCACTGGTCCAGTACAGCCACTAACATATCTCCCCCTCTTACAGAGACGACGTCCGCGAACTCATGAGCCTAATCTCCGCCCTTCGTGGATTCCCATCACACCCCAGCAAGGATGTATATGGCCTGGACACAAAGGTCGACTTGAACACATTTGAGATTCAGTGGAGTAACCAGGATGATGATGCTGCGATGGAGGGAGGGGAGCTTGCAGGTGAACAGAAGGACGAGTTCAAGAGGATCGTGGATAGCATTGAGGCGCTTGCTAGGCAGTTCGCTAAGCAAGATTCGGCCGTGTAGATAAATAGTTCCGAGCGAGGAGGTGGTTAATGCGTTGATATCTTGCGATCACTCTAAACACTTCTTGGTTTTCTTTTAGACTCATCTCTCAATCTCCACCCCATACACTTCTCTTACACCTGAGTATCATGTCTGAGCTCTTCCCTCATGTCCCAACTCATACATTGGCCGTTCAGAAGACAGCTCATTTCTCCGATGATTCAGCCCATCCACTTCATAGCTCTGCACAGCTGGGAATTGTACACCAGGCTTAGCCTCGGTAGGCGTTCCGTACTGCAAAAGTCCTCCACCCACTGGACTTTGAGGTGGCACGACCAATCTCGCTTCCGCAATCCGCCTCTTCCTATTCTCCCAGAACAATAAGCCAAGCGCGATAAGCAGAGGTACACCAAGTCCAGCGGCGATGCCGATTTTCGACATATCTGTCTTATAGTTGATCTTCTTATTGTTGCTCTCAGGAACAGCAGGGCAAAGCGAGGAAGAAGGCGATGTATCAGCAGGCGTTGTCTGATTGAGCTCCCACGGCCTCTGAATGATATAATCGCTCGTCACATTCCCCGCAATCAGAAATCTAGTGTTTCTACAGCAATTCTCGGCGCCACCATCCAACACGCCGCAGCAAAATTCCCATCCGTCGTACAGTTTACACACTGCTATGTCGTAGCCCTCGCCATTGCAATATTTCGGACAGATACCCTTCCCATTGGCGCCGTACTTCCAGTCTTTGATGGTGCAGCTGCCAACGTAGAGGGTCGCGAATTGGCTGAGGCATAGCGTGTCGCCAATGCATGTATCGGTTGTGGAGCAGCAGTGCGAGATCTCTTGCGTGGTTGGGGAAATGCAGGGGCGGTGGCCTTTGGCGATGTTGTTGGATGTATCGTAGCAGACGCGGTTATCGATTTGACCAAGTACAAGCGAGGTTTTGTATATGAAGAGAAGGATGGACGATCTGGTGCGGCGCATGGTGGGTATGGTGGAGAGATGTGCTAGAACTGACGTCTAGCATGCGCTACCACGATATCGAATGGGGCGAAGTCAAAACTTGGGGTAATATGCAGACAAAAGTGGCTTCCATGGGGTATATATGAGAGATTCTCCGTAGGATTGCAATCTTTAAGCGCTGGCTGGTGCATTTACGCTCCAGGGCCCGCCCGCGCCTACCAAGCTTTTCTCCTTGACAATGGATTGTTCCACTTGGTGATCTACTATGAGAAAAGACAGCAATGAGAAGGTAGATGAAGAAATCATACCCTCGGAGAATATGTATTCGTTGTCGTCAAGATTTTGCTCCTGTCATTTGCCTGTGAGATGGAAGCAAATAGTACCTTGGTGAGGCACTCGGCCCCCACAATGCGAAGATCAGGCGCCCTCTCCGCCTCATGAAGAATAGCGGCTGTTTTTGAGGTCTATCTGGGCATAGATAAAAGTTTATCATTGACGGGGAAGACTTAAATAGATTGTTTTGCGTCTAGGCTTCAATGGCATACTTCCATAACGCTGCGATTCTCGGTTTCCATTTCTCGAGAAAGGGCTGTGATTGGAAAAGTGATCGGAAAGTCACAAGAACTGGAAGTATTCGTCACATATTAGTGCATGTTGATGCTGAACACTCCGCGGACGATATCGCGAGCCCTTGTAGCATCATGAGCAAGCGGGGTACAAACAAACCATGTCAACATCTTCCCACACCGTCGTCATACAACACATACTCTAATCTTACACTCAGACACCGTGGTCGAACGCATGCCTCACCTTAACTCACAATGAACCACGTGTCTTTACGGTTCCTCACTCCACGCCACGCCACCCTTGCCTCATGTAGCAACGGCGCGCGACTCGGCCCTTCACTATCGCCGCAGCACATTACTCAACCACGCGCCCGCACCCGGTATAGCGCGAGTCATGCACCATGGAGAACTGGCAGCGATTCAAATCAACGTACGAATTCAGGGTATGGTTCTAGCAAAGAAGCGCTGATGAGTTCTGAATAACGGCCTCAGTTACTACTACGACAAGGCTTTCACCCCGGAACTCTATTATCCGCTTGGTCCCATACCATCCAATGTTCATGACCTTGTGCCCCTCGTGAGACGCATAAAAAACTTCAAGAAAACGGAGCATCGTTATCCTCCTGTGTTTAACGAGGATCGCACGGTCGTTACAGGCTTAATGGACAGGATAGGCGAGGGTGGATGGACGATAGACAAGGCCATTGATTTCTACGCACTGAAGCAACATCCCTTCATAGGGGAAGAAAATATCTCAAATAAACAATATTTCTTCACAGACGAACAAATTTTCCACGCAAACGAACAACACGCACCAGCGTATGAGGTAGACCAGATCGATTCGACGATAGTTCGGCTACACAACGCACTAACCGCCAACAAGCTCCTTGCTACACTGCATCAAACATTATGCCTACATTATGCCTATTGTCCAAAGACTGTAGGATAGTCGTCGCCTTTACGCGTTATCTGATATATAGAAAGATGATACTGCAGAACCTCCAGGATTATCCCAACGACCAATTTACGAGTGAGGAGAAAGCAATCATGGAAGCTGCGATAGCAAAAGCGACTGAGACGACGAGATTGGCACGCGAAAAAGGTTCCGAACTCCTTGCACTCGTCCAATGGCTTCGTCGTCTCGATCATACCACTGGGCGCCTCATAGAGTGCAAGCGAGAGATCAGTAATCTTAAATGGAAGATAGCACATCCACAACGTGCTCTAGATGACGCAAAAAATCAGAATCCCATGGATGTCAGACCATACCACTCTTTTTTCGATAGGGATTTACCACCCACACCAGGAAGCTCCACAAGCTCCAGACCAAACTCTCCCTTTCTCAATGACGTTCCTCATACTCCGCGTCATCCTCCTCCCTGGAACCACCAAAAAAACCCTAAACCAACCAGCCAAAAAACCTCAACTGTCGGAGAAAACGAACAGCCAACCCCGCCAGACATCCACGAACCATGGACGACATATTCAACACATTTAACACTCGACCCCATCGATCTTCCGGGAAAAGAAGAAGCAGTGAAGAAGTAGATGCTCGAAGAAAGGAAGTTTATCTCAAGTGGTCTAAAGTGGTTGAACTGTTTGCACAGGATTTCAATGATAGGTTTAGACCTGACTGGGGTTTAAATCGCAGCAAAGGTAGTAGTTCAAGGGAACAACGGAGAGGAGAAGAGTGATCTGGTGAGGTGGTTGAGAAGGTGGGGTTAGATGTTGATGAGGGAGGGTTTTGCTTGGGAGGGTTGTATGGGTGGGTTGTAAGGTGCAGGTCAGGATGGGATAGGATGCGATGGAGTGGGATGTGAATACAAATACTTGCCCAAGAGGAGTTAAAAAAAACTTCCCGGGGTAGCAATTGCGAGCCGTCAAAAATAATACCTAGCACATAGCATTCAAAAGGCATGAAAACCTCAGAGGCCATATGTATAACTGGGCTCAAACAAAGACACCAGCATATCGCTGACTTAATTCATAATCACCACATCATCATTCATTCACCTCAACTCCCCTCTAAACCTAACCGTCCCTTTCACACTTGCACCAGCTACTTTGCGTCTAAATCTTGTACACAATACCCCCAGAAAACATTATCTTATTCCTCTCACTCAGCGCCTCAAGCGCCTTCTCCGCTTCCTCATTGTCAAACGCCTCTCTTCCAGTACCGCTTCCTAATCGCGCATTCACCGCAGCAACCAAGGGCTCCACGTCCGCAGCGTCGTTTGCAAAGAGCGGGCCATCGATGAGCTGGCCAAGCGCTGTTTGGAAAACTTGCAGACGCGCAGGTGTGATGCCTTGTGAGTCTTGCGATTCGGTTTGTGTGGCGGGGAGTTGGGATTCGGGTTGTGAAGAGGCGGCGCTGACTTGGGAGGATTGGGTGCGGGTGTTGGTGCGCTGGGTTGTGCGTTGTGTCTTTGGCGTGACGTTGTAGAGATCCTCGTTGTCTTCGTCCCCGCCATTTGTGGCCGCAGGAGTGCGTGTTGTTCGTTGGCTGCGAGTTGACCGTCCTCCATTACGCTGAGGCTGTGTGGTTTCTTGTTCGCCGCCATCTTCGTCATCACCTGAAGACTCTTCGTCCGTAGACATGGCATCCGGATCGCGGACTGTCCGTCTTCGCTTGCGGCGGTCATCCTCGACTACTTCCTTGAAGAGAGCGAATCGTAAGATCTGTTCCGCAATCTCCGCATCTTTCTGCTCCACCCGCTTGGAAAGACGGGCCTTTGCGTGTGCAGTCGAAAGACGGATGAGTGTTTCGAGAGTACGTGCCGTGATGGGAGAAGTGCGGCGCGTGCCTGCGTCCAGTTCGTCATTGCGCAGGGCAGAGTAGGCAGCCACGATGTTATCCGACGCGCCCTTAGTAAGAATCGGCTTTTCTCGTTTCGCGTACTGAATGTACTTCTTGATGAAGGGGATGCTGAGAACTTCAGTTCTCCGTGAAGCGCCTCGCCCAACTGTGATAGTAACTCCCGAGTGCAACATGGGGTTGAACTTCTCGTAAACTTCGGTTGGGCGATTCGCATCAGCATCAGTCTCAAGACCAACACCTAGAAGCTGGGCACCCTCCTCGCGAACCGGCGCGCCCTCCTCAGTGCCCGGTTGGCGATATCGGTGCATGCGTAGAACGTGCTCCGAAATCTGCCTGTCGCGCGCGTCCTCGATGTCATCTGTTACGACGAAGAGCAAATCGAAACGCGAAAGAAGAGAGTCTGGCAGGGCGATGTTGCGGTGTGGGTCTTTGTGGATATCATACTGGCCAAAGATGGGGTTGGCTGCAGCAATAACACTGCAGCGAGCGTTGAGCGATGTATGAATACCAGCCTTGGCGATGGTTACCGTCTGCTGCTCCATTACTTCGTGGATAGCAACCCGGTCGACGTCAGACATTTTGTCAAATTCATCAATACACACAACACCACGGTCGGCAAGAACCATGGCACCAGCTTCTAACCGTCGTTCACCCGTCTCTTTGTCCGAGGTGACAGCCGCCGTGAGACCGACACCGGACGACCCACGACCAGTTGTGGCAATGGCGAGTGGAGCAGTGTTCAAGACGAAGCGGAGCAACTGTGACTTGGCGGTTGAGGGGTCACCGACCATGAGTATGTTGATGTCTCCTCTCAGATGCGTGCCGTTGTCAAGATTCTTTTCTTGTCCTCCCAAGAGGAGCAACAATATCGCCTTCTTGATATAGTCGTGGCCGTATATAGACGGAGCCAGCGATTGAGACAGAAGCTCGAAGACACGCCTATTCTTTGCGATCTTGTTGATGTTGCGGATGTCGGTGTCTGTAATCGAAACCTGGGCAATCCCACCGCCCGACTTTGAGGATAATAGGATGACGTTGTTCGCGAGGATCAATGTGCGGAAGGTCGAGCTGCCAGCTCCGGCATTGCGGTTGCCGAGTGATCGATAGATACCGACAAGCTGGATACGGTCGCCGGGCTTGACACGGTCTACAAGGTCGTCATCTAGAATGACATCGACTGATCGCGGGAGTTGTCCGGCGGGAGCGCGTTCAGGCATCTCTTGGATGGAGATGGTCTGGTGATCGCGGTATGTGCAGTAGCCGTATTCAGTGATGAGGGCATTTCCGTCTTCGTCTTCTGTTGGGTATACGCTTGTACTCGCTGCGCCAGTAGTCATGGTCTGGTCTTCGTATGCTCTTGCGTGAAACTTTTGCTTGGCCTCGTTGTAGTGCACGCTCTTGGTGACCTTGGGCCGTACAAGAGATGTCTTTGTAACGATACCCTCCAGCGACACCATATGGTTCAGCTGGTTGGAGCTGAGTGTACGGGGATTGACCGAGTACTCGCCAAAGCTGCCAATGTATGCGCAATAGTATACAACATCTTCGCTTGTCTCGGACTTGGGTCGGTCGGTGAAGGTACCGACAACTTGCTTGAGGGCAATGTTGAAGGCTTCTGAAAAGTCAAAGGGTTGATTGAGAAGGCCGTCGGCAAGTTCGCGGTTGTGTGAGCGTATCTCGTCTATGCTGACTGTGAGTCTCCGTAGTCCTCTATTTAGCATCACCAGAATATCTGGTCGGTAGCTAGAGCGGTCAGTGTCTACCCTTTCTTCTAGCAAGTAATTCCGGCATACCTGCGACTGGATACATCGACTATATAGACTTAGTATTGATTTGACGCCCTGTTTCTGCTCAGCATACCTGGGTCGAGAAACTCAGCGGCCAGTCGCACGCGCTGCCGTTTCTCTTCGTCTCTAATCGGCTCGGCCATGTTGTGATGGAAAGATGCCCGGGATCAAGCGATTGAATGCTGCAAAAATGACGTGCGATACAAGCAAGCGAGAGGAATCGAACGGCGGGCTATCAATACGTGACTTGTTTTGCGCTGTTGCCCTGGTGAAGTTCCGAGGGGCAGATTCAGGGTGCCCAGGCGGGCAAGCGCGACTTCTTGATCGCGTCTGCACTAGTCCCGGTTCGGGACGCGTCTCGAAACCCATTAAACCTACCCTTCCAGCCTAGCAGCAACACGTAGTCATCCCATCACTCCCTGTCGTCTTCAGCTTACCCATCTGTTTGTGATTCGACGTTTCGAGCCGCTGCCCTGGTCTTTGCCCTCTCACTGCCTAAGTAGCGACTCCCATGTCCAAGTCCAATCACAAACCACACACGATGAGAATCTCAATCAACAGCTTCTTTCCCTCTGAACCCCCACACACAATCCATGACGTATGAAAACTCGTGTTCGAAGTTATCTTGAGAATTTACAAGGTCACTCCATGCCAGATACCTAGACATGAAAAGCTTCCCTAGCAAAACCACCCCGCACGTCGGATGCACTTCGGGCATGTGTCCCAGCTCAGTCGTTGCCCGTATCACGTCAACACTGCCCAGGGAGGACTGTGGATCGTAGCGACTAAGCACTACCGGATGGTCCGATGAACCCCGCTAACACCGCGAGTACCCGGCACGACCTCAAGACTACATGAGGGGAAATGGGGAAGCCCAGAATACATTAACAAGAGCTGTGCCTCATTCATCCTCAAACATCTTGAATACCTCATTCAATTAGCACTACCATGGCTCCCCGCGTTTTTCTCATCACTGGCTGTTCGACTGGCTTTGGAGAAGAACTCGTCAAGGTTGTACTCCAAAAGGGCGACTACGTCGTCGCCACTGCGCGCAACTCTTCCAAGCTCTCATTTGACGGAGCCAACGACACCAACAGTCTGCTTGTGGATCTCGATGTAACGAAAAAGGACTCCATCGACAAGGCTTTTGACGCAGCCGTGAAGAAATTCAAGCGCGTCGATGTTGTCGTTAATAACGCCGGATATGGTCTCAATGGTCCATTTGAGACTCTGTCAGACAAGCAGATCAGGAAGCAGATGGATATCAACTTCTTCGGTCTGGTTGATGTGACCAGAAAGGCCATAGAGACTATGCGTGAATTGAAGACTGGGGGTGTCATCCAGCAGATTACCTCCATTGGTGGCCAGATCGGTGAGTATCCAGGCTCTACGAAAAGATTTCTTGCTGATGAAAACCAGGGTTTCCCAACTTGGCTGTTTACTGTGCCAGCAAGTTCGCAGTCGAGGGTTTTACCGAAGGAATCTCGAAGGAAATGAAGCCTGAGTGGGGTATCAAGTTTACAATCATCGAGCCAGGCGGCTTCCGAACCGATTGGTCTGGTCGCAGCATGGAGTTTGGCGAGATCCCGAACTCAGCCTATGCCCATGTTGACCCCAAGAAGAGTGCTCAAGCACGCCACGGTAATCAGGCTGGAGGCACGTCACATATGCTAACTGAAGAGTGAAGCATCTGCTGACGAGACGAACAGATCCACAAAAGGCTGCCAAGGTCTTCTACGACCTAGCAGTTATGGAGAATCCACCGATTCGATGCGTGGTCGGAACCGACGCGTATAGTATGCTGACCAAGCACCTGGAAACACACATTGAAAGTGTTAAGACGTTTGAAAAGTTGAGCAACAGCACAGACGTCGATGGGTACCAGGCCCCCTCTTAGACCTTGAACAGGAAAGTGGGGAGAAACATGGGACTATCGAATAAGGCAGGGGGCACACAGGAAGCATCGGGTTCTCGCTACTATGTCGTCATATTCAAGCCCTTTTCGAAACATCTCACTCGCTTCTATTCGCAAATTCAGCTCCGTTTGTCCACTCACATCGTAGTAGCAGCCAAGTCATTTTGTTCCGCACGCTGTACGATACACTGGAGAACACTTACATCCAATTCGGCACCTTGCGCCAAAGGAGGATCTTGGCTGCAAGGTGGCGTGTCGTCACACACATGTGGTGTTGTGTTCTCTGCCACGTTGGCTCCTACCAGCAAGTCCGACTGTGCTTACTAGGTGTCAGCAACATATTACTGACAAATAGCATTTACACTTTTAGGTTTGGGAATTTCTACGTCGCGATACCAAGACAGTAGAGCACTAACACTATGCGCAATGCAATAACCACCATCCAAAATAGAGTTGTACAACGTCCCACAAAGTGCATTGGCACGATATAGACCAGCGAATACAACGCACGTGGCTATTATCAGCCATCTAAAAGAGATATACCAATTGGGAAAACATCGCTGACATCACTAGTGTTAATAGAGTGGTACATCAGCCAGCAATGGTGTAGAATCGTTAATGTCAGCACTTCACATATCCGGTCAACTACGTGACCTCACAGAATGACAGGTTTTACATGCTAGACAACACTACCATTCGAACAAGACCCGAGTTTGGCAATGTGACACGGCGCTCTTCACCACTTTCAGGTCGGAAGGGTTACTGTTGTTGGTCTAGCTCTTCTGTCGCGAACGATTTTCCGCCACAACCTCCGTACCAAGAGGCTCAGAAACAAACATCTGACTCCCATCTGATTCGAAAGTTCAAAGTCCCATGATGAAGTTGATGGGTCATGGCGAGAAGACAAGGTGTTGGCGAGGCGCTTGCACGAATCGCTCCAACCAACCCTGTACTCATGATACAACTCTTGCAGCTAACCCCGGTCACGAGAAGTGAAGTTGACACAACAACGAACTCGACCGTTCACATTGTGACTGTCGTGCCTGACACCTTGGCGCCAGGCGCACCGTGAACGCAGGACTGTCTCATGGTCAATGTTCAGCGTGTGGCCCCCTGACGCTTTTGTTTTTTCCTCATCCATATAAGCTGCTACCTTTTTCTGCACTTTTGGTCTCCTATATCACTTTCACAACCAAAGATTAATATTTGTTTTCACATCATGCGAGGCTTCGGAACGATAATCCGTGATTCCGGTCCTGCTCGTTCTACCACTGCTTTATTCACTGCGCTGCTGGTCACCAGCGCTACCTTCTTACCGCTCTTGATACAGGGTGCTGTCGCAAACCCTGTTCCTATATCGCTACCAGATCCGCAAAAACCTGTATATACATCTTCAGCTGGTCTGTACCCGAATCCAGAACCATGTACCGGAAACTGTTCGTGGATTCATGACCCCAGTATCTACTATGAGAGTGGAACTTACTGGCGGTTTTCAACCAGTGGAAATATTGCAATCGCATCTGCGCCCTCTTTAGGGGGGCCCTGGAGTTATGAGGGTGCCTTGTTGACGAATGGCACGAGTATAAAAGTGGTTGACAATCAAGACATTTGGGTGAGTGTAGATTCTTTACACCACCACAGTGATGTACCAATCAACCTTTCTGACAACAAATAGGCACCGTCAGTTACCAAACGGGGCGATACTTACTACTGTCATTATTCAGTTTCCTGGATCGGACGTCAAGACTCAGCTATTGGTGTTGCCACGTCCAAGTCGCTCAAGCCAGGCACCTGGGTAGATCACGGGACCGTCGGACTTCCACTTTCCAAAGACTATAATCTCATCGACCCCTTCATCTACCAAGAAAAGCCAGATAGCCCAATTTACTTCACCTTTGGCTCGTACTGGAACGGCATCTACCAAGTTGAACTTTTTTACCATGACAACTTGCTTACTTTTGGCGGCTGGGCTCAGGAAAACAACCGTATCTCTAACGTGATCCGGAATACCTCGACCAACGCCGCCGTTGTCGAGGGCGCCACCATGCATAAGGAAAAAGACTTTTACTACATGTTTTACAGTGTCGGTCAGTGCTGCAATATACCCAAGAACGGTTTCATTGGTGCACGCGATCTCGCCCCCGATGGTTTGGTGTATCACGTTGTCGTCTGTCGGTCAAAGGCACCTAACGGACCGTTCCAAGACCGCGATGGCAAGAGCTGCTTGAACCAAAATGGCGGTACGACGATCCTGGCCAGTCATGGAGACATCTACGCGCCTGGTGGACAGGGCATTATGATTGACCCGCGGAGTGGGCGGACAGTAATGTACTATCATTATGGTAAGTCGGACAACACAAGACTATTGCGGTAACTGGGCTAACGTGTGTGCAGTTCGTCCGAGTGTCGGCTATGCAGCCGAACAGTTTCTTTTTGGATACAACTACCTTGATTGGAAGGACGGCTGGCCTGTTGTCGTTGGTGCTTGAAGACGCTAGGCGATATGCCAACACATGGTTCTCACCGCATCGGAACATTTTCATGTTTTCTTTTTTTTGTATAGATTAACGGCCGCTTCCGAGCTCGTACTGGATACTGCGAGCTCATGTTTAGCAAGACGTTTGGTATTGACGTTTGGTATGTTTGGTTTGGATAGATTTGGGATGACAGGCATTATTATAGACATAGATATGGCTGGGTGGTATAACGCGGGTCGTTTGATAGCGTTTGGTTGATCTACATTGTTAGAGGATATGACTAGTTATGGTTACAGTTGCGATGGCGACCATTACTGTTGGAATGTTGAAGGAAAATGAGTATCGCTAGGTAATTTTTTCGAATGCGATTCTCTGTGCTTTATCATGAGATGCAGGCGCGTGTGAAGCATGATCCGTCGAAATGGGCCAGGCTTGAACACATGAACAGTAAGCAGTCGCGTGACAAAGAAGGTAAAGGTTGAGGTCCGATCTAGCAGCCGCTAACTTTACGCAAGCGCAGTGGGTATCAGAAAGTTTTCCATGCACCGCGCAACTTAGTACGGAATCAAGACGCAGAGCTTTCAAAGTCTGCATTTCCGATATACTTGGTTAATCGAAGTGTAGATAAGCTATACTTAGAAAAACTGGAAAGAGTTGCGAGAGGGGTCAAAGTGGGGATCATCCACGTACGCAAAACCTAAGGCGTGACGACGACGTTTGGAAAGACCTTCCCTTAGAGGAGCATCAGGCGATGCAACATTAATACAGCAATAATACCGAGTCATGTAGCTCAGCCGCAGTGAACGGGCGGTTAGCGAAGGTGCATGTCTGGTGGTCGAAAACGGCTAGCACCCGGTGACGTCAGGACCCGATCGCACCCTTCTGGTACATGGCGCACCACTTACCTGCAAATCAATTGAACAGTGAACAGGTTTATCGACCCCTGCGGGTCACTACAAGACCAGCGCTTTCCCCACCGCCTCTGCCCTACGCCTCACTCTCCAGCCTCTCTCCCAAGCCTCAAGCCTCACCCCCCATCATCGCCATTGCATTGTTACCCCGCACGATTGCTGATCGCTGCGCACGGCCGGCAACATGTCTAAGGAAAAGGGTCTTAAGAAATTCTTCCATCCCTTCAATCATCGCGCCTCGGAGAAGATTGAGGAGATTGAACAGAAGCTTGAGCACACAAAGTTGAGGGGTGCGCATATCAAGGCCGTGCACGTGAAGCATAAGATTGGCAAGTTTACAAATCTCTTCAATGCCAACCATCGCCATGACGAGAGCATGAGAAGGAGACGGATGCGAGAGAGCAGATCGCTGAGAGCCACCGATTATAGTTCGCACCAGACGGGATGGTATCTAGTGAGTGGTACGTCGATGGGAGGGACTACTTCTGGGCGGTTGCCGAGGCCTTGGAACAGGCAAAGGAGACCATTTACATTGCGGATTGGTGGCTCAGTCCGGAACTGTTCTTGAAGCGCCCGCCTTATTATAACCAACAGTTTCGGCTGGATCAAGTGCTCAAGAGACGTGCCGAGGCTGGCGTGAAGATTTACATTTCTGTGTACAAGGAGGTACGAATGTCACTTATTGCCTGGTGACCAACCACTCATATTCACAGGTTTCTGCTGCTCTTACGTGTAACAGCCAACACACAAAGAAGGCGCTCATGGGCCTGATCGAAGAAGGTCAGCCTGGCTATGGAAACATCAAGGTAATGAGGCATCCGGATCACAACGTCTTCGAAAACGCTTCAGATATGACGTTTTACTGGGCGCATCATGAAAAGTTCATTGTTATCGACTATGCCATGGCCTTTATTGGTGGACTGGATCTGTGCTACGGCCGATGGGACGAGAAGCAACATCCGCTATCCGATGCGCATCCCTCGGGTGTGCAGAATCAAATCTTCCCCGGTCAGGACTACAACAACAACCGTATCATGGACTTTGAAAGTGTCGATGACTGGAAGTCGAACAAGCTCAACAAGCTCGAGTTTGGTCGCATGCCATGGCACGATGTGGCAATGGGCGTCATTGGACCGGCGATCTATGACATTGCCGAGCACTTCGTCTTGCGGTGGAACTTTGTGAAGCGAGAAAAGTACAAGCGTGACGAACGATACGACTGGCTTACCATGGAAGGTCGAGAAGGCGCTGACGAAGACCTCATCGGCGTACAACGGCCCAAGTTTCCCGTAGGCGACTACGTACACCATCCCATAACTCAGCTGAACACCAAAAATCTCGAGAACCGCGGCACAGTACATGCACAGCTCGTGAGGAGTAGTGGAGACTGGAGTATGGGCATTGAACCTCATGAGCAGAGTATCCAAAACGCTTACTGCGAGCTCATCCGCAACGCGAAGCATTTTGTCTACATTGAGAATCAGTTCTTCATCACGGCAACTGGCAAGCATGACGAGAGTCCAGTCCACAACCAGATCGGTGCTGCCATTGTTGATGCAATTGTATCCGCCGCCAAAGAGGAGCGCAATTTCAAGATCATCATCGTGATCCCAGCTATCCCAGGTTTTGCAGGAGATTTGCGTGACCAGGCAGCGGCTGGAACAAGAGCGATCATGGACTATCAATTCAAGAGCATCTGCAGGGGAGAAGAGAGCATCTTTGGAAAAGTGAAGGCGGCCGGCTTCGACCCGGAAAAGTACATTTTTTTCTTCAATCTCCGTTCGTATGATCGCATCAATGTCACACCTACGCTCAAGGAGCGCGAGAAGAAGTCAGGGATGAGCTACATGGATCTCGAGGCAGCCGAAATCGATGAGCTAGAGGCACCACCCGCAGAGGGTGGAGATGAGAAGCGACGCATAGCAGCGGAGCTCAGGAAAAAGTACATGGACGAGGAAGAGTCTGTTGGCAAGGGCGATCAGGGCGGTGTCATTGACCCAGACTCTATCGCCGACGACGCCATGCTCACCGAGAAGAAGCCCAGCGAAGAACACTGGGAAGGCGACCCAGAAGACGAAAAGCAGTACTTTTTCCAAGAAGAACTCTACATCCACGCCAAGCTGTGCATCATCGACGACAGAATCGTCCTTTGCGGCTCCTCCAACATCAACGACCGTTCGCAACTGGGTTTCCACGATTCTGAGCTCACCATCGTCCTCCAAGACACGGATGAAATCGACACCATGCTCGACGGCAAACCCTATAAAGCCGCCCGTCTCGCCCACGACCTCCGCAGCAGCCTCTGGCGCGAACATCTCGGCCTCCTCCCCCCACAAGCCCTCAACGCCGCCGACGACCCCAACGCCCAACCACCTGGCGAGGATTCACCAAACGACGCCATGCCTGGCCCCGAAGCAGACTTTGTCTCCGACCCACTCTGCCCCAAACTCTGGGACGAATGGTTCTCCCGCGCCACCACAAACACAGAGGTCTTCCGCTCTCTTTTCCACGCCGATCCCGACGACAACATTCTCACCTTTGAAGACTACGACGCGTTTACCCCCAACCCCAAGGCCGATAAAGAACACAAACAAGGTCATCTTTACGATCTTGTCAGACCTGTCAAAGAGATTAGAGCAGAGTTGGACCGTGTTAAAGGGCATTTGGTGTGGATGCAGTTGAAGTTTTTGGAAAACGCGGATATGGCGGAGAGGGGGTTGCAGATTAATTCTTTCACAGAGAGTGTGTATACTTAGAGGGTTTGGGCGGTGTTGGTTGTAGTTAAGTGGGCGGGGTTTTTGTGGTTTCTTTGCGGTATCGCCTTTTTCTATGGGTTGTTATTGGGGGTCTTTTGATAAACTTGTATGGGGGTGGTGTGGATGATAAGGAAGAGGTTGGCTTACCTATGTTTTTGACTAGCGGTGGTGATGGGATGAATGAATGACATGATATTATATGATAAGGGATGGTGTTTCTGATACACCACAAGAGAGAACATGATCAAGTGTGATAGATAGAATAACAGAACACATTATGACTAATTAACAAGTAACCACATCTATAAGTACACAAAGGTGATGTCGATACTTAGCACTAGCCTTTCTACAACGCAGTATCATCCTACCAGCCAGTACAAAAAAGCAATCAAGATATTACTCAAACCCCGTATTCTCCAAAAGGCAACCACATTGTACCATTCACCCAGCGAAAACAACATGTGTAAAGAACCTTCCTCATGACAAGTTTTTCGGCCCATTTCTAGCTAACCCTTGTATTCTTCAATACCTCTACTATACCCTCCCTTTCTCACACCACCCCACCCCATCGTCATCGTCATCATCATCAATCACTCACTCATTCATTTATCTCCGTCGTTGCACTCATTAGGTTCCTCCAGACTCGACCTCAGCATAACCTTCCAATTTTTCTTCTCCCCAGAGCTCACAAACAATCCGTCTAAGCTCTCCCTGTTCGCTCTAGTCTCCCACTCCTCATCTCTAGTACCTGCCTGCTCCGTACCGCCACGTCCAGCACCCGGCACTAATCTACCTCCAGCCCGGCGGCGGCGGCGGGGAGATGGGATATCCGCGTCGGTGCTGTGATGGAGCTTGAGGATCGGCTGGGCTGCTAGTTTGCCCGCCGCGGGTCGAGGCACGGCCGCGCTGCTGCTGCGGTGAGGACGAAGATTGCTCTTGGGGTTTGTGTTGCTGTTGCTGTAGTTGTAGTTGCAACTAGAGTAATGGTGAAATCAGAGGGCTGGGCAGGTAGGTCCCTTTTTTTACACGTGGGTTTTAGCTTTGCTGTAGCGAGTGTGAGTGTTTGATCTATGGGAGTAGAGACATAGAGGGGAGGGAGGTATTGGGGGGAGACTTACGCATCTCATTATTTTTTGCACGTTCCTGGGGGGAGTGGCCGTTGGAGAGGAAGAGGGGATATTGGTGACTGGGGCCTTGCTTGCTGAGAACGCAGAGCCATTAGTCAAAGAGAAGCAGGAGGCTTCAGCTTCGATTGAAGAGTTCATTGAAGCCTTGATCGGGGTGCGTGGAGGATACGGGGCGGATCGAGATGTCCCCCATTCCCCCTCCCTCCCAACTTCCACTGCTCTTCGCGAGATTCAAGGAGAACCCACGCTCCGGCGTTCATGGGGCCTCGTGCTGATATTGAAGCCTCTTCCCGTCCAGCAAGGGCACGTTCTGTATGCTTCTTGGAAAGCCTCGACGTACTTGCCTTGCTCCTCTCTCATCAACTCCATGTATTCATCCTAATGATCGTCCATCCGTGTAGAGGCAAGACAGGGACGGTAAACAACAAGCTATCCAGCGCTCTCAACAATGAGACCAACATCGCATGGTAGAACCCCTGGAAGAAAACTGAAGTTCCATGAACACACTGGGACGGACGGCTTGCGGTTGGATGAGTCGTGTCGTCCTTGTTACTCTGCTCCGCTTCCTTGCCCCTGGAACGCTGGTTATCATTTGAGTCGTCGTTTACTTTTCGTATGTTCCTGCGTATACACACCCACTTGATCTTTGCGCATGATAGAATGTGGACTTCGTCTCCATCAAGATCGGGGGAACACGGTCATGTATGGCGAGGGTGAGCGTGTCGGTATGTATATTCTCCTAGCTGTGTGATGGTGAGTTCAAAAAGGAGTTTCTTCTGTGTCGAAGTGGCGGATGGTGACCATGCAGGGGCGGTCTCGGAGGACATGGTGAAGATGAAGTGCCTATTAGGAGGGAATTGGGAGGTATATACGGTGGACATGGTTGTGTTGGAAATAAGGTTGTGTGGGAGTAAGTTCGGTTGAGAAGAGGGATATAAGGAAGTGTGTGGGTCGTATAAAACTCCCGCTATTTGGTGTCTGTAAGTGTGATAGGAGACGGAGAGGGTCCAAGAGGGCTGCGGCTCTTATATACTAACGAGACAGCAATCTATAATCCTTGCAAGCTGTTGTTTGCTATTAGTAGGGTTTGGTCACGAGTGGGGGTGAAAACGAAGTGTGTACATCTGGGGAGAGGAAACTTTCGATAAAAGTGAAGCCAAGGGTGAAAAACAAGAGGAACGAGCGCATATGGGCACTCACAAGCGGAGACAGCAAGAGGAAAATGGGATTGTGAAAGAGAAGTAATCACATCATGCAGATGTAGAGAGGGAAACTTCTGATAAAAGCGGACGCAAATAAGCATCGCAAACCGGAGACAGCAAAAAGAGATGGAATCATGCAAGAGAAGTAACCATATCATGTAGTTAAGAACAAAGGAAACTTTTGATAGCAATAAGCGTGGACAAATACCGCATAATGGAAAGCAAGCAGGACCCCTCAGACCGATTGCCCATATCGCTAATATCAAACAACGCACCCTTTTCTACCCATTTTCCCAATTTCTCCAGTGAGCAAACCCTATACGTCCTCTCCATCATGTGTCAGCGCAGAAGCCTCCTTCTCCGCCTGTAGCACCCGCTTCTGCACCCGCACCCGCTCACTCGCCTCTCTCATCTCAATCAGTCTCCCCTTGATAGTGCTTGAGACGTTCAGGGGATGCACAGCACTGAACTCTTCAACCAAGTCCACTTGGTGTAGTCGAATCTGCTGTCTCTAGTGCTTTGCGTACTTTGCTGGGGCAAAAGCGACCACACCATCTCCAGCTCTGAGTTGAGCATAGACAAGTGGGCGCTCGTTAGGATCACGACACCAGGATTCTTTGGCTTGGCCGATAAGAATACTTCCCTCATGGGAACACTTGTTCCGTGGGTCATTCTTTTCGGCGGTCTCAAGCTTTGTTTTGGTTGAAGGGGAGTTTGGAGGTGGTGTGAGGAAGGCGCTGATAGTCAGGGATCTAGAGTCTAGAGTTGGAATAATCTGCTTCGAGCCAATCTTGTCTTCGATCATTGCCTTTATAGCTTCGGTTCTTTTCGGTCCGAAAGGTATCTTCTCTAGTTCGGCATCGTACTCGATGTCGTCCATGTGGATCTGCGCACTGGCTTTGCTAATTGCATGTTTGACATACTTGGCGGGAACAAAGGCGACTACCGAGCCTATTTTTGTGATTATAGCGCGAACGGCTGGGCGAGCGTTGGGGTCCAGACAGCGTTCTGGGAGAGCGCGGCCAATGATGACGCCGGTCTCGAGGACCTTCCTGCTATCACCGACGTCTATAGTGATGGCTTCGCTGAGAGCGGTGGGTAGTGCCTTGGTCGTTGGAATCGGTTCAGTGGATATATTGGGCGTAGAGATATCGGGCGGAATGTTTTCAGGAACGGGTAGATATGGATCCTGATTGTGGTCGTCTGAGGTGTCGTCAAAGTCTTGCGGGATCTTACGCTATACATGTTAGCGAGGCTTAATTACAGCTCGAAAGCACATGCCTTGATCTTAAGACCCTCATCTCCGTATGTGCCGTTGTACCACATCTTATCCTCATCTTTTATCTTCATGAGATCAGCTGAATAGGCATTCTCGATAGATCTTCCCTCGACCGGCTCGAAATGTGCATATAGCACAATTTTGCCATCCACCATGAATTCAGGGTCGAAATAGCCGCCGGCATCCCATTCGCTTGGACTGATCCTGTCTTCGCACGTCTGGCCATCGAAGTGAAGGTATGCATTATAGCGTTCCCATGATTTGTTGAATATGTCATGTGTATGTTGGAGAAGCTCCTGTTTGCGATGAGTGTTTGTACCGTAAGAGTGAGGCGGGTAATCAGATGATAGGGTGTTAAGACGTACCCAGTATTTTCGGGCTCTTTGGGCTGCTATGCGGTAGCAGATGTTCAAGCCCTCAAATTGGCGAACGAGTATCTTTGGAGACGGAATTGGGTCTGAATAGGTATGTGGAAGTGCGATTTTAGAAGGCAAATGATGCAGTCAAAGAAAGACTCCAATACTGGAGCTGGGGCTGTGAGGGTCGGACCTGGATACCGTCGTGCAAAAGACGAAACACTATGCAGGTGAGTGTGACAAAGGCGGTGTCTGAAAATTTCACATGAGAGGGGAAGCGAGAGAGAGAGAGATTGATGAATGTAGTGATATTGAGTACAAACTATGGGTATCATAAGAAACGGATTAGATAAGACGAAGCAAACCCGCAGCCTAAACCAACGACATTGCAGCATGAAGTATTTGTGCATCATTCATGCCGCTGTGCCATTGGAAAACTTTCCATTCTCCTTCCCTCTAGCCTTGCTCTTCTTGTTGTTACCATTGCCAATCGCTGCGTTGCTGATGGCTCGTTTCCTCCGTAAAGAAGGCGTATCTTCTCTATAGTCATTGGCCATTTCTTCTGGCAAGAACTTGCCACTACCGGTCGCTTCCCTAACCAAAACAGTATAAAGCTCATGTACGGCCAGCTGACCCGCACTTGCGTCTTGTGAGGCACCTCCCTCGTCGGAAAAGGACGTATCCGCAAGGGTGTCTGGCGCAATCAGCTTCAGGCGCTCAGTGCCAAGGGAAAAGCTATTGCAGGAGACTCGCGATATTTGGACGTTTGGATGCGATGCGTCGAGGGCGAGGTGGTGCTTTAGATAAGCGAACAAAGCAGCTGTAAAGGGCTTGCTGTGAGTATTCTTCAGTAATCTGCCACGGTCGACAAAGCCTGCAACGTCGGTGCCCGCAATGGTAATCTCGACGTGTTTGAGTAGACTTGTAGTGTTGGGAAATGCAAGTTGGATATGCAATTGTCTTATTACCTGCTGTATTGACAGAGTCGAAGTCTTGGCGGTGAGGTGCTTGAAGTAGGTCTCCAGACTAGATGAGATGAAAGGCGACGGCAGCCGCAATGGCGCGACGTGGGCGTCAAATGTGGTGCGGAGGTAGTTGACGAAAATATCTCGGATCGGGCCCGGCATCTTGACCAGTAGGAGCGGGAGTGAGGTGAAGCCCTCAGGTGAGGAAGTGACGGCCGGGTCGCGCAGAAGGAGCGCATTGTACGACTGCTTCTCGTACTCGAGACTGATTTCAAGCCCACGTGCATTTTCTGCAGTGAGGACAGAAGATATTTGCGACTCATCTATGTCTGCAACATGACGGTCAATCCAAGCATCCTCGTCTCCAAGCAAGTCCCAGCTGCACTCCTCTAGTGGACCCAGCTTGGCCGTGTCTTCGGCGGCAGCAAAGTCGACCTGCACACCGCGCACATTGTCGCCCTTGAGCTGCTCTTTCAGTCGCTTTGCATGGGTACGAAGGGAAGCATCGCGGAGCAGGGGCGTGTCGCCATGGTGCAGTGGGGATATGCGGTACAGGTTGTAAGTCCTGTTGTACAGTGGGTACGGGGGGATGTCGGCCATGATGTCAACTACAGCGTCACGGGACCAGTCGGAGACGCGTGAAGATGATTCCAGAGAGTGGTAGACTTCTTCATGGAAGATGCAATGGAAGTTGGGCCTCGCAGACGCGTCGGTGCTGACTCGTAGATGGTAGTTGTGGCTGTTGCATGATGACGCAGCGCGTGTTGTTGCTGTTGCTTGCTGTGGCAGGGCTCGGTGGTCTGTGTGGCGGCCAAAAACCGTCTTGTGTTGGGCTCGGGTGTGCCCCGCCGTTTAGTGCCATCGAGAAACTTCTGTGTGATTCTCTGCGACAAAGTCGGCCAGCCTTGTTACGTAGGCCAAACAGCGCATATTGAAATTTTGCTCCTGCGTGCAAGTCGATCCCTCACTACTACACCACTACCCAAACCCTTCCCCGCGAACACTCTCCCTACACCACAATTACACTTTCACATCCCACATACCCCGCCATCAGAGATAAACATGTCTGTAGTCGGCGTTGATTTGGGAACGCTCAACAGCGTCATTGCTGTTGCGCGGAATCGCGGTGTCGATGTGGTAAGTACACCATGCAAATTCAATGACTTGGCCAAGTAAACTCTCACTGACTCTGTATAGATTGCAAATGAAGTCTCCAACCGCGCGACACCGTAAGCAACCCCCGAGCCATAGAAAAAAATGTATACAATGACTAACGCATCACAGGTCGCTAGTAGGCTTTGGCCCAAAGAGCAGATACATTGGCGAGACCGCAAAGAACCAAGAAATCTCCAACCTCAAGAACACCGTCTCTTCCTTCGTCCGTCTCGCCGGCCGCAACCTCCAAGATCCCGATGTCCAGGTCGAGCAAAAATTCGTGTCGGCGCCGCTCGTCGACATGGGCGGCCAAGTGGGCGCTGAGGTGACATATCTGGGCAAAAAGGAGCAGTTCACCGCTACCCAGATCACAGCCATGTTCCTTACCAAGATGCGCGCCACAGCTTCTGCCGAACTCAAACTTCCCGTCAACGATGTCGTCCTCAGCTGTCCCGTGTGGTACACTGACTCCCAGCGTCGGGCTATCCTCGACGCTGCAGAGATCGCCGGCCTCAAGTGCCTTAGGTTGATCAACGACAACACAGCAGTCGCTCTCGGCTGGGGCATCACAAAGCTCGACCTCCCGGCTCCGGAGGAGAAGCCGCGGAGAATTGTCTTTGTCAACATTGGACACAGCAACTACACCGCTACCGTGGTTGAGTTCAAGAAGGGCGAGTTGGCTGTCAAGTCGAGCGCCTGGGACCGACACTACGGTGGACGCTACATCGACCAGGCTCTCGTTGAGCACTTCGCCAAGGAGTTCAAAGAAAAGTACAAGATCGATGTCATGGAGAACGGAAAGGCACGTCTTCGTCTGGCTGCCGGTGTCGAGAAGCTCAAGAAGGTTCTCTCCGCCAACAACCAGGCCCCCATCAACGTCGAGTCTATCATGAACGACGTCGATGTACGCGGTATGCTGAAGCGTGATGAGCTCGAGGAGCTGATCAAGCCCCTCATCGACCGTGCTACCGCCCCTATCGAACAGGCCTTGGCTGAGGCTGGTCTCACCACTGCCGACATCGACGCCGTCGAAATGGTTGGTGGCTGCACACGTGTTCCTGCCCTCAAGACCAAGATCCAGGACTACTTCGGCAAGCCCCTCTCCTTCACTCTCAACCAGGACGAAGCCGTCGCCCGTGGATGTGCCTTCTCCTGCGCCATCCTTTCCCCTGTTTTCCGTGTCCGCGACTTTGTTGTCCACGACATGGTCAACTACCCCGTTGAATTCACCTGGGAGAAGTCCGAGGACATTCCTGACGAGGACACCAACCTGACCGTCTTTAACAAGGGCAACGTCATGCCATCCACCAAGATCCTCACCTTCTACCGGAAACACCCATTCGACCTTGAGGCCAGGTATGCTAAGCCAGAACAACTACCAGGAAAGATGAACCCCTGGATCGGCCGCTTCTCCGTCAAGGGCGTCAAGGAGGACCCCAAGGGCGACTTTATGATTTGCAAGCTCAAGGCACGCCTCAACCTTCACGGTGTGCTCAACGTCGAGTCTGGATACTACGTCGAGGAGACTGAGGTCGAAGAGCCAATCCCAGAGTCTCCGTCGGCAGAGAAGAAAGAGGGTGATGTACGTTCAAAATTTCCTACTGATGTTGATAACGGCCGGCAAAGTCCTACAGAGCCTGCCGCAAAACGGCGAAAGCCTAGCGCTGATCCTGTACTTGCGCGTCGTCCTTGTGCGCTGGAACCAAATGAGCTAACGAATGATGCGCAGGCAATGGATGTCGACAAAGACGCTCCCAAGGAGCCCCCCAAGATGCGCAAGGTCAAGAAGCAGCAGCGCAAGGGTGATTTGCCGTTGTCAGCCGGTACCGCTTCGCTCGACGAGGTCAGCAAGCAAACCGCAGCGGAGCGTGAGAACTCGATGATCATGGAGGACAAGCTCGTTGCCGACACGGAGAATGAGAAGAACAACCTTGAGAGCTTCATCTACGAGCTCAAGGACAAGATTCTTGACGTATACGCCGAGTTTGCCAGTGACGACGAGAAGGCCAGGCTCAACGCCAAGCTCGAGACTATCGAGGTAGGTTATACTCTAAATCTTGATTCTGAACAGTACTAACACCAAAACAGGAGTGGTTATACGACGAAGGCGATGATGCGTCAAAGGCACAGTACGTCTCCAAGAAGGAAGACATCCGCGCCATTGCCGGCCCCATCATCCAGCGCTACAACGATAAGATCGAGGGCGAGCGACAAGCCGCCATGGAGAAGCACCAAAAGGAGCACGCCGCCAAGCAAGCCGAGCTCGAACGCGCGAAGCGGGAAGCCGAAGCCAGGAAGCAAGAGCAGGCGCCACCTGCGGAAGACTCAAAGGACACTGAGATGGCCGACGCCGAAGGCCAAAAGCCAGACGGTGTTGAAGAAACTTCTTGAACGACTCAAAACACCACCAACAACACTGTAGCAGCGGCGTAAAGGAAACAAATGGTAAACAAAAGCATTTGAAAACGGCGTGTAGGCCACGTTTCTTGTTGGGTTGTTGGAGATTGGGGTCCTTTTTTCTCTCTCCTTCTCTCCTTCTTCTTCTAAAGTCCCACACTTTTTTTTTCATCCACGAATAAAGATTATGACGGAAATGATCATGGTTAATGTGGGCGATTGTTTTGTCTTGTATTGCGCGTTGGGGCTGTGAAGGATAGACTAGCCATAGATGAGAGGATGGGGTTTTATGAATATTTGATTTTTTTTAGACGATGACCTTCTCTTGGGACTTGGACTTTGAGTTTGATCTTGATGTGACGCGATGTGACGTGACGTGATTTGACTCTTCTCCCACTTTGTTTTATCGTGAAAAGTATATGATCACCACAGAAACAATAGGTGTTGTGTCTATCTCAGAAATGATGAATTTCAAAGTTTGTTACGATTTCCTTAACTAGTATGCATGTATGTATTCCACCAAATACGTCAAAAACTAGATAGATATTTAACTAGAATACGTGTCTGTTTTTGTACGCAGCAGCGCAGTTGCATGCTCTTGTGCAGTAACTAAGTCTTGAAAAAAGAGAGAGGTGTAAGACATGTCTAGTTATAGATATATATACAGTATTGACATGTCCAAGAAGCTTACTCACCTACTTACTTATATATTTGTTTATCCATGTTTTTTTAAACGAAGAATCTTTACACGGTGCGTGTACAAGGCAAGGAGAATTGCGCTTTAGAAGGCTGCGAGGTGGGTGGCAGAGTGGATGTATGTATGTATGTAGAGAGGCTTTTTCTTAGTACTTGTACACGTATTTTTATAGATTTCTAGTACGACAAGGGTAGTTGGTTAATTGGTCATGTTGTTCCTCTATGTAGTTTTCGCTGTAACCTTGGTAGATATATATATATATATATATATACATGTGCAGTAGGGTGCTGCTAGCTAGGTATAATCAGCAATAAATTTAAGTCAAGTTTATCGTGATAGGGTTTTGATACATTTACTTGCTCTAAAGCTACCAGCTGCAATCCTCCTTCGTGGACGAATGTTGCAAGAAGGATTCGTCAAGGAAGATGGGAGATTGAATGTGAGCGGATGTCATAAGGTGGGATCGATAAATCTGTTCATACAAGAGAAAAGAAAAAAACGGCATCTACGACAAAAAGGTTTCATCATAAGGAGGAGGAGGAGGAGGAGGAGGATAAAGAACAAAGGGGGTGCCCTTAAGCCATCATCATCCACTATACATAACACAATCATCTGGTTTCCACGCCAAAAGTACATTTCCCCCGCTAAGTAATCATCATCACCCCAATATATCCCCTAAAGTTACACATGTTGCATTACACATCCAAATGCAAAGCAATCGATACCCAAAATCATATCTTCTATAGCATAAGCTCCAGAGGGTTCTCAATTGCCTTTTTGAGCTCGCGCATAAACTCGCCACCGACAGCGCCGTCGACAACCTTGTGGTCAAAGCTACCGGTGATGACAATCTGGTCGTCCCACTCGATGCTGGCGGTGCCGTCTTCTGATGGTTCGCCGGGTACGGCAACCTTCTTTGTTGTGCCAATGGCGACGATGCATGCTTGCGGGGGGTTGATGACGGCCGTGAAGCGCTCAACAGCGGGGTTCATTCCCATGTTGGAAATGGTAATGGTTCCGCCCTGGTACTCCTCGGGCTTGAGCTTGCCGTCGCGTGCGCGCTTGCCAAGGTCCTTGATCTGTGATGAGATGGAAGAGAGGCCGAGTCCGTTGACGTTCTTGACAATAGGAGTCATGAGACCAACGGGCGTGGAGACAGCGACGGAGACATCGACAACGTTGTGCTGGCGGATCATGACCTTGCCGTTCTCCTCGCGCCATGATGAGTTGGCAGCGGGAACCTTGCGGGCAGCAATAGCGAGGGCCTTGACGAGCAAGTCGTTGACTGAGAGCTTGTACTGGCCGTCAGCTGAGGCATTGAGGGCCTCACGGAGCTTGAGGAGCTTGGACACGGAGATGCTGGAGGCGACGAAGTAATGGGGGTTCTCGTTCATGCTCTCGCGGAGACGGCTGGCAATGACCTTGCGCATGCTGGTGGCCTCGGTGTCTTCGTAGCTGGCGACACCCGCAGCGGAACCGGATGCTCCTCCAGCGGGCTTGTACTTTTCAATGTCCTCCTTGGTGACCATGCCACCCTTTCCAGTGCCCTTGATGGCGCTAATCGGGACACCCTTCTCGAGCGCGAGCTTCTTCGCCGCGGGGGAGATGGCAGGCTGGCGCTGGAGAGCGGTCTCTAGACGGTCGCCGGTAGACTCAGATTCGATGGCGGCGGGGGCAGACTCCTTGGCCGGGGGAGCAGTCTTGGAGTTTGAGCTCGGGGGCTCGCTGGCCTCTGAAGCCTCGCCCTCTTTCGAGGGAGTTTCGGGCTTCTTGTCGCCGCCAGCATCCTCGATAGTGTAACCCTCGAATGCGGAGACGTCAGCGCCCTCGTCTACCATGACGGCAATGGGCTGGGTAGTGTTAGCATATCGCTATAGCCCCTCATATATGCAAAACTCACGCTTCCCACAGCGACGTCCTTCTCGCCAGCGTCGCGGAGAATCTTGGCAATGGTGCCCTCCTCCTGGAACTCAAAGTCCATCTGTGCCTTGTCCGTCTCGATTTCGACGAGAACATCACCGGGCGCTATTGAGTCGCCGACCTTCTTCTGCCATGCGCCAATGTTTCCGGAGGTCATGGTCGGGGAGAGGGCGGGCATGCTGATAACGCTGTGCGAGGGGTAGGCTGAGAAGAGGCATGTCAGCAACGTGATGACCAGCGGGGTCTTGAAGTAGAAAGCAAAAGAGGCGTATGCTCACATTTAGAGGCATAGTACCGCGCAAGGGCGGAGAGGGCAGGTGTGCGTCTACAGAGTATCGGGTCAGCCGCCAGTGGTGGTGATATGGCACCTGAGAATACACCTACTGCGAGCATGGTGCGGCAGAGAAGGCGCCGCGCAGCGCAATTGAGCCCCGCGAGGCCAATTGGCTTCCGGCCCTGGATAGCAGTGTCGTGGTAGCGGGCATTGTGTCGGGATGCCGGTGCGCTGAGATTTTACTCTAAGCGACCTGTCGAGCGGGCGACGGGAAGGAACCTCTTTTTCGGAGAGGTGTTGGCGGTATGCAAGAGGAGCAGTGTACGCTCAGGCGCTTTGCAGTCAGGGCAAGTGGTGATGTTTGACGGTGGACACTCAACAGAAAGTTTTAGTGCAGGGCAGCTGTTGTTGGAGATCCGACGACGGCTTGCTAAGCGTTCTAACCCGAAGCACGCGAGATTCCGGAACTCAACTGTGGCTGCTGTGGCGCTTCCGGGCCATATGCCTGTGGCTTGACTAGCGCCTACCGCGCAGCTGGTCGCCAGGGTACGTAACGCAGCTCGCCAGGAGGCTTGATGCGCAGAAAGACAACTTGTCATCTAGGAGTATACGCTGTCCAATTGCCACCAAGCCTCCCAATTCACCGTTTGCACTGCTTTCAGACAGTGTACCGCAGTCGCACCTGCTTCCTTTTGCGCCGCTCCTTCCGCCATGGTTGCTGACCAAGGCCCCGCCCGTGATTCAAAGTGAAAGCAGGTGCTCGTACAAATATCCCGGACATAGTCGCGCATACCCACGCCCACACCATGTCCGACGCCGAACCCCCGCAAACCCCCCGAGAGGAAGAGGAAAAGTTCCCCGGCATGGATGCGGACAAGCAAGTAAAAGAAGAAGAGGAGGACCACGATGAGGCGAGCGGTTCCGATTCCGACTCTGCCTCCGCCTCGGACCAGGCAGCAGAGGATGCAGAAGATACGTCTCCCCCAGCGCCGGACGCTCCACAGGAAGATGCGGGTAGGTCACTGCCTGCCGCTGCCGCCTCGTCGACGGCATTGGAGGTACCCCACAGCGCAGACACGCCGCGGACGTCTGAGCAAATGTTCGACCAGCGCCTGCCCATACGACGCCCGCGAACAGACTCCAATTCCACCACAGCCACGGCCGCCACACGACCATCAACACGGAGTTCGCTAGTCTTTGTCGTCACCGCGCTTGAGACAATCGCAGCCTCCAAGGACGCGAAGAGGAACAAGAAGCTGGGGGAAAGCACCAATGCCGCACTATCCGCCATCAAGAATGAAGGCGACCCTGCCCACATTAGTCCCGAGGTATTATTCGAGCCACTTCAACTTGCCTCGGAAGCCCCCAATGTCCCTCTCTGCATTACCGCCCTCGACTGCATCGGCAAGCTCATCAGCTATTCCTACTTCTCCGTCCCGTCTGAACAGCGAGCCGACAATAGCGAGGCACCCCCACTGATTGAGCGCGCCATAGACACAATATGCGACTGCTTCCAAGGCGAAGCGACAGCCCCCGAGATTCAACTACAAATTGTCAAGTCGTTGCTGGCAGCCATCCTCAACGACAAGATCGTCGTCCACGGAGCCGGACTGCTCAAGGCTGTGCGACTCACATACAACATCTTCCTCCTTTCCAAGTCGAGCGCGAACCAACAGGTAGCCCAGGGCGCCCTGACCCAAATGGTCGGCACTGTATTTGAAAGAGTCAAATCCAGACTTACTGTCAAGGAGAGTCGCATGGAACTGTCGCGGTCATCGATGAATGGAAAGAGTCAGTCGGAAGAAAGCGTACGGCAGGATGGAGGCAGTTCCATGGGAATTGAGGGTTCCGAAGCCAACGGAGAGGAGGCCGAGGACGAACACGATACCGAGACGGCTGAGCCCAGCGACAAGGCCGTCGATCAGCACACGGGTCCCAAGATTACCCTTCAAAGCTTCGAAAACAACATGAGCTTCAACGACGATCGGATACATGACAATGCGCCGACCCTGGTGACTCGCATCAAAGGCCAGGCGGGGTCAAGACAAGTGTCTGGACAAGAGAGCTCGCCACACGTAAACACCGAGGAAGAGGAAGAGGACGAGATATTCGTCAAGGATGCGTACCTCGTATTCAGGGCCATGTGCCGGTTGAGCACAAAGGGTTTGACCGTGGACCATGCTCACGACGTGCGGTCGCAAGGCATGCGCTCCAAACTTCTGTCACTGCATATGATCCACACCATTCTATTCAATAACATTGCTGTTTTTGTATCGCCCTTTGCCACCATCCGCAGTGGTAGCGACGAGCCCACGAGTTTCATACAAGCCGTCAAGCAATACCTCTGCTTGAGCCTCAGTCGCAACGGAGCTAGCTCCGTGAAGCAAGTCTTCGAGGTAGCCTGTGAGATATTTTGGCAGATGCTAAAGTACCTGCGCATCTCACTCAAAAAGGAGGTAGAGGTCTTCCTCAAGGAGATTTACCTCGCAACTTTAGACAAGCGGAATGCGCCTGCATTTCAGAAGCAATACATTTTGACCATATTCGGCAGATTGGCTGCAGACCCCCGAGCACTGGTAGAGATCTATCTCAACTATGATTGCGACCGCACCGCCCTTGACAACATGTTTCAGCGAGTTGTTGAGCATCTTTCCAAGATATCAAGCAACCCCGTCACCATCACAGCCATGCAGCAACAGGCTTACCAGGACCAGCGGGAGAAGCAGGCAAAACAAATAGACTGGCAGACCCGAGGTACACTGCCACCCTCCCTTACGACAACCTCCATGAACTCTGTCCACGAATCGGAGCACAGCTACCCCCAAGAATACGCCATGAAGCAGGAATCACTTGAAGCCCTGGTTCAGATATTACGCTCTCTCGTCGACTGGGCTCAACAAGCCCTTCCTGAGAACACAAAAGCAAACAATGCCGACTTACGGCCGTCGCTCGATGATCTCAGGGTATCGACTGACACAAGAACGTTTTCAGAATCACCCATGGTAGGTGTCGACTCTGGAACAGTCACACCACTCGCCGAGGATGATTACAGCCAGCTTGAGAAAGCAAAGCAGAGAAAGACCGCACTCACAAACGCTCTGCGGCAGTTCAACTACAAACCCAAACGTGGACTAAAGACTTTGATCGCAGAAGGCTTCATTCCCTCAAACAGTCCCGAAGACATTGCGCGCTTCTTCCTTGACAATGACCAAATAGACAAGACAGCTCTCGGCGAGTTTCTCGGTGAGGGTGACCCTGAGAACATTGCCATTATGCATGCTTTTGTGGATTTGATGGACTTTACAAAGACCCGCTTTACGGACGCACTACGCCGATTTCTTCAAAGCTTTCGACTACCCGGTGAGGCCCAGAAGATTGATCGCTTCATGCTCAAGTTTGCTGAACGATACATCACGGGTAACCCCAACGCATATGCCAATGCCGATACGGCATACGTTCTTTCGTACTCTGTCATTATGCTGAACGTTGATCAGCATAGCAAAAAGATGAAGGGCCCTCGTATGACGCCGGCGGACTTTATCAAGAACAACCGTGGTATCAACGACAGCGCTGATTTGCCCGATGAGTATCTCCAAGCCATATTCGATGAAATCTCCCAGAACGAAATCGTTCTAAACACGGAGCAAGAAGCCGCTGCAGACAAGGGATTGCTCAACCAACAACCCACTGGAGGTCTGGCTGGTATTGGGCAAGTTCTCACAGGCGGTGCGCGAGATTTGCAGCGAGAAGCGATTGTCCAGGCTTCGGAAGCGATGGCTAACAAGACTGAACAACTCTACAAGCAACTTTTGCGAGCCCAGCGGAGAACAGCCACTACTATTCCAGTCTCCAAGTTTATCCCTGCATCTTCCTCCAAGCACGTCGGCCCCATGTTTGAAGTTACATGGATGCCAATTCTCACTGCCCTCTCTGGCCAAGCCCAGGACCACAACATAGAGATTGTTCGCTTGTGCATCGAGGGCATAAAGCTGGCAATCCGGATATCATGCTTGTTCGATCTTGACAGCTCACGGCAAGCTTTCGTAGCATTCCTCGCACGCTTCACCAACCTCTACAACGTGAGCGAGATGAAGGCAAGGAACATGGAGGCGCTGAAAGCATTGATTGAGATTGCACAGACGGAGGGAAACCTGCTACGAGAGTCTTGGCGCGAGGTACTCACATGTGTTTCCCAATTGGACCGTTTCCAGTTGATTTCGGCTGGTATCGACGAACGTTCCGTGCCAGATGTACTCAAGTCGACATCGAATTCAGGAACCCCGCAGTCACGCAAGAACCTTACCGTGCAACCCGGCCGCCGGAGGCCCACGTCAAACGGGAGCACCATGAGCTTCCAATCTGATGTTGCTGAGGAGAGTCGGTCTACCGACATTGTCAGAGGAGTAGATCGCATCTTCACCAACAGCGCGAACCTCTCTGGAGAAGCTATTGTTGACTTTGTCAAAGCCCTCGTTCAGGTCAGCTGGCAGGAAATTCAATCATCTGGACAAAGTGAATCACCCCGCACTTATAGTTTGCAGAAGCTGGTTGAGATCAGTGGCTACAACATGACGCGTGTGCGTTTCGAGTGGACCAACATCTGGCAAATTCTCGGCGCTCACTTCAACGAAGTCGGATGCCACACAAACACAAATGTCGTCTACTTTGCCCTAAACTCATTACGGCAACTTTCCATGAAGTTTATGGAGATTGAGGAACTTCCAGGTTTCAAGTTCCAAAAAGACTTCCTCAAGCCATTCGAGCACATTATCAACAACACCAACGTCGTCTCAGTCAAGGACATGGTACTACGGTGTTTGATCCAGATGATACAAGCGCGGGGCGAGAACATTCGATCTGGTTGGAAGACCATGTTTGGTGTTTTCACCGTGGCGGCCAGGGAGCCTTATGGTAAGTTTTCGGCTTCTCCAGTCATGCAGTCACTAATATTGTAGCAGAGGGGATCGTCAACCTTGCCTTTGAAAATGTCTCACAAGTGTACAACACACGCTTTGGTGTAGTCATTTCACAAGGTGCATTTGCTGACCTGATTGTCTGCTTGACGGAGTTTTCGAAGAACTTCAAGTTCCAGAAGAAGTCGCTGCAAGCAATAGAGCTGCTCAAGTCATCAGTACCCAAGATGCTTCGGACGCCGGAATGTTCATTATCGGCTCGCGCTGGATATTTGAAGGATTCTGACAAGGGTTCTTCAATACCAAAGCAGCCCAGCCGCCAAACGCAGGAAGAACAGTTCTGGTTCCCGGTTCTGTTCGCCTTCCACGACGTCTTGATGACTGGCGAGGATCTAGAGGTGCGATCAAGGGCCCTGAGCTATTTGTTTGATACACTTATCACCTACGGTGGCGACTTCCCCCGTGAGTTCTGGGACATGCTCTGGCGACAACTGCTGTACCCCATCTTTATGGTTCTAAAGTCCAAGTCAGAAATGACCAAGGTCTTGAATCACGAGGAGCTCTCTGTCTGGCTCTCGACGACTATGATTCAGGCACTGCGCAACATGATTAAGCTCTTCACCCATTTCTTTGAATCGCTAGAGTACATGCTCGACCGGTTCTTGGATCTGCTTGCCCTCTGCATATGTCAAGAGAACGACACTTTGGCTCGCATTGGTAGCAATTGCCTACAGCAGTTAATTCTGCAAAACGTACAAAAGTTTCAGCCTGGCCATTGGAGTCAAATTGTCAAGGCGTTTGTCGAGCTCTTCCATAGGACGGAGGCGACAGCATTATTCTCTGCTGCCACGAGCGGCTCATCGTCAAGTTCAGTGAATGGCTCTGGAAGCGCAGAGCAAAGCACTCCTGTCGAGAACCCAGGCGAGCTTTCGCTATCAACACCAGCAGAAGAGCCAAAACCTGATAACGCACTGGGTATCAACGGCTTATCCAGCAACCGCCGGCCATCCCTCGTGACGTCGGACTCTGCCAGTACTGTGGAGCAGCGAATGCCATCCCCATTACCCAAACGTCAAACCCAAGACCTCGAAGACTACCGCCCCGACGACCAAACCCTCCAACAACCCCCCGTCGTCGTGACCGCCGCCCGCCGCCGCTTCTTCAACCAAATAATCACAAAATGCGTCCTCCAACTCCTCATGATCGAAACCGTGCAAGAGCTCTTCACAAACGAAGCCGTGTACGAAAAGATCCCGTCCGGCGAACTCCTCCGCCTCATGGCTGTGCTCAAAAAATCCTACCACTTCGCCAAACGCTTCAACGCAAACCGCGACTTGCGCTCCCGCCTCTTCCGCGAAGGCTTCATGAAACAACCGCCCAATCTGCTTAAGCAGGAATCCGGCTCCGCGTCCGTCTACGTCAGCATCTTGTTTCGCATGTACCACGACACGTCCAACGATCGCGCTGCCTCGCGCGCAGACACGGAAGCAGCGCTTATCCCGCTCTGCGAAGACATTATCGCATCGTACGTCGAGCTCGACGAGGAAACTCAACAGCGCAATATCGTCACGTGGCGGCCTGTTGTCGTGACCGTGTTGGACGGGTATACGGGATTACCGGCCGAGGACTTTGAGAAGAATGTCGATTTGTTCGCGCCGTTGGTTGTGGGGCTGTTGGGCACGGAGATGGCGAGTGATGTGCAGCGAAGTGTGCAGGCACTTGTTAGTCGGATATTTGAAATCAGGCTGGGTATGCAGAAGGTGCCGCTTATGGCGCCGTCGGTGAGGAGTCCGAGGGGGAGTTTTGTGGGGGGAGGAAGTCCGGTTGTGGGAAGGGGGAGGGGGGTGGGTAGGTAGGTAGGGTGTAGGGATGGATGTGGGTTATACCTTTTTGCGTTTTTTAGAGAGTTATTTGATGTCGTTGTTCTCCTCTTTTCATGTTGGGTGATGGTTGAGACCTATCTATCTGTACTAGGGCTTCTTTCTTACTGGTACGTGTACTCTAGTTTTTACATTTACTAGGGGCTTGTTTGGGCTTGGGCTTGGACTTTGCAGATGTTAGAGTAAGGTAGTGAGAGTCTTTCTTGGTTTGTAGAAGTAACTAGTAGTATTCTAGATTTTTTTATCCTTACTACTACTACCGCTGTCTGTCTGGATGGATAGAGGTTGGATTTTATATGTGGTTCGGCTAGGGGTTCTTTTCGATCGCAAATTTGCTGCGTCGATGCAATCATTCAAGGACTTTTGGATGCAGTAGTTTTAGGGAGGGGGGGGGGGGGTGCCTCGGGTCGACTGTACTATAGTACCAGTGTCGGTACCGTATTTTGATATGTGGTTCGATACTTTCGCTCTCGACTTGATTGCCATGACATATACCGTTAAAACCACGGAAGAGTCTGTAAGTAGGGTTCACTCTTGTTAAGTAATTTACAATAATATCTCATTACAAGTTTAAATGACTTGCCTGTGAAACAACACAGCCACAACTACAATATCGCCCCTAATATCCGACCTCATCTATCCTTACTCTAATACGGGTACTCCCGTCTCAAGCCTCCAGCCCTAAGCTACAGGACTGCGCCGCATAAGTTGACATCCATGCAACCACCCTCAAACCCCAGCAAAGAAACCAGGAGCCCCAAAACGCAACCAGCAACAATCCCACCCCACGCACGCAAAACCACAAAACCCCCCAAGAAAACCAATACGCTAAACATGGCAATCTGCACCCTGCATTAAACTTTGTCCTACAGCCTAGGTAGAAAAGCCCCTTGCACTCCCCTCCCACCCGCACCTCACAACGGCCTCTGCGCCACGACCGGCACCTCCAACCCCGACACCCGACCCCCACGGTCCAAAGTCAGCACGCATTACACGTCCAACAACCCAATGCAGCAAGACAGGTGCAGCGGATAAATGTTGTTGGCTGTTGGCTGTTGGCGGCAGATAGGTAGATAAGGTAGGTAGATTGCGATGGCATCTCCCGAAAAGTAACTTCGATGATGTAAAGGTTAAATCCCCTATTCCCGGTGGCGCATGCAGAGGTTGGGGTTGGTTAGTTAGTCGGTATTAATGGGAAAGCAGGGGAGGAGTCGATGGGGGATGGGGATGGGGTGCCGGACTGGTTAGTGGCCGTTTCGATAGTTATATTTCAGGGGGTGTTTTGTCGTGTTAAAAGGAAGGCGTGGGTAGTCATGTGTGCGTGTGTGTGGTGATCTTTTGGTTTTTTGGTTATTGTGGTTTGAAGTTTGAAGTGGGTTGCAACTTTTTTGGGACTCAGTTGAACGGACGGACGGACGCGCGCGAAACTTACATACGTGAGTTGTTTGTCGCATTTTGTTGAGAAGTTATTGCCTTTGCACCTTTGACAAGTGGAGAATAGTTAAGTTGGGGAAAGAGAACGGCTACGTACCTACGACGCGCGAACGATTCCAGGGACCGACAGACCGATTGATTGATTGACAGAACAGGGTGATAAGTTTCTTCGTCGAATTCGTTAAGAAAGAGGAGGATAGGATAAAACAGACAAGAGGGAGGAGAAAAGATACACACGACAAGATGAAGTTCAACATAGCATCGACGCTCAAAACCGTGGCTCAGAGGTTGAACCCCGATCTCGAGATTCCAAACTCTCCTCCTCCTGCTGGAATTTCGACGACGACAACGACAACAACAACGACGAGCGGTAGGAAAACTTCGTCGCCGCCGCTCCCTCAATCTTCCTTCTCAGCATCATCGTCGCCCTCGCCGAAGAAACCACGCAAATCACGGTCAACGTCCTGGACCAAGACACGGAACAGAGCATCCAGTAATGTATCGTCTGTATTCCGTCGCTCGTCTGCGTCGATTGCTTTACCGGTGTTCATGAGCAAGATACCAGTGCCACCCGTCAAAGTCGAGGAAGAGAAGAAGACGGAGACAGTGGGCAAGAATGAGACACCAGTGAGTTTGTGTAGGGATTTTGCTGTGGAGAGCAAAGGGAAGGAGAGGGAGGTGTCGATGGAGATGCCGATGGATACACCACAACGACCTTCCACCCCGATGGAGTCAGCGATGCAGATTGCAGATACGGCACTGATGTCGTCTCATGCCTACACGCCTGTCTTTATCTCCTCGTCGCCACCTCGTGCTGTGGATACGTTGGCTGGGGTACCTGAGCCAGATATGGTGAAGATGGCATTGGTATCGCACTCGGCCTCTTCGTCCGTCTATTCACTGGTACCATCCGTGATCGAGGAAACACCGGAAACAGATGTCGACATCTACATCGCTTCTGCCCCCGCTGCGACACGGAGAGAAGACTCAATGCAAGAAACAGCGCTGGAACTAGCAGAAGAAACACAGCAACCACCACTCGAAACTGAAACACCAAACCTCGAAAAAGCAACATTGGAAGCATCCACACTACCACCACCACCACCAACATCAGCGCCACCTCCACCGCCAGCAACAGCAACATCAACATGCCTCTGCACAGCAATTCACCTCTCCTTCCCACTATCCAGTCCAACACCCCGTCCAACATCCACCTCACCCCTCCTCCTCTGCACATGTCTCGCGTGTAGTAAGACGTGCGCTTCAGTGTACGCGGCTGGCTATAGTGTGGACAAGATGTAAGTTTGATTTTTACTTATCTTTGTTTTGAATTAGGGTTTTTTGTGTGTGTGTGGCAGAGAGGAAAGAAGCTAATGATGATGATGATAGGGATTTGATGCATGTACGCGGTAGGGATGAACTGACGACTTATACGCATACGCATAGTCCGGACGTAGCTGCTACCGATGATGTAGACTCCAGTGCTACAACGACGATGTCGACGACGAAGCATTTTTGCAAGACGTGTGGTACGCTCATGTACAGCGTAGGCAGCCATTTACCGGACCGCTACATTTTGTACCTGAACACAGTGGACGATGCGTTGCGAGCGGATAAGGAGATGAAATCACGTGTTGTGGATGAGGAGGAGGAGGAAGGAATACGGTCTAGCTTGTAGACCAAACGGGGTTCATGGTTTCGTAATATCTTGTCTTTTATCATTCTTTCTGTTACTCGTTTCTAAACGCGCATATCCATCTCATTTCATCCTTTACTCCTACAACTTGCTCTCCCCACCACCACCCAGTGTAACAACCAACTTTCCAAACTGACTAGCACTCTTCATATCCTCGAAAAGGCCATCAATCTTGTCGACATCTAGCCCGTGGACAGTGCGACTGACTACAGGTTTCATCTTTGTATCGCGCACGAATTGTACCATCTCTGCGAATTCCTTGCGGGAGCCCATGGTCGAGCCTCTGACTTCGATGTTGCGCAAGACGGCCGACATGAGAAAGTCCATTTTGGGGGAGATAGTCATTCCGTAGATCGAAATAACGCCACCAGGCTGTATTCACGTGTTAGCAACCACACAGTGGGAAACCCAGATATGGATTGAACTTACCTTCAACAACCGACTCCCAACTTTAACAACCTCACCCCCAGCCCCATCAATAATAGCATCCAACCACTTCTTCCCCTCAGGTAACATGCCCCTCAACTTATCCTCCCATCCCTTTTCTTTATACACAACCCCGCCATTCGCCCCCAACTTCACCGCCCGCTCAATTTTCGCCTCGTCACCACTTGTAACCCACACATTACACCCCGCCTGCACCGCAAACCCCAACACCATAAGCGCAACTCCACCCCCAATCCCCGTAACCAAGATATCCGCCCCAGCAACCGCATTCCCACTCTTAACCTTGAACGCGCGCCACGCCGTCAGTCCCGTAAGCGGTAGCGCAGCAGCCTCGGCGTCAGACAGATGTGACGGACATTCTTCTAGTTCGGAAACGGGTAAGGCGCAGACGTCTTGTAAGGTGCCGATGGGATTGGTTTTGGTACCACCCATTATGGAGTAGCCTTTGGGATGTTCCGGGCCCGTGGGACTGTCTTTCCAGCCTGTGCCGGGGTTTAACAGGACGCGCTTGTTGAGCCAAGCGCGCGCGGTGGGGGAGCTGCCTGTGGAGGTTACGATGCCGACGCCGTCGGCGAGGAGGGGGACGCCGAAGGTTGTGCCTGGGTAGAGGTGTTGGCGGATGACGAGGTCGCGGTGGTTTAGGGCGGCTGCGCGGAGGTTGATGATGGCCTGGTATTTGTTTAGTTTGGTTGTTTGAATGAATGGAGGATATAGGCGTGGAAAGTGTGTTAGGTACCTCGTCATCTTTCGGTGTGGGTTCAGGGCACTGTGATTTTCTCCAGTGGGTAGTAGACTTGGCCTGGTTTGCCGTCCACTTTCCTAATCGTGATAGCTGAAGGCATGGTTGCGGGTTGCTGAGGTCAAATTGGATGATGCGTGCACGATACAGAGATCAATTGTATCAAAATGTAGAACAAGGATTTTTATCAACTAAAAGTCCACAAGACGCATAGCCGTAGAGATAAGCGGAGCGAATTGAATGGACCGGGGAATCCATACTTTTGTTTGGCGCAGATGCATGACGAAAGAGGTTATGAGCCGAGGTCGCGCGGAACTTGACCAGGGGGGTGCTTTGACAGCTTGTCGATGCGGGGAAAGCAAGCGGGATTGCGGAGGTGATTCGGACATGCGCGTGGTCTCCGATGGACTTTTTCTCATACAACTACATGTAAAATCATCGTAATACATATTTACTATGAATCCGAATTTGAAGTCTGCCCGTTTCAAAATACTCATCCATGCCATTGCACGTGCTCAGAGCTTCCACCTAAAAGCAGGATGCCTCCAATCAAGATCCTCAATTTCTCCAGCAGATTTCCCAGCCAATTCCTGTGCAATGTCAATGCCTTGACGCTTCTTGTTGCTCGACTTCATCCACAGCAGTAGCAGGATACTTGTGATGAACATTGTGCTGCTGGTCGCCAAGTTGAGGCCGTTACCAATATGGTAGTTGGGAGCGTCGGTGGGTAGGAAACTCCATGTGGAGATTAAACCACCAATATTACCCATCATGACAACAGTACCTGAAAATCGTTGTTAGCATTATTTCCCATCTTTTATATGTCTTTGCAAGACTTACCAATTCCAGAGGCTCTGGCGGTATCCGACACTACGTTGGCAGAGGCTTGCGCATTCGCAAGTGAGCCGAAAGTGAATGCTCCCGAGGCGATCAAGAAGGTGGCACCATAGCGGACGTCGTGGTCTTTGCTCGCCAGGAACATGATATAGCCAATCATCATGAACGGGGCTGATATGATGAAGAAGATGACACGCCTGTCGAATCGTCCACTGAGATACGGGAAAAACACCGAAAAGACCGCACCAACAACGTAAGGTGGGACAGTGTGAAGTTGCTGGGATACGACCGTGTTCTTTGGATAAATTGTTTTGACGATTGTCGGCAAGAAAAAGGCAAGTCCCTGGACGGTGATATTGTCGAGCAGGAAGATGAACGCCGTGGTCAAGACAACGGGGTTGAAAATGCCGCGAAGTGTCTTCTTCGTGTCCAACTTGTCTAGAACATCAGTCTGGCCAACACGTTCCGACTACAAAAGAGCAATTAGCAAACAGAACAGCACACGTCCAACACTTGACATACCTTGACACGAGCGATTGCCAAATCCTTCTCTTCCTGACTCAACCAACGAGCCGTCTCAGGTCGATCCGTCATAGTGAAAAACGCAATAAGCGCAAGACCGACAGTGATGATTCCCTCAATCGCAAAAATCATCTCCCACCGATGGCGCGACCCGAACTTGTCCAACTTGAGGATTGCAGAGGCGAGCAAACCGCCAAAGGCACCAGCCATAGGCGCCATGACAACATACAAGGCCAATCGAAGCGCCAGCTCCGACCGTCGGTACCAGCGTGACATGTAGTACGCGATTCCCGGCAGCATACCGGCTTCGAAGGCGCCTAGCAGAAATCGTACACCGCAAGCCGAGCTCATATCCGTGACAAACGCCATGCCGACGGAAATGAGACCAAAGCCCAGAGAAATCGTAGGAATGACTGAACGAGCGGAAATGTCAGTAATACTAATCAAGCAATTTGAGCAGTTCAACTTACACCACCCAGGTCCAACCCATTTACAGCACATGTTTGAAGGGATCTCGAAGACAATGTAGCTAATGTAGAATACGGACAGCACGATATTGTAGTCGTAATGCTTGAGTTTGAGATCCTTTTCAAAGCCAGCTAGACGGGCGTTTCCAATGTTTGCACGGTCGATGAAACAGAAGAGATAGAGCATGGCGACCGTCGGGATGATGTATAGGTCGATCTTGCGCCGTAGACGCGCTTCGGCTTTGGGGTCGAATTCTATCAATGCCTTGCCGTACCTGTGCGATTGTCAGGTAAATGAGCTTCAAGTGAGACTTGTGCGATGCCTACATGTCCGTCGCAACATGGCCGTGTTCTGCAATTTGATGCGTGTCTTCGTGTTTGCCGTGGCCATTCTGACTGGACGACGTCTCCTTGACCTCATACTCCGCTTGCTCATGAGCCTGAGCCATGGTGAACGGTGTTGGCAGGAAAAGCCTTGTCGATCCTCCTCCTTCTGGCTACCTAGGGACAGAAGGCGAGTCCAAGGTTGAAGAAAGTCAGATCCCAGAGTGGAGTGAGGTTGACGCGCCACGCCCATGCTTGTACCCTTTATAAGCCAGCTACTACCCCAGACAGTTCCCCCCGCCGCCGAGCGGCCGCTGGACCTGCCTTTGTCTCCGTCAGCACTTGCATCGTATGCCAAGTGGAACGGCAGTCGAGGTTAACCTTTCGGAGCGAAGGCTTACCACGCACAGACGCCAAACCACCACTCGGCCAGGATGTGGATGGCAGCCGGGCCGAACATGAAGTGCCTCTTCGAATTGCCGTTGATGATCAATAGTTGGCTTCAAAGATTTGCTGACTTTGACGCATCATACAAGCACAACATCTGCTCCTCCCTCTTAACTTACCCCGCCACGCGAGTTCTCTTGGTACCAAGACGGCTTTGTACATAACATGCCACAACTTTGGCTTGTCGAGAGACCAATCGTGGAAAGTGTCAAGTCATGTTAGGCAACTTGGCGATACGACCTGCATGCTTAGAGCGAATTAGCAACCGCGCCATCTTGGCAAAGGGTTTCCACGTTGCGAGCCCAATCAACCGTCTCTCGTGCGAGGAGGTGTAGTAGGGCCGAGTTGGAATTACTGCATCTACTATAAGACACGTACTCGGTGCTGGAAACATCGAACCACAGGCTTAATTCGGCTTCCCGGGCTTCCGATCCGCGAACGGGATGCGAGCAGGACTTGTCTCTAGAAAAGAGTAGACCGTATTTTTGTAGTTACTACACGCTATTACAGACCTAGACTCTGCTGCCGGCTTAGTCCCCGCGTTGCAAGCTTATCGTTCCCGTAAACGACATACCGTCCTCTTCCGAGACGTCTCTGAATTGGGGTACCCTCCCACGCTCCAACAGTCCAAGGGAGCACACCAAAATCCCGGATCATGAGAATGCAGACAGGCAGCGAACAGAGACCCAAGGAACTAGTATCTACACGAACTGCGCCAGTGCAGCAGCTTGCACTTCCTTCACGCCTACCATCTGAGCAGTCTTGTCCGTGAATGCAACGTACCCATTCTCTCCATTTTCCAACTCGACACATTTGCCACCTTGACCAAACACCATATTGCCATGGCGCTCCTTGTCCACCATCAGCAGAACAGTGGCGCGAGCCATGACATCCGGGGATTGGAATATATCTCCCATGATGGTCTTGACCACGGGCGGCACAAGGGCTGTGTCAGTCCAGGACGGGGCGACTACATTAATACGGATTGGTACTCTGGGATGAAGCAGCGGCTCGAGACCACGCATGAGCCCAATGACGGCGTGCTTGGTCGCGTCTTGGAAGGTATTAGCATATGTTAAAGACGAATATGGTAACACCTACTGTAATCCGGGGAGGGCAGGCGATAGAAACCTGCTGCCGAGCTCGTCATGACAATGCTCCCATCACCTGGGTTCTTCTTGAGGTAATACAACCCCAGTTTAACCGTATACATGACGCCCACCAAATTAACATTGACGGTGCTTAGTTTGGGTGGCAGCAGATTGCCATTGCCATCCACGTCGTCTTCTAGCAAAGATGCCACCGTGTTGATACCTGCGTTCGCAAAGACGTGGTCAATCTTTCCGTACTTTTGCAAGGCAGCCTTGAATAGAGCAAGCTGGCTATCCCAAGAAGTGACGTCGACTTTCAGCCATGGAACAGAAGACGCTTCTGGCTCGGGAAGGGGGTTGAGGTCGCCGGCAAAAACTTTTCCCCCATGTTTGATCACGCGGCGTAGTGTTGCAAGTCCTATGCCCTAAGAAGCACCTAATATGTGTGAACAGCCTGAGAGCCACATGTGTATCGTAACTTACCGGTGATGATTGCTACTTGGTCCTTGATATCATCCAGTTCACCGTCGGTGATGTTAATGGTCGTCATTCTGCAGATATGTGGTTGTATAAGGGTGATTGTGTTTTGAGTACCTCAAATGAAGTTTGTCAAAAGAAAAAAGGTGGAATAGCGCCGCATTACAAGTACATTAGGAGGTACCCCGCAGTTTTGTGACAACAACCAAGACCCATGTCACAGGAAGCCAAGTATAAGAATGGTGGGAATGACTGCCTGTTCTGGCAAGCTTGTTTATACGCCGGTAAGCCGATGGCCGTCTACGCGTCAGTGTAGGCTAAGGGTGTGCCAAGACTACAATTTACGAGAGATGGCTCTCCAGCATGGACATGTAGCAACCAAAGCATCTCAAGCTTGTAGGGTCGATAGTAGGGGTATTCCATATAGTGGAGCCGGACCGCGCCGGGTTGGTCCACAATAACTGCTTTCTTGCTCCTTGATATTGCCTGGACCTTGACATCTGAACAAGGCTCCGGAGGTTTGTGTATGTGCATCGGATGTGCCGGATGCCGCGTAGCAGCGATAGGAATTGAGCCTTCAAGCACCACCACCACCGCCACCGCCTCCTCTTCCACGTCCGCGTCCGCGCCCCCTCATGCCCCTACCTCCCCCGCGGTCGCCCCGGTGGTCTCCGCGTCCATGCATGCCACCTCCTCGGCCGCCCCGGTTCGCCTGGTCCTTGGCCTGTTGTTCCTTTACGACGTCGACAATTTCGTCCGGCACTCGAAGGTACTTGATCTAGCAATTGTCAGCAGAGACCAGATATAACAGACACTTCCACACTCACTGTACTTCCACGAACGTAGATCTCTGGTAGTTTCATGAACTTGTCACCGTCGGCGCTCGTTTGCACAACCTCTCGTAGTGTGAGGTTCATCCATGTGTCGCAATTGACTAAGAGTCCGTTAAGGGTTTCGCCGCTCTTCAGTTCAACCAGCATAGGGTGCCCGGTCGCGGCAGTTAATAGACCTAGTGGAAGCTAGAGGCCCAGTTAGACAATTTATAAGAAGGCTGTTCGATTGCAAGGTGCCACGTACCATACTGTCGGTCTGTGAGTTTGCGCAATTGCGCGCTTCTTACGTTTTGATGAATCGTACAAGAGAGACACTGTGACTCTCTTATAAACGTCTTTAGAGCTGGGCGTGGTTGGGGTAGATTGATGTGTAATGAAGGTCGTCGGACCGGGCAATATCATGTCCCTCACATCATCGTGAGAGTGGCCCAAGCTCTAGCAAGTCTTGGCAGAAGCAGCACCTGCGGATCTTCGAGCGCTCCCATTGGCGTCATCACATCCACGGCGAGTTGTTAGGATGATACTGTGAATATTATACATTGAAGTCTATTCTGCTTTCGTTCAGTCTTGGACGCCTTGAATGAAAACTTGGCCATCTAGCAAAGATGATGTCGAATGTGGGATGCAGATAGCGTCCCCGTGCCACATGCGCATACTACGTACATCAACCACTATCGCAACTGACTTTCCTCTCACGCACTCTCTCTCAGGCCTTCCATGTCCCAGCGTTTCATCACACTGCATCTAGCAGTGCTGAAGGGTGAAGCGACGTCTAAGCCACGCTGCTGACCGCAGCCACGGCCCACTAGCAGCTGCGTGCACTTAATACACCACAACGCCCTTCGACTGGTGCCTGATTCCGAAGCAGTCGGGACGAACATCTGTTCCAACCCGCCAGTCTTCGCTCTCTCTGCGCGTCGGCGTTTGATTCTTGCGCTATTCGCCAGTGTCCCTCTTTTTTTCGCTCGTGTTTCTATTCCGGATAGACGGTTCCACTATGCCTTCGTTCAAGTCAAAGGTGCTCTCAGCTCTCGCGTGGGCGGCGCCAGTGTGGGCCGCTGTCATACCCCGAGAAGGGCACCAAGTTGCGCGACCAGACAACAACGTCTTGCAACTAGGTACGCTCTCTTCTTATACAGGTACAAGTTTGCCATGCCCAGGCAGCTGCTGAACGTTGTTAGACCTTCAACAAAACTACGCGCAAGCTACCTTCAGCGTTCCCTGCACTGGCTGTCTTGGCCATCATCACACGGACCAAGATGACGAGTCTTTGGTAAGGCCCACCCTCAGGCTTCTAAATACATCCCACCTGCTCACACTTGCTAGATTCTAAGCTTCACAAGTCATGCTCAAGATCAAGCTTGTGGTTCCTCCAACATTACCCTAAACGGAGTGTTCCTTCCCCAAGAGTGGAACGGCGACTTCGCATCTGGCTCTGGTTCCTACCAAGGCGTTACCGACCTTACACAGAATGAGTGGTATCTGCCGCGCGCCTTGGACCTCGAGTGGAAGACGGCTTGTCTTCACGCTAGCGAGGAGACGGAAGCAGCACAGGTCGTGACAGTCAACATCAAGGCTATTGACGGCAAGCCCATAAAGTCACCTTCTGGTTTCACCATCTCGTTCAAACCTCAGACATCACCTCCGTCACTACTCAGGCTCGAGTCAGCCCCCAACCCTTCCGCAAGTAACAAGGACGTCGCCGAATCCTGGCGCAAACCGCCCAAGTCTCTTCGCCTTGTCTTGCCCAACAGCACCGATCGTCCGCCGAAAGAGAAATCCCAATCACTAGAGGACGACATTCGTGAGCTGAACAATCTTGAGGCCGAACTCCAAGAACTTCAATCACTGATTGCCAAAAAGAAGAAGCAACTACACGCGCATTTCAGGAAAGAAGCACAGAACTTCTCGCAAGAGTTGGGTCAATGTGACGGAATCTCGTGCATCATCAAGACTATCGCTGACAAAGCTCATGGTGCTTGGAGGATAGTGTACTTTCGGTTCCAACCCAAACACACATCCAAAGAGATGGGCCATCCTGAACAGACATTTGCCAAGGCGCATACTCACGTCGCGCAGGTGACCCAGGCCACTGATGATCACCTGAACGCCACGACGACTCCGCCACCATACCAGGCGTTGGCAGTATGTTGTTTGAGATACGGAAGCCGCTCTTGAACTAACGTTTCTAGGATGAACTTCCACCACGGCCAACTAATGAATCCCCTTACATTCTAGCTCTCGAGATTGCTGTTGGCTTACTTTGCTGTGGCTCGCTCTTGGCCGTAATCCGGCACAAGTGCAGCAGCCTCCGAACCCGCACTGAACGTGCTGCCGCTCGAGAGGAACGACTCAACGCTCGTGCCTACCGCCGAGCAGCTCGCCAACACGCATGGCGCAACTGGTGGCGCGGCAACTGGGCACGCCGTGACAATCAGCGCATCGCAGACTACGAGGAGAAACGAGCGCTCATCGCAGACCAAGAGGGCATACTCGAAGAAGCAATGCAAGAAGAGATTCGTCAACTAAGGGTTGCACACGATGTCGTCAACGACCTGGTGAGGGATGCTGAAGAAGGCAGGGCCATCACGCATGCACCTTGCACCTGTAGACATCAGCAACAACCTAGAGTCCCGTACTCGCCACTTTCCACAGCTTCCACATACCCTCCCACGTCCCTCCCAGAGATCCCGTCCAGGCCATTGTCACGCACAGATAGCTTACCCAGCTACCGGTCTGACACACCCACGGAGCCACCCAACTACGACTCCGACCGCGAGATGTCCGAAGTAGTAGCCAACGGCCTCCGCGGTTATGCGGCTACGTCGACGCCGTCGGAAGTAAGCTCGCGCTGGACCGCCGACAGTAGTGTTGTCGACGTTAGTCCAAGGCAGAGCGCAGAAACCCTTCGTTATCCCGTGAGCATACTGACGCTGGACGAGGAATCTGAGGCTGACTGAGGGGTGGACTCCGGACACACTCTCCTCACGTCTTTGGTCTTGCATATCTGGTACCCCCTCGATGAACAATCTCCATCACTGGCAACGTTGTACGCGATGCACGCGATGCACGCGTATAGTCAATTGCGCTCACCACGCAGCCCCCGCCACGAGCAGCACGACTCATAATACACAGTTCCGCTGGCTGAGCAGTCAGTTCCCTCTCGTCGGCCTTGTGAAACAGGAAACACATCTTCCCGCTCGCTCCGCAATCCCTCTCCATTGCACAAACTTTTCCTGTCCCTGCGATTCATTTCCCGCAGGCATAAAGGCATAAAAGGGGCGTTTATTCAATCGTCGTCATCATGTTGACAAATCATATATAAAGACTTGACTAAACTGGGTCATGTTACTGGCCCAACAGAAGTTGTGGTAGTAGTGGTGGGTTTAGAGGACATGACCGCACTAGCTATAAACTAATAATGTTCTCGTTTGTGAGTTGGTTTAGTGTTTGTATAAGTAAGAGTAATAGCCTAGTTAGTTGTTTTGGTTTTTCTGTATTCGGCGGGTGTTTTTTCTAATAGGTGGAGTGATATTTGGAGTGATTTGTTGAAGTTGGAGTTTTATAATAAAGATAAGCAAAACATCATATATATACAAACCCCCATACATACACAAGTCCTCGTCTATCCTCACTATGCGAATCCATCATGCCATATCTTCCCATTTCTAATCCAGCACGAATATTCGCAGCCCATCTACATAATATACACACCCCTTCTCTCCCCATCCCACACATCCCCATCTACCGATTCCTCAAATACCAGTTAAAAGCCAACTGCCCCGTCTCAATATGGAACGGCGTCGGCACCTCGGCAAGCCCCTGTCTCGCAACGGGATGTCTCAAATAAACCGCGGCACAAACATTCTGATTAACCTCGAGATACCGTGGTATAAACGCAAACGCACTCATATAATCCCTAGGACGCCAGGGTGTCGCATACGGCGCTTGAGCGTTGCGTCTATTCCACGCAGACGTATGTTCAGTTTCGAGGCGTAATTTTTCAAACGCAGAGCGCAGGCGGGCTTGGTCTTCGTCTGAGATGAGGGGTTCGTTTGCGGTGGTGTCGTTGCGATCGCGGGAAGATTGGGATGAGGAGGAAGACAGTTCGGCCTGGCGTTCAGCGATTTGCGTTTTGAGGAATTCGAATTGCGTGTCTAGGGTAGATATAGTTTCCGGGTTTGCAGAGCGCCAGAGGGAGATTGCGCGGCGGACGGATTGGCGGAAGGCACGGAATTTTTGCTTGTCTTTTGCCTTTACGTCTTCGGCGAGGACGCCGTCGACTTGCTGCATTAGGTCTTGGAGTTGTTTTTTCAGTTCTGCGGGTGTGGGCTCTTCGCGCGCTGAGGAGGTGGTGAGGTCGGTTTGGGGGGACTGTTTGGGGGTTTGTCCACCGCTTTGCTCACGGGCTTCGGCGCGGGCGGCGGCTTTTTCTTTGGTTACCCGGCGGGCGGTTGAGGATCGCGTTTTTGGTGCACCGGTTGCGAACATGACGGATGAGGGCTCTACTTGGAACATGTCACCGGGGTTGAGGGCGTAGCCGGGGTATATCATCTGGTGGGGTCAGTGACAGGTTTGGAAGTGATAGGAGATATTACACACCTTCTTGCCATTGACCTTGACCAATCCATGTACGACAAACTGTCGAGCTTGTCGTACACTGCTTGCAAAGAGGGCTCTGAAAATGGCCGTGTCCAGTCGTCGTTCGAGGGGGTAGTAGGCCATTTGCATGTACGGCGTCATGGGTGGTGTGCGGGCTTTTTCTGCTTGATCTGCTCCCATTCCTCGCCCTGCGGCTTGTTCTGATCCATCGTGACGGGCGAGATATCTATGGTCCATGGCGACGACTGCGGGTAGGTTCCTTCTGAACATGTGCTTCCACTTCTTCTCCCGTATGTGCTCGCCATGGTAAGCTCTTGTCGATGCCTTGGCCGTCCATTTCTGCTGGAAATATGTTCGAGTCGATAGGTTTGGCTGCTTCAGCTGCGAGAGAGCGTATAACGACCATCTAGACCAGTTCTGGCGCACATTCTGCACTGCGTCAGCGCCCAATTACCGCATTTCTCCTCCCATTGTTATGCCTACCAGCTTCTTCAGCGAATGGAACCTCGGCTTCTTCCTCGGCATGGTGAAGGTCGAGGTGAAGGCGGATCAATTGGTATTGTTCGCCGTTGGCACAATAGCGGCCAAAGGCTGCAAATCCGTGGTTGAGGCGGGGAGGACCGTGCGCAGCTTGCATTAGAAAATTCCCCACCAAGCCCATAGCTCGTTCTCTCTACACGAAACTTTCACTCGCCGCGCCAACTCTACTTGCTGTTGACCAGACAGAGAAAGTATCCTAACACGTTGTAGAAAGTTACGCGACTCTAACAAAAGAAGTCGCAAGAATGGCCGACACTGCAGTAACTGGTGCGGCTGCTGCCAACCCCGCAGAGGTCAAGACTGAGAGCTCCGCTCAGGTCGAGACTGGCGCAAAGACCGAGTCCAGCGAGTCCAACAGCAAGACTACAAAGACTGAAGAGGGAGAAGAGAAGTGGGCTCTCAACGGCAATTCTGAAGAGAAGAATGGCCGTCGCAACGACCGCGACGACCGTAATGGTCGCCCCGGTCGCGGCGGCAGAGGAGGTCGTGGCGGTCGAGGTGCCCATAACAACAACAACAACAACTACCGCAAGAAGTATGTTTGAAGTTACAAACTTGACTTTTTCAATGTTAACGTTGCGCAGGCCTCACAACCGCGAGTTTGAGAAGCTTCCCGAGTCTGACGACCCGGAAGAGATCCGCTCTCAGGTATGACTCTTTCTTCTTAACTCGCTTCACTTACTAACCCACCAAGGTCGAGTTCTACTTCTCCAGAGCCAACCTTGCAAGCGATCACCATATGTTCATGGAGACTGAAGGTCCCAAGAACAAGCCTGTCTCAATCCACCACGTCTGCACCTTCTCGCGAATGCGCCGCTTCAAGCCCTACAGTGCTGTTGTGGCAGCTCTCCGTGACAGCAAGGACTTGGTTGTTGTTGACGACGGCGAGTACAGCAAGCCTGGTAGCGAGGCTGTCAAGCGCAGGGAGGCAATCACCGTACCTGTTGAAGATGGTGACGACGAGAAGAACCCCTCCACCGAGGAACTCTTCTACCGCCTCAAGAACGCCTCATCCAACAATATGGCAACTAGTGTGTACGCCAAGGGCTTCGGTAGCGAGGAGGAATCCGGCCAGATCGCCCTTGAGAAGTTCTTCCGTCCCTACGGCGCTGTCCAAGTTCGCATGCGTCGCGAAGACAACGGCACCTGGAAGGGTAGCGTCTTTGTCGAGTTCGACTCTGAGGACTCCCAGAAGCAGTTCCTCGCTCTCGACCCCAAGCCCAAGTTCAACGACAACGAACTCACTGCCATGGGCAAGCAGGAGTACATTGAGATGAAGTGCGCCGAGAAGGGCATCAAGCCTGACCACCTCATGACCGAGCAGGAAAAGTATGAGGCCCGCAAGAAGCAGCGTGAGGCCAACGGAGGCTCCCGACCCCACAACAACAACAACAACTACAACCGTGGTCGCGGACGCAAGACCAACGGTCACAGGGACCGTGATAACCGTCGTCGCGACCGCAGCGGCTCCGTCGACGAGAATGACTGGAACAAGCGTCGCGACCGCTTCAAGAGCGGCAAGAACGACCGTGGCAGCCGCAAGGAAGAAAAGAAGGAGATTGAGCGCGACGGCCACGGTGTTCCCATCATCAAGGATGTCTCTGATGCAACGTCTAACAAGCGCAAGGCTGAAACTGACGACAACGAGGCCAGCCCCAAGAAGAACAAGCTTGAGATCAAGGAGGATGAGTAGAGCTGCATATTGGGTATTGGCCACTTGAACGTGGATCTCCATGGATCTCATTGCATTTGCGGGCGTTGACGGATCTTCTACTTCACATGGTCGTCTCTACGATACCTTTCATGTCTGGGCGAACTGGCTTGGGTTTGTTAAAAAGTTCTCTCGTATCATTATGATACACGTGTCTCCATTGAATGGCTGCATATAGTTCATGATCATAAATCTGGCCGAATGAGGGATGATATTTCATTCTAGTCTGTTGTTTTCTTGCCGTGAGATCAACCGATCGCCCGCACCATCTCATGCAGGTACGACCAAGGGCCCTTATCCCCGGAACTACTCAACGTCATGGAGTCACAGACGTAAGGGCAGTGTCTAGGTATGACGTTGACACTGACATCACGATGGAGTGCTCTTTTAAGAATATCTCGAGTTTGTAGTTTTCTTTCAATCACAAGTCTGAACTCATCAAACACTTCGCCAAAATGAAGTCCCACATACTCTCCCTACTCGTCCTCCTCACCCCCTCAACAGCCCAAATAACCTTCCAGGACAGCAGCTCCACCATCCTTCGCACCGACAATGGCACCCACGGCCCTCCCATGGAAGAATACCACTACTACCACACCCAATGGCCCATCGGCCTCGCAATCTCCTCAACCGGCCGTTTCTTCGCAACCTACACCCGCGGCACCTACGCCTACACGCTCGGCGAAGCCGTCAACAAAACAGCTGAAAAACCATACCCCTCACTCTCCCACCAAGTCCCCGTCTCGCAGTTAAACACATCCTGGTCCGACATCCCATTCGGCAGCAACAACTCCACAGGCTTGATAAGCGTACAAGCACTCTACATCACCCCCGCATCCGCCCTCCGCCCTGAAACCCTCTGGGTCGTTGATACCGGGCGACCTACTATCCATGATGCCGATGGCACGCCTAGTATGCCGTACGCTGCGCCCGGCGGCCCTAAGATCCTGGCGATTAGTCTAGATAACGATACGGTGTATGCGACATACACGTTCCCCGTATCAGTGCATTATCCAGACTCCTACATGAACGACATACGTCTCGACCTGCGTCCGTCCGTTACGGCTTCAGGCGGCGGAATCGTGTATATAATCGACAGCAGCGATGAAGGACGGCCCGGGTTCATCATGCTGGATCTAGGCACGGGGCAGAGTTGGCGCCGGTTAACGCAAGATGCTAGTACGTTGCGCGCTCCCCGCGATGTACCGAGTTACCAAGGACACCCGTTTTACCAGCGTATTCTCGGCGGTGGTGGTGGTGATGGTGGAGAAGTGCAGACGTTACGCGAAGGTAACGACGGCATTCAGATATCTCCGGATGGCGAAACAATCTTCTACTCCCCCTTGACTTCAAACAAACTCTACAGTATCCCCGCATCTTTCCTCCGCGCCCCGCCCTCCCCCCTCGCAGACATCGCCGCTCAAAACGCCATCGCCCACCTCGGTGGACGCGGTGGAAACGCAAACGGCTTCGAAGGCGACGACCACGGCCGGGTTTACATGTGTATGCCGGAGCAAAACGCTATTTATATATACGACCCACGCACGCTACAGACGGTGGCGTGGGTTAGGGATCCGAGGATAATATGGCCGGATGGGGTGACGGTCGGTCAGGATGGGTGGTTGTATGTTAATGTGAATCAGTTGCCATATCAGCCAGATTGGAATGGGGGGGTTGATGGGAGGGTTTTTCCGGGCGTGGTATTGAGGATTAGGCTGGAAGGGGGCGCGGGGAAGATTGTGGGGTTAGTTTAGTTGGGGGAGGAGGAGAAGGAGGAGGAGGGGAAGGTTAGATAGGGGGGGGATTTGTTTGTGGTTAAAGTTTATCTCGTCAAGTTGTCTGTCTTATCTAAGTTTCCAGCAGGATAGAGCACACAATCAAGTCTATCCAAGTACGATTTTAATATTTAATTCTAGACGCAAGGTCCCTTCAAAGACAACTCAAGTGTTGTGAAGTACTGATCTCGTACACACGTTTTCCGCGAGATGAAATAACGAAAACTGTCGGATCACAGATATCAACGATATCTCAGCCACGCGATCGGCCGCACTGATCCCGGTCACGCGAGCAGGCGCACTGATATTAGTCACGCGGACAGGCGCACTGATCGCGGCGTCTGAGCAGCGCTTAGACTAGACCTCCTATATCTAGCTCTTCTATAGTTCTCCTTCGCAAGACAATCAATCAACAATCACCGAATAGAATGCATTCCTAGTTACGTTATTTCCTTTTCGCACTTAGTGTAAAGCCCTACCAAGAAAAACAATATGCTTAGAAATATAGTTATTACAAATATTAATTAATCTACTACATACACATGTCTAAGTAATGAACACATACCCTCCCTACCCTTTCCCGCAGAAACCCCCAGTAAATGAAGAGGGAATTCCTCCACCCGTGCTATATACTCCTACCCCCACGCCTACTCCGCACCAAAATGAAAACCCCCACCCATACCAACCGACTAAAAGATATAAACCCGCTAGAAAGAAAGACTAAGAAGTGAAAGAGACCATATCCCATCCCGCAAACACACTTACATCTACATCCACTGATCCACATCATCCGCAACATCCATATCCGCATCCCCGCCACCGCCATTACCCACTTGCTGCCCAGCGTGACCCTCAGCCTCTCCGACGGTAGCGGAAGAGTCATCGTCATCGCCATCGTCTTCACACTTAATGTCAGTAGATTCAGACGCAGGCTCATTCTCCGTCGGCGTCGTAGTACTTGCACCCAGCCCGCCAAAAGCATCATTAGAAATCCATGCGAGCTCAAGCTTACCAACATCCGGGATAGAAAGAGATTCATCAAGGAACATCTCCGCTTGGTAGCGTTCTTTGAAGGTGAGGATAAGGGCGTTTGGTTCTTCAGGGTGACGCTCAATGGTTGTGCAACCGGGGTTGTTCTAGGGGGAGGGGGGTAATGTGGTTAGTATGCGAGAGATAAGGACGGGGAAGGGGAGGGGCTGCTTACAAGGAGGTGTTGGCGTAATGCTTCGTCTCGCGAGGTGTTTGCTTCGATATCCGATACGGCTAGACGTCTGGGTCTGTTATCGAGTCTCTTGACTGCGCTGCCACCAAATGCGGTGAAACCCCGTCCACGACTTCGGTAGCCGCCTCTGGAGGGAGCGAAGCCGTGGCCTCGGTAAGCGCCGCGGTATACGCCGCGACCACGGCCACGGGCAGAGGACTCATAAGCATCGTGCTTGTTGAAAAGCTCGGCAGCTTCCTTTTGCAGTGTCTCGAGAGTCTGGGCAAAGTCGTCGGTAACCTCGCCCGATAACTCTGCGAGTTGGCGCTTGATTTCCTCAATCTCCTCGTTCTTCTCCTTTAATTGCCTGTCAATCTCAGCGGCTCTTGCAGCAGCTTCCTCCGTCTTACGGCGACGCTCCTCAAACGCCTTTTGGGCTTCTGCCTGCTTAATCGCAATGGCCTCAAGATCAAGCTTCTCTGTTTCCTTGGCCAGTTCCTCGTCCACCTCCGGTGTGTGCCAATAGACCTTGACAAATCTATTCTCAAAGACAGCTTTGGGGCTATTCTTTGCTCGTTTGGCAGCAGGTCGATCAGCGAATTTGACAATGGCCAAATGCTTGTCTGCGTGCATCTCTACTTCCAGAATGCTGCCAAACTCGGAGAAGTAGCTTCGCACACTTTCCTCGTTGCAATTCGGTTCGGGAATATGGTCTACAACGAGTGTGGTGTTGGAGGGATCCTGTGATGGAGGAAACTTCGTGCGTGCTTTGCCACCTCTAGTACTCCGATGCTGGCCACGAGCCTTGGATCCATTAGGCTTCACGGCTAGGTGTGATTGTTCCGGATCGTACTCGGGGACTTCAACAGCAGCATCGTCATGCTCGTACGGACACAATTTGCCAATCGCACAGTATCCGTTCTCGTGGTATTTTATGCATTTTGTTTTGCGACTATTTCCTTCGTTAGAAAAAGGCAGGGGAGGCATGCCAGGTAGGTTCGCGCCGAAAACTGCGGCCATGGCAAAAAGAGCCATGGGGTCTGTAGGATCAAATGGTAGAGGACCTGGCGGCGGTGCTGGCAAGGTCACGAAATTCGGCATCGAGGCAAAGCCAGTAAAGGTATTGTGTGGCTCCATACCTCCCAGCATAGCATTTCTGCCACCCCTACGTGCAGCTTGCTTCACAGGCCTATTTCCAGTACCGTTGCGATTGTAGTGTGGATCTTGCGCCTCCCACGAATGACCATGGTCTCCCTCAAGCACTTTACGCTTCCTGGACTGGTTTGACCCATCCTGTATTCCTTGTGCGGTCGGGCGGTCGGGGAGGCGATGCCCGGTCTGGTTTCTAGTCGCAGCCGGACCTCTGGGTGTATCCGAGGGTACGTTGGATGGGTGAGGCTCGTATTCGAAGTTTGCGCTCCCAACAATGGACTTGATAGGCGCATTTGCTGTCGGTTTCGGTAGATAGGCCTTTTCTTTGAGTGCTGCGATCACATCTTTTACAAACGCTGCTGTATCTATTACCCGTTAGCAAACGACCATTCTTGACGGCCTTGGTTGTGCGCCAAACCGCACATGATTACTACTTACTCTCTCCTCCAAGAAAATCCTCGAGTGATTCAATGCAGCTGCGCTGGATATTGGCTTCCGTGTCGTCGGTCGCAACCAATGCGACTACATAGTCTGCAAGAACACCTGCCTCGGCATCCGAGCTGTGCCTCTCGTCAGTTGCTCAAGTCGGGAAATAAAGTTTCTCGAGGTCTTACATGGTCTCAAGCTTCGGTAGCAGCCAACGCTTAAAGACGGCATGGTCTGTCTCTGGAAGCAGCATGATTTTATATCATGAAGCGTGGTTTAGCAATGCTTGGGTGATATAGTGTGGGACAGGCAGAGCAAAGACGTAGCCTGGATCGCGTCACTCCTAGCGCGACCGTCGACCAGGTCATAGCTCAGAGCTCTTTGACTCGTGAGCACATGACGAGGATGCCCCACCACATTCACAGTCGCGTCGCTTCTCATCATCACGTTGCATCAACAGGCCAAGTAAAGGCAGATTTACTGTGCAATATAGCTTAATTCTCAACTATACTACACTGTGAACAGTAAGGAAAAGGGTCATCATCCGTATCTTTCGTGCAAAGCCCCCAAAACCTTCAATGACATCAAGGGCGAAATCGCCCGGACCGACGTTTACTAGCTCTGGTTGCTCCAAAGGGGAACCGTTTGCTTCACACATTGACCAGCGGCCACGAGCCTACCATGACTGTCGCATGACCCAGAATCGCGAGGAAAGGAAATCTAACGCTTTTGATAGCTTTCCTTTATAGCTTGTCGTAGTACTGCAGACGCTGTTAGCTTGTGCATCATCACGGGAATTCGGACAAAAACTTACGTTGGAAACATCAGGCACCTCAATCTTGATACCCTTGCGTTTACGCATGTCGGCAACGATCTTGCCAACCATGGTGGTGGCGTCAAGTGGCGAGCCACCCTGGAGATGTTGCCAATGGTCGAAGACTTGTTGTGGGAAGGCCTGGCCACCGGTACCGGCACGGAGATCGGCGGTGAAACCGAAAGACTCGTTGACGGGAAGGTAGGCCTTGACGTTGAAGAGAGGAGTACCAACACGCTGGTTCTCCTCGAAAACGTGACCTCTCCTTCGGGTAAGGACACCGTAGATACCACCCATGGCCTGCTCGGGAACCTGGATCTCGACGAGGTAGACGGGCTCGAGCAGAGTGGGCTCGGCAAGGAGAGTGGCGGCGTAGAGGACACGACGCGCGGTAGGGATGATCTGACCACCACCACGGTGAATGGCATCAGCATGGAGAGTGACATCCATGATGTTGAAGCGGATAGAGCGCATGGGCTCCTCAGCAATGGGACCTTCCTTGGTCGCCCACTGGAAACCGGAGACGACGGAGTCCTTGATTTCGCTCAAGTACTGCACAGCCTTGGTCTGGTCAATGAGCAAGTTGGCACCAGTGGTGTCGGGACCGAAGCACCAAATCTTACGGGCATCAGTAACATCCCAGCCGTACTCGTCAGCGAGGATACGGGCACGGGTCTTGATATCGTCACGGGGAGCGATCTTGCCAGTCTCGATAGCCCTGGAGACCTCCTCGTCCAAAGGCTGGGCGGTGAGGTAGAGACGGTTGTGCTTGTTGGGCGACTTGGACAGAGCAGTGATGCTGGAGGTGGCGTTGACGGTCTCACGGTACTGGACGACGGGGTCCGAGATACGGAGAGGAACACCGGCGTGGTCCTCCTCGAGATCCTTCAAGCAAATCTCCAAGTGCAACTCACCGGCACCGGCAACAACGTGCTCACCGGATGGGGAGATGTAGGTCAGAACGCAAGGATCCGACTTGGAGAGACGCTTGAGACCTTCGACGAGCTTGGGCAGATCCTGGGCGTTCTTGACCTCAACCGAGCGCTGGACAACGGGAGAGACGGAGAACTTCATGACCTTGAGGTTGTGGGCAGTCTCGTTAGTGGTGAGAGTTCCAGACTTGAGCAAGAACTGGTCAACACCGACAAGACCAAGAATGTTACCAGCAGGCACGTTGTCAATGGGCTCGACGAAACGGCCCATCATGAGAATGGTACGCTGGATGGCCTTGATGAACAAGTCCTCCTTCTTTCCAGGGGTGTAGTTGGGACCCTGGATGCGGACCTTGAGACCAGAGCGGACGGTACCGGAGAAGACACGACCGAAAGCGTAGAAACGACCCTTGTCGGAAGTGGGCACCATCTTGGACACGTACAGCATGAGAGGACCGTTGTGGTCGCAGTCCCGGATACCGATGGCGTTGACATCGTCGTGGGGACCCTCGTAGAGAGTCTCCATGCGGTACTTCTGAGCGGTGACGGGAGAAGGAAGGTGGAGAATCATCATCTCGAGGAGAGCGTCGGCAGCGGGAAGGAACTTCCTCATGACCACCTTGAGGAGAGCCTTGCCCTCAAGGTCCTTCTCGTCCGAGGTGAGCTTGATCTCAAGCTTCTCGAGGAGAGTGGGGATCTCGTCAGTCTTGAAGTTCATGACCGACTGGAAGATGCGGAAGATGGGGTCCAAGATGAACTGGTTGAAAGCACGCTCAAGGGGCTTACCCTCGTGAGTGCCAACCTTGGTCCACTTCTTGGTCTTGGGGTTGAAGTAGCTGTCACCCTGAAAGTCGTTAGATGCTACTCTCAAAGTCAAAAGTCAATTACTTACCCAGAGACGCTCCATCATCTTGTTCTTGTCAACACCGAATTTCTTAGCATACCTGTTGGCGAACTGGCGGATGGTGAAAGCCCAGCCGTGAAGACCGGAACCAAAGGCAATGGTACCCTTCTCGGGGTAGACCTGGACATCACCAAGAGTCTTGTCGAAGTAGGTAGCGATGACGACGTTGACGGACTCGATGACACGGGAGAAGTTCTGGTACAGGTCCTCCTTGGAAAGCTGGAGCTCGAGAAGAGCACGGTCGACCTTGTTGATGATGACGACGGGCTTGATACGCTCACCAAGAGCCTGGCGCAGGACAGTCTCGGTCTGGACGCACACACCTTCGATGGTGTCGACGACGACGAGAGCACCGTCAGTGACACGGAGAGCAGCAGTGACCTCAGATGAGAAGTCAACGTGACCAGGCGAGTCAATCAAGTTGATCAAGAAGTCATTCTTGGTGGTAGGAACGGGAATGTCCTTGAGGTCCTCCTCGTCCTTGAGAGTGGCGTACAGGGAAATGGCAGTCGACTTGATAGTGACACCACGCTCCTGCTCGTCGGCTCGGGTATCGGTGAAACGAGCCTCACCAGCCTTGGCAGCTGAGATAATACCAGCACGCTGGACAAGAGAGTCGGTGAGTGTGGACTTTCCGTGGTCGACTGTGGTGGGGTACATTAGCCATGTGTTCTGCAACAAATGCGGGGTTTCATTGCGAGCGCTTACCGTGAGCAATGACGGACATGTTCCTAATGTTCTTAGGGTCGTCCATGAGACCACGGATCTAGTCGCGCAGTCAGTATCCATCTTCCTGTTGTTGCCGCGAATATCGACGGGCGATGCGGGGGCGTGTGTGCGCGTTACGTACCTCCTCTACCGTGAAGCTGTCTTCTTGTTAGCCATTGTTCAATCATTTTTGCAGATGAAGAGATGCAATTTTCCAACTTTGGAAACGACGCAAAAAGGTGGCGACGACTTACTTGACCATGTTGGCGGTGTTGTTACTGTCTTCTTTTACGAAAATTCAGTGAGGGGAAAGTGTCGAATACCCCGCTTTGAGCGCGCGGATTCGGTGTGTAGGTCGCGGGTTGAGCTGATGTCTCTGGCGATGCAGTCGACCAGAGTCAGACAGACGGGAGTGTATTGAAGGCCGTAGAGGCAGGCGTGCGTCTGGTTAAGAAGAGTTCTGCGAGGGGGAGCGCAGGTTTTTAGTAGGGCTAGTGGTGGGGTCGGTCGCGCTTTCCTCGCTAAAGCACGCCCCATGCTGGTGGCGCGAAGTAGCCTCCAACGCCCAAAGCAGTTGCATTGCGACGCCCTTCACTGTCAAAGTCAAATGTCCAAAATGGTCGTTTGCGCCTCCGCTCCGTCTCGAATTCTGAACGGTAGGGCCCCGCTACCACTTGAAAGTGGTACCAGTCGCTCTACCAGGAATTGTGATGCGGCGGCCCAATGCATGTCATTGGGTAGCGCTGCGACGCAAGTGGAGCAACGCGGAGGAGAACATCATCATTTCTAAATTAGACGACTACATTGCGCCCAAACCATGACGGCATGGTCTTGATTGAGCATTACAAGCAATGCTACGCCCTGGAAACATGAGTCTTTGAGCTGCAACTTAGCACTACCGCGCGCAGTTACGTTCCGTAATGTTTGATGTGATATAATCATGGTACTGCGGTAACCCCACCAGCTTGCAACCAAACACGTGAGATGCTTCTGCGGATGTCGCAAGCCCAATTGAGCATTTTGGGCAACCTCCCGCCCTCAATGTGACCAGATCTCCTGACTCCGACCCTACTGCGCACCGTCATTCTCACATGCGGCCAATTCGCGGAGGAAGCTTCGAAATCGAGTGTGCATTATGCGGTTCTGCCGTATTGGGCATAGCTCCGGTATATCCGCCGCCCTTCCAAAATGGAAGACGTAGACACCGAATGTGGGTAAGATAGCTAGATTACACCAAGAAGCTTAGCTTCACATGATTTCAGTTTCACAATGTGTGAATGAGTGTCTTAAAAATTCGACTGTTGCACTTATTCAACACCAAGTATTCCTTTACAGTATGGCTATCAAACAACGATGTCGACAAAAATTGCTAATCAACAATCGACCTTTTACATCCAGCGATACAACTTGTAAAACACCGATAGCTCAGCCTTTACCCCTTCCTCCACGCTTACTGCCTCCTCCCCTGGCTCCACCTCGCTTCTCGTCCTTGCCCTTGCTCTCCTTCTTCCACTGGTGACCATCCGCCTCAGAGAGACCTGTTTCGCGTGTTTGATGTCGTTTACTCAAAGGTTCGCTGCTACGTGCTTGTGACTTGGTATCTAGCTTCCTCTTTTTTGTTGGCGAGGGAAAGACTATGCGGTCGATCAAGCGACGAATCGGTGGTTGCTTGGGGGTTTCGCTATAGTCCGTATCCTTGCGTGCTTTGTCGTACTTGGATGAAGCCCGATCTTTGGTTTGGGCAGGAACAGAGTCTGATAGTGATCGAGTTTCCGCACGATAGTAAGACTGAAAAGTGGCGGGCTCATACTCCATGTGGGCATGCGGAGTCGCACGATGGGCACGACTGGGTGTCTGGGAAACATCCTCTCTAGCATCCTGTTCCATCTTTTGTTTAAGACGTATTTTCTTATTAGGCCTCGCACGACTGCAATTACCCTTGCCTCCGCCTTCTGGGTGTCGTCGATTATCGGACAAGATGTCTGGACCAGCGGGGTCGAGGCGGTTTGTGCTACATTTCTTCTGGAGCCATGTCTTCTCCACTGTAGTATCCGGGTTTCTAGCTTGCACAGATGGATGAGCGCGGTTGTGTGTCTTGGTAGTAATCTGTTGACTCTGCAACGCGACCTCGTCCCGACATTCCCCCATACGTTCAGTGTCCACGTTTTTAGTATGACTGTTGCGTACAGGGGCGGGTACATCGCGCAAGCCATTATCCATCCTCCTGGGATCCTGCTGTGTGACGGGAATTTTAGTTTCATGCCGATAGGTTAGGTAACGATAGAGCAGACAAACAGCAAAAATGCAGAACGCGAAATCCATATGCATACTCAACGCACTCTTCCAACCCTTGCTCTATCCCTCTCCCGGTCATCTACCCTGGTGTCATTTGGAACCTCAACCTCGTACTCCTCTTCTTCGACCTTGTGGAACTTTTCGACCGCAGCGCGTTCGTCGTGGGCGCGTGCTGCATCCAGCATGAACCTAACGGTGCCGTTCTGACCGCGGATCCCTATCGCAGACTTGGGTGGCTGATCGACACCAGGTGAGAGTGTGACGGGAGTGGCCGGCGTGAGCGGGCTCGTGGGGTCGATGCCATTCCGTGCCTTGAGGCCATTGGCGGTGTTATCCCCACTCAAAGCCGTCTCAAACGCATACTGTGAGTAGCGCGGGATGTTAGCTGCCGAAGCTTCCTGGTTAAGCCCAATACGAATGTTGATGAAATGCTCGAGTGTATACGAGGGTCCGACAGAAGTCGCGCTGCGGTGGTGCGTATACAGATCCAGCATATCAAGGAGGGTCTCCATAACCTCTGCCCGACTTGTCGCCCACTTGCTATACCTAACCGGTCCTGTGTCCACAAACCGCGTTGCGTCCTTGCCATGCAGTCTCGCTGCAAGCTCCACGCACGCGATAGCCAGGGTCGGTGTAGACTGCTTCAACGGCGCAAATGTTCGGTACGAATCGATGCTCAGGTTCCAGATTGTCTTGGCCTCGTTGCTTGCGTCAAAGCGCAGAGCCCTGGCAAGCTTGACCATGAGTTTCTGGGGGTATCGGTTGCGAAAGTCAAAGCCGGCGCTCTCGAGCATAAGACGTTCAAGCCCGATGATGAGCTTGGAGTGGTTTTCAAAGCGCTATTAAAATATCAGACATCAGTACACGGTGAAGCTGCGGGGCATGGAACAGGCGTACTGGGTCATCGCTGCTCAAGCTCTCACCAGGCCCGACCTTGAGGTTCCAGTGTGCACACAAGATCTCTCTGCTCTTCTTCAATGTATCCTCAATTTTGCATGCAGTGAATAAGGCGGCAGCCGCTGCATCAGCCCAGTTGTATTCGTTATCCGCATGCAGCAGACGGAACTTGTGGTAATAGATGACGGCGGTATTGAAGGTGCGGATAGGAAGCTGTAATGCGCGTCGCACTTGGTCGATCCATGCGACGCCTTGGAGACGCACGGCATCCTCTTTGGCGTCGCTCATGTTGATATCCGAGAGACATCTCTGCATGCGCGACTGCAGAATGTACGGCTTCGCAACCTCAATGTACGATGGATGTGGCCCAACGCGCTCGGAGTCGCGCTCCGACGGGGAGGCCGTCGGCGGCATAATGTGTGTGGTGGGTAAGTGCGAGTGTGTGAGTGTGGATTGTGGTGAGAGGTAGTCGGTATGTGGAGCTGGTGTACGACCACAAAAGTTCCTTGGTCATAGCTTTATAGCTTGAGCATGCACGGCGCATTAAGTCGAGCAGTACAAAAGCATTTGTTTCCATATTATTATTTCGTTCACTTTGATTGTCCACTACTCTTCCTAGAGTCTCCTACCCATCATACCAGTATTATTTCATCCCAGCTTCGGTACTCATGAAGCCAATGGGCCACCTCTCGATGAGCGCCAAGGCCGTAGTCATTAAAATCTAAGAGGCAAGACCAAAGGCACTTGTACCTTTGCCCTTGGGGGAAAGAATCTGAACTTCAGCTCCACTATCTACGGATGTAAATGCAATAAAAGTCCATCGGAAATGCGCATCTCGTAGCCAACCAAACACCAGCTACCTATGCCGCTGTTCGGTCCTTGAATGTGAGCAGACAGTCATCCTTGGATATGTTAGCAGTGTTTCATGATGGATGCTGGAGGGAAATGACGTACCATGGGGAAGATTGTAGCGAACACCTTGATTACCTCACTCTGATCCGTGACTTGGTGGTCCCAGTCGAGCAACATACTCGCCTTACCAATCATTAGCATGAGGTTCGCTTGTGCGTATGTCTGGCCCAAACAGTAGTGTGGGCCTGTGCCGAATACGAGCCAGTTCTTGGTTTGTTGGTCGGCATCACCAGTGATCCATCGCTCCGGCTCGAACGAATCGGGGTTAGGGTATGCCTCCGCATCGTGCAGAGCCATGTACGTGGTGGGGATGACCATGGAGCCCTTGGGCACCGTGTATTCGGGCGAGATGGGGAAGTCCTTCTTAGCGAGGTAGGGAACCATGATGACTGGGGGACGATAGCGGAGCGTCTCCTTGACAACAGCGCGAGTCCATTGCAACTTCTCAATAGTGTCGAGCGAAATAGAGGCGTGGATGTCGCCGTTCCTGACCTTGATGTTCTCCTCGCGAATCTTGTCCAAGTACTCGGGACGGTCGGCCATGATCTGGAAGAGCCACGTGGCAGCAGAGGTAGTAGCGTCTTGCGAAGCAAATAAGAAGGTGAAAATGGTCATGGAGATTTCGAGATCACTGAACCAGCGAATCACGGTAGCTGGCTTCTCAGAGTCATCGACCTTCTCGCCAGCTTCAACCCTCTTGCGGTACTTTTCCGATTCAATCATGTTGTCTACCCAGAAGTCGAGAATGCACTCCTTCTTGCCTCCGGCCGCCATGCGGACCTTGCTCTTGGCAGCACACTTTGAGAACTCTTCCAGAACCATGTCGGCGCACTTCTTGCCGTACCAGGTCTTGGTGAAGGGGATGATGACGGGGAAGTTGACGAGCTCGAGCGCAGCGGTAATCAGGTAGTAGTCGTCTGCGATCTTTTTGACAGCTTCGTCGGAGCAGTAGTGGCCGACAAAAGTGCGGCAACTCAGGGCCGTGATCATCAGACGGAACTGCTGCATCCACGGGGCATGCTTGCCCTTGTTCTCCACCTGCGAGAGCTGTACGAAGCGCTTAAAGTAGGTATTGTAAATGTCCTCCTGGCCCGGGAGGTACTGTTCGAGCGCTTGGCGGGTGAACAGGCTGTTCAGGCCCTTGCGGTAGTCGACATGGGCACGGCCGTCGAGAAACACCCAGTTCTCGGGGCGCAGAAGCTTGTAGGCGACATCAACGACGCATGGCTTTACGAAGCTTGGCGAGTTGAAGATCTTGCGAGCCATGTCGCGGGTCGAGGCAATGACGACGAATCTGGAATAGCGGTCAGAACGAGCACGGTGAGGGCGAGCGCACAAACGTACTTGTGAAAGACTGAGACGCAGCTCAGAGGGCCCGACGCCCATTTTTCGTGGTATTTGTTAAAGTCTGGGTTGACCGACTCGAGGAATGGTCCAATAAAAGGTATCTTCCATGACGGGCCAACGATAGAGCCCTTGTTCCAGATGTATTTGACTGCGCGAGTGTTAGCAGTGGCGGGCGCATCGTCGGGAGGATTTTTTGCGCACATTGGTCGTATGCGATAGCCGTTACGACAAGAGTCAAGACCAGCTTCCAGACGGTGAAGCCGGTGAAGACGGTCGATAACAGGCCATTGCTATCGAACTGTGCGAGCACCTGAGCGACTTTTGCATCAGCCGTGGGCGATACGAAACTCGCGTTGACCGCCATTATTCAACTTTTTTCCGAATCGCGCCGCGCGTGAAGCTTTTACGAGGGTGTGCGCGAAAGTCGCGGGGGGAAGGTCGCAAAAGGGCCCAGGAGAGTATACCACGCCGTATTATATTCCGCCAAAGGACAACACCAAAAAGAGGGTCTCTGCCAGTTTAATTGCAAGCCTTGGCGAGAGGGTTGGTCACTGCAGACACTGAAAGGAGCCTCTCTATGCCTATCGCGCACTAGAGTCCGCACGGCACCCGGATTTAGCGCATCCGAACGCGCCTTGAGTGGCTCCCGTGGCTGATGCTGTGATATCGCGCCCGGACAAATGCACCTATACGAGCCCGCATCTTGGCCGTGACAAGTCGCGTATGCGGAGTCTAATCCCAAGTCGTCCGTGTCGTGATGGCCTGAAGCCATCGACATGTATACTTTTCCCATCCAGCAGATGCCTACGCCCCGTTCCTGTGGTGCTTCAGGCACACAGCCAATCGGCACATGCATGCGAAACTCCGTCCAGAACCAAGGAACGACCGCCTTACTACGTTGCTTACTAATTGCTCACCCTTCCGTCGCTTCTCCCAACTCGGAACAGAGCGCAAAGTCTTCACCATGCTGCAAAGAGCATACACATCATAATCCCTTATGAAGACTGAATAAAATCCCCTTCTACTAACATCCACTACGTCATCATCCTCCCCTCGTATGGACCTTCCGCGCTGAGCCATTTTCACTAAGCCCCTCTGTCAGCTTGAACGGGTCTGGGCCAATACCTCCCTTCTCTAATTTCGTGCGTAGTCGCTCTATCGAATGCATCTTCCAGACCCCAACGCTCCCGAATATACTGCCCAATCTCATCAAAATCGTACCCATGAACAAACTCTTCCCGCTCTTGGTCCCGCCAAGCGGGCACTACATAGAACTTGTCGACATCGTCTCCTAGTCCCCTGCGGAAAGACTTTTCCTAAATCATATTTAGCTCATGCGACAGAGACGGTGGTAATACGGTACTTACATATTCCCATCGCTCTTTGGTCAGTGCAAACACCCCCGTGATATCCGGCGCTAGTTGCAGTGGGAGGTTGTGTTCATCATGATGCGTGACCGTGACACAGACGTCGTCATGGTCATACATCAACTTGTAGACCATGTTCCTAATGCATTGCAGGAAGTTGACATATGCGCATTCAGCGTACATACGGTTGTCGTCATCCCCAAGATCTCCGAACTGGGTCATGAGAACGATCTCAATCCTCGTTCCAAATGGCAAGCCACGTCCCACGAACAGATCGAGTTTCGATATGTTCGACCAGATTTGGCGCAGAAAAAGCTGCAGGTTTTCGTATGCACACGGGTCATAGACGTTCGGCTGGTATTGCTCACACTTGACGCGGATTTGGAGGTCGCGGACGTGATTTACAGGGTAAAATAGCGGCTGCAGCTTTAAGTCGTCTGGTACCTCTCGTGGCCTGCCGTCTTTCTCCCACGTCTGCATGTAATAGCCCGAGTGGAGAGTTCCAAAGTTGCGTATCGCTTGTTCAATGCTGCATATGGAAAACGTGTTTTGCGTGTAATACACCTTCTGTATCTCAGCTGACATCGCAGGCCCAAAGTATCTGGGGTTCAGCAAGTAACTGCTGGGAAGCACCATGTCCTCAGGTGGATGGTAGGTGTGTACTTGTTTTACACGTCCATCTGGAAGGGTGGTTTGGCCGCCATTCTGGTTGGTGCACTCGTTGGAATAGGTGAGATCTAGCTTCCGGATGCGTTCGGTGAGTTCTGGGCTTACGCCGTCACTGTCGACATCCAAAGCTTCTGTGTTTTTAAGACGCTGGTACGTTCGCGTCGATTCCCACCTTATTGGAGGTGCATTTCTTACCAATTCTCTCACGATCAATTCCTCCTCAGGCGACAACTCGTCTGGCGGAGGTGGATTAAGATTATGTCCATGGTAGGTACGTAGATGATAATATGGCCCAACATAGATAGGACGGTCTTCCACAACCAGAAATTCGTATATCATATCGCGTAGCTCCGCGGGAAGTTTCTGCTGCATCAAGTTGGCCAAGTGCAAGCATTGGCTCCTAGAGTAGTATATGGCATGTTTGCTGCATTCCCTCTGGTATTGCATCGCTTCATTGGTGGCTCGCCTAAGTTGGTGCCTCAATTCATCGACACTGCCGTCATGTCAGCTGCCGACGTGACTGTGATGTCTCATGGAAGAGGCAGTATCACATGCGCTCAGATCTGCCGGCACTGAGAAAACTCACCTGTCACGCTTCTTCCGCGTCTTGTCCACCAGTCTATGCAGATGTGACTCCAGCTTTTCGACCTGTTGCAAGTCTTCCATTTTGCACGACAAGAGGCAAGGAAGGGAATGAAGAGGACAAAGGGAAGGAGCGATGGGATGGGATACATGATAAGAGGGCGCGTAACCTTGACTGCGGGGCCGCGCACCAAGTTACTTAGCGCAGTGCGCCCATTGGCTGGCATGGAACGCGTCTGACAGTCGCGTAGTCACGCCTCTTTGCCTTCACATGTCGAACATGGCTACCATCAAAGCCATCGAGGGCCGTTCGGTGCACCAGATACAGTCGGGCCAGGTCATTGTCGACCTGCAGTCTGTCTGCAAAGAACTGGTCGAGAACAGCATCGATGCAGGCGCCACCTCTGTTGGTACGTCTTCGCCCCGCACACTGCATACCCATGTGCCATGATTGACACCCACTACAGAGGTCCGCTTTAAGAATTATGGCCTCGACGCCATAGAAGTGCAAGATAACGGTTCTGGGATTGCCCCTGACGACTACGAAACCATCGCCTTGAAGCACTATACTTCCAAGCTTGCCACATACGACGACCTCGCCTTACTACAGACGTTTGGCTTCCGCGGCGAGGCATTGTCGTCGCTATGTGCCCTTTCCAACTTCCACATTGTCACTGCCCGAGCCTCGGATGGATCCAAAGGTACCAGGCTAGATTTTGAGCAGTCAGGAAAGCTGAAGGCGACTTCGGTCGTGGCAGCTAAGCAGGGTACGACAGTGGTGGTAGAGACACTGTTCCATAATCTTCCCGTAAGGCGCAAGGAGCTCGAGAAGAACATCAAGAGAGAGTACAACAAGGTGCTACAGCTACTAAATGCATACGCATGCATCAGTGTGGGCGTCAAGTTCTCAGTGAGCAATCAAATACCAAAAGGGTGAGCGTGAGTGTGTATGTACTCCCGAGCTGTGCTAACTTAGCCAAGAAAGAAGACTATAGCTTTCTCCACCAATGCCAACACAAGTACGCGAGACAACATCTCCAACGTGTACGGTGCAAAGACCATTGCCGCCCTAGTTCCCCTCGCCCTCGAGTTCGCCATGGACCCATCAAACCGTCCGGGCGCTACACAGACGGCAAGAAACTGGAGCACACAAGAGGACCCGGGATCGCGAACTGTCAAGATAGTGGGCCACATCTCCCGTCCTGTTGTTGGCGAAGGTCGGCAGACGCCTGACAGACAAATGTTCTTCGTAAACTCGCGGCCTTGCACCCTTCCTCAAGTTGCGAAGGCGTTCAACGAGGTTTACAAGTCTTACAACGTCACACAATCGCCTTTTATATTCGCAGATATACAGCTTGACACAAATGCCTACGATGTTAATGTTAGCCCAGACAAACGGACCATCATGCTCCACGACCAGACCGCGCTACTTGAAAACCTCAAAAACTCACTGATAGAGCTCTTTGAGGGTCAAGACCAGAGTATGCCTCAATCGCAACTTTTGGGAAAGAAGACTCCTACCTCTGCCTTCAAACCACCAACCATGCAGCGTAGGGACTCTGAAGAACGAGTGGTCCGCCCACTGCCCAGAAGTAAAGTTGAAAGCAACCGCGAGAACGATCAGACGACGGAAGAACGCATGTGCCATCCAAAAGGACTTCAGCGTAGTGCTTCATTCGAAGAAAGTGACACAACAGAATCGCCACTCCCAAGGCCACAGTCACCATTGTTTGAGCCGGAAGAAATCAAGAATGTTCCCGTTAGGCTGCCGCAACCTCCGAGAATCGTCCAAGACTTCAACGCCCGCATAGCCTCCCAAAACTCTCATCAGCTCCAGCCGGTGCGATTGCCCGCATCTCCGCAAGATACTGCGGATGTAGAGAGTGAAGAACAACCGATTCCAGCCATCTCACAAACACCGCAAAAGTCGCTGTCGCAAAGTACGATTCAGAACGCGTTTGACCGCATGCGTCCAATGCGAACCGCAGTTCAACAAGCCACGATAACGGTAGGTAATACGACGACTGTCTCAACAATTGGCACCGGAAGCCAGTCCGCAGCCTCGAGACGATCTAGAATACATATACCCAAGTTCTCGTTATCTGGGAAGCCACTGGACCAGATACCGAAGAAGAGTCTGTTCAAACAAGGCATAAGTGGGTTTTCGGCTCCAGGTACCCAACTCGAAAGTAGTGACGATGATGATGAGGGAGACGAAGAAGAAGACGAGGGTATACAGGACGTTGACGTGTCTGATGTGCCCACACGCTCTCCTTCTCCGCATAAACGCCTACCATCTCGAGCATTCGATGAGCTACAGGATGACAACCTCACCATCTCAAAGAGTGCTTCACGGCTACGCTCGACAACTGTCTCAGAACAGGAACTGGATACAAAATCCATCTCTGATGCTGAAGAAGAATTACAAGCAGACCCGGAAAGCTCAGACGATGAGTACATGGACGATACGGAGAAGAAAGCAAGAGAGGAAGCAAAAATTGTGCAGCTCATTACTGAAGCCGAGGAGGCGGCAGCTCAGCCTACTGAGATGAACGTCAAACGCATGAAGAACATGTTCAAGATTATGCAGAAGAAGTACTGGACCATCAATCTCGAGCGCGTCATCGAGACAGACGCCGAGTCAATCTCACGCGATATCCACGAACTCCAAAAAGCCATCGACACATCTCCGGCAAACACTACAGACAAATCCATGCTACCTTCCAGCGCCCAGCTACACGACGCCGACCCAGAAGAACGCCTCAGCCTCACCGTAACAAAATCCGACTTCCACGACATGCGAATAGTCGGCCAATTCAACCAAGGCTTCATCATCGCCGTCCGACCACCCACCTCCACAGCACCCACATCCGACCTCTTCATCATCGACCAACACGCCAGCGACGAAAAATACAACTTTGAGCGCCTCGCCGCAACCACAGTCCTCGTATCTCAACGCCTCGTGCACCCCCACCCCCTCGAACTCAGCGCTGTAGAAAAAGAGATAATCCTCGCAAACGAACACGCCCTCCTCGCAAACGGATTCGTCATCGAAACAACCGACGCCGACGAAGAAACCCCCAACCCCAACAACACCACCACCACAGCACACCTAACCTCCCTCCCCATGTCCAAAGAAATCACCTTCTCCCCCACCGACCTCGAAGAACTCCTCGCCCTCATCCTAGATAACCCGCCCTCGTCATCTACCTCTACATCACCGTATATCCCGCGGCCCACCAAGGTGAGGAAGTTGCTGGCTAGTCGCGCGTGTAGGAGTAGCGTTATGATTGGTAAGACACTGCCGACGAAGCGCATGCGCGAGATTGTGCGACATATGGGGAGTATGGATAAGCCGTGGTCTTGTCCGCATGGGAGACCTACTATGAGGCATCTGTTTGGGCTGGAGGGGTGGGAAGGGTGGAGGGAGGGGGTGAGTGTTTTTGGTGTGGGTGGGGGAGAGATGAGTGCGGGGACGGGGACGGATTGGGGGGCTTATTTGAGAGGGGTGGGGAGGTGATGCTGGTGAGTGGGGATAAGGTGTGGTAGTAGTATGTGTTTCGCTACTTGGTGGGGTTGGATTGATAGGGATATGCTAGAGTGACATTCATAGAAGTCCTGTACATAATTACTAGAGTTCAGATACCTAGGTATATCTATCATCAACAGTCTTACTATTCCGCAACCAACTCTGAATTATCATCACTATACAATCCCTAATCCGCCCCTTCATCGATGTCCGCGACCAAGATCTCCTAGCTACCAGTACTGTTGTACCTAAGATGCTAGCAATACCCATGCAGCCGATATGCCTGACACGGTCACAGTAACTAACCTTGCGAACATTCATGGAACTGATACGCTTAATACACAAAACCTTGATATCCGCTGCCTCTACCCCTGTCCCTATCAGAGTTTATCACCCATCTCAATCAAACACACATACCACACACCAGCCACCGCTCTTCCCCTATAAAACCCTTCATAGCACCGACTAAACCCCAATCCAAAACACATACATTCTATCTTAAAAAAACCAAAGCCGCTACTTTTTGTTTAATACTGTGTAGTAGTATTATTTCCACCGTGTAAATCGACGCGGTACTCAAGCGCATGACGAGATAAGCTTGAATGAGGAGGTATCGAAGTGTGTGTGTGTATGTTAAGTGGAGATGTTTGGTGTTGGGTTGACTGCCACTATAGGACTGAGTGGAGGAGGTGGTGCGGTATAGTGTGTTAGACTTTGCTGTCTTTGATTGTGTGGTGTTGGGCTGATGTTTGTGGATATATCAGAGTGTGAATTAGGTACAATGGATGGGGGTTGTGATAGGGCCTTAGGGTAGGGGTGAGTCGGGGAAGATAAGGTCTAGTAATTATAGGAACGCGTCTAGTGTACTTTGCAATCAGGAGTAGTCTAGGTAATTACGCACCTATACTATCTATCCCAAACTTACTTCGACATATCTTATATCATTCTACTCAGACTCCGCAACAATCAATCGATTGACATGATTGATTCCTATATAGGTTAAAGAATTACTTCATTAGGCAGCCTTTAACCTAGATAGGAATCAATCATGCCGATCCGATTGATTGTTGCGGAGTCTGATTCTACTTACTTCTTATCTTCAACTTATTTGTATGCTGTCTACAATACTACTCCCAGCTAAGTAGAGGTATCGACTATTCTAAAGGCTATGTTTTAATAGTTTACTGCATCGCCAGCCTACACATGCGACTCCAAGGCAATCGTTGATATGATAACTCCTCCTCTTAAGCTGAACACAGATACTAGACTATCATAAACTGAATCAAAGACACTATAGACAAGAATATAACAGCCATCATAGCTTCCAAGTGCTCTAACCAGAATAATTCTTAGCTTTAATCCTCGTAGTATACGCCTGTTCAGTCTTGTACCTCTTCGAGCAAGTCCAACCTATCAGAACGCAGCCGGAATTATCGCACCCATATCAAGTCACCGGAAAAAGGGCAGGCGTGTGGAAGGCGGGGAGAAGGGGAGGAGGCGTATTTTTTAATAGTGCAACCGTGTTTGTTAGGTAGACTGTAATATCCATCTGTATCTTACTATATTAATCTAACACGATACTATTAGATATAGTTTCCTCGCAACTCTGCTCCGGATAGAAGCGTGTAGATTCGGCTGTCTATCTAAACGCTAGCCGATGAGCATGTTCTATACTACATCTCTCTTGAACGAAATCGTTTGACATGCTGCGCTGCTAACTAGAGACTTGTACCTTTTTGTCTATCTTCCTCTCTATTGCATACCTTCACGCACATATGAATGCTACAACATATCATCTCTGATAGGGTGATAATTTTAGAGTTCCCTGCTTAGCTTCTCTTCGTACAATAAAAACAAGTATACAATAGCGGTAGTTATTCCAAGACTTCAGGGAAGAAAAAAGTGCAATCAAAAGCCTACAAACACCTAACCAGACCGAGTTCATCTATATCGCGACTACAAACTGGTAAGCATGCACCAATAAGAAGGAAGAACACCAATAAGAAGGAAGAAGTGCGGTATATACAAGTCAGATAGTTAGTGAGAACAGCAAAAACAATAACAACAGTCGTAGCCCGCCCGCAACACACTCTAAAACAGCCCGAAAACATCAAGCCACCACTACATCACATCACATCACATCACATCACATCACCAGCGCAAAGAAAAAAACCCCCCACGGAAAAAAAATCATCGTCGTGCCCCACGCCTACCAGCTCGGTCTTCTTCTCCTCCTCTAGATTTGTTTTCCTTTCCTTATCCCACCCAGCACGTGGGACAAAAGATAGGAGAAAAAAGCGTGGTAAGACGGCTCTGTAGATCCCCCCGTTCCGTTTCCGGTTCCGAGTCCACCATCCATGTGTCCGATCTCCGATCTTCAGCCACGCCCTCCCCGCAAAAAACAAACAACACATGACTTCTGCTGCACATGCATGCATGCACATGTATGCACAGTCGAGGCTGGTGTGGTGCAGATGGGTGGCCTGATTCGCTTCACCTACTCGCAGCAGCAGCGGTAAACGCAACGGATAAATATCTCCTCTACATACCAGGCCTGGATGCAATGCGTGCGGTGCGGAGTGCATGGGTCGAGGCGCAAGCGCTAGTCCTAGCGTGTCTATTGGCGCGGCGCTGGCAAGGAGTTGAACGCGCGGCGCTACGTCATCTTTGGTCAAACGTCGCATCATGGCAACCAAACGACAGCCACAGCTGAGGGAGAGGAGACTTTTTTCTGGCTTGACAACACACATGCAAACAATAAATGGGTTTTATTGACCGGAAAAGCGCGAGTCATGGGGAATGTGTTGGTGAAATGAATGAGTCGTGAGATTGCGAGTAGTCAATGGCGGTCACGACACCTCCTGATGGACAGGGTGAAATTGGGAGTCGTCAATGTCAATGGAGATGAACAGCAAAAGTGCACAAGAGGTGTTTTTTGGGGGGGTATTTGGGTATGTTTTGATTTGATATGACTTATTACAATGTTATAGGCCTCTGGGCTAGACGCCATAATCGCCTGTGTGAACCATTCCCATCCCATCCATGTGTCTTACGAGAGAAGACAAGGATCGCGCGCGCGCGCTCAGCTCAGGGCCAAGCAACGCAGATCGAGCGGGAAAGCCGTCGAAAGAAGTGCTGATGCAGATGACTGAAAGAAGCTTGTTTGTTGCTGAAAGGGCCGAGCCGCTTACAAAAGGCCGGCGAGGGCGAAGAGACCAGCACCGACGGCACCGAGAGCGGGGATGGCAGCAGAGTCGGCAGCACCGTCGGAGGGAGATGAGGTGGCAGAGGCGGCGCTGCTGGCAAGCGAGCCGGTCTTGGACTCGAGGGCGGAGCGGGCTGAGCTGGCCTTGGAAGCCGCCTCGCTGGAGATGCTGCTGAGGGCAGAGCTGGCGGCGGCTTCGGCAGTGGAGACGGCAGAGTTGACCTCGGATCCGACACGGCTGGTGATGGAGCACGTGAGTTGACGCAGAGCCGATCGAGAGATGGCTGAGGCAGCGTGGATGGGGCACCGCCGACGGCCGAGGTGATCTGGGAGAGGACTGAGTCGACCTGGGCGTTGGCAACGCCAGCGGCGAAGACAGCGGTGGCAATGGTGGAGAAACGCATTTTGATGTTTGGTGGAGTTGTTTGTGTGGGAAGACAAGTAGTTTGTTTGAGTTTGATGTGGAGAGGGAGAGTGAGAGAGTGAAATGTGGAATGTGAAAACGAAGCAGAGGGCAAGGCGAGGTGAGCTCTTATACCAAAGGGCAGGCGAATGCTTGCCATAGCCCCAGCAACAGGCACCCGCGCCCTTGCTTGCTGTGCTTGCGCACCGCCTCGTCCACTTTCTCAAGTAATGCAAACGCCCATGACTGGTGAGTGACGCCACATGTTGCTGCTACTTGCTCCCCGGGGGCCACCTCCCACCTGGTCCAATCTAGTGCCAGCCTTTACCAGTCGTTTCTTTTTCCAGAAGCTCTGGTGGGTCCCAGTTGCCCTTCAAGTTCTAGCCCATGACGTATAACGCAGGGATACAGTGGCCGGCCTGTCCACCGTCGACGACGATTATACGGCCAAGACACATTCCAAGGTTGCATCCGAGACCTGCAAAAGCCCCCATCCGACAACAAGCCATGCGTCTGTCGTGGCTGTTGTTGATGCCGCGCCCCAAAATGCTACTATTTCCGGGTGCGGCGGCCATCGATTCACTCTGAAACAATCACCGCTTGTCGACCGGGCAGGGCAAAGCCATCTTACTACCAGCCCCCAACGCTATGCAACGTGAGCTGGCAGTCAAAGTCAAAAGCCCGTTCCTGAGACGCAGGCCTTGTTTGCCAACTACCGTTGCCCACACCGGTACCACCAAACAGAGCAATCCTGCTGCTAGGACAACCATCCGAGCCACCGGCACGTCAAATTGAGAGGGGGCCCGGGCAGCATGTTGTGCATTGCAATTACATGACAAAGCCATGTCGTCATGGGCTCGTTTATTCACCGATTCCTGAGACGCATTACGCTCCAGGGCCGCAAACCGTAGCGACGGCTGAGGAAGCTGAAACAATGACGAAAGCGCAATCTTGGATGAATGAACTGACTCTTCCCCAGACGCATGTGGCGTGAAGGATTGCGAGAAAAGTTGGCGTGCCTGGCTTGCACTGCCACTTGGACGGGTTCTCGCATCGCCAAGCCCGTTTTTTCCGGTTCTACTTGGGCTAGCCGCCGATCGTGCCTGGTTTGCTGGCTTCCGACATCACAACTCGATCAACATGTCTGCTTTTACCTGCTGTTCTATGACGCGTATTTTCATGTCACTTGTTTTTGCCGCGGAAATTTTCTTGTTGATATCATGGCAGTGTGTCGCGCATCCGAGTTATCCTATCTGGCATCTGGGCAGCTCACGCACGTCTGACCAACGGGTATTTGTACGACGATGCTACAAGGCGGATTCTTTGGTCAAGCATCCGCATGTGGCACTATGTCACGAAGCGCCCGCTGAGAACATGTTTGATGAACATGTGGAGAAGACACTACAGCTGCCGGGACATGGCTGCACCATTGTTATAGCTCCGGTTCTTGACGAGCTTGTCTGCCACGTTTCCTGGCACTGCCGACGGACATGTATCCGCTGTATCCGCTCAATTGGCGTTGGCATGTGTTCTTTTGGCTTCCGCTGTGGAGGACCGCTTCGAGCTTGTACAGTGACGGTATCAGACGAGGTGCTTTTCGTTTCAAGCTCGATACAGGGAAACGTGTAGTTGCATACGCAGTCACGTGCTGATGTAAGCCTTGCGATCGCCTTTCGTCACTTCTTAGCCGCTAGTTCTAATCACGGCGCAAGTTATTAATCGCAGGATAGACAAGTTAGGTGATCTAGAGGTTTGAAATACGCAGTACATACACCAGTCTACTGTACTCTTTACTGCCAACGCCATCGGCTGGAAAGGTTCTGACGACGCATTATAAAGATATTAACACATCTGCTGTCTTCAAAGGTAAGGTCTATTCTTCGTCTGCCATTTTCAGGACTCAGTTATACTAGGACTGAAAGACCTACCTATCCATCTTATTACAGCATGGTAGGGTCTATTCCTCTGTTCCAACGCTATGCATGCGAAGTAAACGTGGCAAAGCAGGGTCCCAACAAGCTGCTCTTATCTACCTGTCCTACGCGCCATTCGAGCCGAATCTTCTTTCGCAAACTAGCTGCTATCCATACGCTAAGCTGGTGTTCATCTTCTGTGTGACCGCCGCTGGCGGACTTGGCCTCGGCGTGTTAGCTATGTGGCAAGCAATCGCGTGCATTTCTTCGTAATTCGGCCCAGAATTTCGCTACTGGCTAGGTGAGATAGTATGTCCATGACCATGTTGGTGTCTCGGAGCAACGTGTATGCCCGAGATTTTTGCTAGAACGTGATGCACATGTCCGTATATAGCAGCCCGAGGGCAATCTTGTTGTATCGCTTGCTGGTTCGGCATACAGAGAGCATGTGGGCTGCTTTAAGGTGTTCGAAGCACTGGAGGTCCAACTTGGCGAAGACGCTTTTAAACGATATATTGGAGCGACTGGACTGGCGTACGCTGAGGATGAGTGAGACGGCTTGCAGTAATCTTGCCAAAGTATGGATATCGGGTGCGTACGACGAGTTTTGCCATGGTGGCAAGCCTGGCGCGCGGTGCGCGATAAACGGTGAGCGATGAGGAATGTGGATTATAATAGCTGCTTGCGTTGTACGCTCTTGAATTGCCGTCCAAGAAGAGACAATCAGAGAACGTATGCCCAAGGGCCCTAACCATCTTTCCTACACGACATGATGACAAGTACGTGTCCTCCTCCCCTTTACTTGGAAACAATCGAGGCTTGCTATGAATTCCTCCTCAATATTCTGCCTTGTGGCGCTTTCAGCCCGTGTGTCATGGGCAGGAGGCCACGAACTGGACTTCTGCGTGTTGGACACACGTATCAAAACCGAGGGATTGCAACTGCCCACCACAAATTCGTATATCTTGAAGTCTGACGTGGGGCTCCCTACCCCCCGCCCCCGTGAAATTGGACGTACATACCTGATCGGTGTTGGATCGCCCACGGAGTACCGCCGTGTTCGTGTTGGCATCCGCCCTCCGCCCAATACCTTTCGCAACCTCGTGATGCACTCCGGAATAGGCGAAATCATCTTCTCAGACACGAAAAACTACCGACGTCCAGCCGTCAAACGGGACTCACGATTCGAGTACTTGAACCAATCTGGTTCCCCACAGTTTACTACATCCTTTAATATCAGCCAATACCTCTTTCTACATCCAAAAATTCGGCTATCGACACGATGCATTACACTTATTTCCTCGTACCACTTGTTGGAATTGTAGGCGCAATCCAATGCGTACCACACACCTATCAAGGGGGTGCATGCATACGTACCGCACCAGTGAGTTGCATTTGCAGACTTTCCCCCTGTAAGTTTGAATCAAGTACTAAAGATTACATAGGGACAGTATCAGGTTCCTAACCCCTGGAAAACTTCTGTCCTCTCCATCACGTTGGACTACAATTGTCAAGGTATTTTGCGCGCATCACATTTCGATATGGAAAACGCCCAAATTGAGCATCCTCGCAAACAATGTGTACCCTATGGTGTTGGTGAAGCCAGGTATTTCAACGTCCAAGTAAGTAATTGTAAATGCATCTAATCCCAAGTTTTTTTCTCTAATAGACTATGTTTGTAGGGAAAATGCTGTCTAGAATAGAGAGAACACGTAACAGAGGTGTTCAAAACTTCGTCTTACATATATAGAGGCTGCTATCTTCTATTTTAATTACTATCGCAAGATTTATCGTTCAAAGTACCCTGCTGCGGGAAAATCCGTCTTCATACCAAAAAAGGCTATCGAGTGCCAAGCCCAAGTGGCGGCTGCATAGCCGCTGAGGCTGTTCACACACAGAAAGTGTTTGAAACATCATCGAATAAGCTTCGTCGCTGACCATTCAGCGCTCCAAGTATCGTTCTGATTGGGACTTAATATATGCGTATTATACTCCTTGCTGCTCTACATACTCTACTTCGTCTCACGACTGCATCTGGTTGTCATTCAGACGCCTTCGATACATTGCCCCTGCGAGCACCCACCCCCCATTCACCTTTCGAAGACATTGCGCATCTCACGGAAAGGCCTACATATGTGCTTCTCAGTGTACAAGCCTGGCCAGCAACCTGCAGCTTTCGGATTGGCTGGTATATGCGTCAAGAGTAGGTCAGTCTTTCCACGATGGGGATGGGGGGGGGAGGGAGAAATTCGATACACCGAGTGCTGTAGTCTATCCAGGTCCACCTGGGGAGGCGCTTAGGAGCATACCAACCAGCGTAGAGCACCGAGAAGAAGGTGTGAGTACATGTGCGCCACTCGCTCATTTGAATCGTCGAGCAAAAACCTATATTGATAAGCTAGCTTCCCGATAAAACACGATTCTGAGCACTTGCTCCCGTGAATTCCAACCTGATTCCGACGATAATGGACACTTTGATTTTGAAAACCGGTACACGAGCCATCGGCGCTACAGCAACACCATCCTCCAATGCTCTTGGAGCTTCTTGTTCTGCTGCTCTCCGTCCCCGCGATGTACAAAATGGCCACATCATCTCCACATCAGCTGCCCTGGGCATCGGCGTTGTAATCGGCATCATCGGCATCGTCCTGATGATTCTTCTCGCGCTTTTCGTACACCACCGACGCACGTTACGCCCAACGCAACGGCATGGCCAAGCCAAGCTATGGAAGGGCTTCGAGCCAGTCACGCCGAATACAGCGAGGACCTCGTTGATGGATTCAAAGATGGCGACGATTTATTTGACTGTGCTACCGACACCTGTTATGCCTGCTTTTCTTCCAAGTCCGCCGCCGAAGGGTCCACCGTCGAGGGGAGGAAGGAAAGGGAAGAGTGAGGTTGTGCGGGGTGAGCGTGGAAGTGGACGGGGAAGGGGAAGGGGACGTGAGATGGACGGATGTTAGTACAAGACAATCCAAGGGGGTCAAAGAATTTCCTTCCAACCCAACTCCATTCCAGAAAGAACAATGCCGCGCTATCGACAGAACGGGCTGGCATCCATGTTCGCCCGCGTCTGCCCTGATCGACGCTGTTCTATAGTGTTAACCGAAATCGGTTTCCGGTTCTTACACAGTGTTTGTTCTCAGCGCACAGTAATCTGATAAGACGTTTACCATAGAGGTATTAGGGTTACATAAGGAGCATACAATGTCTTATTGTCCTCATTGCGACCCACGCTTAAATACAGTACAGAACCCCCAGTGAGATACTAACTCTTTATAACACTGCTGTCTTATTCTTCTTCCTCAACATCTTGAGGAACATCAGGAACACCAGGTACATCTGGTGTGATATAGCTAGTGCTGTCAGAGCATGTCGTGCTCCCGCAATCTGTATCCTTTATAACCATTGGCGCTTCGGCTATCGTTTCATTTTTCCAGGTGCAGTAGTTGACAGGAGGGACGGTGGAGATAGAGGAGACCATCTACGAAGTGGCTAATCTTGAAACCTAAGAACTAAAACTCCAAATAGGAACAAATACTAACCTTTATGCTAAGGAAATTTAGGAAAGATATTTGTTGTTTAGGATAAGGTACGTGTGTTGTAGTAGCAGAGTCGAGTTGAGACGAGGTTACATGGCCAACGTTAGGTTATGCCTAGATATTATACTTCAAGACGAAGGTGAGGGGTTAGTTCTCTTTTGCCTTTTCCGGCGACTACTGTATGCATGCCCCTCAGTGGCTTGCGATAAGATAGACCAAACTAATTAACCGACTGAAGCCAAGAGGTTTAAAATAGACACGCGATGCGATAACATTTAGCTAGGTCCGAAGTATCCAATCGCTCTACAATGCCCTACATTTCTGTCTAGATATTAAGTGAGAAGCTATTTTAAAACGTACTGCTAGGCCGTCTTACTGTTAGGTCAGGAGCGCCAGGGACCAAAAGGTCGCTCAGATTCTTGCGCCGAGACGACCGATCCGGATGCCAACATTTCTGGAACTGTTTCCAGCCACGGTGTAGTTCGTGCCATGGCGGTCGAAGTTCAGGATATATTCGCGGATAATCACCCAGGATGAGATCTGCAGTGGAATGCAGCCAAGTGGGTGGACAGGACGGAGTGCAACCAGAAAGAGGGCCTATTGTAGCGCCAACAGTAGGTGTAGTAAGGTGAGATGCAGAACATGCGCCAAAGCACCAAAAACCGTTGTACACGCTCGGCACCAATTCTGTCGTCAGAAGCAGTGCGGGTACCAGGACAGCGACCCAAACCAGAAACTGCTTTGTCGCAAACCAAGGATCTAAGAGGGGCGTTACTACATGTATAAAATATGTGTGTGGACAAGACCTACTGCAGTGAAATTTGCGATAGATTGGGTCACATAACGGGTTGATCCTGGAAAAGGCTCTCGTGAGCAATTGCCATGGCTTACTACCATGAAGCCAGTGGCAAGACACGTTTGCGAGAAATGGCTTGGGCTCAGCAAGCCACACAGTGCAAGACTCCCCCCTCTTTGGAATGTAGCCGCTTATGATGCTCCAGAGATTGACAACGGGGTATACGACACCATACTTGCATAACATGATCATTTTGAGCCAAAGTATCTGCACAAGCATTGTGGTTCGAGTGAGTATCCAATCGCCTTTCGAGTTGCGTTCGCGTAGCGAGCTGCACTCCTTCTTGTCCAGATTGCCCGATTGTCGAACATGGAGCGGCCTGGACGGCGCCCTGGCCTCTCGAGATATCTTTCTCCATATTTCTGCTGGATATGGACTGTGTTGGAGATCTGGAGGAACTTCTATGTGATCGGCGGGCGTACGGAGGTCTGAAAGAACGAGTGGCATTGTCGCTAACCCCGTAGGGATTGAATGTAGCGTTGACGATGCCGACCATCTGTCAAATATTATTAGAAGATGGCGACGAAGATAAATCTGATTTATGACCTGCCGGCGACAGTTGGGCATGTATGTTGATGCTCTGCTGCATAGAAGTTTGAAAGACCAACTGACTGTTATTTCATAAGGCCCCATAAGCGACCGGGCTGTGAAAACAGCACAAAGAACAAGGCACTGACTACGCCGGGACAGCTGTCTAAACTAGTGCACTGGTCTAGCTTTGTCTAATGATCTCTTTGTTCATCACGTGCGTAGCGGTATGCCGTATTCGGCTAGCTCAATCGGTTCCTTTGTGACGCCTTGTTTGAACTCTCCCTCTTGTCATGCTGGGAAACTTCAACAGCAATTTAACAGTAATAGTGAGATATTGTGCTTCCCATGGTGCTTAGGCTTCGGCGGACGCTGAAGTCCATGTCTGCGAACAGACTCAGACCTGGCACTGAGCGTGAAATATTGCGCTTATGCTTGTGCTTACTCATGGTATTCCGGATAAGGGATAAGATGTCTTCGTTGAGGGTATTTGAGACTGAGTGCAGTGGCGGAGGTCATTGAAGTGGTATAGTTTGGTAGGTGATGGACTTTGATGAGAATAGCCATGAAGACAGTCACGGTAGCAGCGATTCACCCGATGCATCTCTAATTATGCAAACCCCTGAAATTATCCTCCTTAATTATGCCGTACCGACAGTCTTAGTTCGTATCAGTTCCTCCGCCACAGTGCCCACTCCCCCGTATCTCTATCCCAGCTCTGCCGCTCGGACATCTCTGCTCCCGATCTCTCCCCTTCCTCCAGTCGATTCAATCCAACTCCGCATCCCCGTCTTCGCCGGCGTATTTCGCTTCAAGTAATCTGCTTGCTAGCCACCTAAGCGGGCCTCCGCTCTCTGCACCATGCCCCGCATCCGCTTCCAACCGAGCACGCTCGTCACTCCCATAAAAATTTGACTGGTAAATGATCTGGCCCACATATACGTTTGCGTGGTCGAACACCATCTGGGGTGGCGGCGGTGACGGCGGTGGGTGCCCTCCCCCGCTGAGTGACAGAGCTACATCTGGTAATTGCGGCTGCTCTATAAGTCGTAGCCATCGTAGAAGGACAATAATTCCGGCTATAAAGAGGAAATTTGGCATTTTGACTTGGCCGCCGAAATTCGTACTGTTAGGAAATCTTTATGTGTAGTGGAGAGTGCTGGGTAGAGCGATAGAGTGTTATTGTAGTTCTTATATGTAATAGACAGGGAGCTTAGTTTGTTAGTGAGATGAGACTGTAAGATAGTTTCAGTATATGATTTCATTGTCTTCTGAACAAGCTTCTCTCTATTAATGTCTCTCACGAGCTAAGACAGTGTACAGTGCGGATCAAAGACATTAATACACAAGTGATGCGTTTTCTTTTTGAGTTTCATAAAATCCAGTGTAGTTCATCGCGCTCTGCTGTCACTCTTCCGCTAACACGATGGCACATCTACTGCCCTATGGGCAGGCCATGACTACAGGAGATGTGGCAAACCGCTATTCTGGAGATTTAATGTTCAAACGGGAATGCAAAGCACCCTGTTGGGCTTGCTTGTATATGGTTACGAAAATATGCACAGGCTGCTGTCACCATTACTGCCCCCCTTAGCATGTGGTTAAGGGCCTGTTCGGAGAAGACGGAGGGGCTATTTAGCTGGGATTTTGTTATTTCTGTTTCTTACTATCAGGCTAGTGGTTCTCCTCGATCGCAAATTTGCTGCATCGATGTAATCATTTCAAGACTTTTGGATGCGGTAGTTTTGGGGGTGGTAACCTTTCTTACTATCCGATATTCACTATATTGGAATCATGGTAGAAAATATATTGGTATTAATAGACCATCATTGTTGATTGTGTCATATTCTAGCTACGGTTCGTAGGCTCATATAGTAAGTGCCAAGCCTTGCTGTAATCTACATGGTTCTCACAGCTGCCGAGTCGCACTAGCTCATCTAGCATCTGTCAGCGCTTTCTGATGGAGGTGGAGAAAACGTGTGTGAACTTGTTGTATTGGAGCTACGGGAGAAGGGAGAATATCTATGGTGCGCGCACGGAGCAGCTGACTAATCAGTGCCTGGCCAATCAGAGCACGGGAAGCCTGATTCACCGTGAATACTAGTGAAGGCTCTCACCGCGTCTCGACACTTTCATCTAACAAGAGATGTAGGTTCTATTAGTCTTTGAATAATATTAGTTTTTGAAACGCTCAAATTGCTACTGGTTCAGTGATTTGGTGAGCCCGTCAGCTGTCATCCTGCTCGTCTCCCAGTCAGAGTCCGCAACAATCAAGCGATAGGCAGATTGATTACCTGATTAGGTCTGTCACGGACCAGATAGTGATCTTTCGAGGCCTAATCCGGTAATCAATCTGCCTATCGCTTGATTGTTGCGGACTCTGCTCCCAGTATTGGACCTGGAAAACGACCCTTTGGCTTGTTCCCAGCGGAACCACATATTCTGTATTCTACATGCCTCTATGCCGCAGAAAACTAGTGATCCTATTGTTGGTAGGCCTTGTACGATCGTACGGGTGAATAACAACAACGAGGTTCTTCTGGTGACTGGTATTGGTATTGTCTACGAACATAGCTGCTACGAAGGTACACCTAAGCTCTGCGCAAGGTGGGCCGAAGTCGGGCCGAAGTGTCAAGCAGCCGACGTCTCTACCGATACTCACGATCCGACACCCCCCTTGATAACCCGAAAACCCCCCATCTTACTACACGTCACTCTGCGAGATGTTACAAGAGTCAGTTCTTTAAAGAATCTCTTGAGTACGATTGCTTCCTTGGTCGCATGCTCAAGAGCTAGGAGCTCAGCCTAAATGGTAAATGTAGTGATCGCGTTGAAGATAACAAAGAGCTTTCGAATGATATATACAAAGTAGCCCAATTGTAGGCGAAATGTTCGAATGTTTTGTAATAAACCTTCCTGCATACCTCTGTATATTCCGTCGGACGCGACAACATGAAGTAATAGGATGAGGCCGCCCTAGCCGCCCTGGTCGACGTCCGGCACAGGCGCGTCGCCTTTTACACCAATCGAGTTCAATTCCAGACATAAGTCTTCTTTAACCCTATTTGCAGACATCTTCTCTAGAATATTGCCGTTAACATGATCCATGGGCGAGCGGCGCACACGGGCGAGCGGCGCACCCCACCAACTTTACTCACCTTACTGATCTTAATCTACAATGGCTCAACGCAGCGCTACTCAATTACTATCAAATGAAGCAGATATTCAGCTTGCTATCTCATCTATTAATGCGCACCAGATCCAAGGTACCCGTACTGCTGCAGTAGTCTACAACGTAGCCGAAACAACGCTCCGCCGCCGACGCGCTGGTATACCTGCCCGACGCGATTGCCCGCCCAACTCGAGGAAGCTTACCCAGAGAGAAGAGGAGGTGATTATTAGCTATATACTTCAGCTAGATCTGCGTGGATTTGCGCCTACCTACACAGCTGTACGTGATATGGCTGATAAGCTGCTGGCTGCGCGTGGTGGAGAGCAGGTTGGAGTCAACTGGCCATCTACCTTTGTTAAACGTACAGACAGTCTTCGGACGTGTTTCAACCAAGCGTACGATAGGCAGAGAGCTCTTTGTGAGGATGCAACATTAATAAAGAGGTGGTTTAAGCTTGTAGAAGAGACAAAGGCTGAGCTAGGTATCTGCGATGAGGACGTCTACAACTTTGATGAAGCTGGCTTTATGATGGGCAAGATTACAACGCAGCTAGTTATAACAGGAGCAGAGAGGAGAGGCAGGCCGAAGAGTATTCAGCCAGGCAATCGCGAGTGGGTAACGCTGATCGCTGCTATCAGCGCTGCTGGCTGGTCAGTCCCACCGTTCCTCATCTTCGCTGGCCAGTACCACCTATCAGCCTGGTATAAGGAAGCTGAGATCCCACGCGACTGGGCGATCGCAGTCAGCGATAATGGCTGGACGAATAATGAGCTTGGAGTTGAGTGGCTAAAGCACTTCAACGCTCACACGCAGGCTCGTAGTGTAGGCGCGCGTCGCCTGCTTATTATTGATGGCCATAAGAGCCACCAATCTCTAGAGTTCCAGGAGCTCTGCAAGGAGAACAATATCCATACGCTCTGTATACCTCCTCACTCATCTCACCTACTCCAGCCACTTGATGTTGGCTGCTTCTCGCCATTGAAGCGCGCGTACAGCCGTGAGGTGGAGAGCCTTATGCGCAACCACATCAACCACATCACCAAGCTAGAGTTTCTGCCAGCGTTCAAGGCAGCATTTGATCAAGCGTTCACGCCAGCCAATATCTGCTCAGCCTTCCGCGGCGCAGGCCTTGTTCCTCTACAACCAGAGGCTGTTCTATCAAAGGTAGATGTACAACTGCGTACACCTACTCCTCCAGCAGCTCTGCCAGAGGCTCCCTGGGTAGCTCAAACGCCGAGCAACGCGCGTGAGCTTGAGGCTCAGTCAAGCCTAATACGTGAGCGCGTGCGCCAGCACAAGAGCTCATCACCAGCTTCAATTATTATGGCGATTGACCAGCTAAAGAAGGGCGCCGAGGTGATGATGCTCTCTGCTGAGCTGATGCGCGATCGGATCTCTAGTCTTGAGAAGGCCAATAGCGCAGCCTCAGAGCGTAGGCGGCGCTCTAAAAGGCGTATACAGAAGCATGGAGTACTCACAAAGGGAGCTGGAGAGGATATACTGGCTCAAAATGAGGCTGACCAGCAGATTGCTCATGAAGAGCGTCAAGGAGGAGCGCGATCAGGCCTCAGCCAGCGGGCTCAAAGGCGCTGCACTAGGTGCAAGGAGACTGGGCACAACTCGCGCACATGCAAGACTGATACTATTAATATAGAGTAATCTACTGTATCAATATCTAGCAATAATATTATCGCGTTGTTGAGATGCATCGCTTTAAAGTTGCAAAAGTTGGTGGGGTGCGCCGCTCGCCCGTGTGCGCCGCTCGCCCATGGATCATGTTAGAATAAATATAGTAATAATAGAATAGAAAAAAAACTTACGGTTTGTCGCATTGCAGACGATTCAACCCTGCGGCCATGCCGACGCATGACCAATGTGTCAACGGATCACCACCAAGAGTGGCAGGGCAGTCAGGTTTTGGCCAAGTATATGCGTCGAAACAACGTTTTTGGGATCCATCGGCGCAAAATCCCTTATACCAACACTGCCCACCAAACCCAATGAAAAAACCAAGTTTGGCAGAGGCAGTAGCCGTGAAAAGGCTCGCACAGAGAAGGGAAAGCCTTATCTTGCTAATATTCGACGATTTGTTCGGAAGAAGACGTAGTTATAGATAAGGTAGTAGTAGTGTGAATATGTATATAGTAAAACTCAAGGAGGACGGATTGAAGGCTCTTTCCAGGAGAGGTGTCTAGCTTTAACTTTCATATACTTTTCAAAGGCATTTCTTCGGCAATGTCTATCCGTGAGTATGTAGATCGTCCATCTGCAACTAATTGTTGTTGGAGCCGTGCAGCTGTCAGCTCCACGCCTCTTTAGTCGATCAGCAAAACGACCCACAATGTGCCGAATAATCAGTGTGGTTTGGATGGATCTATACATGAGTCTATTTTTGCCAGCTATGTATCGACCCTGATGCGCCGCCAAAGTCGTATGACTATTTCGGCGTAGGCGGTGGGATAATCGCGGGCAGATACCGGTAATTTATTACGTGGTTGTTACGTTATACAACAAAGAGAGGTGCATGTCAGCAGCAAAGTAAGGAAACTGGCGCGCGCGATGACCAAGGCAAGTGCCAAGTACGGGTCAGGGAGAAGGTATGTGTATGCACTACTTGGAAAGTATGCGTTGCGGTATATTCGATCGATCGTCAGCTAATAGTTGCAATCTCTCGTGCGCGGTAAGCAAGAAGACGAACGAGAGGGATTTGCACTATGTCTTACGAGGTACTGTACGTCGCACGACAGCACTCAAGTTATCCTAGGCGACCTTTCGCACCTCCATACTTGCCTTCCGGACCCTCAAGATGCGCATCAAGCACTGCCGACTTTCCCTCGAGTACAGATTTAATAGCCTCTGGTAGCAGCTTCCCCAGTTCCTCTGCGGTACTCGCATGAGCAGCCCAAATCTCACCACCGCTGGCCGCCTTCGCGATACCCGAGTAGTCTGGCGTCGGTGCAAAACTAATGTTCAGCTCCTCGTTGCTGACCTTGGAGCCCTCACCATCGGGGTGGACGAGTAGCATGGATCGTCGGGGTGCATTCCAGCCCTTGTTGTTGAGTACAATCGTCAGGATGGGAATCTGGTACCGCTGAGAGATCCAGTAGACGGACCCGGGAACCGAGAAGAGATAGGTGCCATCGCCGACAATCTGGCACACAAACTGCTTCTTGCCCTCTGTCTCGGTCGCGAGCTTGATACCCAGAGCACCACCACCAGACCATCCAAGACCTCCACCACCGCAATTTATCCATGAGCCGGGAAGGGTAGCTTGGATTTGATCTGCAACAAAGCCAGTTTGGGTGACGGCCTCAATAGCCCAGATGGTATCGTTGGGGCAAAGTTTCTTTAGCTGGGAGCAGAGATATGGTGTGCCGAAGTGACCGTTGTCGTCTACTTTTGCTTCACCCGCGATGCCTTCAAGCTTCTTCTTATACGAATCTTGCAACGCAGTCCACCGTTGACTGAAAAGCTGACTTGAAAGCTTCTCCTTGAGGGCTGACTCAAGGTACTCGTTGAGCTGGGTCAGTGATGTATATGAATCGGCGCGATAGCGTTGTGTCGCGTTCAGGTAGAAAACGGGCATTTGCTGCTTTAGGGGGTCGACGTCAACATGGAAGATCTTTGCGCTGTCCTTGGGGTGGCACTGCGTATTGACCCACGGCACATCGCAATCAAGGACTAGTATGACATCAGCTGACTTGATGGCAGGATCGTTGCCGTATCGCAGCCCTAGCCATGCTGGATGATTTGCAGGGAAGCACATATCGCTGCCTCCAGTATCCAAGACGCGTATGCCTTTGACGTTGTCTGCTAGACGCACAAGCTCTTGCACCGCATCGTGATTACGGCCCGAGTATCCCGTCACTATGAGGGGCTCTTGAGCGTGCGCCAGAGCTTCAGCAATCGTCTTGACCCCACTTGGAGGAAGTGCAGCTGGCTCAACCGGCTGCCAATAGTCCATCTGCAGTTTGTATGGTGTCAGATCTTCCTCCATGGGCTCGCGTGCACCATAGAGATAGACAGGTCCTTTCGGATCGCTCATGGCAAAGGATAGGGCGCGGTTGACCATTTGCTGTCACATGTCAGTCTGACTTTAGTATGGTAGTCTCGTTCAGCGCACCTTGACGTTCTTGCCCGATTTGATCTCCCCGGTGTATCGGCAGTACTGGGCGACAATCTGCTTCTGGTCCGGCACATCCTGTATCCAGTGAATGTATTCCGTCCTGCTACCACGCATTTCACCCTCGATGGTGAAAGGCGACAGACCGGCGAATATGAGGACGGGCGCACGTCCACATGAGGCATTGTGTACTGCGGCTCCGAGGCCCTGAGTTCCGACGTCGACGTGAACGATGACGCATTGAGGTTTGCCCGTCAGTCTGGCGTATCCGTCCGCCATGGAGAGGGCGACCATCTGGTGCGGTCAGTTATCATGCACATTAACCATCGCGTCGGCTTTACCTCGTTGGGACATGTGATGATCTTTGGGAACTGTCCCTTCTTTTCATTCTGGCCTTTGACAATAGCTTCGATAATGGACGGATGATCTGAGCCGAGGTTCACAAAGACATGGCTGACGCCGTACTCCCATAGCGCTTCAAAAAACGCAAACGATGCTGTGTACCTGCACGCGCATTAGACATGGATCGAGCAACTTGAGATAGATACCTACACCATGGTGTTGGTCGTTGGATGTTGGTATGTAGCGTTGCAATTGACTGCGCATGACAGAGTTTAAACACAATTCAGACAAAGCCGATTGCGGCCTCAACGGAGACATACATAGTGCACATGATAGGTGCTAATGGTCTGTATATGATGTGTTGTTGCCCCACCCTGACGCTGACCGCGGGGAAGCTTTCATGCCGTTGGTGGTTGACAAGATGCCCGTGGACGGTACCAATTGCCGGCATTGAAACCCGGTGCGGCTGTTCGCGGCCTGCTCACGCCTTACGCCCTAGCTGTGGCCGACACGCCCGACCATTTCCTCTTGTTTGGGCGGGTATCTTAAGATGATCAAAGACGGTTACTGATGAACAATGGACCATATCGTGGTTGAGGATGAAGTCTGGCGTGTCGTGACTGATGAGCGTATACCCGTGCGCGACAAGCATGCCAAGCATCTCCAACTCCCTGTCACTCCACTGCAACGCACGACTCAACCCAAACAGCTTCTACGCGACAAACCAAACTTCTCGTAGCTGTCACCATGTTACTCTGCTTCAAGCCACAAAGTTTGATTCGCTGTTGCGGGAGTCTGGCGCTGTACCAACGTCAGCATGAAACGCGTTTCACGGTTTCTCTCCGGCTCGCTATGAAAGTATCTAAGAAACACCACTCCTCCTAAATTTCCTTCATTCTCACATCTACCTTTTCAATCAAAATGTCTTTCTACACTATTTCCATCTTGTTTCTTGTGCCCTTATCGGCTCTCGCCCATAGCTCAACATGTCCAGGCAAGCCTGCCTCGAACCAACTTCAGTACTCTGTTTGCCCAGGACCACCAGGCGTCTACGTAGTCGAGTCGAGCCAGGGCAAAGGCTTGGGCGTCTTTGCTGTCCACGATCTGGACGTTGGTGACATAGTCATGCGCGAAGCTCCCGTTCTCAAAATCCAGTTTCCCCAAGTCCCAAGAGGAGGTGTATATCCCATGGATGCCGTATCACGACTTGTTCACCACGAATTTGATGCGCTCTCGCCTCAACAACAAGAGGAGGTACTCTCATTGACTTACTACACCAAAGGCGCAAACACAACCGAAGAGGACAAGCTCGCCACCATATTCCGCACCAATGCGTACATGACAGACGACAAAGTCGGCTTGTTTCCCAAGATTGCGCGCATTAATCACTCTTGCCGGCCCAACACGGGCTATACTTGGAGCAAGAGGTTGAACAAGCGCGTGGTATTCGCGACGAGGAAAATCAAGGCTGGAGAGGAGTTTTTCGTATCTTACATCTCCCTAGCCATGCCGCAAGAGGACCGACAGAAGCATCTCAACAAGTATGGTTTCAAGTGCCAATGTGACGCCTGCTCTCGAGACAAAGCGGTCAGCGATAACCGCCGCATCACCATCAGTAGAGCTTTTGCCAGGTTCGAGCACCGCCTTACCATTGAACCTCCGCAATCAAAGGCCGGCAAACGCGAGGCACTCAAAAACGCCCAAGTAAGCATTCAGCTCTCCCAGCTTGTGCAAGAAGAGGGTCTTGCGGATTACTACGCCAAAGCCTACCGCATTGTTGCAATCACCCATGGCCGAGTAGAAGACTGGCAATCAGCAGCTACCTGGGCTAACAAAGCGTACGAAATACGATACATGGAAGATCCCGACTCGTCGCTTACCAACGAGATGGCACAACTCACTGGTCTTTACATTTCGAATTGGCAAAGCCAGCTAAAGTATGTGACGCCCTCAGCATGAGCTCCACATTGTAAAAACGCCCGTGGTCGGTTCGTGTATCCCTGCATGCCATGTGAAGTTCCAGGCCTGCGGCTCGCACATTCGGCCCTGTTCACCCGCCAGGCCGCTAATTAGCCTAATCCGTAACCACGCCTCTTTACACACAACAAGACAGACGTGTCTTTGCCAGAAAACACCAAACTTTCTCAACCCCGTAAGAAGATATCAAATCGGAACAAAAATGTCTCTCACTCCGGCACCCCAACGACTAATCGACCGTGAGGAACGCACACGGAAGAAACCCATGCGCATTCTCGTCCTCGGCATGTGCCGCACAGGAACATCAACCCTCGCCGTAGCCCTCCGCAAACTAGGCTACACCTCGCACCAAATGCGCGACATCCTCACCAAACCCTCCGAGCTATCTCTCTGGCAAGAAGCAATCAACGTCACGCTCCTCGCACCCGCAGACCGGCCCTCATCCCAACGCAAAATGGCACCCTACAGCACCGCAGAATTCGACAAACTGCTAGCCGACTACGACGTAGCCATGGACCTCCCCAGCTGCATCTTCGCTAACCAACTAATCCAAGCATACCCAGACGCCAAAGTCATCCTCACAACCCGCAACTACGACGACTGGGAAGCCAGCATGCGGGAAAGCATCTGGTGTCTGGATACCTGGACGCTGTTTACCTTTTGCAGACGCTTCAACATCACTCAACTAGCTCCCCTGACCCAACTCGTCCACTCCATCTTCCGCGTTCACAGCAACAATGCGTATGGTGGGTCTGCGGCAAAAACCGCGTTTAACAGCCATTACGACAACGTGCGTGATATGGTGCCTAAAGACCGGCTTTTGGAACTCAACACTGATGACGACATGAGTTGGGGTCCGCTGTGCAAGTTTCTGGGCCATGAGGTACCGAAGGAAGGGTTTCCGGCGCTAAAGGAAGAAAAGGCTATGCGCTCGGGGTTGGAGGCTGCGTGGTGGGGTATGGTGAGGTATTTTGTCATGTTAATTTTGTTGCCCGGTGGTGTGGTTGTTAGTTCGCTGGTGTTGTATATGTATGCGGATGAGCTATTTGCGTATAGGGATAGGGTTTTGGCAATGGGAAAGAGGTATATGGAAACTGGGGAGTGGTAATGTTCATGTATGAGGATAGAAGTAATTCTAGTAATGTTTTTTCGCCATTTCGCACCCATGCTTCTTGCGCACGTGTTCGATTGAGGGGGGTTTTCTGCATGTAGCACATCCAACTGGTTGGAAGTATGTTATTGGACGAGGATAAAAGAAAAAAAAGATAAAAGACTAACACATACGACCATAGAACACTGAAAACACGGCTTCCCGTCCGCTCAGCCCTAGTTAACCAGTGTATCGGCGGATTAGTAGTCAGGTGGGTGACCACTGGCGAATCCCCGCTGTTGTATGTTTTTTGCTATTTTTTGCACCACTGAACGCCGCTGGCCATGTCATCATCACGGGCTAGATAGAAGATGTTAGAAAAAGCCGCTACTAATAATACTGTTGCAAAGAATTGTGTGTGGCGCATCTAGAAACGCCGTAGTTGACTTTGTAGATACCGTTATGGCTGGTTAGAACCGAACATTTACAGCATCTGCTCTAGAGTGAGTACGCATGCAGCTGGAGTTATTTGGAGACGTAGACAAAGATCACTAATGGAAGCATACGCAGGTGCTTTATAGCCCGCGATGCAACTATCGAAGATGCTCGAGCCGTGCCAAGCGTCTATGCTCGCTTAGTCTTCAATTCTTTTTTGCGCAAATTACTAGAACAAATATATGTTCCGGTGTAGACAGGTCTAAGTTTGGAGGCTTTTGCCGCTGCTTTTAGAGGGTCTAACACCTTGCGCTCCCCCCCTGCTCTACCTCGCCGCTTTAGAGAGCAAAGCAGGGGACCCATGTTGTCTTGTACTATACTAACTTAATAGAGGTACCTGCGAAGAGTTCAAAGCTTACGCCTCAAAGTGCCTAGTATAGTAGTAGGCGTGGACATATAAGCTGAGCCCACTCGTTGTATCTCTGTTCCACTGCAACGCTGTCATCTCCCTATTCAGTCTCTTCTCTTGCAACTCTGCAACAGCTGCATCTTTTCTCTATACTCCTTTAGGGATGTCAATCCAAACAATAAGCCGTACGAAGCGACGTAAGCCTGTTAGCCGTCCATCTGGCTACTACGGAGCCTTATCGAACGAGCTAGCAGAGCAAGGTCCTACTGAATTAGACTATTCAAAAACCACGAATGTTAATTTAAGTGGTGTTTGGAAAAGATGGCAACTGTAAGACTAAGACTGTCTTTTCCTTCCGTGCCTGTTTAACAACGACAACACCACCGGCTAACTTCATGAAAGCTATTGCGATGAGAGATTTCCTGATAAATATGCTCAAGATCCAGTCGAGTTCATCCAGGCTGCAACTGCAGCCGACTACAAAGCATTCTGCAACTGGATACTAGACAAGTATCCCGGCGTACAAAAGAAGTCCAGTCTGCATCAGTACTGGAGACAAGCGAAGATGCTCTACAAGCGGCACGCACGCAAGCGTTTACATCAAGACCTGATAGATGACGTGAACAAAGTAGGTCAATATCCCAATAGCTCAGGCAACCGGCTAATGATACGTGGCAGCATATCACGAAGATTACAAGAAAGTATCAGCTTGATATATCACCACCAAAGAGACCCGTGTTGTCCGTCGACGGCCTGCTTGTGCTGCTACATCACAATATGGTGCTCGACACCACAGTGTTGCCGGATGAAGAACATCGGATACTGATAGCTCTGCTACTCTTGTTTGCCGCGTACACAGGGGCTCGACCTGTCTCACTCGTGGATGCGAGCATGAAGGATCCGGCCGAAAGAACCACCGATAAGGTCAGAGACCCCGCGATTCGTTTCTATGACTCTAGCGAAGAGGATGAAGACGACACGAGCGCGACAGAGTCCGGGTCTAGTGAAAGTGTTCCCGAATCTGAGCAACTGAAGTCAATACTCTACGAGCACGTAACTCTCGTGGCAGTCAGAGTGCAAGGTCGTGTGAGGCTGGCCATGTGGGTTACGCTTATACATACCAAGGGAGAGGACAGGAAGCCGCAACCGTTCGTACAAACTAAATGTCCTTTCTTCACGAGCTAATGCATCTCTAGAAAGACATTCAAAATGTACCAGAACAAGAACCCTTTGCTTTGCCCCATTGCGCACATGGTAGCTCTTGGCCTCCATCACAACGCTTTCGCTGCCTCTTCTATTAGCAGCCCAGAAGCGATATTGCGCGCACACATCCCTGCACGAAAAAGCTGTAGAATATTTCGGTGGAAGAAGGACATGCTGCAGACGCCTGTATTTCGAGAACCTGCTCGGGCTAGGGGTCAGGCGTTGTCAGAAAGCCCAGCTACACCTTTACGAGCGCAAACTGCGGCCCGGTATCTGAAGCGGCTGGGACGAGACGTTGGTATGGAGCAGTCTGTGACGCAATCATGTATCAGGCGCGGAGTAGGCAATGGTGTTGACAGTACGTGTTTCCGTGCCTCTCTTTGCACACCCTTAGCTTGAGGCTAACATGTTTATAGGCTCGGGCACAGTGGGCGAGCGCGATCAAGTGATGGGGCACAGCTACTCAGAAATATTCCAGTTCTATATCAACCCGAACGTCAAGTGTGATGTTCAGGCGGCTTTCCTGGAAGAACCCTCCGACAAGATTCTTATGAAGGTGCTCGGCAGTATGTCCTTAACGCGCGACCCGCTGGCACCAACCCGACTTGAACCAGACGATGCCCGCTCAATTCAACAAGACCCTACTGTTGTAAGGTTACGCTTGAGACGAGATGCTTTAACGAAGGAGATAAAAGACATTCAACAGCATCCTGAGCTTAGTAATGGTGCAAAGAGAAAAGTTGAACTCATCGATCGAAGAAAGGCCGCGGAGGCAGACTTGCGTCAGAAAAAGAAGCTGTTGCGCGATCGCCTCATGAGGAGAATTAGACAGCGGTACTTTGCAGAGAATGATACAAGGGAGCTTGAGGAAGAGGACGACCTACTTCTCGACGGCGGAGATGAGAACAACCCTACCATGGTTTACGCGCTGAAAGAGCGGGCTAGCGTTGTAGCCTTGCTCTCCAGATCACCTGTTGATCTCGATGAACCTGATGCGCTGGATCGGCGGATACAATTAGTCAGATACATGAAGGAGTTGTGCTGTCGTCGTGAGGCACGGCGACGTGTCACAGCTTCTAAGGCGCTGCCTCCGACCACGAGCGAGGACGAGAATGTGACCTTGCCAACACCTTTGGAGTGTGATAGACGCCAGTGTCTGTTCTGCATAGGCGATAGGAGCCTTCCCGCCTCGCAGCGAACGTTCTGTTGGAGTCGGCCATCGAAGATGATGGATCATATTGAAAAGATCCATCTTTATCCCCTGGAGCCGGATAGCAGGATCCCGTGCCCCCACCCAGGATGCCGAGATAACAAGGTGGTCTTAGATGGTGTATCGCATTTCAAGGCGCACGCCCTAAGAATTCACAAGATTACGCTTCGTTTTCCGAAGGTTACATCTTTCTAGAAATGATTTATCTACATGCAGAAGAAGATGCTGCGCACGTCTCGATAGACCTAGCTCTAGTGTTAAGTTATAAGTTAGATGCAGTGACCGTATCGCACCTACATATCGACAGTAGCGACTTTCAAATTTTCTTATCCCCTAGATTCTCTAGTCTAAATAGCTTCAACGCGCCCTTAGCATGTAACTTAGTAAGCTAAAAGAGACGCGCAAGCTTATAGAATCTACTAGGCGCTCTAGACCTAGTAGAACGGAACTAGACTATAGATCATCTTGGGAGTACATAAGAGAAGTACTACACGCCAACGCACATTGTCCACGACTTCCAATCTATCTAACGTCACCCACTGCGACGCGAGACACACAACGAAGCGAGACAAACTGCAGGTACTTTGAACTTCAACAATATTTGTAACGTAACAACCTCTACTTTTTGAATTTGCTAGCAGCAATAATATCAAAGAGTTTCTTAGGAATAAGCCCCGCGTGTCAAATTTAAAAATTACCAGTCCTGCGGTGTTCTTTGCGGCTCGTCAAGAGGAGCATCCTATTTGGCTGTTATATGAACACCTTAGTCTACAACATCACTCTGTTCTTAACCGCAGATTTTAAGCTGATGGATCTGCTCAACACTACGTACTCAATCTTGTATAACGTCCAGCGGCTCTTATTGCCCGTGTAGCTGCCGCAAACAGCAGGATTATGCGATGTCGCCACCCTAGTCAGTACCTAGAGCTTTAGCGACCAAGAGAAATCGGACCCCGCACGGACATAGTGCCAGTATTGAAGATGACATAATACTCTTGGCAGTGGGTCACCGTCAATACATGTGGCTGTGCTTCATATCAGCTAGATTCGGTAAGCGTCTATATTATGCTTGTACTAAATCGGCTTATCAATGCACGAAGCTAGAAAATCTTGAGCAGAACTACACGACCAGATGTAAGTCCTAGACAAGCCATGTCCTCGAATACTGCGGTCGAACCTGGTCGATACTCTGGCGGAAGCCATAGAAAACGTTGCTGGTTGCGAAATATCCACTGATCCTGCACTTGAACGTAGAAGGACTGCAGCTGCGGCCTTGCGAGCGATGTCACAACAGGAGTTTGAGGCAAAGAAATATCGCCTCTGTCAGTGCGAAGTACCTGGCCATCTGGCGAGAAATTGACATAAGCGGTGTGAACAGAAGGGCTTTCCAGCGTGCTGCGACACGTCCCTGTCGCCGCCTCCCACAGCCGTACTGTCTTGTCGTCGGATGCCGACGCGACCAGCTGCCCGTCTGGCGAGAAGGCCACCGCCCTGACATAGTCAGAATGGCCCTCCAGCGTGCTGCGACACGTCCCTGTCGCCGCCTCCCACAGCCGTACTGTGCTGTCCCAGGATGCCGACGCGACCAGCTGCCCGTCTGGCGAGAAGGCCACCGCCCTGATATAGGAGGAATGGCCCTCCAGCGTGCTGCGACACGTCCCTGTCGCCGCCTCCCACAGCTGTACTGTCTTGTCGTTGGATGCTGACGCGACCAGCTGCCCGTCTGGCGAGAAGGCCACCGCCGTGACATAGTCAGAATGGCCCTCCAGCGTGCTGCGACACGTCCCTGTCGCCGCATCCCACAGCCGTACTGTCTTGTCGTTGGATGCTGACGCGACCAGCTGCCCGTCTGGCGAGAAGGCCACCGCCCTGATATAGGAGAAATGGCCCTCCAGCGTGCTGCGACACGTCCCTGTCGCCGCCTCCCACAGCCGTACTGTCTTGTCGTTGGATGCCGACGCGACCAGCTGCCCGTCTGGCGAGAAGGCCACCGCCCTGACATAGTCAGAATGGCCCTCCAGCGTGCTGCGACATGCGTCCCAGTCTGCTTCTTTCATAGACAGCATCTTGATCTTTTCTGGCACTTGGTCTACAAATGTTTGTCGTATCAGGCTCCTCTCTGGTGCGAACACTAGCGCGGAGCAATAGAGCTGCAGCGGCGCATCTGTAAGTACTGAATAGAACCGCAGCACGGACCGCTTGGCGTCATGAAGAAAGGCTGAAACTAGCTTTGCAGATGGCTACGTGTCACGTTAGCAGGGTAGTATAGGGGTGTCTTGCAAAGATCTTACGCTGGCAAGTGCCTGAAGGCTGTTGAGCAAGTCAACGCATCTGCTCGATTCTCTTATTAGGCTCATGGCCTCAAGCCAATGGAGAAAGTGCTTCTGCAGAAAGAGGTGCGTTGCGTCTCCGTCCGCCATACCTTGCCCGCCCTGCTTGAGATGATCAACCCAGTAGCGACACGCATATTGTAGATCAGGTGACAGACTGCCAGCAACTGTCTGCTCATCTATCTCGTCCCTCAGCACTCCAGGGCCTGAGAGGCCGCACATGTCCTGACGAAGACCGCTAGATCCAGACATAAGCTCAAGGCAGCGAGATGCAAGCTTCTGGTGTGTGCTTTTCTCATCCACCCAAAACAGGCTCTTTCCTTGTTTCTGGGGGTTGACAAGGAACTCGCGAAAGGACAAGTGCAAGAGGCGAACAGGCGCGTCCTTGTTGTTAGGAACACTAAGAACGGAGTGCAAAGAGTCAAGTCGACACTGAATCTCTTCTTGTGGAACTTGAAGCAGCCGGGCAAGCGAGACAGCAGGGAGTGGGCTTTCAAGCACAACAATACTGCCGACAACTTCTCGGAAAGCCTGAAGCCACGTCTCCCTCTCGTCTTCCTCCTGCTCACTAACCAGCTGATCGAGCACAGGGAGGTACGTCCGATCTAGCTGCGAAAAGGTTGCCTTCTGATACTGCAGGACCTTGTTCAGAAAAGCCGTAGGACTGCTTCCTTTGCTGCCAACATACCGACATACGGTGGCAGCGTAGATGAACAGCGGCACAGCCAGCTCAACCAGCGCGAGGATCTGTTGTTGCGCTGGCCAGTCTGAGGCTAGCATGCGCTCTTTTCGTATTATACCAAGCTCATGCTCTAGGAAAAGACGGATGTCATGTTCAATCGTGCTCCTTGGTACCTCGTGGAGGACTAGATCTTGGTACGTGCCGTTCGCCATCTCCTTAAAGCCCAGGCGGATGTGGAGCTCTGGTCGACTAGTGACCACGATCCGTAGCGGCACTGGGCGAAGGTCTTTTGTCCGAGCGAGAAGCTGGAGGATCGCCCGAATATCTGCTTCGCGTTCACATTCGTCTAGCGCGTCGATCACGACAACTCGCGCCGAGACCCGCGGACGAGTCTGCTTTATCCCTAGAAGTGGCTGCAGGATCAGCTTCTCGAACTGGTCTTTTAGAGCCTTGTTTGAGATAGCCGGGTCCTCGTCGAGCGTCTTCCTAATACCTTGCAGCATGCCTGGCTCACAGGCGACTAGATCAGTGGCGATGGTAGTAAAGAACCGTGAGGCCTTGCCACGCTCGCCTTCACCTCTCTTGAAGAAGAAGCTTGCTCCTAGCTGACCGTGATCGGCAAATGACTCTGCAATTGTCCGCGCAATCGTAGACTTTCCCGTGCCTGCCATGCCGCTCAACCAGAATATGGACTTGCCATCCTTGTTGTTCGCCCATGTTGTGATCTCGTCTAGCAGCTCGGTGCGGGTGTTCGGTAGGCATCGTGCGTTGTGCTCTTCGTTGTAGGAATTGAAGGAGGCGCCTATCGCGATAGGCAGTCTGGCTAGGTCTAGCTTCTGGTCTATGTTGAACACAACGACTCTGTACAGTTAGTGAGAAGCTGGTCTGCGCACGACAGATCTGGGTACAGAAGCTTACGTCTGATCGACCTGCAATGCCAAGCTGAATGTCTGCTCGTATCCTTCCAAGTTTAAAACAATCTTGTCCACCTGCTTACTCGTGAACGGCCATTTGAGCGCACGGAAGCCGAACCGGCTCATAGTCTTGCGAGTTTTTCCCGGATCTAATTTTGCTTCTAGTTTCTTTAGCTCCTCTAGGCACTGTTCGAGCGAGCTAAACAGGCCCTGAGTGGTAGGGAGCCGCGTCTTGTCTTCGCTGTTGAGAAGCTGCTTAATCTTCTCCAGGATGTGGGCGATGTCGCTGACCTTTCTCCGCACACGCTCGATATCATCCTTCGCGTCCTTGACAGCCACGGAGTACTGGTAGCAGAGCGAGGCGATCTTGGCGGATATGTCAATTACCGCGATGACGCTTGCTGCGCCCGAAAGGCCGTCCATGATGTGAGGTCTGCGACGGAGATGAGGTAAATCGATCGATCGCGGTTCGCGTGATTGTAGGCTGGCCCAGCAGCGAGGCCGCTGTCAGGCTGAGAGCAGTCCTGCGATCCATCGTCGTCTGCGTAAGGCTGAGAGGGCTGACATATCTAAGCGCTGCTGCACTGCAGGCGGCGCGGGGCCGAGAAGGCTTCGGACACGTTGCCAAGGGAGATGGGCACTGGGAACAAAGAGCCACAATTATTTTTAGAGTCTCACCTTAATTAGGTGTAGTCTGTGGCGCATCAAAGATTACATAACTACGCATTCGTATTATAAAATACGCCTAATCTGTTCCTCAACTTGAAGGCACGGAGAAACTCTCGGAATAAGGCTGTAAGGCTGCCGATCGCGACGAGGCTCAGAATGTAAAATCCCTATAATCACGACTCTCTTTTCAGTCCTCCGAAATATAGATTGGTACCCTCAGGACCCAAGATACAGGGGTAGGAAGAAAGGCGGGGTTTGAAGAGGGCCAACAAAATGATCGACAGCGTTAACCATGTCGTAAGAATCTCGCCCTCGAGCTAGTATAAGAATGATAAGATGCTATAGAACTGGTTCCTACGTTGTTAGGACGAGGCTCTTGCGATAGAACGATATTTGGAGTTCTGAGTGCAAAAGTGTCTCGGGTCCCTGTGTGTCTCGCTTCGCAGTGGGTGACGTTAATTTAGAAGCCCGCCAGAAGACCTTCTTATCAAATCTGTTGCACGTATAGGTTTAACACGGGATCAACGTGCACTCACGGAGTTAGATGACGCACAACAGGAGGCATTGCGAAACGACTCTGCACTTGCAGTCCTTCAGAAGGAGCGAGAAACCTACAAAGGACAGCTTTATGACCAAGGCTTTTAACCACTCGTGAAGGGACAAGGAACAGATATTTACAAGAAATACAGGGAGACGAAGCGAAAGATCGCCAGTATAAACTAGAAATTGTATAGAGAACGATTAAATTCTGCTATCCGCAAATCCTATAAATCAATCAATATAATCGAGATAGCAAGGCAACTTAGTGGGAAGGCAGCAACTGAAGTTCTGACGCTCCCAGCCGTTGAGTTTGAACTTTAGGAGCGAGCCACTATCGCAGGCATGCTCTTTAAGCCGGCTTAGGATGATAAAGCCCGGGTACGATTCGTGCGAACCTTGGCTAGATTATGTTATAAACAAGAAAATCAGCAGCTAAAGGCATTTAAGCGAAAGAAGGTGGGACTGATCTTATATGAAGCTGATGGCTCATCTTTCTCGAATAAGCGAAAGAAGTGCATCGATGCTTTTGAGAAGCGCCTACTAAACTAGGTCTGCGAGATTGTGAAAGAAGAGGTTAACGCACTATAGCCTGTTAAAGAAGTCTTGGAGGTACGCTTCGGGCAGCTGTACCCAACTGTGCTCTCTTATCCGGTGTGCCTTATCTGCATAGGGAATGAAGAGTTCTCGTACGAACGGATGATTCGACATATCCCACGAAAGGATGTCCTGAAGAAGCATGTAGAGACTTATTTCCGACTCCCTGAGCTTCAGTCAGAGTTTCTATGCCGCCATCCTAGTTGCTCTGATATGCTAGATGACATAATGCATTTTAAGAGGCATGCGTTTGATATCCACGGAGTGTCTCATTACTACACCTGTAACTCTCTCTAGTAGAATGCATCAACGCCAATGATGCTGCTATATTTCTGCCGTCACGACCAGGCAGCTACTATGGCCCCTGCTGTTTATCTCGAGTATACCTGAGTGACTGCGCCGCAGAGAAGACGTGCTCGAGCCTACTACACCACCCCTGTCAGCATCGGCTCGTGCACACTATCACGGGCACCACTGATACAGGGTAACGGCATAGCCGGCTCGGCGTTTTAAAAATCGTACCCTGTCTTCACCGAAGGTGAGTATCTAGCTATAAATTATAAGCTCATTGCTTTCCCAACAGTCTTGCTCACTAGCTGCCCACACCTCTCTTCTCTCTCGCTCCGAGGCATCTTCGTGCCGCATTTCCTCGCCAACTATGGATGCAAAGCTTCATACCACACGTCCTCTACAAGATACTAAAAGAGGAACATCAGACTGGACGCCAGAAGAGGATCATATTATCATGAAGCTGCGGAGCCAGAGGTGGTCATGGGGAAGAATTGGTCTCAGATTAGAGGGACGAAGCTCTTCCTCATGCCAGGATCGTTATGCGTATCTCAAGAGTCAGAGAAGAAGATGGTTGCATACGGGTATGTACAACTTCTTGTATAACAGGCCTGCACTACACATTATGTAGCTATCCGCTGACTTAACATAGTTTGCAACCTAGGCCGCTGAAAGTGTATCCGCCGAAACTATCTCCAGCTCAGACTAGCACCTTAGCTTTTGACGAAGGCATGAGGAAGAAGCTTGATGATAATCTAAAGCAAGAGATGTGGCTTCTACCGGTGGAGGTGCAGAATTGGATGACTATGCAAAGTTGGTTGACTGCACAAAGTTCGCTGACTGCAGCTTCAAGTCTCTTCAGGCCTTCACGATGACAACGCTTGTAAAAATTAAAGATAGCTAACTAATTACACTACCTCTACTTCAAGAATCTCTATTCTTCTTAGTCAAACCCTTTCTTAATAGTGAAAAAGAATGGCAATTTGTACGTCCATCTCTTCTAGAAGTTCGAGCTTAGTTATGAGTTAGTCAATTTGAAAAACTGCTGCATGCCAAGATACTTGCAAGTGCTGCGAGTTGGTTGGAATCAAATGGGTCACCAACCAGCCTTCAATCTGAGGAATTGATGGATCGGTCCATACGCCGGGTGCTTGGGTTGACTGAGCAACAGCGCCACACAGTCCAGGAGCCAACGACATACGTGAGGCTAAACCGTTGAGCCACCCACGTTATCGCAAAATCGGTTCACCAAGCACGACAGTAAGCACTACAGGCACGGTGACTACGGGAGTGAAGTAGTTTCCGGTCTTCCGACCGGATGTTCCGAAATACTAGCCTTCAACGCCAATGAGAAAAGTAGAAGGTCAAAGCTAACGCTGGATGTACCGGAATGCTAAGTTTCATCGCCAATAAAGTAGAGAGAACCTCACAAGCTAGCACCGGATGCGCCGAAACAATAGTCTACAGCCCATTGCAAAAACGCCCTCACTGTTTGCGCAAGCGACTCTTGTGAAAGACCCTTATCGCCCTAGGATACCCCTTGCTACATCAGCCAATCGTTACATACCAAGATCTGCTAGCCCAAACCAAGCTAGAATGCACCCACAAGACACATTTTCCTTTGTGATCAAGTGTACTGGAATAGTTACAATGTGTTTCTTATGCTATAGAGCCCCACGATGCCTTATGAATAGCTGATTATCTAGCAATAGCAGCACGTCTATAACATGGCACACCACCGTACAGGTTCTGCTTCGTCTGCTTCGTCTGCTTCCTGTGCTTCCTCTGTTGCCTACTGTTCTAAGACTCCCAGGGAAGACGTGAAGTTAGGGTGATCATCTCTTAATGCTTGCCGGCGCTGCTGTACACGCTGCATCGCACAAGACCCATTATTTGTTCATATAATTAGCACACTGCGAATTATGTTGCGTTTTTGAGCTGTCTAGTCTGAAACAAGGTACCTCTAAAGCTACCCACATCACGTCTGAAACAGAAGAGCAGGAACTTGTTCAGACAGACAGCTGACGATTCAATTGAAGTCTACATCCATCACTCTTCATTCGTAGAAACCGACTGCGTGTCGTCCGTGCTCAGCTCCTCCAGAAACCCCTGCTCACTATCTACCGATATTATTCTCTTTTGAATTGGCCACTAGCACTTGCCAAGCCTTCGAGAAGAGGTGCCACACGTGGCTTGTGACATGCTTGAAACGTTGAAGAAGTCAGCCACTGGCTCTTGAATAGGTATGGTAGGTCTACCGTATACGTAGCTATACAGAGAAGACGACGCTCGTACGATTAGAACTCTACTATATGCGTAGCTATATAGAGGAGGGCCTAATTAAGCAGCTCGCCTTATCACTCTGTCGTACAATCTATCTATCGTGCGCTCTACTACGCGCTCTATCGTACGATAGAATCTCTAAGCCTTGCACGCTCTATTGTACGCTAAAACTGCTAAGCCTCACGCGCTCTTCTCCCCCTCTCTCTTCTTTCTCTCTCTATAATAGACGACCCGTACGATAAACTATTAAGGATTATACACGTCTCTAAGACAGTCCTGCGTATAGAAGTAGACATAGACCTTCTCTACGACTATCCCCGTACGAACCCCTCCTAATAAGACTAAACGTCGTACGCAGTATACATCCTCTAAGACATGCGCAAGTTACGTTAAGAAGTGTATACACTGCGCAACAACAAAGACTTTAAGGGCTAGGCAGAGCAAGACTTTAATAACCTCCCTCGCGCGATAAGAAGAGAGCTTCTGCTCGCTTTTGCAGAGCATAGGTTTTATCCTACAGGCAAGGCAAATCGTACGCAAGGTTAAAAGCTAGAGGATATTGCTGCTTTGTAAGGAGGAATTTAAGGAGTGCAGAGAAGAAGGAAAAAGGAAAAAGTTGCTAACTTAGTGTTAGAATAAATAGATCGTACAAGCGATTACGTGATTGCTCAGATTGCTCGGGTATATAGAGGACACCTGTTGTCTCTCATATAATGAGTTATCCTTCACACAACAACCTGTTTGCTAGCTTAATCTGCTCGTACGCCTGCGGGCGTACGATACCTATACTAAGTTAACCGACATCTATTGTTATTATTAACTTTAACTAAAACTATTAGATAGTCAACTATCTAGAGACTAGCGACTTATTTCTTGAAAGAGATATTATAGTTATCCTACCTAAGATGCTTAATATTGTCTAATATCAGCGCAACGTATATAGATAGCCTAAACTTAAAGTCTTCAGGTTGTATTGAGAATCGCGCAGCGCTTCTACAGATCTAAACGGAAGTAGCATTTTTGTCCGTAACGCAATCGTCCATAGATCCTACCAAGACCACTCACAGTATGTGACTAGTCACGTTTCGCGCAGATTATAGGTTATAGCCATTGTAGCAAAGTACCCGCTTAGATTGCGGCAACGTGAACTCACTGTTATTGCTAGTTATACTCGTGATGCAAGTGAAATAGACGCTGTTCACCAAATTAGTCAACTTGTCTCGTTGATACGATGCCGAAAGAAAATTAAGCACTTGATACACTCCGGCGTCTGAATTAAAGTAACTTAGACAGATTGAACGTGAGCGGTGCTGTAGCTGCTGCCTCTCCATCATCAATAATCTAAGGCTCCCAAACATGCACCTAAGACTTCGCAGAGTATTCTGGACTGCCCGTCGCTCCTTGTACTTATTGAGAATCTGCATATAAGCTTAGTATACACTCTTTAGCTGTAAATCCAAAGGATAGATATGATTACATTACACATTCCTCAGAAGTGAAGGTCTTTTAGGCAGTTGAACGCTAGGTAAACCGACAAGTACGTACGGTGCTCCATCTTCGGCGACGAATTAGTCTTCCAAATAGGCAAGTCGGACCACCTCCTCATAACAAGGGGAGAAATTTTGCCTTCAAGACGCCGAACGACATGTCTCTCCACCAAGTGGTGACGTTTGCTTCGAACACCTTCTGACAGATCTACACAATCTCACATAAGCGTTATAGGATATATCATTAGGCTTCAGACTGACCTTATAGATAGCAATAAGCCCATCCAAAGCAGCTTGATGTAGTTAATGTCACCGGATCTCTCTATGAAACATGACAGAGGACTTTAGCAGGTATGACTACAACGAATACAAGTACAAACTAGCTGTTCGCATGCCTAGTGAGAGTGGTTTGAAGAAGGGAGACTGGAAGCGAAGGTTGGACATTGGGGTGGCTTCTTGAAACTGGTGCTCGAGAGGTTGGCTAGTGGGGAGATGAAACGGTGAATTCAAGTGTTGCGACCCTAGCAGGCGAGGCCATATGGGTGGGAAGTGCCGCCGCGTCGCATGTTACCATTTGATGATGGCTGAGGTCGATGGAAGACCGGCATACGGGTGTTTATGACGGAAAACGTGGAAGGGTGAATGCGGGGCTTATTACGGTCAGCGAAGCGACAGTGATGGACGGTTCGCTTCATGAGAGGTTCTACAGCAGTTAGTACCGTTCTATCAAACGCAGGGGGCTTGGCGGTTGATTGGAACCGAGACATATGCCGGGACGAATCCGGCTGGCACTGAGCATGGCGTACCCAAATGGCTAATTGACACATTCAATTCCTCCGCCTATCTCTACCTCCATCTCTCCCGCTCGCATCTCTATACGTCTGCAATCCAACTCATCGTCCTTGAACCCTGTAAGCCTATGCGACTTCTCGAAGCATCGACCCCTTACCGCAGGACGCGTATGCGCCTCATATACTATGTTTGACTTGAACTCCGCTGATAATCTGATATCGATTGGCCTTGTCGATTGCAAAGGCGTTCTCAGACTCCTGCGCTTATCTCCGTGCGAAATTCGCAATGTTCTATAGGCTGTCCAATCTCATTGCACCCTCAATATTGCGTTCACCTACATCCGTTGATCGTAATTTACGCGTTAGATCTTTGATAGGTTCCATGATTCCGCGCTTCATTCCAGCTAAGCAGAAAGCGGGAAGACACAGCAACTGTGTCGCTGTACAGGCCTGTCCGCAGTCAGATTGCCCCACAAAGATGACCAGGACATACCAGAAAAATCCCCTGGCGAAGACTATTGTCTGTCCTACTTTCGGCAAGCAATATGCTGTAGATAACGATCGCTCCACACAGCTGACATGACCCCGCGATTGCGTTGGTGATGATAAAGACGGTCAACAATCGCTCATATCCCCATCCGTCTTGTCCCGATCCGGAATTGACACGATCTTCTTGCCGTGCACGTGAAATTGCTGAGGATAGGATTGATGCTACTGCAAGGAGACAAAGTGGCTCCGAGTCGTAATCAAAGTACCCACTGCTGCTTCTGTTCGGATTAGTCAAGAGTAGGATTGGAGTCATGTTCCCTACCTCATACGATATACGATCATCGGGGTCGTCAGGACAGTAATCATGTATGCCAACCATATAGCCCAGGGTGGAAACATCAAAATACGAAGGATTCGGCCGAGCTAGTTGTCCCACATATTAGTAGTGCCTGAAGAATTTACTTGGATCATCTTACATTCGTGCCGGTGAGAACCTGGAGGTTGCATCGTACAGCCATGTCGACCCAGTACATGTCGCCTTTTGAGCCAAGTGCGAATCCGATTGCAGTTATACCAGCTATGGACACACCTGCGTGGGAAAAGCCGAAAAAAGTTGCCAGAACTCTCTCCCAGAAGAAAGAGTGCCCTAACCTCTCGTGTGTCCCATTCGTTTTGTAAGGCTGGGCATCGCGATATATGAGCACCACGCTCAGCAGGAGTCCAACTGAAAAGCAGATAGTAAAGCCGATAAGGAGAGAAGCCATGTCGAAGAGAAGGGACCTGTGTGAACGGTCTGTAGGGACTGTATTCCAGCTACCTAGTCCAGATGCTATTTACAGTCAAGATGAAGAAAGAAGGTAAGACGCAAGCGGCGAGCCTGCTTTGTTTGGGTTGGCGCACGGCCCTCACGTTGCCGGGGAAGCGACTAGGCTAGCAGCCTAGTCATGTGACTCGAGGCTCAGCCCGTTACATTACCCCCCTCCTTTCCCTTTAGCGCGTAGTTTTCTCCATTTCCTCCAAGCGTCAGTCTTTAGTACGTTACTCACAGGTTCCCATGTCGGTTCAGTATAGTCCACCCACTTCACATATGCCTCCTTGATTTCTTTCCCTCCCTGCCTTGTTGTGCGTTCGCCCAGAATACGTTCAACCAGCCATAGCTCGTCTCCATCTACAAGTATAGGCCCTGGCTGAGTGTCTCCAACCTTCTGCGATGGGAGAGAGTCGTTAGGCGCGTAGCGAAGCAGGTCTACGTGGAAGACAGGATGGATCTTCCCCGGAACGTCAAGTTGATAAGAGTGGGAGTTGACCTGCCTCAAGACTTTGTACTTTCCATGCAACCAGTCTAGCTTCTTGGAAGGTCGTGTTGTCTTCACGTTTCTAAGGTTCAAAAACACCCAGTCTCCCTCCTTGTATTGGGGCGCTGCTGTTCTTGTCTTGTTAGCTTGATGTTGCTGTTTCTCTTGTGTTATCGCGATCGCAGCTTGGGCCCACTCTGTTGCGTCTTGGAGTCTTTTAAGGAAGCCTTCTGCCAGTGCTTCGCCGTCTCTCTTTGGTCGGTCCTGAATAGTTCGATCCTCTACCAGCTGAATGGGTTCATTGTGATATCCGTGCATAAAATAGAAGGGGCTTAGGCCAGTAGATGAGGCCTCGCGATTGTTGATTGCTCCCATAACGATAGGTAAAAGTGCTAGCCAATTTTCTTGCGTGTAGGTGGCCCAGATTCGAATCATCTTCTCAATCTCTTGGTTCATTCGCTCTGTTGCACCATCGGTTTGCGGATGATAGGCAGTCGACAGGCGTTGCTCAACGCTGAGGAGTTTACAGAAATGCCTCCAAAGATCGCTGACGAATTGTGGTCCTCTATCGCTCGTAATTGCCGTTGGAATACCATGAATAGGGTAATGCCGTTCTAAAAGCCGTTGTGCTACTGCTTCTGCCGAGATATCGTGCATGCCTTCCAGTTCAACTCCCTTTGTCAGCCGATCAGTGACCACCATGCAGTTCGTTGCGTCATCGCGTCCAGATGGCGGCAAGTCCGTAATAAAATCGATTGAAAGTTCTCCCCATATACGTTCTGGGATCGGTAGCGGTTTAAGGAGGCCCTTCTTTGTCTCTCTCCATATCGTATTCCTCCCGCAAATCTCGCAGTTACGGACAAAGCGTCGCACGTCGCTTGCTACACCTGACCAGAAGAACTGCCTTGATAAGATTGAGTAGGTAAGATCTCGTCCAGGATGGCCGGTGATATGCGAGTCGTGAATATTTTGAATAATTCGTGTGCGAAGTGGTTCGCAGTCAGGGATCCATATCCGGTCTCGAAATCGCAACAGGCCTCTCTCGTCTAGGGTGCATTCTGCTATACTCACTGACTTCTCCTTCTGAAGTTTGGTAGGGAGGTTCCGCTCCTTGTTTGCTACCAGCGTAGTGAGCTCCTGATAAAGCTTATCCTCTTGGCGGCTTCGGTGCCAGAGATTTTGCATGTCCTGGTCCTCAAACATGCGTATCTCTTCTGTGAAGTCAATCTCCTCGGACGACAGGGACTGGATTTGAACACTCTGCAAGTGCTTGCTCTGGAAAAGACGGATAAATCGAGACCGTATTCGTTCATCGTCGTAGTTGGCGGGTAGGTCTTGTTCTCGTCGTGACAGGGCGTCAGGTTTTCCCATAGTCTTTCCAGGTTTCCATTCCAGGGAGAAGTCGAATCGTGAGAGAAACTCTGACCAACGTACTTGTCTTTCAGACAGCTGTCGTTCGCGGTAGAAGTATTGAAGGTTCTTGTGGTCCGTCAGAACTGTGAACTTCCTAACCATACGTAGTTCAGGAGCCCATGCTTCTAAGCAACGAACAATAGCTAGAAGCTCCTTGTCATGAATTGGATAATTGGCCTCTGTTGGTGAGTGCTTCTTTGAGTAGTAGGCAACGGGTTGCCAGTTGTTGTTCTTGTCCTTCTGCAGCAATAGGCCGCCAGTTGCATGTCCTGAGGAGTCGGCTTCTACCAAGGTGTCCTTCTCTGGATCAAAATGGCCGAGTATTGGTGCTGTAATGAGAAGTTCCTTAATCGTTTCAAATGCTTGATTGCAAGCCTCGTCCCAATGAAAAACCATCTCTTTCTTAGTTAGGTTGATAAGCGGTTCAGCAATGTCCGAGAAGTTTGGTATAAAAACTCGGTAAAAGTTGGCAAAACCAATAAATGCTCGGATAGCCTTAACTGACGTTGGTGTAGCCCATTCGCGGATTGCGATAATCTTTTCAGGATCAACTCGAATGCCCACTTCTGCTTCCACAATGTACCCGAGGTATTTGACTCGTTTAGTCTCGAACTCGCACTTGTCGATATCAATCTGCAGTCCAGCGTCTATAAGGCGTTGAAGAACCTTTCCAACCTTCTCTCTGTGATCCTGAAGCGATCCTGACGAGTAGATTAAGATGTCGTCAACGTAGGCTGAAACAAAGTCGTCAAGGTAATCCTGTAGAACACCATTTACGTAGCGTTGAAATGCGGCTGGTGCTCCTGTTAGTCCGAAGGGAGCAACCCGCCATTCGAATAGGCCGTATCTTGTTCGGAAAGCTGTCTTCCATTCTTCTCCTTTGGCCACACGGATCTTGTGGAAGGCTGCGATAACGTCAAGTTTTGTGAACCATTTAGCTTTAGCTACATTTCTCAGTGTTTCTGTGAATAGAGGCAGAGGGTAACGGTCCTTCCTGGTGATGTTGTTCAAGCCTCGGTAGTCAACGCAAAATCGGATGCCCCCTCCTGGCTTTTTGACCATCAGGACGGGTGCAGCTGCGGGAGAGTTACTTGCGCGGATAAAATCCTTGTCTAACAGCTCGGTGAGAGTTTTCCTAAGCACTAGTAACTCTTCTCGGCTCATGCCGTAGAGCGGACCCCATGGAATGGTCTTCTCGTTTCCGTCTTGATCCTTTTCAATCTCAATGTGGAGATCAACGCCTTTACGATGTGGGGGAAGTTTCTCAGCTAGGAAATGGTCGAAAGCCTTCAGCCATTGGTGGTACTGGGGTGGGAGCTTCGTCTTTGGATCGGATCGTTTGCGCGGTTTCAAAGCTTTCTCAATGTCGGCGATGGAAACAGCGAACAGTCCAGTGTCGAGCGCAATACCGTCTCCTTTGTTCTTCCTACGGCTTCTTCTCACCTCCGCCATGAATGCGGAAGCCATCACCTGAGTAGCCTTCATTAGTGGTGGCTTGTATGACGCTTTCTTGTGGTTCCATGCGCGGATGTTTGACGCGCCGATATCTAGGCAGCCTTGTTTGGCCGAAATTGTGACGTCGGCATCTTCTAACCAGGGCTTTCCTAGGATCACGTCGTAAGTTAGGCCAGGTACAACGTAGAAGAAGACGCGTTTCTGCTGGTGGCCGTCTATGTCTATCGAGGCGTAAGTAACTGTATCTAGGACAGTACTTGGTTCTGCGTTCTTCCCAGCTGCTTCCTCTAGCTGGCGCGGGGCTATCTTGATTGATGGCAGTCTCAGAGATCGAAAGAGTTGTTCATTAATGGCAGAATAGCAAAGGCAACCTGAGTCAACAAGTCCAGTGACAAAGTCAGTTCCATTAAGTCTAACGTCCAGTACAAAGGGATCGCTATCCATCTTTTGCTTTCCGGTCTCTTTCCATTCTTTCTGAGCTGCCGCGTGTTCCTATTGCTCTGCTTCGGAGTCTTCTGGATCTTCCTCCTCTACAGCTGCCTTGGTGACCACAGTACTCTTTGCTGTCTTGACGCTAACGTGAGTTGGTCGTAGAGCGGCTGCTAACGGGCATGTAGCTATTCGGCAATTGTTGCGGCCGCATCGGAGGCAGCGTCGTTCCTGGCGTCGAGCATCGATTTCCTCTTGGTTGACCCATTTTGCTCGTTTTCCAATAAGTTCTCGGTCTTCGGGACGCCTAGATGGATATCCATTCATGTTGGTCTTGCCGCGGAGGCCGACAGCGTTCACTTGGGTAGTTGTAGGCTGCGTAGGTTCCCATTCCATCATGTCTTCGGGGGAAACTGCTGTGAGCGTGGCATTATTTGATTTTGCTGGTGGTTCATAGGTTGGTGCATTTTCAGCAGTTCGGCTACCGTAACGGCGGGTTGTTTTCGTCCATTGGCCGAACAACTCCATGTCGTTGCTAAGATCTGCACACTTCTGAGCGAACCTTGCGTATGTGCTTGTTTCTGCTCCTGATGTACCAACAAGCCTATCCTTTATCCTACCACTTAATGCATTGCGTAAGTAGGATATCTTCGTATGCTCAGGCCAGCTTTCTGCGTCAGCGTTGGCCATCTCTTTCTCAAACCGTGGATAGAAGGAAATAAACGTCTCGTCGTCCTTCTGGCGTATAGAGTAGAGGTTCTGAATGGCTTTCTCCTTCCGATTTCGTTCGCCGTAGAGGAGTTCAAGGCGGTCAAGCAGCTTGAAAGGGTTTGGCGATTCTTCTTTAACTTGTATCTCGTAGTATGTTGTAACGTTGGTTTTCGCTGCCCCATCAAGACGCATGTAGACGTAGCGTAGCTGAGCTTTTAGGCTTCCAATAGCTTGCGCGTCTTCTTCGATCTTGCCCTCCATCTCTAGCTTCCATCCTCGCCATTGTGATTTGTTTCCACCAAACGTAGGCGGGTGGGGTAAGCTGTGCCGCGGCTTTGGGGTTATAGGCACAGATGTGTTCGAAGTCTCGGAGGTTGGCGTTGGATCAGTGGTGGCGTCTGTATTGTGACCAGGCGTTTGAGGTAGCTCGTGCGATGGTGCTTCCAGCCTCTCCATCCTAGTGCTCATGTCTTCAAGTCTCTGTAGTAGCGACTGTAACAGCTGGTTCGAATCGTTCGTCGTCATGTCAGTATCCCCGGGGGAGCTCATTATAGCGGTGCTTTGGTTGCTGCGTGTTCTGCGTGTTCTGCGTATTCTGCGTATTCTGCGTATTCTGCGTATTCTGCGTGTTCTGCGTGTTCTGCGTGTTCTGCGTATTCTGCGTGTTCTTCTTGATCTTGACTGTATGTGAACGGTCTGTAGGGACTGTATTCCAGCTACCTAGTCCAGATGCTATTTACAGTCAAGATGAAGAAAGAAGGTAAGACGCAAGCGGCGAGCCTGCTTTGTTTGGGTTGGCGCACGGCCCTCACGTTGCCGGGGAAGCGACTAGGCTAGCAGCCTAGTCATGTGACTCGAGGCTCAGCCCGTTACAACCTGTACAGCATCTGCGCAGGAAGACACCTTACTTTTGTACTAGATTCCGGAATATATAAGCCTCACTTGTTGAGCACGTTCGCTGTAAGTGTTCAAGCCCCGGCACCAACAGGCGTGTCGCATGCATGAGGCATGGATGATGTCTCGTGGCCCTCTGGTATGGGTGTTTACAGGAGTGGAAGAACGGAGAAGGCTGTACAATGTGCTGCGGTGCTTCACCTCCACTGTGCCTGACCCCACACCACTCAGGGCAGCTTCCCATTTGAAGCAGCACATAGTAACGCCGCATGAAACCTTACGTGTACTGATCGCGCATCCTATAGGCTTTCATGAAGCTTGGAACCTATGTTATCATATCCCCTGCCGCTGAACTAGAGCGCTGGCGGCATCATGATGATGCCCAACAGTGGCTAGCTGGCGCTGTCCATTGATTGCTGCAGGAGGGAAATGATATAACCAATCGCTTGAGTGGCATACTGCCCGAAGTCAGACAGGCCTGTACAGTCTCATATACTCAAGGACACAGCAATTACCGATTGGCGAAGTGTTCGGGGGTTTTCCACGAGGAGGAGAGAGGAAGGCGGATGCTACTTAGGCACGAGTAGCGTGCGCTATCACAGCGCACAGATGAGCGGACATGCAAGGTGATGCTAGACATCAGCTGAGCAGTAACAAGCGGAATATAAAGGGGCCTCTTCCCTTAAGTCTCCGAGATCAATCACTCCTCCACTTCCCAGAACATCCTCCCTTTCAAACCCCAGAAAACGCCTCTGCTGTCTCAAAATGAGTTCTCAAGAAACCATCGAAGATCCGACATTATACCAGCACATGGTGCGTGTATCGATGCTAGACTGATGTGATCCGTTGCTAAGCGTACTAGCTCCTTGCCAATGAATTTGATGACTCAATTGAAGTGGCTGAAATAGAGGACAACCCGCATTCTATTCGATCCGCTATTCGTACTTCAGAGTCGCCTTTAGGATGCAAGGAGGTCTCTCGAGATGACGAAGAAGACAAGGGGCGTAAGAGAGGCCAGCCAGGTCACACGGCAGATTCAGCCCCGCACTCTAAGCTTGGTATGTCTGCATGAAAAGTCTAAGAACCTAGTTAATAGAGTGTGTTTCGATAGAGATGGTGCTGTTGTTAGTTACTCAGCTCGACTCGCACGTCACTCAACTAAAGGAACGTGTGGAGGTGACGGCGGACAGCATCGAACACATCATGAAACGCCTAGAGGAGCTGGAAAATGACTTGACAAACGGTGCACGCAAAAAGGAAGACCCGACTCAGATATGTCAACAAGAAAAGGGTATTCTGAAGAGAGTAAAGGAGGAGAGAGACGACGGACATCAGATTGTGGACTGTACACGATGCAGGAATAAGAGAGCACGTGTAACTTGGGAAAACTAGTAGTAATTAGCTGGAGTGAGCGAGACATGACGATGCTAGGGTACACACACTTTATTAATCTCATCTGTTGCTGGGTTGATTCCTTTTCTGAAGACTTTAATCATCATGTCGTGTAATTAGCTAATTAATTTATTTAGTCACATGAATGGCGGAACGTGAGGATAGTAAGCTTGCGCCCTACAATCCTCTCCGCGACTAAGCAATATCTTCGGGAATCCAGCACTGTTTAGCTTGGCTGCCCTTTAAGTTCGAGTACTCTCCAAAGATGTCAATTAGTATCACCGTGAATGACGCGTTGGATCTTACTTGTCGAAGTTGCGGAAATGCAACGAAAACAATCATCTTCGTTAAATTACCTGCACTTGGGCTTGGGCACTCGACCTGGAGAGAAGGGAGATAGACATGGTGGTTTATATGTGTATCTGGCACTGGGAATCGTCTGTCTTTCTCAATAATATCGTCCTCACCGCTTCTTCGCGAGCGATTGAAGTGGGATAGCAATATACGAACGGGCGTGGGGGGCGGCAAGCGAGAGCTGGCATGGCGAACGGTCGGCGGGCAGACAGTGTTGGTGACATGATTTGGTTTGATGGGTGGTGAGTGACAGGCTTACACGCGTCTTTGGTCAGTTGGAATTCGGCGCAAAGTCAGAAAATGTTCAACACAATTGTTCTGCGACATATTCTAGAAGTGTAAAGTTTTAACCTCCATCCCGAGTTTGCGAATCCATTTGAAAGACATTTTCCCTCCTAAACACCATTGATTTCGTGTGAAGTCGATGAGAAAGTCCTACAATTTGTGCTTTGCAAGCTGTATGGTGTCACATTTCGGCCTCAAGAGCTATAAAGACCTCCTCTGCACTCTCAAATCGACGCTCACAGCAGCATCCCGCGATAACGTCTTTGAACTGCACACCTGAGAGGCTTGGAAATTCATTTTGCTGCAACCGCACTTCCACATCGTTCTCATATTCAAATCTCTTCATATCCTGGGGCACTGGGCCTTGATGGAAAGGATATTGGCCAGTATTGATAATGTAGAGAAGGACGCCTAGACTGAAGACATCGACTTTTGGCGTGTTGAAGTCTGTCAAATGTGGGTCGAAAAATGGGGGATCAGGGAGCAGATGCCCGTTCAACTCTAGTTCACGGCAACTAGAGCCCCCAAAGTCGGCAAGAAGCAAGCTGCCCTCATGAACAAGAAAGTTATTAGGGCATACATTGCGGTGGACAATGCCTTTTTTGTGGACGTGAGCGAGGGCTTCAGCGGCCTGGAGGCTCCACTTCTTTCGCAAAGCGTTGTCGATTTTGCTGTTGTCCGTGTCGATTTTGCTATTGTCCCTATCGATGTACAATTGAAGGTCTCCATGATCTGCCTCGCTGAGTAACAGGCCGTCGTCTGTGTGGGTTCCGTAGTACCTGATGAGCTAAGGTTAGGTTTGCACGCTTGTAGATATGGGAACATACTGAACGATTCTGGGATGGTCTCCTAGCCTTTCTAGAAGTTGCCTTTCTACGACGAAAGCATTCTTGATCTCAGCCTGAAATTTTTCGCTGCCTCCGGTCCGTGGCGATTTGCAAATCAAGCCTTGTTTCACACGATAGACAACGGCTGTGCGCCCTTTCTCACTTATTATATCCATGACGATGCAATGGAGTTGTGAGTACAAGAGTCACTGGCAGAAGACGAACGCTGAATAAATAGTTCAATTAAGGGTTGGCCTAGGTACCGGTATCGTAGCGGCTTGGCATGTCGTAGCGGCTGTGTAACCCATGTACAACTATGCGAACCACCCCATATCCAACAACTACCCAACAACTGACGTTTTGGTAGCGATTTGAGTTGCAGGCATAAACAAGACCCGCCATGAGAGCGACAACTTGTCACGTCAATTATTTGCAGTCCTGTAGGCTGTTAGCAAGACAACTAACTATTCGCACTCCAGGCAACAGACTTAGGGCTGGCGACAGTTAGGTTGGCCACATTTCCCCTCATTCCTCCCGGAACCGGCGAAATGCTCGGAAGTCTGGTGACCAGGCTTGCCCTTGTCAGGGCAGGGGGAGATAGCTCCCTTTTCTATTACCGTATCGCCACAGCCGTAATACCTAGTGTTCGAGACGTATTGCGTGCACATCTTGGCGAGGGAAATATATTTGATGATGGTTCTGTAGCGGAAGAAGTGAGAACTGGGCAGCGATAATAGTCTGAGTGTAGATAATTCACGTTTATGTCACCGCAGGTAGAGGGTATTTATATTGAATGTTGAAGCCTTAAGCTTGATTTGCTTGGACAGTTGGATAGCTACAGACCGGTCAAGAAGTTGATCCCCTTGCCAGCAAGTGCTTCGGTCGGGAAAATTGCTCACCTCCATGTGGGTTAGTGGGCGTCGCTAGATTAGGACTACTGCCCCGTATTGTGCTACTGGGCTGACGCATGTACGAACACATAACAATGCATTGCAGTGCGCCATGCCGATTGGTGGGTCTTGAAAGACGGGCCAGCGAATTGAAACCGCAGTGGAAACCGCAGTGGAAACCGCAGAGGAGAGCTGACCTAGCAGCGTACGCAACTTCGAGTTCGCTTTACCCTCGTCATCGACAGGGGAAGATAGCAAGAAAAAAGCAATATTGATTCTGCCTATTTTGACCTAGATCCAAACATCCCTCATTTCAAGTCGTGAAAAAACTGGTAGCGGGTATGACTGCTGTGGCTACTTCGAGTTGGACGAGGTGTCGGCACCCGTGCCATGACAGGCACCGCAATCGTAATCCCCTTGTTTGCCAGTGCCGCTGCAGATGGGACACTTATCCGACATATGGATTGCGTTTGGTGATCTACGACTTTGTTAGCATTGTGAAAGACATCGAGGCATGAGAGATTACTTCGCGGGCGGCAGGGCGGGAGTGTTGAAGCGGCGCTGATACTCAATGCCCAAACGATCGTAGGAAGATTATCGCGAAAACGATTACTTGGATTCAAAAAAGTATCTGGGGCGACTGGACCTTTTTAATCGTTTCTTGGTTGCTCCTAGACATCAAACGTGGCCCAGTCGGCTGACCGGGTATTAGCTGGCTCAGCTGTTACCTGATTTCCCAGCGCTCCGCCCAACCACCAACTTCCCATCTATATATATCAAAAATGTCGTACAATTTGAATCAACAACTGAACTGCCAGAGTTGCAACAGCTTACGTATCAATGCCGGAACATTATGCGATCTTACTCAAGCCTTACAATCGCTACAAATGATTGTCGCCAACATCCAGCCCTTAATTAGAGTTCTGCAGCCTCTGACGAACAATCTCCAGCGTTTCTCATCAGAATTCACTCCCACTTTTGTGAACGATAATGACGGTATCGAAAGCGACCCTGAAGATAATGGCACGGTCGAGCTTGGTGTTACTGACAGCCCCTATCGGAGCACTGACCGCATTGCATCAACGATGTTTGACTGTCCTCACCCAGACTGCTGCAAGCAGAGCACGTACGGCAAATCCAGCAGTCTTGCCCGGCACTTTGGCGAACGTAAGACTCGCTCAAATTTTTCTCGCGATTATAGACATTACGTACTTGTGCTAATGAGGATGTATTGTGCAGACATTGAATGCGACGAGAAGTGTCTCCTATGTGGAGCGTCAAGCACTACCGTTCGAACCTGGCTGACTCATTTTGCTAAGTGCAACAATAAAACTGGCAACCCGAGACTATCCGATGCATTGACTAGAAAGAAAGAAATAGTCAAGAACAGAAAACTGGAGCTCGACAATGCATGTCAGAATAAGATGAAAGCATCCGATAAAATTGACGGAAACGGCGGCGGAAAGCGTAAGGCTGAAGCTGCAGGTTTACCACCACAAAGGCAACAGTTTAGCATAGGAAGTATTGACTTGAAGTCGAATACGAAGCACAGATCTGTTGCAATGGGTATGATTGTTCTCCAATTGGTTTCATGGTACTAAAATGAGCAGTAGAGTCGAAAGCCACCGCATGTGACGATAATCATCAGTGGAATGGATACAGCAACCAATTCTCTTTTTCAGATGGTCATATTTCTGGCATTCCTATTGAGAGCAATAGTGTTGTTCCGGAGGGTAGGCAGTGGCCGTCTCGAGCAGGTGTGTTTTATGGACAGACCGTAGACTGGGGTAACACTCAGCTTATGGCTCCGTATGCAAGCGAACAGTCTCTTCATGACTTCAATAACGCGCACCTCTCGTAGGATAGATTCCCGTTTGCAAGTGGTATTAGACCAATGAGCTCGCGATCAATTTCCTCTAAGAGAACAGAACATTCATAAAAATCCTCTCTCTGTTCATTGCCCTTACCTTCTCTATTATGCTTACCTCTCTTGGAAAGCGCATTTTATTCCACTCTTTGACCTCTTCGTCGACGCCGAATCCGACGATGATTGCCTGTCCTTTGATTATCCGGAATGCGAGTCTGCCATCAATGATTGCACTACAGGATCATTAGAAGCTTCACAGCGGTATCAAAAGGAGTGTCCTTACAAACCGCCGGCTTCCATTGTTACCTCACACGACTCAATCTCCTCACTTTCTAAGTTCTCTGGTGCTACCTGCAACAACCCAATCCTAGCAATGTCGGCTTGTAAAACGTGCAAGTGCGAGCGCTTATAGAATTCTACAGTAGAATTCTTTGATAATAGAAGGACGAGTAGGACCTTCACATTTTGTTTTCCCTTAGTATTTTCGCTTGATTCTTCGCTCGCCTCGTTGGATGGGTTGTTCAGGAAGGTGAAGATGATATCCGGCTGTGGGCCATATAGCTTCAGTAGGCCTAGGCCTGAACGTTTGAAAAATGATTCTATTATACATCGAATACGCTGCTGACCATTAGATATGCTGTGTACTGCGTGACTCACTTACATCGTCCTCGAGGGTCCTGCTTCGACAGAAGTCGAGACAGAAGTTGACACCGGCCACTGTTTTGAACGCGAACCGCTTCTCATTCATCTCTTGGAATCTGTCTCCAACTTCTGGATCATCCAAGAAGAATACTCCATCCTCTATAATGCACGCCTCTGACCGTGGTAGAGCCATTTCTTTTGTTCATATGGTGGGGTTAGACGCTTCGGCGCGGGGTCAGAGCCAAGGCTGTTACCCCTCCAGGAACTTTAATTGGCAACCGGCAACTTCCGTTAACGAGTCGGCAGCAACCTCCTTCTTCGGCCCGATCGCGGTGGGCAGATTTGGCAAAGCGTTCGTGGACGTAGCGACAGGCGCAAACAATCCGGTGCGCGAGGTGTGGAACTTGAGCCGCTGCAGGGCCAGGTCAAGTGCCTGGTGTCGATCGGGACGGGCGTGCCGTCGCTCAAGCCGTTCAAAGGACGACGTGCTGCACATCGGCGAGACGCTGGTGGCGAACGCCACGGAGACGAAGCATATGGCAGAGAGGTTCTGACGCGAGAGGGCACTGCTAAACAACATGGGGCGGCACTACCACTTTAACTTAGTGTGGGGACTGGAGGACATTAGACTCGAAGAGTCGAAGAGGGTCAAGAAGATGGCGGCAGCGACGCGGCAGTATATCAGCTCACACGAGGTGCGCACGCAGATGCAGGTGTGCGCAGGCAGTATTGTAAGCAGAGAGTGTTAGTATCCGCTCGTTGACTGCGGGCCAACATGTGTAGCTAAAGTTCTGTAGACTTTGGAGAGCATCAGACTGTTTTCAGCCTCGAGGGCGTCCCAAGAGTGCCAGCGCCAGAAGGTACACATCCTGCGCGGTCTTGGTAGAATGGGCGAGACACATGTTAACAGTATTCCAAGCCCTCCACCCCAGATTCAGCTAATAATTCTAGCCATACACTAGCTCTGATTCATATTACCTAAGCACTTGGCATGTGGCTCAGAACCTGTCCTGCTAGCCCTGAAATAGTCTAGCTATCATCAACATGGCGCTTTACTTCTTTAGGGCTGAGTCGAGCCAAGCGCGCTTATGCCCAAACTGACCTGCCTCCTAGTCTTTCTCCGTGATCCTCTGTCTCTCTCTAAGTACAGCCACGTTAATGACCGAACCATTCATGATCAACGTGGGCGGCCGCTCATTCACTACACTCAAGTCTACACTCGAACAGTCACCGTTCTTAAACGCAATGCTCTCGAAACAGTGGGCTGGCAGTGCCTGTTACGCTAACGGAATGCCTTTCGTTGATCGAAGTCCCCTTCTGTTCGAACATATTCTAGACTTCTTACGAAGCTCCGTACCTCCTATCTTCTGGACTCGGACGAATGGTTTTGATCTGCCTTGATATGCGAGCTTAATCCGTGAAGCTGAATATTTCCAACTCGAGGCACTCACTACTTGGATCCGAAACGAGCAGTATATCAACACTATTTCGATTACTTCATCTATGGAAGTAATCACACTGAGCGACTGCAGTCATGGAAAGTCGCATTCAGGTGACGTCGAACAAGAATTCGAACCTGGGACTGTGTCAACTGTGTCCAAATCTGGCAAGTCTACCACTTTGTACAAACGACTCCTTCTGCGGAAGAGTAGATTGCGACTTCCGGTTAGTGATTATGTGCTTACCTTTATGCATATCTTGGCTGATACATGCGGTTATAGGCAATCCTCTAACTTGATCAATGCACATAGGGCACTCCACGGCGTTAGAACGACTGGGGCCAATTCTTTCCCGGAGGTTTACTGAGCCTGTCCACTGGCACCCGTCGGCGGGCGAGACCAAACGCTATCGAAGCTGAATGTATTGTGCCAATGAGAGGCCGCAACGAAGGGAAAACGAGGTCGTAAGCGCAAGACGCCTGCGACAGAGCAGGCAGAAGCGGGTCGTTCGGCGCTCAGGAGGAGAGCATCGGTAGTGGAAGAAGTCGAGCAAGCAAACACTATGGCGGTGTCATGGGTAGTTCTCGCCCCTTACAGTGTGGGCACCTGCAGCCATCACGACTGCTTCTAAACCATATCTATCCTGGCATTCGGCATTGCCGAATACCGCAGGGATCTCCCGACAGCTGTGCATGCAGATGTTCAGGATCACTCTCTTATCGTGTCACTCGCTCTGCCCGTGCTCAACTCAAAGAATGGGTATGCGGCGAGCGACATAATCTTTACGTATACCCTTTACCTATCTCCTCCGTCACGATCACCCTATTCTCTCCCCCGTCCTACTCTTCCCTATATATTCTCTCACTTCCCCTCTCACCTCATCTGTCCTTCTCACCTACATCCAAGTCTGCCTGATACCTGCAGCTCCCCTTCTTTCGCTTACCCTCGCATCATGCCTCAATCATCGTCGTCAAGGAACCCGCAGCGAAGCACGAAGCGCCGCAACAGCAGCGAGGTAAGTTTGCTCGCCTAGATGAGAGAACAATATTAACAGAGAGTAGCTCGCCAACGACTTAAGAAAGATCCGCCGTCGCTCAGCAATCATCATCGACTTAACCGATTCCTCGCCTGGGTTAGACGGTGACCACCAGACCGATGATTCGCACGAGCCGATTACCCCGCCGCCTCGCACATCTGCGCTGGGAGTGCATGCCGTTTTGACTGAGCTTGCCCAAGTCTCGCAGCAGTTAGAGAAGGAGGACAGAGATCGATCAGACCTGCAGAATAAGTATGATCGTGTCATTAAGGACCTTAAGGAGGCCAATGCAGCGTTAAATGCACTTCGGCTTGTTCTTGTAGACCAGACCATCGATACTTCCGCTGGCCACTGTAACAACTGCGCTACCAAATTTGATTTCGACAACGCGTTAGAATCGCCTTACATCTTGGACGGATGCGGCGCAGTAAGTTCATTCACAGGTTTTCTTGGATCAACTGACCTTAGCCAGCCCTGGTGTGGTGGATGTTGTGAGCGGAGAAAGCAGAATCCTGAGATGGTGTGCCGGCATCATCCGTCTGAGACCGCAGAGGCTCACAGATTATATAACTTGGATTGTTGCGTCTGTCACACCACTATCGCTTCCGATCTTGTCGATATTGCTTGCGGTAGGGGTTTCCTTCAAACTTGATTGGAGCTTATACTAATAGCTGCTCAGGGCACCCAATTTGCAGAGCTTGCATGAGAGCATGGACGGCTCAAAAGACCAAGCAGCAGGCTGAATACAATGACGATTTCGCTACCTACCGCATACCGTGTCCTGTGTGCAAAGAGCCGCATGAATATGGCGATGTCATGCTATCGGCGACACTGGAGCACCAGGGCTATTGGCCGCAGAAGCTGCTGCGATCGCACAGTGGAAGGGTCTTTCTTAACTAGAGGGGGATTCACGCTGGGCGCAACAAGGTCATCTTCAGAATCTCTCATGCACGTTTACACGATCTATCTCGTGAGGAACACTTTAGGAAGTGATTTTTGCCATTCTATTTGTACGCATTTCCGCGATATTCAGCCTCCAACGCAACCCCATTTCGCGAGCAGCAACCACTCATCCCACCCTCCGCCCACCAGCATAGGTAACAAATCGATAGCGACATATCGCCCCAGACATTTCCTAGCTGACAAGTGGGCGCGATCAAGCCACATCTTATGCCTATATCCGTCATCGGCGCAGGAAATATTGCAAGTCTAGACAGCGTCTGAGCACACTCTCGACCCAACAAAATTGACGCTGTTCTCACGGTCTCTTTGAATGTTCACTCCTCCTGATAATAAATGAATATCGTATAGACGTTCAGCATGCAGATAACGACTTTAGTAGATCTTCCACCAAGTTCACTTCATTCCGACCGGGCCGTAATTACCCGCGATAGCGTGTTCGTTAGAAATGAAATGTCGTTTACAGACTCACTTTAGTTTCGGATGACCCGGACGTTGCCGCGGCATGTCGTGCCGCTCCGGAGCAGCATCCTGTACTAATCCGGTGATCAAAGCAATCTTTTAGTGCACACTAGAATAGTTCAGTCTTCTTTTCGCCACTAAAGAATGTCCAACTTTAACTCTCACTGTCCTCGTATATCACGAACTCTTAACATGTCTCGGAAGCCCACTAACAATGCTGCCGTCCTGAAGCAACCAGATGGACAACCCGCTAGGAGCATGTTAAAGATCAAATTTCAACCTTGGTCAACTCCCGAAGGAACACGGAGAAACAATGCATTGTGTGCATTTTCCGAGTCAGAGAACGACGATGCACACACAACTCGACTTTCTCCACATAACAGTCAGCCTACCAGAGATAGTAGGGAGGTTTTCACCATATCCAAAATCGTCCCCAAAAACTATTTAGGGGTTTTGATCCCCGAACTCGTCTTATACATAGTCGAATTCTATCTTTGGCAGACAGCGGCATCCCTACGCCTTGTGAACAGACACCCTCAACACAACCTTCGCGAGGAATTCATGAACAGACACTTTCGCACTCTGGTAATTCGGTTCGATAGAAGGTGTCTTGAGCGTCTCGCTTGGGTGTCTTGCCATGCTCATCTGTATGTTCGGAAGGTGATCATCGACACTCAATCTCTTCTTGTCCGGGCACACAAGTCAGAAGCCCCGACCAGACAACCTAAAGGATTATATGAAGAATCTTTCAGCTCGTCCAACACTCTTTACTGGCACACAGAAGCTGTAGATACCCTTGAAGATATTCTCGCACACGACATTTTTGGCGCATTGTTACCTTCGCTCTCCAACGTAGAGGAACTTGTCCTAGATCAACTCCCGAACACAGAACACGTTCGTCATTCCTCGTTCTTCAGGCTCGAAGGGCTGTGTTCACGTCTTGCTCAGCAAATTTTGTATTCGATGCAGCACTGGAGCTTGAATTTCAAGGTTCTCAAAATCTTTGGCCTCGAAGTTTCATCCTGTCTTTCTGGTGTCCCTGAGTTCTCAGGGGAAGGCTCTCTTCGAAGTCTTCCTGCGGCTTGTTACATTTAGTAATCTTCTGGCATTACACGACGCCTGGTTTGCTTGAACGTGATTCGGGGCGACTAAATGCGTTTGGGTGATTCCTGATATGGATGGATAGACAGTATATTGCAATTATAGGTAGTGCGATGCTAGCAAAGTTTATTGCTAGTACTTTGCTTCAGCAGTTTAGTCTGTTACATGTGGAAACGATGATGAATATATGAAACTTCATCGTAGCTGAAATTTAATTCCCAGAATTTGAACGATGCTTAATCCACTGCAATTTATTCGCCTCCGGTCTGTACTTTAAGATCTAGCCTTTTGCGTGGTCTACTTCCGCTCTCATAGTCTAGGGTTCCTTCAACGCTACGTAAGTGTTTCTTGTTACTTTGTGGAAATGTACTATGCTCTTCAGTTATGTCCCTAACTGCTCCTAGCAGCAATTGCGATACGTATTGCTTTAATTGTCTCTGGAAGAATCTCTCTGCTAACCGCGTACGACGCTTGAATAGCAGCGAAAACGCACAATCTCCGATCAGGATTGTGTTCTCAAGGGGAATGATCTGGTTTCCGTGGCAGGAATCGCGCCCATTGACAGTACAAACCAACTTTTGATCATTAAGTTCCATGAGAAAGAGACCAGGATCTCTGGCAGAGAAGCCAAGACTCGCATGTACCCCAGCAATGCCACTATCATGTGTACGCAGTAGAAATTCTACTCCTGCATGTTCAATCCCATCGCAGCCTCGACCAATGCGCCAACGAACACCTTCTGGCAGTCCTCCAAGGGCTAGTTCGAAACAAGGCGTTTTATCTCCGCAGTATTCGATCTCTGTAATGTAGTCCGAGTGGTACTTAGAGCCTTGTTCGCGAGATTTTAAGATGGCTGAAAGAGCTGGGCGGTTGACAGGTACTAGATGACCAAGCATGAACAGACTGCGATCTCTCGGAGACAAAGAAGTTGAAACATGAGTTTGAGGCTCAGAAGTAGAAGTACTTTCTGACACCATGCTGCTTACTTCATGTAAGTCGGCATTGCCATGATGTATTTGGGTGCTTCGAGACATTGCAGCGTTGATCATGAATAGCAGCGGTTTCGTCAGTGGACTTATATATTAGCATATGTCGCATTTATTTGCGGCACACACCACATTATACAGCAGATAGCCAGAGGTCTAGAAAGACGTTTCGACATCGAATAGGCGCAATATATAAATGCTCGTCGTACTAAGTTAGTTCAAAAGTTGTATAACTTGTTTATTCCATGTATATGTTCCTTTACTGACTAAGACGAGGCTGGAACCTCTCCTCAATAAGCGTAATGGCTGTATGAGCTATCCCGTTGTTGTCTGTCCTTACGCAACATGGAGCATAACTACATTCAGAAGCTGCCGGTGATGCTAGTGTAACAGGTAGTAGCTGCTATTTTGCGCTCTGGAAAGAAGGCAAACTCCAACTCTTGGAAGTCTGAATAAGCTCTTTACTATACTTTCATAGGCTCTTTTACATCCAGGCAGTCTCTCAAGAGCTAGCACTAAAATACTTAATGCGTTCCTTTAGAAGCAAATCGAGCTCAACAATATTCTGTTCTTTCTTAAACTTAAGTAGTTGAGAAAACATAGGAGAAGAAGAGCATACGTCGTCTGGGAGCCGATGTATAAACTTTGCAATCCTACCCACAACTTCGTCTGCGTCATTTCCCTGTATTTTTCTGTACTCTATTTCCGAGCATGCTTTACAGAAGTCGTTCCAGAGTTTTTGGCGACGGCATTCGAGATGTGCTATCGCGAAGTTTTAGAATCTTCTAAAGTTTCTCACATTCGACATATACTTACAGATGATCCCCTCCCCTGAAGGTATTGAGTAGCTGATATTTTCCACAGAGCACTTCCGTCCATCCCACTCAAAGATCCAGCCTTCATCAATTTCGTGCATATTTGCTGCTACTACGTCCAATATAGTAGACAGTTTTTGGCACCTTTGCTCGATACTGTAGAACCCTTGCAATATTCGAATCCATTCAATCCAGTCTCTTCCAATTGGCTTATTGTCCTCCCAAAGACCTTCAATCCATCTTCTGGCTTCGACATGCGGCACAACAATATCTGTGACGTCGTATTTGTCACAGACGACAACCAAGTGAACAAGATTGGATACCAGGAGTGATATCGGTAGGAGATGTGGGCGGTGATGCAAAATCATGAATAGGATGCGAATGGTACCGGGCTCATCGTCCGGTAGATAGTAGATAGGGCGATCCTGTTCCTGGGCAAACAAAGTCTTGAACCATGAGACTTCTCCGAGCACGTGTCTAGAAACACGATAGCAGACATTTCCTGCAACTTGGATCAGAATAGAGCAGTCATTGGGGCCTTTCGTGATCGTTTCAGGGGGCAACGACTCGCCCGGCTCAAGAATGACGGTGGTCGCCTCCGAGGTACTACGGCGAGTTTTTCGACGTTTGCTCATTGTCGTTGTTGTGTAAGAGGCAATAGGCAATTTCGTTGCGTATCAATCTTTTATATGTGGTAATTAACACAGCGTGGCTAAACTCGGTTAAGTTAGTTGAATTTCGTGAATGTCAGAGGATCTTATATTGCTCCAGGATGAGATCGGGAAAATCAATGCAGAATACAAACTAGTACTAAGTGAATTACTCTAGGATTTTCAGCATTTATGGTGTAGGACGATTGAACGTTAGATCCGCATCTAACTAAGGGGGGGGGGGGCAGTGAGGAGTTCGTGACGCAGACAGACGTCAATCAATCGAGTTTCTTCATATAGGATGTGCTATATTCATTGAACTAAGGTTTATACAGCACTGTCCACAATGATCTTCAATTTACGCAACTTCCTCCTTCAGCTTTGCTGATTCTGTCTTCTGGTTATCACCTTCATTTCTGACATTTAGAGACAGTGACTCCTTCTCTTCAAGACTGTCCATTGAGAAAATTTCGGCGTGGCTATCAATGCCTCCATACGTATTTATTGAGAGAAGGAATTCAACCAGAGAGTCTCCCATTCGATCGATTGTCGTCTTGAACGGTTGTGTCGTGCCAAAGTATCGCATTGATCGAGCCTCTCGAATAAGAGCTTCCAAATTGCGTTGGAACCGGTCGATGTATTCCATTTCGTCGTTTTCGAGATGAGGATCCAACTTAGCGAGCGTTGTAGACAATAGCTTTGTATTTCGGACTGCGCGTGGACCCTGCCAGATTATCTTTCTATCTAGGTGGTGCTGACGCTTTCGTTCTTTAGCGGAAGTTGTGGGCGGCATGATGTTGGTAGATCGTAGGCTGGTCGTTCAGAGATGAGGCTACTTATCCACTGCACTTATAGATGCCGCCTTCCGGCACATCCGGCATTGGCGTTGTATTGCAATCACATCATTGGCACTAGAGAGCGCCTTTACGGCGCAGTCGCTTCTTGGCAGTCGCTTCAGCCTAATTAACGAAGGCCACAAATGTGCTTGAAGGTTAAGAGAAGATTTTCCTTGCACTGAATTGTGCGCTGCAAACCTGCGAGTATCTCATATATTTCAATAAATTTAACAACCACGTCATGCTCAAATGCCTAATACGTATTAGTGAACTCTAATGCGACTAAGATTACATGTATTATGATCAATTAATTTACAGTTCATTCTTAACGCCAAATGTTCTTGTCTTCGTTATCTGGAAGTACTACAAAATGCGAAAACTCCGTCGATCCATCCCCGTTCTGGTAAGGTAGCCCAATGCCAATGATGTGACCACGGTAGGTCTCGAACTTACGGTTATTGTCTAACCTTAGTAGTTTACGCCTACCATCTGTCCAGAAACAGTAACTGCCTAGAATATCTCTGTCCATATCCAAGAGGTTCATCTGAAGATGACTAACACCTTCCACCCACAGATTCTCACGGAAAAGAGCTGTCAAGTCTAAGTCTATCTTGTCTATCTGAAACACAGATTCTTGTCTATCGCCGTTACGTAAACTCTTGAAGAAACACTTCTGTAATTCATCTTAAGGTATATCGTGATGCTTATGTAGTAATAAAATAACTTGCTTTCGCCTAGAACTTTTATCCTTCAGGAAAAGAAGGCCAGGTTGTCCGCCTTTTGTAACAACATAATCTAGCCAATTATGGTCTTTGAAAATCGCGTACTAAAAGCCTTCATGATGCCGGTATTTAGCAGATCCAGTTTTGAAATCGCGTTGGAAGAGTCTAGTATAGTATGGAGATAGATAGTCTGTGATGTTGTTCCAAAGCTCAACTGGAAGAAGGCGAACGAGTGTTTTATCTGGCTTAGATACTGCAGAAGAGCTCTCAGGCTTTGCTTGTCTAAGTCTTTTATAGCGCCAAGTAGGCTTCTTAGATTGCCTCCGAGGGGCCATAGTTGACGTTGTCTATGACTTACAGCTGCTTTTATACGATAGGTTAACAAGTAGCTGATAGTACGCAGGAATGTACAAAAAGCACCTCGTGCAAAATATGCTGCGGCACAGGAAAACAACCACCTTGTAGATTTCTGCGTCCTCAGCAAAACAACCACCGTGTAGGTTTCAGCCTCCTCTGAAATTGACTCAGATAGCTTGAGTACTAATAGATCTCAAAGATTAGCATCGTTGTATCAAACACTCACTACTGTCAACATGCAATACCCAATCTGGTTTACTGCGGGCATCATTTTTTCAACTACCCGCGCCCAGACAACGAATTTGACAATTTACAACAATCGCACTGAAGGAAGTTGTGCACCTAGCGTAGAGTAACCTAATATCATTTCTTCTATGCAACTACCTAAAACAACAATCTAGATTAATCTATGTTCACGTACAAATTGGCAGGACTGTTATGCGCCAATCACCACTTCAAGTCGATGCGTCCCAGCTGATCGCTTAGATAAGGTTGCTTCGATTGCGATCGATCTGGGTCTGTGTTGCCGGTTTTATACGTGAGCACGAACTATTTTCACGACTGGAACCATCTCACGAACGTGCAGGGACGACAAATGCATTACTCCCTTCGCGGGATATGGTGGAACGCAGGCTTGGTACCCTGGTACATCGCAGGTAGAAGACGCCTTCAAGGAGCAAGTGGGAAGCTACACGTGTAGAGCGACAAAAGTCATTGAAGGTTGCCCCGGATCTGCTATGACAAACGGCAGCGCATCTATCAGCGCAGCTTATGTTACTACGACTCATTCTGTAGTATAAAAATGGGTCAATATTGACTTGGATGTCTTTTCATGCTCCGTAGGTTTCATAGACATCCTCTATATCCTCAATTGCATGAGGTAGTGTAATTAGTAATTAAATCTTTTCGACCAGCGGTTGCCATTGATATAGGACATGCATTGGGCGAAATGAAGCGGATGAGTGCGATATCTTCAGCGACTCTGCCTATGCTCCCTCATCCAGACCTCCGGCTTCTATGATGTTGCTGTGCTTTCTGATTCGAGAACGTCAGACTGTTTGGCTGACGTCACACCTAAAGTCCAGAAGGATGAAACAATCCAATCGTGCAAAATCCCAATGTCATGGATGTTGACAAGTTTGTCGAGCTGATGTACTTATGCTGCAAACAGATTGAAGGTGGTTGCTGCTACGGGGGCGAGTCAGACAGGCTGGAAGAGCAAGGGCCTTCGCAGCTGATGCATTGCCGCCGCTTTTCTCCTGAATATCCTCTCAAGCGACTCCAGTCGGCGGTGATTGCCGTGCCTCTGACGATGGAAGCTTTAGCCTGTAACATGACTCGGAGCCTGCAACCAAGGATCTGTGGCATGAACTTGGCAGACGGGTCGCAAGAATGAGGGATATGGCGGACCCAGTTTCCCTGGTCGTCCCAATGCAGGTGGCAAATTGGCTGGTTACCGGTAGGCCAATAAAGCGCGCAAAACGTGCCGCTGCAATCACTGTGATCCGCAGAGTGTAATAGGCCAGTCAGCTCGCCGATATAGTCTTCCGGGCCGTATGGCACACGAGACTCAACAATGGGTAGTTTATCCGAAGATGTCGCGGATAACCGATAGAAGCCTAGCCGTGGAGGCATGCATGGACAGTGTCGCGAAGCTGCAGCATCAATGCAAGATGCAGAGGCATTGGGCATCAAGGTCACGTCCACGGTAGCCTTCAATCGATGCAATTTACGAGACAATGTGCTAGCAGGTTGGCTCTGAGCGAGGTACGCTTGTGGGCGCAATAGCGATAGCGTGTTCTTCAAGTCCAAATCATCGTTCTCAGAAAGCACAGGCGTAGTGCTGTTGAACCACTCGGAGCGATATTCGAAGTGGGGATGTTCGAAGTCGGCTGGCAGATTGTTAGGATCCTCGAAGCCGTATTGAAATGAAGTGTCAGAGAGCACACGCTTGACGAGTCCATTTGCGATGGCGCACAGACTTTGCAGTATTTCCTTGAATTCACCTTCTTTCATGCATTGTTCTAACAGGTCATTGAAGTGCTTGATGTCAGCATCATTCATCTTCAATAGGCTGCTAGTGCACAGGAAATAGGGGGCTTCAGACTGAAGAGGTAGGAGCGCAAGAAGTCCAGGTCCATGGCTCTCACAAAGAGAGCGCCATTTCTTGCTAGTGGAGAAGTTATGGACAAGCGTCCGTCGTGCATCAGGCGTGTTTGGCGTGTTCTGTAGACGTAGGATGCGGGTTATTATCTCGGAAGAGAATTTGGCAGCTCCGCCTTTCAAGCTTTCGAGACAGGAGACGTAGGCAAATGTGTTGGCGCGTACACGCAGTAGAGGGAGATCAGCTTGCTGACAGGACACTTTTGCAGCACTATGATACGCCGCAGTATGATATAAGATGTCTTGATCGTGATTGTCCAAGGGGGGTGTAGCAGATGCGAACTCGCTGTAGTGCTCCGTCCTCTGTGCATGTATTAGTCGAGAGAGTCGTGCCAGCGTTTGCTTACTGAGAATTGACACAATGAGTGAAGCGGGAGTTTTGCGTGCAAGATTATGGAAAAGTGATTCCCCAACACCCAGACTATACCGCTGCAACTCTACCAATTCAAGCCTAGCAGGACCGTCACGACGCCTCTTGCCTGGAGGTGTCTCAGTCTGTTCCCCGAGCCAAGGACGCTTGCTGGCTCGGAAGTGGTGTGGGCCAGGAGAATCCGTGAAGCCGCAAATTTTGCTAGTACAAAAATTATAGTTTTGCGGATAGGGGGAAATGTTTCGGTCCATGAAATTGACAGCTTCAGCCAGGTTTGCGCCCATGTTGATAATCTGGTGATAGGCTGCAGGGGTCGTGAAGATCAGCTCCCCAGGATAACAGGCCTTGATATGGTATTTCACCCCCAGACTTTTAAGGACGCTCGGTGCAACGAGTACCGATAAGTGACGGATGCGTTGTGAACACGTAGTCAGCTGTCCAGGGAACAAAGCTCCTAGGCCGGCCTCGAACTTCTCATTGGACGTAGGCTCGATGCTAAGCCATATTTTTGGAGCACCACATAGCATGAGGTTGACAGAAAACCATGCGCAGTCTTCATAATGCATCGCGGTAGCAGTACGGCCAGTAGCGTAGCTAGCATAAATGTAGCTTGTGTTGACACCATCTATGGTTTGTGTCAAAGCCTGCTGCAAATATGGACCAGCCGTGAGCAGGTCAGAATAGCGGCATTGCTCTCCAAGCACCTCTTTGCTTGAGCCGATCAGATACCATTGTGGCTTGCCAGATGTAGTGTCTCTGCAGAAGGATTCGAAAATCTCCTCCAACTGCTCATCGGAATAATGTCCTCTGGGTGCATCGGTGAACGTGGTGAAAGGTGTGAGCGGGCGCCCAGAGTAACTCGAAGATATTGCCATGACACCAGGCCGCTTCAGGCAGGCAGTATTGTACTTGAGCTGTGTTGTTGTGCGACGAGCATCTTGCACAATACCAGCATCGAAATCGAGGTTCTGCATGGAGAAATCCTGTATAGAAAGATGGCACATGCCGGTCCTGTGCACGTCGGGTAAGGAGGTAAATTTTTCCAAAGTAGGCACCGTGTATAATCCCAGGTCTGTTAAATCGCACTGATGAGTAGGGACGGAAAATTGCGGAAGGGTTGAGTCAACGCCGGCTCGTTCTAGTGCCGACGGACGTGTCGCGTGATTTAGCACGTTGTTGTCATCGGAAGACCTTCCTTCAGTAATATCATCCGTTTCCCTCTCGGTGTTATCGTCCTCTTGGTTATTAGAGGTAGCTCCTTCACCCGCCGCGTCATCTTGGAGACTTCTTCGTAAAGGCTGCTGTTCTTCGTCTTGGCTTGTAGGTTCCTGCACTACAGGCGGTCTGCTCTTGCCTGATCTGCGGCTTCGTTTGCCTCTCGAGTTCCTGGCCAAATATACGGCCCGTTTCTGCACAACATGCGCCTCCTTATCTCGATCTGTGTCTTTGTTCAATCTGAGGTTCCTTTTGCTCGTCGGTTCCGGCTTGTTTTCACGCGTCTGTCGCAGGGGCAACTGTAAGGTTGCAAGGATCGTTCCTGCTCCTATGATGATAGAGCGCACTGTTTTTTCGAGCTTCGAGCGTACATCGGGTGGGATCGTGTCGGGTGGGATCGTGTCGGGTGGTTTCTTGCTCTGCTGGCCAGTTAAGACCATTGGTTGTGAATAGCTTTGGACCCGCATCTTTATGCTCTTGATCTTAATTACATAGCTTTCTAGCTCGTGAACAAGCGTATCGAGTGTTCCTGGATCCAGGGTCATGGTGATGAATGTTGTCGCAGTTTGAGGAAAGAGGAAAGCAGATGTTCCGCCAAGAAGATCCGAGAGTCGGATCTTGCTGGTGTGGTCTGTGCCAGGATCAGCCTTAGCAGGGCCGTGCGCTCAGGTACCACCGGCACTAATGCCTCAGAAATGGTCTGCGATCATCACAATTGTAATGCACTGTGAAATGACTTAAAATCGTTGGTAATCTAACAAAATGCATCGTGTACGATGTCAACTGCGATGTTATTGCTACTACCGATAGAAATTCTTGAAGATATTAGCGCACATCTCTCTCTCAACGATGTGTCTTCACTTATCAGAGGATCGCAACTACTATATACTCGCTTAATAAAAAGTTTTTACCGCCGTTCTCGGTACCATTGCACGTCAAAGAGTAATTCTCTCACACATAGGCTACAAGACGTGACGTTCTGGTATGATAAACGAGGAAACGGCTCTGTAATGGAATGGGCTATTGTTCACCGACGCACCAGTACATTTCACCGATTACTACTTGAACCTCAAGTCGACCTCGTACAAGTGGACAGCTACGGCGTTACTCTTCTCCATCGATTGGCTGCGCAAGGTCTTGTTCGATATATAGAGCCTCTTGTGACCACGCTCGATTACGCTGGAACTAATCCTTTCCAACCGGACCACTCGCTTTTGACTCCACTTCACTATGCTTCTGGCCGTAATATGACGGAAGCGGTGCAGTCATTAATCAAATACGGGGCTGACGTAATGGCGAAGGACCATCATGGAAATACACCCTTGCATCTTGCGGCAGTCACCGGTTCCCACAACGTACTTGCGCAACTAGTTCAAGCGGGAGCCGATGTCAACTCGAAGGCCCGCTTCGGTTGGACTGCTATAGATCAAGCAAGCATATCGCACCATCGGCTTGCTGTAGAAGAACTGAGGAGACTTGGGTCACAGTCGCCCACGTGGCAGAAAAGACAGAATGCACTCAATGAATTCATCCGTCTCTCTCCTTGTCCGTTAAGCTGCTATTTATACCATTTTCAATTCTCTTAAGAAGTCACAATGCTGTAACGGAGGTTTATTGCCCGACTGTGCGTGTAGATCTGAAATAGGATAGCTGAGTGTGAGTGCAGCAAAATCGAAGAGGTACTTCAACTTTAATTATCTCTAATTCTGCGTACGCTTTCTGTGACACTGTAGTAGAAGAAGGTAAGGTTCCAACTTGTAACCTTTCGTGCAGCGACAATCATGTCTCTGTTTTTTTCTGCTAAATGAAGGAGCTATTCGACTGAATATGACAACGGAGGAAGGATCTATATCAGGAGGCCTTGTTTGGTCTTGGGAGACATATCAGATCTCCAATTCTGAGACCACTCACTTAGATATTACACGAACAGTTTACGTACTTTCCTGGGGTTTGCACAGATACGTATTTTCCGGCGGTGGGTCTGGATGTCGATATTGACGTATATCATTCTGAAGAATTGACGTCAGATTCACGACTAATTAAAGGTCGTGAGTTCTTGCTTGATCTCGAGAATGTGAACCTGTTATATCAGCTATGATGCATTGGCCTTCGTTGTGCACACGAGGATGAGGCGAAGTATCAACGCTGTTCTTGCTAAGCAAAAAGAGCGCTTTAGCAATTGTTAGATTAGCCTCGTTAATTTATATCCTATTAGGTTGCACATCGTAAGTAGAGTTTACGTCACGCTACTTCGCATATCAAGCCTAGCGTCACCCATATTGTCAGCCCCACACCTTCGTTTTCTACTGAGATCAGTTTGTTGATGCATGTCTTTGAACCATCAATTGTTAGCACCTTGCTGTCAAACCTCAAAAACCTTCACTTCGACCTTGTTCTACTCTCTTTCCTGTCGACTCGAATATGCTCAGCTGCTCCTGCATTTTCAAAGGAAAAGAGAGACGAGATCATTAAAAGCAAGTCTACGAAGCATTATGACGCTCACTAGCGCCCAACTTGCAGAGAAAAGGAAGAGGAACCGAGAGAGTCAGCAAAAGTCGCGCCGGAAGATAAAAGATGAGATTGATACTCTTCAATGCCAGGTTCGAAATCGATTATCCAACGATAGGCTGTCCTATTAACAGATTCAGAACAGAGAGCTGAAGCAAGACAACCTGTCGCTGAAGGAGCGGCTACAACATGCATTAACAGCCATAGAAGTTTTAAGAAAGGGTGCGACATCGCAATGAATTCTGTCCTTCAGTAGAGGGCGTATACCTAACCTATGTCATAGCTCAGTGTCCGGACGAGGCAGTACCAGTAACTCCAACAGATACCTACTTTCGTTCGCCACCCGCTTCTGGCAATGCCTCAGCATTCCCTCAGTATATAAGCCACACTCAGGGGTTTCTTTCAAACTCCGTGCAGCCATCATCAGTGTTGCAGGTAGACTATAACTCGTCGACCGAGTGTTCCTTACCACGCTTAACTCCTTTGCGCGACTCCTTTAACATAGGTAGCCGTCCGGATATAGGCAGTCTCTATAAGAGCAAGATTGAGCCAGGGAACAGTTGGGAGTACAGTCCTCTACGTTTGTCACCGGACGTAAATAGCACGGCGGACACCCTATTTGGGGAGTTTGAAGAGTTTGAAACACAGAAGACGCGATAAGCGAGAAGAACAGGGTTAGAAAGTTACAAAAGCTGTCGGGCACCATAAATTTGTCCAGGAGAAAAGATTACAAGATTTGCTAGAAAACAGTCAGATACGTTCACGATTAGGACCGTGCTAATTACTTCCTTGAGTGATTCTGTTGCGGTAGAACAAAATCTTATGTATTCTGCTATCGTGTTGTGTTGTACGTGCTGTGCTCTCAATGAAGCAGCAGCAGCAGGGTCTATTTAATTACATGACGAACCTGTGATGCAGCTGAGGTAAGAGGTGCTCAATAAATTGAGGAAGCAGCCCTAAACCACCAACACGTGATCTGCTTCTCCTTACAACCGTCACAGACTCTCTGCAATACTAACGTTACACCTATAAAGCTAACTTAACTAACTAATGCAGTCAGTAATTAGCCCGTTCTCCCCCTATCTCCCCTACATTGAATGACGTTTTGCTAAAGTTTCAAGCCTTTCTCTCACTAATCAGATCAGTCCATGTCGCTTCCACGCTAAACCATTTTCAGTCATTCTTCGAATACATATATTTGCGACTCAAGCTACCTTATCGCTCAACTCGAACCCATTTTCATCTCAAGCTTCGGAACTCAACCGAAGCCGCGATTCGTACCTGCACTGGCCTGCGCACCAGCCGCGTAACACAACATAGCGCCACCAGCGACATCATGCTCCTCACAGGAGTAGCAATCCTGCTTTCTCTCTTTACACTCGTTCAGGCCTTTGCGCTTCCGCAGACTTCCAACGACAATTTGGCCTCTTCAGCTACGACAGGGTATAAGAATGTCGTATATTTTGTCAACTGGGCTCGTTTCGCCCCACCAAAAATGGCCAAGACCTACTTTGCTGACAGTAGATACAGGCCATCTATGGTCGTAACTTCAACCCTCAAGATCTTCCAGCCCAAGAACTTACCCACGTCCTCTACGCCTTCGCTAATGTTCGACCGGAGACGGGCGAGGTCTACCTGACAGACACATGGTCTGATACTGACAAGCACTTCCCCTCTGACTCCTGGAACGACGTCGGCACTAACGTCTACGGATGCAGCAAGCAGCTATACCTACTTAAAAAGAGGAACCGCAAGCTTAAGTCGCTTTTGTCAATTGGCGGGTGGACCTACTCCGCCAACTTTGCGGTACCAGCGTCAACACCTCAGGGTCGGAAAGCCTTTGCGAGCAGTGCGATCCAGATTCTCGCAGACCTTGGTTTCGATGGTCTTGACGTTGACTGGGAGTATCCTGCCGACGAAGCGCAGGCTAATGACATGGTCTCCCTCCTTGCAGAGACTCGGCAACAACTTAATGATTACTCGGCCCAGAACGCAAACAACCAGCATTTACTTCTCACTGTTGCATCGCCTGCTGGACCTTCGAATTACAATAAAATGAAGCTCGCCGCCATGGATAAATACCTTGACTTCTGGAACCTCGTAAGTGTCAATTTTTCGCAATCCCAATGTCTTCCGTTCATGTTGACACCTGTACAGATGGCGTACGATTACTCAGGCTCCTGGGACACCAACGCCGGCCACGACGCCAACTTCTGCCCCTCCTCTTCAAATCCCTCTTCTACACCCTTTGGCACAAAGAAGGCACTGAACGACTACATATCCGCCGGAGTGCCTGCCAGCAAAATTGTTCTCGGTATGCCGCTGTACGGCCGCTCCTTCAGCCAGACCGATGGGCCAGGGAGGCCGTTCCAGGGTGTGGGTAAGGGGACGTGGGAAGCCGGGGTCTATGATTATAAAGTGCTACCTCAGGTTGGCGCAAAGATCACTGAGGATTTGGACCTGGTGGCGAGCTGGAGCTATGATGCTGCGAAGCGCGAGATGATCAGCTATGACACGCCCGCCATCGTCGCTAAGAAAGCCCAGCTCATCCGCCAGCAGGGGTTAGGTGGGGGTATGTGGTGGGAGAGCTCGAGTGATAAGAAGGGTGCTGATAGCCTTATTTCTACGGTGCGTGCTTTATTACTGGTAGGGAGACAAAGCAATGCTAACAAGGTAAATAGTTCGTCAAGCATATCGGTGGTATCAGTGCGTTAGATCAGAGTACGAATCTGCTAAGCTTTCCACAGAGCAAGTATGAGAATCTAAAGGGAGGGTTTCCTAACAACTAGAGCCCATTTCTATGCTTGTTGCCTATAGCTCTTTCTCTTGTATATAATATGCGAGAACAAGCAGATTTCACAGCGCTAAAGTGTTATTCAGCGTTTCTAGGAGCGGAGCGTTTCCAGAAGCAGGGCGTTTCTAGGAGCAGGGCGTTTCCAGAAGCAGGGCGTTTCCAGAAGCAGAGCGTTTCTAGGAGCAGGGCGTTTCCAGAAGCAGGGCGTTTCTAGGAGCAGAGCGTTTCCAGAAGCAGGGCGTTTCTAGGAGCAGAGCGTTTCCAGAAGCAGGGCGTTTCTAGGAGCAGAGCGTTTCCAGAAGCAGGGCGTTTCTAGGAGCAGGGCGTTTCCAGAAGCAGAGCGTTTCTAGGAGCTTCATTAGTTTTGCCTAACGCGAACATATCATTCGCGTTAGAAACCCCAAGAGGGTTTGAAAACCAGGATCCATTTCTCAGAGATACTCCAGGAAAGTCTGGGAGACTAACAACTTCTAAAATGTAATCAGGGTATTTGCGGAAACTAAACTAATTAAAACTCCTGCTAAATCAAAGAACTCAGACCTCGGAATCAGTAAATGCTTAAGAAATGAGGTTGAATTCTTCATGCAAATCGACAGTTTGTGTTAATAGAACTCTGTATACAGGTTGTTTGTAGCTAGCCACATGTATTCTAGCAATCTATAGAGGAGGAAATAAGAGAAAAGGTTGCAGTATAAACAAAGTGATTATATACAACAAGCGAGCTAAGTAGGCATTTAATTGAGGGCTAAACGAGTACTACCTTAATAGTGTACTCGGTGAGCAAAGGTGCTAGGCTGATGTCAGATATAGAATGAAATAGCAGAAATGAAAGAGGAGAGAAGGTTGTTGTATTAAGAGAGCTATGCGATTATTACACAACTAGGATGAGCAAGTGATGACTTTTAAAAAGCTGCTGTAGACATTAGTAAGCAGTTTCCGAGTGTTAACACGCGTAAAGTAGCTTGGCGCTTCTGCAATTTCTTCTAATATTAGGTACTTTAGGAGCATGCTTAATACTCCTAAACCTTACACCGAGAGAACCCGCACAAAGCCCTTTGGGGGGTCTACGAACCGCCATTTATCTCTCATATAATAGCAATCTTTCTCCTCTTTTTGTTTGTACCCATCAAGAACATCTAATACCTCTGCGCCTGGCCAAGATGTAGATGAGGCACCCTCCATTATGCTTTCAATAAGCGGTTCTGCTATTCGGTTGATTTGGATCCCGTAAGGATATACATTTACAATGTATGTTACAAGCGCTAGTAACATGTTCTCAGTAAAATGCTTGTCGTTTCTATTTGTATTGTTAGCGACTGATAGTAGTTATACCTAACTTATAGTGAGTAATTTAAATCTTACATGTAAGCTTCAAGGCTCGGATTGCAAGTTAAAAGAACCCCGATGCCAAGGTGAGCCACTAGAAAGGACCACCGTTTACCTATCCTCTTATGCGTTTTGAGAATCTCTCGGCGCTGCTTCCTGACTTGTAGACTGTCTGATTCGTTGTTGCTGCTATATATATCATCTAGGGTCAAGTCTATGACAATGCTTTGCACGTCCTTACCCGGAGAACGTAGATTCTGCATACAACGATTAGTCCGTATGTTGAGGACTTTTTGCTCCATGTAATGGTAAAGGAAAATCCTTGCCATTCTAAGTCTGACGGGACCCACAATCGTGTCCTCCTCAGTTGTCTCGGCACAGTGGAGGCTTCTGAGCGTCCTCTCTGCTAAAGAGCCAGTCATTGGATTGTCTAGTAAAGGGCGGTACCAAAGACCACGCAGGCCACATCGATAGTGCAAGGAATGTATAAAGCTTACGGCGTCTATTCGCAGAAAATGGTCACTAAGCTTAATAATCTGCTTAAGCTTGTACTTGGAATTACCTCCGTACGGGGAATCAAGTTGTTTAAAGACTCGAAGGTATTCTGGGGGCGGATGCAAAGAGTGGTTGTCTTGGTTGCCATGGCTGTCATTGTCTTGGTCGTCCAAGTGTATAGTGCACGCAGGAGAGGCGGACGGTCGGGCATCAACATAGGCTGGATAAGATAGAAGCTCGGGCGGTTTGGGTTGTGATGCGTCCCTGTTATCCTTACTACGTCCGTCTAGCGTGTCTGCATTAAGGCTTGCAGTATTGTCAGGAGAGTGGTGGTCTCCTGTATCAAAGAGGTTGTCCGTTTCTCGTTGGAAGCTACCGGTGGGAAGGAAAGTGGCGGACATTTGGACGTCAACTATAGCTGGATGCGACAGGCGTTCAGACTGTGCAGCTTGAGTAGAGAGGGTCGAGCCGCGATCACAAGACAGCCTATGTGGTAGGAGCTTTGGCCGCACATATTCTAGATACTCAGGTCCTGCCCTTGCAAGTAGGCACAGAAAAGCTTTCGCTGTTGAGATAAACTACCAAGAGTTAGCAGAATTTTAGTTGGACTACTTGTCATGCCTCTTCTTCTCTCATTCCAACCTGAGTCAGATCTAGAAGCGGCTCATCGTGAGTAAGCTCCTGTCTCTTGTTAGAATTGTTTCATCGTTACTATTGCCTCTAAAACTACGAGATGTATAGAGCGCATAACGCTTTAGAGGAGCAGATTTTGAAGTCGTGGCACAAGCGCAAGGTGCTGATAATACGCTCTTTATATGACTTGACTGAGCAAGTTTATACTAGCGTTATGCTATTACAGTGTTTCCGCTAGCTCAGCTTATAGCTTTATGCTAAGAGCATATTGATGGCGGCACTTAGGTTCTAATGTGTCGTATTGCTAAGACAGCTAGAAGTAGGCATCACATTACAGCATTACACCAGAAAACTGTAGAGGTTCTCACGTTCCAATGCAACGCGAACATAGTCAGAAGTAAGCATTAGATTGCAGCATTACACTATAATGCTACGCCTGATCGTTTGTTATAGTGACTAACGAAATCGGTTCCCGGATCCTACATTTCGTTTATTTAAATTTCACAGCTGCTACAAAAGGCGCTCTATCAGAGGAGGATTAGCGCTATATTTTTTGCTGACCGTGTTTATCCAGCGAACGTTTTGTCGTAATTCCGGTGTAGCCGCGTCGCCACTTTATCCAAGCGTGTAGCGGATGTCATTGCCAAGATAGCAAGTCTAACACGTGCTCAGCACTTATTGCGGCGTAACGGGAGTTGCATTACCCATCAGGCAAGGAATGTACTTTCGTATCCGGAACAATTACAAAGGCGTAGATTTGACTCTTAATACAATTTGGCCATCTCCTTGATTGCATATCATTCCCGTCAAAATGCACAACGCGCTGACCGCCCTTGCCAGTGTCTTCTTTCTCGTTTCTTCAACAAATGCTCTTTACTTTCCTCGATTCCGCCTCTCATCAACAAAGGCCCTACATCACGATCTCACGAATAAATGCACCTTTACGCTCTGGCATAAGCAACTCTGCACCGCCTCCAGAAAGACAAATTATATCCAAATATTCGAAATCGAAGACCATGCCAACAATCTCACTATAAACATCGCGGAGTTACAGCCCGCAGTATCGCGAAACAGCTACACCAAGATCTCTGCCAGCGATGTTTTCGCTATCAAGGGACTGCTTGATGACAAGAGTCTTGCAATAGGAGCTTCGCAGTTCAACGATGATGAAGTGTTGTTTCAGAATGACGAAATCTTATTTAGCAGTGCTTCGAAGAACAGTGAGGAGGCGTGGTGTGTCACAGGGGAGTGGGACATCGAGAGCTGGGGGTGCGGTGAAGGAAGCAGGGTAAATCTAGTAATTGGTCTTGATGAGAAAGCGTACTTACAGTGACCAGCAACGGAAGATGGAATGCGCATTCCCATGCAGAGTGATTGGAGAGGAAGATAATTGCTTCGGCGGTAACTGCATTGAACCGGGAAGTATGATTGCTCAACCAACCCTGCGCCTTGCTGTCCAATTCGTTCGCATGCCAGGTGATTGAACTTTGTAGCTAAGCTAGTTGGCGGTTAGCTAGCGAGAGATTTGTAGTTCGTTGGCGATAAGCTAAGTTAACGTTAGTGAAGAGATTTGTAATTTGTAACGTTATCATTTCTGCCCGAAAAGAGGTCTTCAACGTGTGGGGAGCCTATAAGCCTAGCCTAGCCCAGTAAGGGCGTTAGAGCCCAGAAACTGTAGTATCTAAAGCACACTTATAAATCCGTAAATGCCCTTAACCTAGCTCTGCCTCTAAGGGTCGCGTGAATCTGTAGAAAGGACTTCTTAAGCGCGCGAACCTTCTTCTAAAGACTAGAATAGTCTATTGCAGCCTCTAACTGGAGATTGCCAAGATTTTAGTAATTAAAATTGTCAAAGCACGTTAGTGCTGCGACCTACTTGCTTATCACTCTTAGTAACTTACTGAGCCTGACGATAGCCTTAAGGCTATAGTCAATTAACTTTGTTCTAATACGACTTAGCATGTGAAATTCTACCTATATATAAGCGTGGGTCGGCGTACATGACAAACTCAGCACAATTCGCAAATATTCCCCACTACAATTTTGAGTATTCATAACCAGCTTGCGCTTAAGTAATTAAGTTATAAGTCTCTGAATATGCCCGTGGACTGGAGAACTAAGAAGCCTCTCCGAGTTTCGATGAAAGACAATAGGCATCCTCGCCAGACAGAGAAGCAGGAGAGGTATCAAGGCAGAGTGTTTAATGACAAGGGTCGAGTCAGGGAACAGACTATTAGAAAAACCCAGCGCGATATACATGAAGTTGAGGGAAGCTTGGAAGTGCAAAGACAGCTATTATTAAAACTAGCAGAGCGAGAAAATTGGATGCTAGAAAAGCCTGAAAGCAGGAGCACATCCTCCATTGAAAGTCTCGAGAGATTAAAGACGGATACGGTTCAAGCAATACAAAAGACCTGGAATCAAACTAGCAGATCTGCGGCCAAAAAAAGATTGTAATATCCGTTCAATATAAGCAAAAGCCTATGATAGGTTAACTAGTTATATATGGTCAAATCTAGTTAATTATCCTCTTCTTCTTCTTCTTCTTCTTCTTCTTCTTCTTCTTCTTCTTCTTTGCTCTCTATGCGCGAATATGTTCATTGTGGTAACATCCCTCCACCCGCACCGGAAAACCCTGTGGGCCGAAAACAACCAATGAAAGCGCAGCATTTGCACATGACTCAGCATGACGCTGTGTCTGATTGGTTATTTCCGGCCCACCGGTTTTTCCCCTACACAGGGAGGGATGTTAGGTTGAGTTTGGGGGTGTGCAGAATGTAAGGCTTAGCACAGGTTCGAGGCTCTTATGATACCGCATCGTTAATTACAACACTTGGGAAGAAAAAGCCGCTTCTCTGTCTAGGAATCATAGTGCATTCTTGTGTACGCTAAGTACTACAATGTAGAAATAGTGAGGAATTAGGTTATTGATTGGGTGGACTGGCGTAGCAGACATGAGGAAAATGAAGTCCATTGCTTGCTACACTAATCTATATCCTTTACCAGCTGAACGGTATTAAAAACCATGTCTTGCTACGTCCTAAAGATGCTCACTCAGAGTATCAGGGCCATAGAGAGTAAAGAAATAGCCATCAAAGACAAAACTTTGTACATCAATGTCTCGTGGTTGTTATCTCTCAAACTCGACGTGGCTGAGAAAGGAGCGCTAGGTCCGGTAGGCGCGGAGAAATTTCGCGTTGAATTGGTTGCGTTGTTGGTTGCGTTATCCCACCAGGGTGAAGACAAACGGAGAGATGGGCTGATTGGGAATAGTGTAAATTGCGAACCTGTCGCACCCGTTGTGCTCAGCACTATTGTTAAAGTTGTGGTGGTTTTTCTAACGCAGGCCTCGCTAGTAATATTGCTTGGAACATTACCCTCTCGCTGCTGGAGCAACGCTTCCGAAAACCCGACAAGTATTAAATAGTACAAGTATCTCATTGCGGAAGGTGTAGTCTTCATCTGAGATACTGGCATTCTTCTTCTAATATGCGTTAACTGAGTAGACTGATTAAGTGATGGTCATCCAGATTTATGCAAGTTGCTTTTATCAGGACCAGCAGAAAGGTACTAGTCTCTGAGTTCTCCACGCATACTTCCCGCACGTACAAATAAGGCCACATCCGTGCAGCACAGTAGAACAGTACCCTTATCATAGAGCACTAACATGGAGTCGATCGTCTCCAAGGTGCAGGTCGAGCTCGTCAACCTTGCAGCGACTTATGCAGACGCTGGGCATGAAAATGTTACGCTTAGTCTCATTTTTGACTTCCAGCGCGCCTTATTTGTTATTCTTGATGAGAGTATTCGTATAAAGGATCTTGAACAGTGCGAGGGGCTTAAGTACGAGATGGAAGACCTATTCAAGGATGAATATCCAACAAAACCTGGATGGCCATACCTCAACCAATTAGATAAACAGGATCGATGTTTCTCTAAAATAGGCTGTAGATTCAAGCACGGAGCAGCGCTCTACAAGTCTCCTTTATGCGAAGAACACTTCGTGTGCAAGAAACACCAGTCAGGTCCTTGCCTTGCGATACATAAGAACGTACTAGGTCAAGAACAACGGGCCAGGGATACGAAAAATACAAAAAGGATGGCTGTAGATGGAGAAGAATCGAGCACAGAGCGCCTAGTTAGAGGAGGCCAAGGCAAAGAGATGTCTGGAATTGGAAGTTCAGACAAAACAAATGCAGGCAAAGGAGGCTTGGATAATGAAAGACCACCCAAAGCTATAGAGAAAGAAACTGTAGGCAAGGAAAGGTTGGCCAGAGATGTTGAGAATGCTTGGGAAGGTGTCAGCGATGATCGTGGCAGCTCGTCCAGCGATGAGAGCGAATGGGACGACAACCTTGTGAACGGAGAAGGCATGAATCAGCAGAACGCAGAGGTTGGAAGATAGACATAGTAATTAGTTAATTTAACTAAATTAGTTTTTTTTTAAACAAAATCGAAGTTGTGTTGAATGGGCTATCTATCGCGCATCGCGTGTAGGTAGCAGGTTCTGTACGATCGTATGGTAACTAAGTATTGAGTATATTGATTGCTTATTGTCTTGTTGTGCGATCTATGAGGCAGGCCCCCTATATGGAGTTGCTGGTTCTCAGCGGTCCGAATCACGTGACTAACATCCCTCCCTGTGTAGGGGAAAAACCGGTGGGCCGGAAATAGCCAATCAGACACAGCGTCATGCTGAGTCGTGTACAAATGCTGCGCTTCATTGGTTGTTTTCGGCCCACAGGGTTTTCCGGTGCGGGTGGAGGGATGTTATGCTCAGGCCATCTCTCGTGCGAGGGATGCTCACAACAGTGGATATTATCAACAAGTTGAACATTTCTTATTATTTGTAGGCTCCTGGCAGTATGATCAGAGAGTATCAAGGCTATTCAGCTGTGGCTGAGATGATTTGTGTCGATGAGTGTCAACGGTTTGCCGCTACAGGTGCGTTCCGCCAAGCAGGGTGTACTTTCACAACATTATAGTGAATTGAGTTTGTCGCTATCCCGCACGTTAAGAATAGGATCGTTCTATCTATTTTGAAAAGTAACATTACCGCAAAGGCCTAACTGAGGTCCAGCACAGTTTTCATTGGCAACCGCTGCTGGCGGCAGTAGGGTGCACTGGCCTGCTCGAGATGGGGACTGGAGAGAAAAGATAGAGCAATCTTCAATCAAGCCCGATAGATTTGTGCAGCTGCCAATCGCCTGCTGCAATGCAGTTATGTTCCATCCATTGAGAAAATCACCATGGTAGCTAGAACCTGGGATCATATGAGCCAAAATTCAATTAGGAAATGGCTATTCCTACCTGTTTGGTCGCCGTTACTGAGTAGGAAATGCCCGGAGATGTTACGAAAGACTGAAGTATTCCAGATCGTTTCAAAGAACAGAGCCGGAATGCGTGTCTCGTACTCTGCAGGACATACACCCTCCATAACAAGATCTGGATAGGCTACGTGGGACTTGTGGTCGTCGGCGTCAAGAGAAATGCCATTCCAGCATGAAGGAAACATCAGCTCAAGGCGAAGGCCATCCTCGCAGTTTGAATCAATGAAGGACTTATTCGGAAGCAGATGACGGGTCAAAGCCCCTTCAGCAGAGCCACCATAGTTTAGACAATTGAACCCAATAGCTTTTTCAGCGAGCGCTTCTGGTTTTTTTTCATCCGGACCCCACAAGGATTGCGGCGTGTCAGGAGGTGGGACAGAGATATTTAGCTTGCTCGCATCTCCTGCAATCATTTTAAACCCTGGTGGAAAAGCCATAATTCTGTCCCCAAAGAGAAAATAGTAACTACAACCTTCTTAGCATTAGCTTTTAACTGTCATCCTGAATACCTGCATTCGCATTCCACTAATTTGCGGAACGATCTCTATAGTACCATTGGCATGGAAGAACATAAGAGGTGGCGTCCAGTAGGCAGACATATCTTCAAGGACGGCACATGTCGTGCAATTGGATTGAATTAGGCCATCGTATGACGAGGAAAAGTTCAAGTCTATAGTGGAGATTAGACATCAACTACTAAGCTCATGCGCAACATACTCTGGGCCCCATGTAGCGTGTGCGCGTGTTGGGAAGGGAATCCCTCAGAGACGATAGGATCAATTCGAGAAACTCCCAATCGAGAGTAGCAAGGAAGTCGCCAAAATGCTCCAACAATAGAAGAGAATAGGTGCAGGAACAGAGTAGAACGGAGATTCATCTTAAACAATACAGATATAAAGTTCAGCAAACTTATCAATTTAATTTAACTACTTGGACACAGACGCCTTACTCTAAAAGTTCCTGCTACCGCTCAAAAATAAGGACTCTGTTTTGAGCCCTTGTCTAAGAGTTCACTGCTTTCCACTTTGTGAACTGCGCAGGGTAAAGAAGCTGCTGTTTTTCAGTCAAGTCAGCATACGTAACATTGTCCGCTAGATCAAAAAGTTCCAGAAATTCCATATGGAACCGTTGCTTCAAAGAGGTCCCAGTTTTTACTGTAGTAGGAGTCTGTTTGTGTCGCGTTCTTGGTAGATCTGTAGGCTGGCGTGGTGAGGTTGGAGGGATGTCAAAATGCGAACCGGTTGTTGACGGTGCAACAGTGGCCTGCCGTGACCAGCCTTCTGACGGTGCAACAGTGGCCTGCCGCGACCAGCCTTCTGACGGTGCAACAGTGGCCTGCCGCGACCAGCCTTCTGATGGCTCAGCAGTAGCATACCGCGACATGCTTTCTGACGGCTCAGCAGTGGCATACCGCGATCTGCTCCTGCTGGACACCACTTTTCTCTCCTGAACCAACTCACGGAGTGGCCCAGGCCTGCCTGGCACCCCGACCATGCACTCTTTCTCAAATTTATTCTCAAGCCTAACCGCAATATTATGAAAAGCAATGGACTTTTGCCAGTCGTCATTCCCTTCCTGAAGAGGTTTCATTATTGACCTAGTTTCATGGCTGTAGCCGGTCTTATTTTCAAGGTCGTATGTTTTATAGAGCTCGGGATCCAGATAGATGAAGCAGCGGGTGTGAGGCCGTTTTTTGCCATAATTGGGAGCTAGTACGTCAACCTCGGCGGCGTGTCCGACTCCCATCTTAGAGTCCCAGTAAACTAATAGAATATGCACTTTGCTCAGTATATCCATCGGCAATGGCTCTTTGTTTCCTTTATGAAAGTTCACAATTTTCTCGACGATTCGGTTGCTGCCTTTGGTAACATCTCTGCTTCCCTGGTATTGGGACCCATGTGGGAGGCTCGATTCGAAACGAGCGCTACGAGCCTTAGACCCATATGTAACGCAGAAGCGAGCTTGAGAGGTCCTCATAATGTGACCAATGGCTGACTTTTCCTGACCCTGCAGCGAGGGATCGACACAAGTATTATTGACGTCCACATCCCATGCCATACCGAGATCATCCACAAGCCTTTGAGTAGGCATTTTTGACTCTTCAGCATGCTCTCTTTTAATCTCTCCTTTTTGTGAAGGACTTTTTTGAGCGTTTGCATGTGTCGTTCCAGGGTTTGGCGCGTTGGCTGTCGCATTTTGCATGGTCGCATCTTGTCCGCTCGCATTTTGCATGGTTGCATTCTGTTCTGTTGCATCTTGCATGGTCGCATTTTGTTCGGCCGCATTTTGTTCGGTCGCATTCTGTTGTGCCGCTTGCTGTCCCGCTGCCGCGCTAGACTCGGGTCGTGTGGCGGTATTTATATTCACTTGGGTCATAGCGCTATTGTACTTCTCTAGTTCTGCACGTATGGATGACATTTGCTTTTCGTCGTCTTCAGCGAACATGCCCTGATCTTTCGCGTGTTGTAATTTTGTAAGATCTGCTTCGAGCTTTTTGACCTTCTCGTCATGATATTCAATCGTAGATTTCTCACTTCGAGTCCTTGGCTCCCGGCCGTCGCCGGTATTTTTGAAGTTTATGTGGGATTTTTTTTTACCACTCATATCGATGGATATGTTTTGTTAGTTTCGAAGGCTGCTTACATCGAGGCGAATCTTATTTATATAGTCTGCAGAGCCACTTTCAAAACGTCAAGAAGAGGTTGCCATTATGATGTTGCACGCCCGCGCTTTCGAGCACCGTATTGCTATTTAAGTGACGCCTACAATAAACATTCTATTCCTTAATTTGGTAGTATCTAGCTATGTTGGCAAGCTCACATCTTTACAGTAGACCTAAGAGTATTCCTCTATGTGCCGTATGGCGTCCCAAAGGTTCACAAAGAGAATGCCAACAATGGATGACTTGTTGTGCTAGAAAATGTGTATACATCCGCCTAGCAGGTTTTCTTAGATTTAATACACTCCTCAATCTCTGCGTCCTTCCGACAACCGACCCGAGAATAGCTCTTCTTGAGAATACTCGGGAACAGGCGGCCTGGACAGGTATCCAGGTGGTGACGTATCTCTTTTAGCTGGTGGTGATTTCTTATTTGGTGGCTTTTCGGGCGGAAAGTCCTCGCTAGTCTTTACTATAGGCACTGGATACGTCGATTTCTACAATGTTAGATACCTACACCCTACAAGAGCTCTGGTTACCTACAAGTTGGGTAGTCGATGGTGGCCAATCTACCCGTGTTGGATCTGAATTGTAGACATATAGCTGGCTATTGTCCTTCTGAATGCATATCCACACTGCTACTTTGTATCGGCTACTTATCTCATGACCGCGGCGAATAAAATTATTCTTCCGTTTACGAAAAGACTCCTGCTTTAATCTTTTTGAGGCCATAACTATACTTCCAGAATTTCCGGACACTGGAGCCACTTATTTATATGGTACGAGCGCGCACTGACCTTGTTACTATATATCAATGGGGCCAGACTTTGCATTTAGCACACCCAGACATGGATCCTCTATCTGATCCTTCTGCTTGGTACTCTATATTATGCGCTGGGCTAATCGTCCTCATTATTTCATGTTTCATTACCAGCCTAGCCTCTCAATGGCTGGCTTCACGTCTAACAGATGCTATTCTCAAGTACCTGGTTTACTCTACGATAAGCCTCTTTAAGCTACATCAGTGGCGCTTCTCTGTAAAGGATCTGATCTTTCCTGTGTTGTATCTAAGTGGCAACGGTGTTTGCATGGGTTGGGGCGTAAAAGCCGCCGAAGAGCTAAGCAGCCGGTGCGCCTCGCTGCTCGCAACAAACCTGGTCCTTCTGTTACCTGGAGCAAGCATAGCGGCGGATGTTTTGCATATATCTTTACTAGCATATCATCAAATGCATAGCATAATTGGTCTGGTGGCTGTGATCCAGGGCTCCGTTCATGCCGGACAAAAGCTGGCTGCAGTTGGATGGACTCGCGATATGAGCGCCGTAAGCGGTATAGCTGTGAGTTAATCTGCATACAAGTCTACAGCGTGTCTTACACTCTCAGATTGCTGGATGCCTCGGACTGATGAGCATTGCTTCTTTACCCACCTTCCGTAACCACCTGTACGAGATCTTCCGGGTGATACACTTTGTTTGCTCTACGTCTATATGCATATTGCTATGGCTTCATGTCCCTAGAGCGAAGATGACCGGACGTGTCCAGGTAATTGTGTGTGCATGTATGTGGGTAGCTACCTACACTCACAGAAATGTGCTGCTCATATATCGTAACTTTTCAGTAAGTAAGCGGAGCACTAGAGTCCTGATCGAGAACGTTCAAAATAGCCTTCTAGTGAAGGTCAACCTTCCTCGGCCTTGGAAAGTGAAGCCCGGCCAGTATGTATACCTTACCATGATAAGACCCGGGTTATTTTCAATTCTCCAGCGCCATCCGTTCATGGTGGCAAGTTCAGACTCCGAGGGTCACGACTTCCAGTTACGTATTCAGCCTAGAACAGGCTTCACCAATCGACTTCTGACACGGTCCCTTGTTGGAGTTACGCAGCTCAGCGCTCTCGTAGAAGGACCTTACGGACACGGATTTGACCTACGAGACTTTGGCACAGTGGTTCTATTTGCTAGTGGAATTGGGATTGTCGGCCATCTTGCGTACATTCAAGAGCTTGTACACGACTACCGGCAGTCTAAGACAAAGACTAGGGATCTTCTTCTGGTCTGGCATGTGGACAACAAATACCAGCTGGACTTGGTGTGGGAGGTCATGAACAATATACTGAGAAGAGATGATCTTCCAGGCACTGCGATACGCCAAGATACACGCACTCCGTCCGGGAACGAAAAGATAGACCGACACCTAGGCGGTAGCAGCACCAACGAAAGCCCAGGGATACGACCTGCACCACATGGAGAGAATGTAAATCTTGAAACATGGTGATTTAACGTTAGCGAAAGCTGATGCTTTCCAGATTATCGATGTGTATATCTATGGCAACTACGAGATATTAGATGAAACAGGACATGCAGTACCATACAAACGGGCAGGCAGCCGAATTGCTGAGGTGGAAGGAAAGCCGGATGTGCGGCAAATCATTAGCGACGTGCTGGAGACAAGAGGGGGAAGACTCGCGATCTGTGGTAAGCATTTTGGATTACTATCGCTACACTAACTAATCCGAGCAGTATGCGCATACCGGCAAATGAGGCATCAGGCGCGAGAAATGATCGCTCATACTAGCCATAAGCAAGTGAGGTATCTGGAACTCGAGTTTCAACCAATGGAGCCGAGGGAACATGTTAGCAGAAGAAGGTCGTTGCCGATGAAATGTCGCGGGATTGAAGCAGCCCAAGTTAGATAGATATCCGCCAACCTCAAATAAACCCATCCATTGACATAGTAGCTTTTGGGGGGCTCTTTGATGCTTTGTAAGGCGCGATAAAGTCGTTAAATGCTTTTTCTTGGTCGAGACGAAGTTGGTCTACCGCATCCACAAGCGCCTTAGAAAGGTCTCGAATTTCATCAAAAGCCATCTCGTCCAGCAAACCAATAATACACGCGTGTAGTAAATCCTGCGAAGTCTCGGCAATTTTTCCCTTGAACTTCTCTGCGTGCTGATAGCATTCTCGGTAGAATGTAAGCTCTATCCTAAGTTCTCCATTTCTTCGATTGAGAAAATCGATGTAGTGAACCAAGTCTCTAGATTGCTTGGACTTTTGCATGTACTGTGGCTCCATTTCAATTGCGATGGTCTGCCCTCCATAGCATCTCACGATGTGGTCGATAGTATTAGTTTCGAGAGGCCTTCCACGGGGTGAGTTCTTTGTGGAGAGATCCATGCTTAAGTTGAGACAATGTACGCGACTAGGTCTTAAATCCGATTGTTAGCAACAAGAAAGTGCGGTTGACCTGGCTACTAGATAAAGACGATAGAATAAGCCTGATCACTGATCATCGCACACATGGATCCTCGAAGACTTACTATCTTTCCGAGAACGGGGCATGCCTCAGGCAACATCAGGCCCTTTCGCGAAGAAAGCAGTACTCCTGCGATTGAAGCCCCAAAGCCAAAGTTTTATAGGGGAAATGGGCCGTTAGACGTTAGCCCTTTGAGGCTTCCTACAACCAATCGGACTGTGTACAAGACTTTCACGCCAATCGACGGAGATCCTGGACGGCACTACCGGTGCATACACATCGTAGATCCAGATGGCAAAAGACCCTACTGTTTAGCCCAAGAATTCGCCTCAGACGCCACTGAGCATGACTATCGGGTCGTGATGATCCGTCGTAGCTCAGACAAACCCATTGTTGGCCTAGACAAACCAAATCCGAATCTTCTCAACATCGTGTCTGTTTTTCAGCATCAGGGTTCTATCTTCACCGTACTTGATAGGCCCGGCCTTCCATTATCCGAGGTTGCCGTTTCCCATTCTCCACAGCTTGGAGTATCTGAGGTGAGAACGATAAGCACACAGGTAGGACTATTGACCTGTACTCATCCTCGTATTGATGGCAGATCAGGCACTTTCTGGTATCTGTGCTCTCACCGCTGCAGGGCTTTTCATGTCTTCACTTAACGTAGAAGACATCACGATCTCAGCAAGCGATGGTCAAGTCAAAGTTGGTAAGTATCAAGTATGTGTTGAATGATACGGCTAAACAACAGCAAGAATTTGACCAAGAATTTTTACAAACCTCAAGGGCAGATGGAAACGCTGGTGCCTTTGGAATCATGCTAGAAGACCTCATATCCCGCGTTCCGAGCCCAGCGATGCTACAGCAAAATGATGGTCTCAATGCTTTTATCGGGTACACCAGTCAAACGACATATCTAGAATTGCAAAACGTAGGTTGAATTTCGACAACTGGCAATGCAATACTAAATCTTGAAGCACGGTTTTCTGAAAGACTCGTTACCTGCAACGTCTTTGATCCCTTTTGTATTAAATGCACAAATCATAGTGCTTCCAGTGGAGCACGTGACGGAGACCCAAATTACTGAGTTGGAGATTTGTTAGCAATTAACTGAAGATGATTTTTTTGGATACTATAGATGTTCAAATGCATTGCTATCATCCTTACTTCTTCTCCTGCGACATCTTTCCCCTCCGTGGTTTTTTTCGCCGCCCGTCTCCAGCCGTGAGTTCAAGAGCCTTGACGAGGTTCGCAACCTCATTCTTCCCATCTTCTACTTGCTTAGACAGACTCTCAACTTGTATAGAAAGGTCCATGTTACGTTGCTGCAAGACCACATTTTGATCCGTAATGTACTCCAATGGCGTAAGCGGGTTCTCCTCCGAATGTTGACCAGAAATGGCTCTTACAAGAAGTGCATTCTTGGCTGACTCTAGGATCATTTCACTAATGCTTTGGCCATTCTGCAACTCCGCCACTTGTCCTCCGGCCAGCTTGGCTTGAAGATCGTTCACTAGGCTTTCGGCTCGCCTAGCAACCTCGTTGGCAAACATGTCTGAGTTGTTCATATACTTGCTGAGGTCTTCTCGGAGTTCCTCGGCGCTCTTATATTTCTTCAAAAGCTCGCAGTGATGTTCTTCCAGCTCTGCTAATTGCTGGTTGACAAGCTCGTTTGCCTCCCGTTCTAGATTCAGCTCATTCTCTATCGCAAGGTATCGGCGTCGTGTATCTTCAGCAGTTGCTTGGATGTAGTTATGGGTAGCCTTGAGTTGAATATGCATGTTATGCAGCTGAGTTTGGCCCTGTTGATATAAACTGCTCATGTTTAATGCAGCTTGCACACAACATTCTTGATGGCGAGAATCCGAGCTTCCCTGGTTTTTGAAATTAGTACATAAGTGCACTACTGATGGGGCCTTCATACCTCAGTTGGTTGCAGTGATGCAGGAGATTGCTGAGACTGGCTCATTGCTATGTGGTTCAGGGGGAGGAGGAGGGAAATGTCGATGTAGGAAGTACAAGAGCAAGAAGTCACTTAAATATCAGTCATTAGCCAGTTTTATTGTCCCATCATGGTGTAACTAGGGCAGCGGGATGGGAGAGGAGTTTTCGACTGTGAAAGGAAAATAAAGCGGCACTGCTCCATCCACCCACTAGTGTTTCAGCTTCAACACGTGTCTATGGTGACTGATGTGGATTTTCGTGCCTGGCGTGCAGTCCAGTCAGTTTTCCTATGCGTTGATCACGACACAAAACCGCATCTTGTTTATGAAAAGAGAGCGGTTGAGTTCCGGCCCGGAAGAGATCCACCAAATCAACGGGGAAGCCGGGCTTGGTACTCGCCGTTCCTTGATATTGAAATAGGCCTTCTTAGCTAGCTGGTGCGCTATAGATCGATAGGGCCCTGAGGCCACTAGTTCGGTACGGAACGGCCGGAAGATTTTGCGCTACTGAAGATGATATGAGGAACTAGCCCTGGCTGAGGCCTTTTTTGACCATATCTCGAAGCGTCACAGTTATCGGGCCGACTACAGGCACATCCAAACGGGCTTGGATCGTCGCCAATTCCCCATCACATTCGGAAATGGCGGGCTATGCTTTCAACATTCGAAAGCTGTAGCCTGTGCTTGTTGCTGGCGACTTCTTTGTCACGCTTGACTGCGACTTATTTATAAATGCATGCATCTGTCGCTAGGGTTACGCGTAACACCTAACATGGCTTCGAGCAATCACGATACATGGTTTTCTGAACCGCCGACGCAGATGTTGTCCCTGGATGCAATGATTGCTACTAGATCGTCCCACGCATTCGCGCCGAGCCTGCCACCACTTCCGGAACAAGACTGTGATCTTGATTGGGACGAAAGCATGTTTATCCCGCAGGACCCGTACGCAGGCTTCAAACAAGCCTCCACAACTGTCGCCGCTGCAACCGCCAACGAGTCTCCGCCCAAAGTATTCGAAGAACTGAACCAGTTACGAAACGAGTTCCAACAATTGCGTCTTGATATTTCAGAGCTGCAGGATATGTTCCGTAAACGGCTAGATGGTATGGAGACAAGCATCTTGGTAGCTCAACGCTATGTTAATAATTTGGTACCTTGGTCGATGGAAGTTCACGAGAAGTATTCAAAACTATTAGAGATGGTGAAAAACCAGGAGCAACGAGCCGCGGAGAGCAGGACGTGAAACACTGAGTAGTACTACCTGAATAAATTCTACTTTCTTACATTGTGGTTCATGACTACGTACGCATCTTTCAATGCTTTATGTAATGTGAAGGAGTAAAATTCGATCATACTAGTCGCCCAGGTCGCATCTGGATGGCAACAAAGCAAAAGCACGCCTGAGGATAAGCTAGGTGAAGTATCACAGTGATCTTGAGGTTATGTTAGGCCATCTATCCCCGGACCAAGACAACATCTGCCGTGTTGCATCAGAACCTAGTTATGTAGCTTCAGAGTAAATAGGGACTATGGATACGAGTAACGAACAGTGGCGGCTTGAGCATCATTATTGATTTCAGTTCGTTTACGGCGTGCTCGGTCATATCGCTGTCTTTCCGTGATGCCATCTTGAATTAATCGATCAAGCTCTTTGCGCTCCGCTTTCTCCCGTGGTGACTTTGATAGCATTGCCCGAAAACGTCGAACACAAGCAAAGTCCAGTAGTTGTACTTGGAGTCTCATAATACACAGCAATTTTGATGAATGAATGAATACTCCAGAAAAGAATTCTCTCAAGGTCCCGAGTTTTGATTTTAATGTGTACAGCTTTGTGCACGCTTCCTGCTTGTGCTAAGATTAGGTTTTATGTAGTTGCAATTTACCCTGTGACTGTATACTGTGTGATTGTTAGGGCGTACAGTCTTTAATTCTCCTCCGTAGTAAGCTCCAGGCATTGCCTTTTTGAGGCTCTAGTGATCAAAGGTACGGGTCTTTTTCTTTTCTTGGTAACCTGACACTGACAACCGCTTGTACCCGCATAGTCCGCGATTTGATGATCTGCTCTGCCAAACGCAGCGTCTAGCAACTGGAGCCTTGCGAATTGTGTTATAGACTGTGGAAATCCGCTAATTCTATGCCGCCCCAATCGGTTGAATTGCATATGAATGGACACGCTCTGATCAACGTGGTAGACCTTGAAGTTGACCACCTTGCGATAATGACCACATTTAGCACAGAGACTGCAGCCGCCGATGTAGCCCAAGTTAGCGCCATCTTTTGTAGTAAATGAGGCTGCCGGATATTCTTGCAGAATTCTCTCAATCAGCGCCCGTGTGTCTGGGCTTCGACAGCGGATGGAGCCTGAGCAAACAGACGTCCCTCTCGCGACCGGCTTGCGGTGAAGTTCAAAGAAGAATGAAGCAGCAAAGAGCGCCTGAGTAATACTAGAGAAGTCGTAACCCTGAAGGAAAGTCGTGGCCAAGTTTTCTAGTTCCGGAATCTTACCAACATCATCAAGCGGAGGCTCCCGGTCCATAGCTATGTTGATGCGGAAGTATTTGTGTCGTTCGTCTTTATGTACTCGGTTTAGGTGATCCTCCCAACCGCTCTGGGCGTTTAACATGGCGTTGAAAAGTCGAAGCAAGCGCGGGAAGAAGCGATCACGCAAACGCAGTCTTCCGGACACAGTCTGCGGTGAATCAGGATCTTGAGCAAATCCTGTGCCTATTGAAACAGCTAGGTCTGGGTCGCCGTCCCAAATAGCTTTCGATTCCCACTCTGCGGGGTCGATTGGATTATTGTGCTTTCCTGCACCTCCATCCTGAACAAGTCCTAAACCCCGGATAAACTTTGCTGGGAAGTAGGAGGGAGCGGCAGATGTTGCCCTAGCACTGAACAAGATTAATTTGAGAGCTTGAAGAAAGGGACAGGACCTACGCGTCGCAGACAAGAATCTCATCTTCCGCGTCAGAAGCTCGATAGTGTTTGTAACCTGCAGTCGTCTATTAGTCTTGTACCTGAAGATAGGATACAAGCTTTTACCGTGCCGATCTCCAGCTCCATTGTAATTAGAGAGGATGCAGAGTCTCGAATTGGACACGGCCATTGTAGTAACTGCTACTTTTGGTCCCGATATACCCACGTCAGGGACCGTACTGCCGAATAGAGCAGTATCCGCTCCAAATGCCTCTTTCACGCACGCTTCCATTTCGGCAGCTCCGTATAAGCTATCGGTTAGCAAAGAAGATAGGAAGCCACAGATCTTCGCAAGAAGAGAGTTTCCAAACGGTTGGCGAGGAAGAAATACCCGTTCTGCCAGCTGCTTAAAGGTACCAATGCACTCGTCAATATTCTGGCGCAAAAGAAACATGAGCACGATAAGGCCTCCTAGATCTTACTGTAAGTGATATGCTTCGAAGATGTCAATAAAAAGTGACATTTACCTGTGCTTGAACCTAATAACAAATCAAACTCGTCATAAATGGGGTATGGGAGTTTCCGATACTTGTCGAGCGCGTGTAATATATGCAGAGTGAAAATTCCCCGAATACCGCCTCCATCAAGGACAAGCAACCGACTTCCTGCTGTGGGCGGCTTAAGACGAGCAGTAAGCTTGCCTTTGAATTTGCATAGAATGCACTGAGAGATGCAGTATGAATATTCCATCTGCCGAGATTTCGACCCAAACTTGCAAGCGCATGAATCACAGATTGCGTGACCACAGCGCAGGCTATGTTCAGGTTTGCACGAAAGACAGTCAAGGCACAGCTGAGAGCTATACATCGTGTTCCAGTTGATGGAAATGTTTTCAAGGTTTCTCCTATGTAGCTGGACTGCCGTGAGCTTTTCTTTCTTAAGTTCGGAGCAATAATGACAAAAAATGGCTTTCAAATGTGTACATAAAGCGGCTGGCGAAAGGGTTTGCTCGGAAGGCTGCGACGAGAAGGCTTTATAGCAGTGAGACTTATATAGGGTCTCGAACATCTCAGACGGTTTGAAGTCTATTGGTTAGTGCCGAAACAGAGTGGCTGGAGTATACAGCACTTACGATGCATTCCCGGTGGAAAGCTGTCTAACATGAGTGCAGATGCCATATACTCCAAGGCAGCTTCCTTAGGGACGTAATTGACAGTGCACAACTCCAAAAAGCTCTGTAGATGATTCCAGAGATCATCTTCTATTCGATTGCATTGGCGCGTAGCGAGGATGAAATTGAACGGTGGGGTGGTGCATGTCGCAACGTGTCGTAATGCCAACTCGAAGAAGACATTGAGGTGGTATGCCGAATAGAGCCTCTGAGAGGCCTCTCTACTATTCCTTACCATCTCAATATCTGAGAGCATAGTCTTCTTCAAGGAGAGATATCTACGAGAAAGTGGGATTTTGCGGCTATTTGCCGGTAATATCACGTGCTGAATGCCACCAAACGTTGGTAGATTAGGGTCATTCTTAGGCTTGTATGTGTTCCTAGTGACAAAGATAACCTGAGGCTTCCAGCTCGGCGAAAGACTACTATGTCTTGTACATCTTTGTAGGAACTGAATTCCCTCTTCACGAGTAGAGAAGTCGTCTAGAAAAAGACAGACGACGTCGGCGAACAGCAGCAGCAACCGGCCGACTATAGTTTCAACCAGCGATTCGGTTCCGATCACTGGTGTTTTCTCGGATAGCCACATAACTTTATGATGCGCGTGTCCTGTATGCTTTTGCGGTGGCTTCTGTTTGCCGCAAGCATTGTCGGTGTCCAGGCTAGCAATTAACAGTGGATGTTTAGCGTCTGACGTTGAGTCGTCTGCATGCACTTGTGCTAGACCACGGGATTTTGAATGAGGCCGACCCGGAAAAAGCGCTTGGTGTGCAGCTTCCCTCTCCTTGGTACCGATTAGCAGAACAGTAGAAGGGAATTGGGCGTGGGGGTTGCGAAGATTAGTAGTAACCTGCTGTAGGCCGCCCCCAATAGTCAAGAACCAATCTGTCCTGGTTTGGAAAGCGTACAGCCAGTCTAAACGGTCGCGTGATGGCATATCTACACAAATCTGTTACTTTTTCGTTCTGGTACATTCTTGTCTTTATAAATACCTGTTGTCGGCTAGCAATATTTGGAAGACTCAATTTCAAGGTGGGCATAACCATATTTATAGCCTGGCAAGCCCTTCATAATATTGGAATTGGAGTCAATATGTGTAGCAAACTCGAAAGATATCGATATTATCTGGGAACAGCCCAGGTGAGATTCCGAAACTTATACTACAGTCCTAGTAATGCAAAGCCTGACGATTGTGTTGGCTGCTGCATGTCTGATATAGAGCACAATCTACCTGCTTTGATTTGTCCTTCGGAATACCACGACTGTTTGGTCGGCGCACATATCTCTTCAGACGCGTTGTACGCCATCGGATCTTCTCCAAGACTTGCTCTTCCAATCGGACTTGAGCTACCATGCCTTCACGGACGATTTCGGTTCGAGACTGCGAAAAGAGATGAATCGCAAGGTGAAGACGACTGGTGGCTTGTCGATCTTTACAATTCTGGTGAGAGCAGTGCTATCCTGTTTGATATCGGTTGCTGAACAGTATATGGACGCACCTGCAACTGTTGTGACTCAAATTCGCGAGTCCTATCAACTACATACGTCTCCCTGTGACGGCGAAAAGTTTCTCCATATTCGCTTTTACGAACGCGAGCGAAACTACGAAGTCGCAAAAAGATGGAAAAGGCTACTGGGAGCTAAGCTGAAGAGCCTGAATCAGATTCTACGTAATGAATGGCTTCGCATCTGTCTTGAGAGACTAGAGCCGTTTCGCTCCTTATGGATGAGTCTCCAACTCGGCTCATTTCCACTCATACTGAGCTGGCGATGCAGACAGGTACAACTCCCTCAAGCCAAAGTATTTCAGTTCATTGATTTCCCCAGGAGATTGAATGCTATTTGATGCAGATGTATGAGATCTGGCACAAAATCACAGGTGGTGATGCGCACCTCTGTGACGAGTACACCATCGAGAAGCTTGGGGGCTTTGCACCTCTATGGAGCTCCCGCGACCGCTCCATGATTGAAGGCTTGTTTGCCAGACGCCAGGTCTTTCCTCGCGTACATGACCCCGACGCACGCGCTCAAATCTGTCAAAGGGTACTTGCTGTTGAAGGACTTATCTTGAATTTTCAGACCTTTTTCAATCATGTCAAAATACTAGGACCCGTTATGCTTCCTTTGAGAGAGTTGCTCCCTCCTGGCGAGTTGTATCCCTCAAAGGATGAATTCAACCTAGTGTCCAGACACCTTCCTTCGATAAGAGACATCCTACTTCAGAATTACTGCGAGCGGCCTGGACAAAGTAAGCAACAATACCTTCTACAATACAGCGAGCATGATGAGCGCTTTGTAGAAGGCAGCGACCCTGGACTGCATTCCTATTGGCAACTCTGTCTCTATTTATTGCGCCACGTGCAAGGCCATGGGAACTACCGTAAGAAACCACAAGACCAAGTGCAGTCGTCGGAGCGTCCTGGAGGGGTGATCCGGCTTGGCCAATTTGCACGCAGGCTTGGGTTTGAGTCTGACTTGATCTCGTCTCTATGCAACCAAGATCCCGACCTTTCGCAAATTCGCATGCACATGCTTCAAGAACGATCAACTGTCTTCTTCTCTGCGGCAGCCGACAAGTTCAATGCAGAAGCCTATTCACGTCAAAGAGCTCAAGTGATCTTCGAGCCTCGCCTGCCTGCTCCTACTCCTTTGATGACGACTGACAGCGCGACTACAACCCGGGTGCCCAGGAATCACCCAGAGCTTTTTCTTCCCACAATATGGAGCGCACTTGCACAAGAGCCAAGATACGCGTTGACGGAGTACGGGGAGCTTGTGTTAATCTTGATGACCTTCTTCGAGAAATTCGGATCAAGTGCCGTTAGCGGTACCCGGGGGAATTCTCAACAGGGCCGACTATTATTACGCTCTTCTTCCGTCTACTCGGTACCGGCATATCCCGACCATGTAGCTACGCCCCACGGCGTCGACATCACATTCTGGCATCTGCCCCAGAGTCGAGACATAGGTCCACTCGCGGAGTACACATGCATGCAACGATAGAGGATATCTAGAGGGTAGTCACCAGTATCCGCGCGAAGGGCGTG